TCTTTCTCTCAACGCCATATGTTTCTTCTTGTCTTCTCCCCCCCCCCCCCCCCAAAAAAAAAAAAAAAGCCCCGTTGACGATACACCGCCCCGAGAGAGAGGAAGAAAGAAACGTCAAAAAAAGCCCGGGTCTACAACAAGAATCTCGGCCGGCACTCGGACAGAACCACCGACGCCGTCCGGCGCTGCCAAGTTTCCAACCTCAACCACTTATAAAAAAGCCCACAAGCCTTTGCCTCCTCGGGCCTGGCTTGCCATTCGCCTCCCATCAAAATCGCTGATCGGGCAGATTACACCGTCAGGCTTCTTCTCAACCAAACAAAGTCCACCCGACGCGGCGCCGTGAAGCCGAGACCCCAGAAAACGGCTTCCCATAGCCTCCGTTTCACTAGCCCCCTCGTCCGTACGGGTAATGGTGTGTGTGCTTCATGGCTATCCGTACGTACCGAATGGCGGAAACCCAATCTCGTCACACCTTCTCGAAAGGCACTCAAGAAATCAAGGTGGAGGAATCAAACGAAACGGCTCGGCTTGCACATTTTAGCTTATTCCTCCCACCACCGGCAGCCACGCGACTCGTCATGAAATAAGCCTAGGCGTCACAGCTGTCTTGCCCGCTGCATGTCTTGGTCCAACTGGAACCCGTTCCGCCTACCTTGACCAAAGGCAGCTTAGGGTAGAACCATCTGGCCCTCCTCCTCGCTGGAACATCTTTGGCTATGCTTCTCTCTTCCGTCGTCATCATCTCGCTGTGCACGTTGTGGCATCTGTCTTCGTTCGTTGACAGACCAACGTATCCGGAGAACTCCCGCCTCGCCTAGCTTCCGCGTGCTTAAGCGGCCCGGCCGTCTTGCAAAATCACACCACGGGAACGCAGGTTACTATCCCCGGCCCCTGCATAAGTCACTTCATGAATCGTCGCCCACTGCATCGCCGTATCCCACTGTCGCTACCATCTTCTCCTCTCTTCCTGCTAATACATACAAGGCATCCCGTAGTCGTACACTAACTTCCCATCAACTAGATATCTAGACCGTGCTGCATCAGGAACCAAGCTATCCCACGCATCCTTGTTCCCAGATCCATCTGCGGCCTATGCCTAGTCCAAATAACGAGAGGTGACACCTGCCGCCCTTCGCAATGCTGAATTCCCCCTTGCCTAGACCTGTACCGCCAGGGCTCGTATTGCCCCTTCTCTCTGATGCGACGCATTGCCCAAACCTAGACCTTTACCCAGTATACTCTAAAATCAACAATCATCCGCTGCGCATCAAAGTTTTTTACTATCTTCTGGGAGGCTTTCTCTGAATGAAAGGATCTGCCTTTGGCTTCTTCCTGTGAATGACTGGTCCGTTTGCACCAGGAGGCTGCCCATCATGTTAGCGACGCCAGGACAATACACGGCAGCTTTCGACTTACTCTCGGTGGCAAATTACGGTTAGGCGCCATGGCTGGACTCGAAGAAGAAGTCCTCGAAGTCGACGGCATCTCCGCCGGCGGTCGTGCGGCTGGTGTCAGACCGAGGGCTACCATGGCAGACGGGTCCTTCGCCTGCTTCGGCTCCTTCGGCGCATTGTTCATCGCCTTCGGCCCCGTTGGCGGCGGTCGGTTGTTCGAAGGTCGATTCTGCTCCGTCGTGATCTGTGATTGTTGAATTAGACGCTGAAGTTGGAGACTCTGTGAAATCAATGCTGCTCGTGTTATCTTGACATACCCTCTTTGGTCCCCGTGCAGGATCATTTGCATCGGACGGCCTTTTCTTGGACTCCTGCTTTGGTGTCGATGATTGAATCACGGGCGGACGGTCTGAGCTTCGAGAGACGGTGGCCTGCGGGCGGCGTTCGTTGTAGTTGGTCGACGATTGTTGTGGTCTCGGTGGTGACTTTCGGGAAGGCAGCGCGTCCGTCATGTTGATATCCTTGCTGGGAGGCTGCGGAAGCTTCTGGGCAGGCACAGCAGCAGGTGGGTTGCTCGGCGGTGCAGGCTTTGACGGCGGAGGCAGTGCGTGCATCGAACTGGGTTTACGGAGCATCGACATGATGTCGCCCTTGGTGTATAGATCTCTGTGTCGCGCATTTTCGATGAGCTTGTTCCAGAACTCTCCCTGAACGAGTGCTCTCGAGTCTCCCAGAATCCACAGCGACGACTTGGCACGCGTCAGGCCGACGTTCATACGCCTGATGTCTTGCATGAAACCGATGCCACCAGTAGGACTGGCACGAACGCAAGAGAAGATGATAATTTCACACTCTCTGCCCTGGAAGGCATCAGTTGTGTTGAACTCGATGTCGTCGGTGATGCCTTCTCCGTATTGTCGGTTAAATTGGAATCGAAGCTCCTGAAGCTGGGCTTTGTAGGGCGTAATGATACCGATCTTGCCGCGCACTTCGGTCTGCCTTCCAAAGTCGGCTCGGAATCTTTCGTACAGTTGCATGGCAACCTTCAGTTCCGCGTGGTTGACCAAAGAGCGACCCTTGTTGCCCTTCTCTTGGGAACCCTCAACGTCGAAGAAGCGGTAAGGGCCAAGAAGAGCACTGTTGTGCCAAGGCTGGCGGCGGAGATCGGCCATATCGTCTCCGTCGACCAGCTTGCCCTCGTAGAATTCTTGACTGGGGAATAAGCTGATTTCCGGGTGCATACGGTACTGGCGGTCGAGCAAATGAATGTACTCCGGGTGGTTGCGCTGCATACGCACGAATAGACTCTGGTCGTATCCAAACCTTGCGGCGGATTGAGAGAGCACCGTGGGAGGCAGTTGCTTGGGATCACCGACCAGAATGCATTTGGTACAGCCATACTTGAGCGGGATCAAGGCGCTGAGTTCCACGCATTGCGCTGCCTCGTCGATAATGACGGTCTCGAATTCGACATTCAAGTTCTTGAACATTTCGTGGCCACTACCGCTGAGCGTAGCGCAAAGGACCTGAGCTCCGTCCAGAATCTCTTGTTGAACTTGACGACGACGGATTTCGGCCTCGCGAGTCGCCGTGTTGCCGCTTGCCTTATCCTCATCGATTTTCGCACCAATGTTGATTTGGGCGCGTCTCAAATGATCAACCGCCCTCTGCAGGGTTTGCGCGGTAGTCCGATCATTGTTTGCGCGAGCCTCGTCCAGTTTGGGTCGGAGATCTGCGAGTTCGTCGCGAATCTTGGCTGCGTCGCCGTGCATCTTGTCACGTTCCTCCTTGGCTTTGCTCCCACTGTTGTCGCCTTCCAGTCGCTTCTTGACCAGCTCGTCAAGAGTCACGTCACGGACGGCGGCATTGATGGCGTCGCTCCTTCCCAAACGGAGAACGTTGATTTTGTGGAACGATCCCGTCATCGTCTTGACGCCTTGCTTCAAACGCAAAACGAGTTCATCGACGGCGGCGTTACTGGGCGCACATACCAGAAGCTTCTTTGGCATAGCGTTCTGGCCGGCTTGGGGAATTTTCGGCTTGATGGCGGCTCCCGGAGGTTGGATGTTGCCCGTGAGTAATGAACCGACCATGGCCACAATTGTCTTCGTTTTACCCGTTCCCGGGGGTCTGTCAAACGTCAGTGTCTGTCGTGGAAGGATGATAGGTTTTCTTACCCTTGAATGAGCGTAAAGCCGTCGTTGTCCCTAGCACCGAGAATAGCTTTGGCTTGACCAGGGTTAAGCTGATAGTTCTGCATGACGCCGTTGACTGCCTCGTCGCCGTAAGTCAAGACGGGAGAAGGTTCTGCCTTCAGAACCTCGAGCATGAGGTCATAATACTGCAGACTCTCGAGTGCAGCGTACTCCCTTTCAATCGTCGTCATGTTGGTGATTCTGACGGCTTGCAATTCGCAGCCAGTGTCGAGAGCACGTGCCGCCACCAAGGGGTTGTTCCTGTTATTCAGGCGATACGTCACTTCCAGCCTGTCTTTCTTGTAGCTGGTTTTCCAGATTCTTGCCAGGGCATGAGGCTCAGAGCTATCGGCCAGAGGGTTATTTCCCTTTGAGAGCAGGATGATGTCACCCTCGGACAACATCCTTTCCTTGTTCTCTGCGATGGGAAGGCTTGCTGTCACTTCGAGAAATTTGTCAACGTTCATGCGAGACGCAATCTTGAGTCCATAACTCCTTGAAGTCGTCTCATCTTTTGAAGTCACGAAAGATCTCCAGGCTTCGGAGATCAAAAGACCCAGGAAGGTTTGCTTGTACTCCTGCGGATGGGCATACGAGTCGGCGACCTTCGTGCAGGCGATGCTTGCTGAGGTCGACGGAGGATCATTACCATCGTGGAAGATGTCCCACTCCAAGATGGCCTGATGAAGCTGGTCCATTGGCGGAATCAAACGAGCACGCATGTCTTTGGCGGAACGTTGCACCTTCACCTTCTTCACGGGGCCGCGCGTCTTTTCGAGTAATGCACGCTCGCGACGTCTCGTGGCCTCATCAACAGCCTTCTTACCGTTCTCGGCTTTGCTGGTGAGCCTGTCGAGGTCCTCGTCTTCGGAGTCATCTTCGTCATCCTCGTCGCTGTCGACCATGATCTGACTCTTTTGTGGCGCGTGCTCTTTACCGACGACGCCCGTGAGACCCTTCAATCCCGAACCTTCACCGGCCACAGTTCTGAGAGCCTTTGCCCTGGCTACCTGCTCGGCATCTCTCTTGGCCTTTTCCGCCTTGGCCTTCTTTCTGGACTCAATGAGTGCATTCTTTGATGCCTGGGAGGACGCGGAATCGGGTCGCGGCTTCAGTGCCGTCAGCGATGGCTTAGGGACGGTCGATGAAGTGGCCTTCTGGCGCATCTGGTCCAGGATCGACCGTTTCTTGTCGACCGAACTGGTGAGCTCAAGAACGTCATCTCTGTTGCTTCGACTTATTGAGGGTGTAAAGCTGCCCGACTTGGACCATGCGTCAAGGGAACTCTGCTTCTTCGGCTTTTCGGTTTTCGTAAGGGGGTTGATCTGGATGATCTCAACATCATCATCTTCTCCCAAAGCCTTGAGAAGCTCCGCTCGTTGCTGATCGCTTAAGTTTGTGCTGATAGGATATTTGCCGTTTGGGGCCTTGACGCAGGAGTCTAGAACGAAGGCCTTGGGCTCAGCCGGGATTTCGAGGTCGTTCTCACGAAGTCTGTTGAGTAATTTGGTGACCACCTTGACAGTCACCTCGACCAAATACATATCTCTCAGCCGCAGCATCCTGACAATGCCTTTCAAATGGCGCTGTGGCTCTTTGAGAAGCAGTTGCATTTTGGTCAGTTCGTTGCTTGCCTGTTGTTCGCGCAGTGCCGAAGCAAAGAGCCCGTCTTGGGCCAGCATAGCGTCCGCAAGTTCGATGACGTCTCGGCAGAAGTCTTGCATCACCTGAATCTCAACTTGATGAGACCAGGCTGCGGTGGATGAGAAGGCCAACTCAATGTACTTCCAGTGAACTACCCACCACAGCGAGACGGCATTTGATTCACCTTGGTCCAGAGTTTTGGATCTCAGAATACCAGATGACAGGTCACTGAGGCCCTTGAGAACATCCTTGGCGGTGTTGATGATGTGACGTGCGGGTCCCCAAGCCAGGTTTGATGGCTCCATTATCTTCCGAGTCGCGAAGACCATCGAACCGCAAGTGGTGCTGAGGTAGCGTTCCAGTAGTGCTGCCAACGCATCAGATCGAGACGACGTTTCCGTAATTGTCTTGATAAGCTCAGAGCTTGCGCTGCTGATGTCGTCGTCGCCATGAACCGTGAAAGCGATGATGGGCCGGATCGCTTGACCACCGAGACAAAGCTTGTCGAGCTCCGGTACGGTGAACTCGCAAAGACGTTGCATGACTCGTCCGAGTGCCTCCGCAACTTTGGAGAATCTGATGTTGAAGTCCTTTCTTGCCTTGTCAAGCTTGTCTGGCTCTTTCCGAGGCGGGCGAAACTTTTCGACGTTGATGAGCGGAGCCATCGCGACCAGCATGGTCTTGGCCAACGCAGATTGACCACTGTAGAGATCCTCCAAAAATCCATCCCAAAGGGCGGCTGAATCGCGTGTGACGGCGGTCTGGATAGCTGCATGTTCGTTCTTACGGAGTTCAAGATGCTCTTCCGCAGTAACCCGGGAGTCCAAAGCCAACGCAGCACTGATGACGCTCATCGCAGCTTTGGGCACGTTGAGAGTGTGCTGGTCTTGACTTGTCGTCCACGCCGCATCCTTGATGACGTCCTTGTATGTGATAGTGACGTTAAGGATAGAGTTGATGTAAACAGATGTTGTGCCCGATATGACGTTCACTGAGGCGTCCAAAAATGAGCGCAAAACGTGATCGAGGGCATCCAAGCCGGCTCGAATACAAGCAGCTTTACCCTGTTCTCCGATGCTGGCGTCGAGTATTACTTGCTCGAAGAGAAGATGAAGCAGCTGCCCACAGGCGTCGCTTTTTTGGTTGCGGTTGAGGGATTGAATCCATGTGTCGATCCACGAAGTGGTCACCGACTCGGCTTCTTCCTGACCAGTGCTGTCGGTGGATTGAATGGCGAAGATGAGCGACTGAGCGAGGAGTTGCTTGAACAAGTTTGCGGAGAAGACCTGCTCGACGACGACGAAGGGACGCGCGTCACCAATAGTGTCCCAGAAGGCCTGTCGAGACGTTTGTAGCAGGGCCGTCAGCGCCTGAATGATCATCAGCAAGATACCTTCCGACTCGCAGCACATATGCGAGAATAGCAAATCGTAGAGGCTAGGCTTGACCTCCATTCCACGAATGCCATGGAGAACAAGCTTTTCATCCAAAGGCTTGAGAATCCAGTTGATCGCTCTCCAAAACCTCTCTATTTCTGGGAGATTGGCGGGATCTCGGGGGTGCAGCTGTGCGGTGGCTTGGATTGCCTCCGCTAAGCTGTCATGCACAGCCCACTCAAACTGCTCCTGGGTCAATGATTTTGGTCGGATTCGCTCCCAAGACTTCTCAGCAAATGTCAAGCGCGTCTTGTCCTCGCCGAACAGAAATTGTGTCATGGCGGGAAGCAGCACGTTGTTGCCCAGCTTCAAAGGCTTCTTGCCTGAAAGCCGGACGAAGACGTATTGGAAGAGCTTTCGCTTTTCGGGCACACTGACGTAGGCCATACAGCAGAGAGCCTCGTAAACGGTGAGAAGAACGGCGCCCTGATCTTCTCCCAGGTCTGATCTCGAGAATGCGCGGCCGCTACTTTCCACCTCCTCGATGATTTTTGTCGCCCACTCAAGGCCTTTGTCGATGCGATCGAAGTCAAATCTGTGAAGGCAGTTCTCGATTCCGGCCACGGCTTCTTCTGGCCATTTCCTAGACATGGGTTAGCAACGCCTTATGCCAGTGGGGATGTGAGAGTCGTTGCTTACTCGGCAAAGATTTGCAGGTACTTCTTTCGATGCATGTGCCAGTTCATGACGCACTTGTCGCAGTTGTGAAGGTTGATGGCCATTCGGTTGCCCCATTCTACCAGCCATACGCCAGCCTTGTCTTTTCCGTATGCCAGGAGAAGACTGGTCCAGTAGGCGATGTCGAGTCGATTTTTCCATGCCTCAACTCTCTCCTTCTTCTGAAGGGCCGTGATTTCTTCGCCAGGTGATTCTAAATCATCGTAGTCCTCGTAGTCGTCCTCGTGGGTTTTCGTGCAAAGGAGGTGGACGTCTGGGGGGATTTGGCCGAACTTGCGAAAGCTCTCCTCGATGATATCTTCTACAGGTTGAGACTCCATTTTATTGTATGGTTCGTGACCGTCGAGGCATGTCGCAAAGACGCAAAGTATTCTCGGCAACTCTGCAGTAAGGGCGAATGAGGTGACGGCGGACGTGGGCGAAGAGCTTCGTCGAGCGTCGTGTGCGAGGTGCAGGAAACCGTCGGAAATCGGAGATCGGGTACGGGACTCCTTGCTTTCACAAACTGCGCGCGATTGTCGATAACAAGATGCGAAGATTAAATCGAGAGAACAGCCAGAAAATGAGGAAGCCGAGCTGCCGCTAGACTCGCGAAGTGGTGGCGCGCTGGTTGAAGTTCAGCAGTAGATCGATCGCTGTCGGCCGCGAGCTCCTTCGATGTGTTGCAGAAGGAAGGTTTGAGAGGAAAAGATAGACCTTGGTCGCCAGCCAAGGATTAAATAGGAAGCCGGGGGAATTATGAGGAAGGAGCGGCAAAATTGGAACAGTTATCGTGGAGGAAAGAGAGTAAGAGTCCACGATCTGGATGGCGGTGGTTGCTGGGGGAAAGGCAAAGAGGGCAAAATGAAAAGTGCAGTGACACGCTCCAGCCACGACGCGGCCAAGACCCATTAAAGCGTGTTGACAGGGGCTAGAATGGACCCTCGACGTGAGAAGGTACATAGGTACTTACCTCGGGTCATCTTCCAGTGGAAGTCAAAGTACCTACGTCAGCTGGAGGGCTGGGCTGGTTGGTGCTTCAGCACATGTACCACTGAGGCTTGCACTGTTGAGCACAGACCACACCTTAAAAACCAACTGCACTCTTCACTGCTGAATTTCTTTCATTGTGCATGATGCCATTCACACCTCACCTGACAGACTTCTAATTTGTCGCATACCAAGTGCTTCTTTCTTCAATACGTAGGTACCCATATTAAGATTCCCAATTCAAAGAAGGCTGCAGAGTCCAATCGCTCAGGTAATCAGCAATTTTGAGAATGCCTGAATTGTCAAACTATCCCCTCTCGCTATGCTAAGTGTCTGTCTGTCTCAGGTAAGCTAATCTAAATTACTGCTCTGTGCCAGTTTTTGGAGATGATGCCGCCTAAGTACTGCCCTTTTCTTCTAAGAAACTACTAAATCGTTAGGCGGCCGAAACAAACTTGCTAGAAAATGTCATGCCTTCACTTGCTAGGCGCCAAAATTACGAGACCGTCGTGGATGTTCAGGATGTTCTCCCGTCGCCTCAACCCAACCCTGTGTGGTCCTCAATCGCCTTTTCATCATCTGTAGGCAGCAGCCTCTTTCTCAACTTCGGCCATCTGTAGGCGTCGACTCCGCCTCAACTCGACCACAACCCCTGCTCTGGCTTCAGTCTTCTAGGCGGCACCTGTAGCAGGATCGTTCGACTCGTCAGGATACTTCGACTCGGTCGCCATGGCCATGTTTGTGTCCTCCGTGACTCTCGTCTTCGTCTCAACCGTCTCCATGTTCAGTGTCTCCGATCTGGATGGGCCGTTTGTATTGCCCTGAACGTTCTCGCTGTCGCCCACAAGAGTGGTCCGTTCGGATAAATCAGCCTTCTCAGCGTCTCTTCCGTCTCTGTTGGGAGGCTCTTCTTGGCTCGCATTATCGTGAGTATTGTCCTGGTGGTCATCGACCTCGCCATCCACCGCTTCAATGGTTTCTTCTTCGAAGACCTCGTCAATAGATTCTCCAGAGGTATCCACCTTGATGCCTTTCTTGAGGGTCTTCTTCGATTGGATTGGCTGCACCTTGGTCTTCCGTTTATTGAAGCGATCCAGGAGGGTTTCGAGAGGGCAGCTGATGTTGGCCCATTCAGAAGTTCCTTCGACAGTATGTCCGCGGCACCGCCCACAGGCCTTTCCATGCTTGATGAACAGCTGATGAAGTCCGTACTTGAGATGGTCTGGGACTCGAACCTCGCAATGCTTGTAGGTGTTGTCCGCAGAGGCTCCCTGGGGAACCCAGCCCAGCCACTTGCACATGCGATGAACATGTGTGTCGACAGCAAAGCTGTCACAATGGAGGCAGAAGAGGAGGAGACAAGATGCTGTCTTGACGCCGATGCCCTGGTACTTTGTTAGCTCCAACATCGCGTCGTCTGGCGTCAAGCCCCGGATATGGTCGAGCGTGAGTATCCCGCTGTCAATCTTGAGGATCTGGTGGTCCTTCTGCCCTTGAGTCAGCTGCGCTGCGCCAAGGACATCAGCTGGCTCTCCTGTCTTCTTCTCGTTGATGAAGGCGGCTCTTCTGACTTGATTCTCCTCGTACACTGTGTCGAGTATGTCTTTGATTGCAGCGCTCTTCTTGGGACCCAGTCCCGCACTTCTTATGGCCTTTTCGACGTCTTCTTGGGAGGAAAGTCGCACTTTGTTCCAGTCAACACTTCCACCACCAATCCCATCCTTGTCCAGTTGGCCATATGTCAAAATGACATTCTTGATGGCCTTGTCAGCGTTTGCCATGGTTGTGTGCCCACTAATCAGCGTTCTTATCAGGCCGTCAAGAACATCCGGGACTTCGCCACATCCTGCTTTCTCTGCAGAAGGAGGAGGTATCTTGTCAGGTCGCTTGGTAACTTCGTGGTGCTTCTCGAGTATGTCATGGACTTCCTGGCATTGGGCTGCAGTTGGGCCTTGGTGCTGAGGAAAAGGGGTTCGACCAGGCATCAAGCCATACTTGTTGTTGTTTGTTTGTCTTGGTATGCGCTTCCCCGTCTTGACCTCTTCTTCTACATGGTCGCCTCCCTCTTTTTCTTTCACATTGATCTGCTTGTTGATGCCCGCGCGCTTGCTGTTGAGAGCCTGAGGTGCATTAGTCTGGCTGTCTTCTGTATTGTGACTAGTGCCTAGGCCATGAGGGAGGGCGGATTCCCAAATCTCCTGCGGTGCTTGAGGTCGTTCTTTCCTGGCGCGTTTTAAAGGAGGAGTCTGCTTGGTCTGCAAATCGGTGCTTGCTGGGCGCTTTTTGCCTTGGTCCTGTGCATGATGCCTTAGAAGAGATTCACTCTGCAGGTTTTCTTCGGTGTTGCCCTGAGGCTCAGAGGCACTCTTTGCTGCGCGCCTTGCAGCAGCCCGAGTCTGCATGTTGTCTCTTTGTTGTGCCAATGTGAAAATTGAGTTAACTAGACCTGAAGCTTGAAATCCAGCAAGCGCAGCTGATTGTCTTAGAGGGAAGAAAGGAGATAGGGGGTCTCCTGCATGTGAAAAAAGCCTGGTGTTTTTGAACTTGAAAGAATTGAAGATCTAAAAGATGGATATGTAAGTCAAATGAGAGTGAGAAGCTTAGAGATGCGATTTGATTGACGTGAAGTGCCAGGGGTGGGGCAATGAGTATGGGAGGAAAGAACGAGGACCGCTTGCAGATGATGAGAGGAAGGAGATCGCACCTGTGGACCCCCGCTGATCGTCGCACCTGCGCTCACAGGGTCAAATTGCCCAGGCGGTTCTAATGAAGAGTTGTGTAAGTCGGTGTTGATTATCTGAAGTCAGCCCCTATCTAAGGATGTCATAAGTTAGTTGTTTTAGCATAATGGGTTGAGAAAAAGACTTACTTGGACTCCCAGGTTGGTAGGAGTTACTCCCAGTAGCCCCTGAAGTGATTTTGACTAAGTGCTTCTTTTCTTCCTTCAGAACTTATCTTCTAATAGCAGAAGAAAGCAAAAACTCCTGAACTTAATATGGTGTGTTGAAAGACTGGAATCTTTTCCTGATAAGCCTTAGACTTATGACTTGAGGGCCATCTGAAATTTGAGATTTGAGATGAGAGTGATGAATGTGTTGGCGCTGCTATGAGTTTAAAGATTGTAGCTTGTTGATGTTGATAGCACTGATAGGAATTGTGCACTCCTCCAGCTGATGAAGGGGTGATGGATGGAGGCCTAGACGCCTCCTTTGGTAGGTACCTTATGGAAGTTAACTTGAGAAGTTATGAGGGATCTACTACCTCCTTTTGTCCAGTTTAGGGGTTCTGAAATGTGAAATATGCTTCCGTTACTTAGAGGGCACCAACCTCCAACAAGGTACCTAGGTAAAGGAGTGCTGCAGCCTTTCAGTGTTGTGAGATGATTAAAGGTGAAGTCTTGTTCAGAAAAGGACTCCACAAGACGATTTGGGTTATTTTGAAGCGGCTAATCGTCCAGGACGCATGCCTTCCACGATATCTATCGTTCCTTCCTTTTTTGAAGATCCCCGGGACCGTCTGCCCCCACACAGCCTTAGCCCCGTCGTCCACCCACCCACCCTCCCACCCTCCCACTCTTCCACCTCAGTCACACTTCAACCAACACAACCAAACCCACCCAGGATCTAGGGTATCGTCTCCCAGGCTTCCAGTTCTTGTTTCCTTCCACCCTGCCCCTTCTCTTCCCTCTTCATTGGAAGCCCTCGAACTTCTCTCCTTCCCTCCTTCCGTCTGTCATAATACTTTGCTTTCCAACCTGCCCTACTTTTGGTTTTGGGCAATACGTCGACATATCAACAGACTTGGAACCCGCTGACGGGAATCTTCAGCCTGCTCTCTCGCTTCGTCTTCAATTGTCTGGATCGCCTCATTATTTTTATCCCTTTCTGATCTCGAGGGTAAGTCGTTCCTTCCTGCTTTGGCAACAGCGGCCTGACTTGATTCCCGAGCAGTCGCTAGGATGGAAGGGGAACGGGCCGGAGCAAGCCCCCAGGACGCAATAGTCATTGATTACGACGATGCTGTATCCTCTGACAGAGATCGAGAAGTGATCGACCTGGAGCGACGTGTTCAGGATTATCGTCCCCACAGAAACCGCTCGCTCGCGTCGCAAACAAGCGAAGGCATCGATGAAGAGAAGGATGACGACCTCGCGAGTGCGGCCTTAGCCGATTTTGTCGATCTCACAGTAGATGACGAGCCGGTTTTCATCAGAGAGTCGTCGCGGCGCAGGTACCAGGCACCACGGGTACAAGAGCGGTTTCACAGCGAGATCACAAAGGGCCGCGGAGGTGTCCACGTACAGAGAATCAAGATCGACAGGGTGTACGAGCTAGATCCCGAGCAAGTTCCCAACTCAGCTTTCGGCATAGAGTTCATCCTAGTCAACGAGATTGCAGAAAACAACCAGACAGGAGAGTTCACAGTTCGCGGCCTCCCACTCTGCCGTTCTCGCACGCAGATGGGAAAGTTGCCTCGAAAGCTCAATGAGGTCTTTCTGCTCTATGAACTCGACGAGAACGATGATAGACCTGCGCAGATACAGGGAAGAGTTGAAGTTCCCTGCGCCGCCATCATTCGCCCTCGGTCTCTCAACATGACCAACGCGCCATACCCATTTCACCGGTACGACCCTCGAATTTTCGGTAATCTTGATGCAATCAAGACTGAGGGCCCACTGGTGTGCCGCTGGAGTTTCTTTGTTCACTATCGGAATGCAAGACAGAAGATTCTGGGCAAAGCGCATCATTGGACGCTGGAACGCGTTCGAGCAGACGATGTGAAGAAGGAGAACTTGCGGGTTGAAGAGGAAATCTTGAGATCGGACTGGCGAGGTGAGGTGGTCCTTGGGGGCTCTTATAACCCTGGTTCCCAGGCCTTGACTCCCAGCTCTATGAATATCCAGCGCTACACGGTTTTCGATTCTTTCTCCGGCGCTGGAGGGTTTTCGCGCGGAGCTGAGCGAGCAGGCTTACACATACAATATGCGGCCGATCACTGGGACAAGGCAGCTAACAGCTATCGACTCAATTTTCCTGAAACCTTGCTCTTCCAGCAATCAATCGATGAATTCCTGCTCAGTTACAACGACGTACCCATGCGCACCGACCTTCTGCATCTAAGCCCGCCGTGTCAGACCTGGTCTCCAGCTCACACGATCCCAGGGCAGAACGACGAGGCGAATATCGCCGCTTTGTTTGCGTGTCGAAGTCTCGTGGAGAAGTTGAGGCCGCGAATCTTCACGCTGGAACAGACCTTTGGCATCCTGCAGAGTTCTCACGACCCCTTCTTCTGCTCCCTCGTCGGCGGATTCACTGAATTCGGCTATTCGGTAACCTGGAAGATCGTTCATCTCCAGACCTGGGGCTTGCCTCAGACCCGCAAGCGACTTATCATGATCGGAGCTTGCCCTGGAGAGAAGCTGCCGCCGTTCCCTACTGCAACACATTCCGAAACGGGGGCCGGTGGCCTCAAGAAATATGTCACCATCAGACAAGCCTTGAGCAAAATCGATCACAGCTCAACATTCCACAATCCTGACGAAGAACTGAATAACAGCCCTCCCCCATCTGGCTCTGTCGTCAGCAACCCCGATGAGATTCTGCGGCGGTGTGTCACCTGTTCCGGCGGGCAGAACAGGCATTACAGCAACACTCGGGCGTACACCGTCCGCGAGTTCGCAAGTCTTCAGGGTTTTCCCGTCTGGCACCAGTTTGCGCCTGCATCCAAAGCCGTGTTGAAAAAGCAGATTGGCAACGCATTCCCCGCTTGCGTCGTCCGTCTCCTGTGCGAGCATCTCAAGAACTGGCTCTTGGAAGTCGACGGCCTTGCGCCTCAAAGAGCTGCAAGAGCGAGCGTTGGCGGACGCGAGCTGGTGTTCATTTCAGAAGGACCTCGTTCGGCGGAGGCTGTGCGACCTCTCATCATGCCCTCATTGGAGATTGATATCGACGGTGGTGGCTCATCTGACAATGCCATCACCGTCATCGACGAAGACGACCAAGTGGAGATAAAATTTGACTTTGGCCCCGACCTCGACATGGCGATGGAAGATCTTCCTGCCTATCCCGACTCTCCAAGATCTGCGACCATGTCACTCCCTAGCTCCCCGGAGCCACCCCAGGCAGGCTGCGTTCAAGATTTACCGATTATGATTATCGACTGATTGGACATGATGGCTTTGAAGGATACCGACACGCTGCCACTTTAAGTGGTGAATATTTGCTCACTCTTGTTACGACATTTGCTTTGAAGAAACAGGCTTGTCAATGGCTCTCTCGATCGAGAAGAGAATTGGAGGAATGACAGGCCGAAGATTACGGAACGGAGGAATTGCAAAGAAGTAACGAGATATCGCATTGTTGTCTTAGACATTATGTTCGCTTTGGCTTGGCCCATATCTAGATAGGCTTCTATGATCGTAATACACTCTGATCGATCCACGAGATGAATCCCGGCTTTCCGTCCTCCGTCTGGAACACGTCAACGGGATCCCTGTACGGTTCGACATCTGTCTCGTTGAGCACGACAGTGACGCCGCCGGCAGCCATCTGGTCAGGCGTCCAGCCAGGGCCGCTGTCGTTGTACACGGCCATGAAGGTGACGTTGTTCGTGCGCGGGTCAGTGGTCCCCCATGGGATGTAACCCTCAGGCTTGATGCTCGCGTCGAAGTAGGACTCCATGAAGATGGAGCGGTGCTGCGCGTTCCAGGGGCGGCCGAGGGGGCAGGCTCCCTTGATGACCGGTGCGATGGATGAGTTGGCGGCGATGGCCTGAGAGTCGGAAATGTAAACTCCGTACTTGTTCTCAAAGGTGGTGTTTGTTCCTGCTCATGGTAAGTAAAGGAACGCAATACGATTCAGAAAAGAGGCTGACCCTTCCAGGCAGTAATACCGCCGCCGCAGTTTCGCAAAGACAGAGTCGACTTCTTGATGTACGCCGTGCCGAACCCGTACAAGAAGTCGGTCTGGCCGGCAATGACGTTGTCGTAAAAGTACGCGTTGCCCAGCTTACCAACGTACAGCGTGTCCTGGTAGCTGTACAGCCCGCACGAGTAGAAACCCGCGTTGGCCCTGCTCACGCCGACAGCGTGCGCGGGACCGTTGGACCTCGGGAACTCGTCGTTCCTGAAGTCGATGTTGTACGCGCGGAAGTCGGAGCACCCGAACGGGGTGTCCGCGGGCACGGGGAAGCCGGTGGGCCCGGATCCCGTGAGCGTGGCGTTCAGGTTCGGGCCGACGGTCAGCACGCTGGTGTAGACGTTGTCCGGGAAGACGGCGTCGTGGTTGGCGGCGTTCCACCAGACCTGGACCTCGTTGTGGTTGGAGGCCGTCGTGTTGAGGGAGACGTCGGCGTAGAGGCGGTCCGAGGCGGGCCGGTCCGTCATGCCCAGGAGCGTGAGCGGCCCCTGGCGGGTGACGTTGAGCTGCTCGGTGTAGTTCCCCGGGGCGATGAGGATGGTATAGGCGTCCGTGTTGTTGGGGAGCGAGGCGATGGCGGCCTGGATGGTGGTGAAGTTGGCCTTGGCGGAGGCCTTGCTCACGAAGAGGGTGCCGGGAGGGCAGCCCTCGAGGGGGTCGCACGTCTTCTTCTGGCAGTCCGCGTATGTCTTTGCTGGACCGCTAGGGATAGCTGCCGCCGCCGAGGCGACGTATGCCAAGGGGAGCAGGACGGAGAGAGACGCGGAGCTCTTCATGGCGGACTACACACACTTGAGACTCGGCCGAGGTGGAAAGGGGTGTTGGGTGGCATCCAGAATAACACGCTGGGACCCAGAGATCTGGGTGATACTATATATCCTCATCACTCTCCTTTCTCTATATTAACCGGACGTGCTTCATTAGCTGCCAGCTTTTCCGGCTGCCCATGTCCGGATAGCTTCTCCCAGCCGCAATTACGACGGTAAGAACGGCACCCCCAACTAATTGGTGAAGTTGCAGATCGACAACGACAGGGTCGACGCGGGGTAGACGGGGATAATACCCCAGATAACATGGTCTGGACATGGCCAACACATGTGCTGCTGTCGAGGGCTTCAGCCGGCACATGGATAAAAAAGAAGGAGGAAAAGGAGGAGGTTGATCGAGCTCGTTACCCCAACTTTGGGGCTCTGCAGATGGGAACAAATTTCAGCGACGGTTTGGAGATGTTCCACGAACCACATCGCGAGCCGAACGAGACCCCCGGTCGAGCCGGCAGACGGCGATATGCCGCTAACGATGACCGAGTATGCGGGGGAGGAGCACGTCGGTGATGGTGTACTCCGTGTATTGGTAGGGTAAGGCACTCCATGGCGGCCCATGATGCGGCTGTTCGGTGAAGAAGAGACGGAATTCAAGCAACAAACCAAGCATTCGGAAACGCGGCAAAGCATCAAGCCAACCGGCTTGGCTCATTCATTTGCTTCCCCCCACATCGGGCTCCGTGGGGTATCCCAGCGGTTCAATTCCCTCCTGCGTTGGCCCTTAATTAGCGCTTGGAATTGGTGGCCAGTCAAAAGGCCCGTCTCCGAACAAATTTGCGGGCACTTTCCCCGTGGTTCAACATCCAACATCCACACTTCGTCCCAACTTTGTGAACTTCACAGAATCACAGAAACTTCCCTTGCTGAGGACCCCCTGACACCCAGGCCGGGCCTCCATGTCCAGATTCGCCTCAACCTCATCAGACTCTCGCCAGATTTGGCATTGCCCGGAAACTGCGGAAATCACCGCACCAATCACCGCGGGCATGTCCCTGGCATCACCAAACGAACCACAAAAGCTTGTTGGTTGTTTTCTCCACCGAGATGGATGGGACGAATCGTTCGTTCCCCTCGGGTCCCCTTCTCTTCCTGAAGGCCTTCGTAGCTTGACCTATCTCGTCCCTGCCTCGTCCTTCGTTGGACGGAAAAATCACACCCATGCCATGTGCTGCCCCTGCTAGACTCTCTCGTAGTTTGCAGAGTAATGCGTCAACTACAGTAGCCAACCCCTATCTCGGTGTCATCCAATGTGGACTCCCCGCGATATGTTGCCGTGCCGAGAACAGGAGCTTTCTTGGGAGAAATAGCATTCTGATATAAATCCTGCGTCCTCGTTGGAGGCAATTGACCAACCCAGAGTCGACACCTCGCATCGCTTGGCATCGCTTGGCACATACGGTCGCTCCCGAACATCATCATCACCATGGTTGCTCCCACCCTCCTCAGCGGCCTCGTCGCCGCCGCCGCCCTGGCGCCCCTCGCACACGCTGCCGATGCCGTCCCGAAGCGCCCAGAGCTCAAGGCCGCGCCGTTCAGCCCCGGTCGCGCGTTCCCGGTGTCCGCCGCGAGGACGAAGTCGTGCGCCGTGAAGCCTCTTGGCAACGGCACCGACGACAGCGCCAACATCCTCAAGGCCTTCAAGGACTGCAACAACGGTGGCACCGTCGTCCTCGACCAGACCTACAACGTCTGCAACCCCCTGGACCTCACCTTCTTGGAGAGCGTCGATGTCGCTCTCACTGGTACCGTTGGGTTCTGTGATGACATCGACCACTGGCTCCCGCGGACTTTCAAGTACGCTTTCCAGGGCTCAAGTGCTAGTTCGTATTCTCCGAACCCACCGATTGGGGAATCAAGCTAACTAACTGCTCAGTGTGGGTGTTTGGCGGCAAGGATGTGAACATCTACGGCAACGGTGTTGGTACGCTCCAAGGAAACGGCCAGAAATGGTACGACCGGTTCGCGGACAACGCCACCCTTGAGAGGCCCATCATGTTCGTCACCGACGGCCTGAACGGCGGCTCGGTCACCGGTCTGAAGATGGTCAACTCTCCTATGGTCAGTTCCTATTGAAGCTGCAGCAAGCACATCTTGCTTCAGAACTCGAACTAATGTTGAGCAGTGGTTCAACCTGATCGCCAACAGCACCGACGTGCTCATCTCCGACATCGACATCAAGGTCGGCTCGACCTCGTCCAACCCCGCCAAGAACACCGACGGCTGGGACACCTACCGCTCCGACGGCATCGTCATCCAGAACTCCAACATCAACAACGGCGACGACTGCGTCTCCTTCAAGCCCAACTCCACCAACATCGTCATCCAGAACCTCGTCTGCAACGGCTCCCACGGCATCTCCGTCGGCTCCCTCGGCCAGTACGTCGGCACCTTCGACATCGTCGAGAACCTGTACATCTACAACACCACCATGTCCAACGCCTCGGACGGCGCCCGCATCAAGGTCTGGCCCGGCATCAACACCCCCTTCCAGCCTTCCCTCTCCGGCGGCGGCGGCTCCGGATACGTCAAGAACGTCACCTACGACACCTTCCACCACAACAACAACGACAACGCCATCACCATCGATCAGTGCTACGGTCAGAAGAACCAGACCATCTGCAACCAGTACCCCGTGAGTTTGTCCTTGACGGTTTGTGAGAGATGGAGATGTGGGCTAACGGCTGTAATCAGTCCAACATGACCATCAGCGACATTTACTTCAAGAACCACGATGGCACCGCCTCCAAGAAGTACGACCCTCGCGTCGGCACCCTGGTCTGCAGCAGCACGGAGGTAAGCTATCCATGACTCCGTCACCGTGACAGGCATACTCATAAATATCTAGAAATGCACCAACATCAACGCCGACAACGTCGACGTCAAGACCCCGAGCGGCAAGACGGCCCAGTGGCTGTGCACCAACCTCGATCTGCCCAACGTCAACTGCGTGAGCGCGGTGACCAAGAGCTAAAAAGCCAGTGTTGCTCGTTGACGGATGCTTTTAATTTCACGTACATACCGAGAAACTGTGTTGCCACATGAGGCTTTCTCTTCAACCCTCTGGGCGGGTTCGATAAGAAACATGACACGAGTTTCTTTTTGCCCACGCCTCGTGCACCTTTCCAAAATCTCATTTGTACATACTTAGACTTATAGATGTACATTAGAAGGGCTCTGAATTATACCAACCATCTTAGAATCACTCTACGCTACGTTCTGTGTCCAAAATTCTACAATCAAGCCGACGGCGGAACCACTGGAGGCTTGTCGAACCTCCAGACCGCCATATCCCTCTTCTCGTCGAACCGCCACACCTTCACGCTCTTCTCGCAGATCGTCACGACCTTCCCACCGCACTTCTCCGACACCCTCATGCTGCCTCGATTCTCCGCATCCACCTGCGCGATGAGATGCGTGATTTCGATGTCTTCGTCGTCGTCAGCAACACCCTCCTCCTGTTTACGAGCTGCATAAACCTCTCTCCTCGGCGCCCGGCGCGGCTGACTCCAGAACTCGTCCAATAACATCTGGACCGCGCGCGTGGCGTACCCCTTGCCCCAGCAATCGGAGCGCAGCTTGTAACCGATGGAAAGACCCCAGTGCGAAGCCCGGACCGTCTTGACGATACCGACCATCTTGGTGCCGTCGCTGTTGGGCGATGGGTAGTTCGAGGACATGACGGCGCGGTTGATGAACCACGGTTTGTTCGCGGTGTGCATGAAGGCCTTCTCCATGAGGGCTTTTGAGCTCTCGAAGCTATCGGTATGGCGCAGGGTGCTGCGAGAGAGGCGTCTGAGTTTGAGAATATTACACAAGACTATGTTGTTTTAATTTACCTCCATTGGGCTGCTTGCTCGTCGGCGCATATTTCGTGGAAGTCTTGCATGTGCTTCTCTGGCGTGAGGGGCTCCAGCCAGAGATCTGGGTTGTCTGGTTTCGATCCCATTGTCGATGGTTAACACGAGATATAATACCCAAGGACCAAGTTGTATGAGGCGAACTGTCGCTGGCCCCACGGCTTCTGGTTATTGCTGCTAGTTAAAGTCCGAAAGTAGAGATGTAGAAGTAATTCGGATAGTATAAAAACAATAAGAGGACAACAGCGTTGAGATCGGAACTAGCATTAGGTATGGAACGGTATTTGTGAGTCAGAGTTGGCTCTAACCACTTGAACCCCGAAAGTCGCAACGGTCGAAAGTCCCCCTAGTCTAGTGGCCGTGAGAAGGAACGCTTGGAGATGGAACCTCTTGACCGAGAGTTGCGGAACAATTGGAAAAGGCTATAAGGATGGAAAGAGTACAGAAAGTCGAGATGTTCCAAACCTCTCAACAATTGTGAAATCCACTTGGTATAGAGAAATGTGAGAGTTCAATGTTGGATACATTGAAACTCAAGTTGGTAGATGTCTGCCATCCCCGGAACCGCCCCTCGACGCCCCTCTATTTCCGCGACCCACCCTGGGGTAATCCTAAAATCTTCGATAAGATAAGACTTTTTTGTCTCCAAACTTCACTCACGAGAGTCACGACGCGACGACGCTTTTCCTGCAACGCATTGCCATTGCACACACGCCATGACCCGCGATGTCGGCCGCAGGTTCTAACTCGAGACCCCTGAAGTCCGCCTTCGCAAACAAGCGGAAACAGGGACCACCAGGCGACAATGGAGGCGGCAACGGCGGCGGCGGCGGCGGCGGTTGGGCGCAGAAGCGCGTCAAGATCCGCCAGGACAGAGAAATCGCCGCCCAGCAGTCCGACGCGGCCCTGAAGGACGGCGAGCTGGACCTCCAGGCCTTCCTCAACGCGCGTGAGTTCGAGATCAAGGCCCTCGAGGAGAGCATGCGGCACACCAAGGGCGAGGCTACGAGCCGCGCCTTCCAGCAGGTGCCCCGCGGCATGCGACGGCGCACGGCGAGCCACAACGCCAAGAGGGTGCCCAAGAGGCTGCGGCGGAGGGCGCTCAAGGAGATGACGGAGGATAACACCCCCGTCGTGGTCCCGAGGCGCAGGAAGCCCAAGACGACGAGGGCGAGGATCCGCGCGGAGACGGCCAAGAGGTTGGGGATCCTGGCGGCGAGGAAGAGGGCGAAGCAGCTCAAGGCGGCGAAGGAGAAGAACAAGGAGGGCGGCGCGGCGGCGGCGGCGGCGGACGGATCGAGTGCGGGGAGGGTCACGGTCACGACGAGGGCGCCGAGGCCCAAAATACGGCGGAACCAGCTCAACGAACCCCCGAAGCGGAAATCGAAGTTCAAGAAGCGCCAGATCAACAAGACGTGGCTGCCGACGCACCTGTGGCATGCGAAGCGGGCGAGGATGACCGAGCCGAAGAGCCCCCTGTGGCGGTTTGCGGTGCCCCTGACGCCGAACGAGAAGACATATCGAGCGACGCATCGCGCACAGGGAGAGAAGGGCGCCGTGGTATGGGATACCAGTTACATGAGCACTATTGGGCTGTATGGCTCTGCCAAGGGCGTAGAACAGGTGCTGCGAAAGCTTGGTGTGAGCCAGGAAAGCTGCTGGAACGACAGGGGAGCGAGGTGGAGGGCTGGGACTCGGCACTGGACTGGGTTTTTGAGCAGAGAGACCAGACACGCAACGCGGGATATCTGTCCAGCTACTATTCTCTGGAATCCCGAGCCTACGTCAGAAACCGAAAACGCGCAGCCGAGAAAGACACAGAGACAGGTGTTCCTCAGAGTCCACCCATCCGCCTTCCTTGAGGTCTTCAACGAGCTTCTGCGTCTTGTCAAGATGCAGACCCCCAGACCGTACATCGAGGATCTGCGCTTTGAGATCGGCAGCATCGAGCTCACCGGAGCAGCTTCAACAGAGACGCTCCTGGGTATCCTGCATCCCCACCATGCCAAGGAGCAGTCCAAGGAGCAGCACGCCGAAATTTTCGGAGGACTTACCAGCTTGATGAGTCCAGCAACGCTCCCGGTGAATGCCACCCTTGGGTTTTCTATAATGGACCCCCGTCTTCGATATCCTCCAAAGAAGGTCACCGCACCGGACCCGGATGATCAGACGGCACAAAACAAGTCTCTCGAATTGCTAGCGAAGTGGCCCGCAGAAGTCCACTTGAAACCCTACGGGCTTTTCAATAGGGACTCCAGGGCTTCGGCGACTCAGCTGCCGTCTCAAAAATCAATAGACAGAAGGAAAGGAGCAAGACGCCCAGGGACGGTGCTCGAAGCCTCAGACGCCGACCCGCCCATCCCGATTCTCCTGCTGGCTTCGCGCGGGGGCACTGATGCCCAAGTCCAAGGTAACTGGACACTACTTGCGCCGTGGAGGTGCATTCAGCCGATCTGGCACAGCCTTGTTCACTTTCCCTTGTCATCCGGCGGCAACCCTCGATTCTCGGGTTTGAATGAGATCAGACAGGTTGCGTTCGAGCGGAACCTGGCTTGCTTCCCTTTCGACTTCCCCGGCACCAATGCTGGTGCAGAATGGGAGCTCGAGGAGCGCGCCAAGCGGAAACGTGACTGGGAACGCCGGCCGAAGAGCAAGCGAGTCGCCTGGGAGTCGCTTGATCTCGGAGCCGGGCGTAAAGGAGAGGTGGGAGACGGCTTCGCCTGCGATCTCGAGTTCTTGTTCCGAGAAAAGACAAAGAATCAAGCGCCGCCATCGTCAGACGAGATGGACGTGGATAAACCAACCCGCGAGACAGAGCCTCCCGTAACCGCCTCGCATGGAGAAGCGCTCAAGACACTCCACCAAGTCCGAAAGGATTCTTTCAAGCAACACACCTCATCACCCGCCTCCTCACTCTTACCCACGAGATCCATCATCAACGCGAAAATCACCCTTCTCAGCCGCGGCGTAGCAACATCCTGCGCCAGAATCTACCGCCTCCCCGCACGCCCGGAACCCGTCCCGCCAGCCTCGTCGGCCGAGGTCCCCGCAACGGCCCCGCCCCCGCCAAAGTCCATCAACGGCCTGCCCGCCGACCTGCGCAGCCAGTGGCTCGCGACCCTCCCCTCCGCGCCGGCAACAACACACTCCAAGAACAACCACCATCACAAGCACCAGCGCCTGCCCCTGCCCCCGAACGCGGACATGAAGGCCCGCAAGAAGCACGTGGCCCAGATCCTCGTCAGCGCGCCGCCGCCGTCCGCGATGCCGCCGACCAAGCCGAACCAGACGGACATGAACGGGCACCCCCTCGTGCCGAACGAGGAGGACCTGATCGGGTTCGTCACGACCGGCGCCTTCTCCCTCAGCGAGGGCCGGGCGACGGCGATCGGGTGCCTGGCCGCGGAGAAGGCCGCGGAAGCGCTGCGGACGGGGGGCAAGAGGGAGGGCGGCTTGTGCGTTGTGCGGAACGCCGGGGAGAGCGTTGGTTGGATCGCGCGGTGGGAGGTGTTGTGAAGAGCTCTCTGTAACTATGTTGGTCGTTGATCGTGGCCGCAGGCGCGGGGGCCGCGCGATCTGCCCCTGCAGCCGAGATCTGCGCGCATCCCGCTGCACCTGTGAGGCGGTGACGTAGGGGCGCGCGATGTCTACTTTTGAGGTGTGCAGCTGGGGATTGAGATCGCGAGATGTCATTGCAGAGGTGAGGGAGGGAGGTAGTGATGAAGTAGAGAGGAGTGGGAAAATACCCATAAAATCAATGTTCAAAGTTTAACTAAACCGGCAACTTCTTGCCCATCATCGTCTTGTAGGTCGAAATCGTCACCACTGTCGACCTCTGGCGTCAAGGTTCCATATCGTATTAGTCACAGGCGGATGGCCTCGACTTTCTGTCACCTAGCAGCGAAGAGGAGCACCGGCACACCAACGGGGCATCGGCCGTCATCGACGAAATATTGCAATGTGTGGCAATAGATTAGACTGGACGCAAGAATGTCTCCTTTTTGCGAGGACTCAATGAGAAGAAATCCATAGATATTCAATTGTAGACAAAAACTGGCAATCCGTCTTGACAACTGCGCATCTGACTGTGAGATATCCTGCCTGGTGGTATACCGTTCTGCGTCGTGGGCTTTTGGCTCGATATCAAGAGACCGCCCGCAGATAAATCAAACAAAACTCCTTTTTATACCTCCGAGAAAACGCCGTCATTATATCCCACCCAGAGACATATCGCTCTTTCAATGCTGGTACTGTTTTGCAACGTGACAACTCAACGTTCTCCTTAATCCTCTTCACTGACCTCACTCTCTTCGGCATCGCCGCTGTTCGCGGCCTCCAGTTCCTTCTCCAGCTCAGCCTCCAGATCGTCTTCCAGAGCGTCCTCGAAGTCTGGTTCCGAGTCCATGTCCATCTGATCTGCGTCCGGCTCGGCTTCTTCCTGGTGCCGTTGCTGATTGTTGACGGGGCTGGGGAGATTGAAGTCGAAAGGCACCTCGTCGGGGTCCGACTCGCCGTCGGCGTCGTCGGCCTCGGAGTCCCGCAAGAAGTCGGAGAAGCGCCGGATGTTGATGCCCTGGGAGGGAAACGCGGGGGAGAAGTCCGTCTTCTTGTTCTTGTTCTCGTCTGGGTACTCTATCGTCAGGCCAAAGTCGTCGTCATCGTCGTCGTCCTCCTCGTCGGAGCCCGCCGCGACCTTACGCGGCTTCTCCTTCTTCGGCGGCGGTACCGCTGCTGGTTTCGGGGGCGGAGGAGGCGCGTCATTGGTCGGGAGCGCGAGCTGGATGCTGACGGGTTCCTTCTTCTTCTGTTGCGCGCGCGGCTTGGGGGCCGCTTTGGGCTTGGCAGCGGCGGCCGCCTTGCCTTTGGGCTTCGCGGGGGACTTGTCCGTCGCTGAAGAGGACGGCGGTAGTTTGGCCGGGGTCGCGGTGATGGAGGTGTCGAGCTGCTCGAACTGCTGGCGCAGGGTCTCGGGGTTGTCTGTGGACGGTGTGCGGGTGAGGTTCATGTGAAATGTCGAATCGACCTTATCGAGGATGAAGGCCTTGCGGGCTGGGTCGAAGTATAGAACATATTGGTTATCGTCCGTCGTGCGCGTGCCGGCGTAGGCGTAGGTGCCGCCGTTGCCATCTGGTACGGACAGGTCGAAGTTGGACTTGCTGCCGGGGATCTCGGGTTTTAACCTGGCGGTCGCTGGCTCTGTAGGAAGATCGGGCTTGTGGTTGTCTGTTGATCGTCGCATTATTCCGTTAGCCTCCGTACCGAACGTCGCGAAAGGGGAGAGGAAGGAAACATCGAGATGGGTTTGGGGGTCACGTACATCTAACGGCTGTAAACACGTCCTTCTGGGTGCGGCCCAGCAGGGTATCGCTCAGGATTACAGGATATTTTCCCGTCTTGGTCGGGTCGATGAGGCCATTCCCGGCCTTGGGGAGGGCCTTCTCCCTGTGGTTTGGGCGAAGAGCCATCGCGTATCCTGTGGCGTCTGTCGCGGGAGATTCAATTCGATTCGTGAGGTGATGAGAGAGGAGACGAGTCGGGAGGCCGACGATCGTACTGGGAAGTGGGGAGATGGAGCCTTCTTTAGATAGGCATGCAGTGGAAGCGGGCTAGGGGCCTCTGCTTCCGCTAAAGTCGCCTGCGAACTTTAGATTGTTCCGTGCTGTCGCGGGCGGAGTGGCCGAGACCGCAGGTGGGTTGCACCGCTAAGGCAGGTCGAGCAGGGGTCTTGGCGGGAGGGAGAGTCAAGAAACGGATGCCAGAGGATGGTAAACAAAATGATTCGAGATGCGATTTTGGGACTGGCGAAGATTGAGTCGTGCAGTTGTTAAGGTTGGTTGAAATTTTTCTGATGTGTTGAAGACGAAAAGAGGTTTGATCTGACAGTGCCCGTAGAAAGAGAAGGCCGACAATCACTGGCCTATTTTTGGTGAATGTGTACCGCCTCATTTTGCCGCCAGTGACCGTGAGACCGGCTGACGCTTGAGCGTCTTAATCAGCGACAACGACGAGCACGAGTTGCTAGAGGTGTCTAAGCCTCGTTGTCGTCCCATGGCCCAGAGACTTCATTTCTCCAGATAAAATGTCATCTGATACTCAGGTAAGTAATAAGAGCGCTCAAAGTGACGTCGGAGCTCTTACCTGAGGTACCATTTGGGAGGCTTGTGATTAGGTTCAAGACATCATGTAAACCATTACTTTTTCTACGAAACAATATGTTCGATTGAACATTAGCAGTTGCAAAAGGCCGTATTGGTGTTGTTGTCACAACATTATTGCCGTTTCGGTAACAGTTTTCGCTGGAACAATAAGACCAATCAATACCACTAAGCGAAAACAAAAGCCATTGGAAGTTTTGCATGAGTTGTGTCGAATATGTAGCAAGGAAGGCCTAGATATCGACACGGCCGCCGATAACTGACCCAACGGCTTGCTGCATCTATATCCGATATCTCGCTAGCATAGAGACAAAGGACAGTCGACTGGCCAGCTAACAAGCAGTTCTTCACGGGTAGAGCCCGCCTAACCGCAAATTACAACTGTCGCAACGGCGTTTTTGGCGTAAGTTGACTCCCATCTACCTTGCTTACCTAATGAAGATGGAGAGATAAGATTGAATTGATGCTTATCTAACGGCCGCCGCTAGCCGAGGCGGACGCCGGGTTTTACTCGGACCAGAGCTCAGGAGCACTCAAGGTGCTGGCCAGGGATCTCAGCAGGACATGGCTCCCCACATTCCTCCCCAACATCGCCCAAGCTTCCCCGCCCGTGGCCCCAGCCCAGGGAGGAGAAGCACCCATCGCTGTGCAGTGAAAACCGCCCGCAATCGCAGAGAGCTCCTCAGTGTCATCATGGCCCGCCAGGGGTAAGCGCAGACAACCTCGGATCAAGCTGTCACACAAGCTTCGGCAGAGAGCGGCAAACCGTTTCCCCTTCCACCTGAGCGAGCCAATCCAGCCAGAGACACAGCTGTACGGAAACCCTCCCGTGGAAAAATATATCTCTTATTTCTTCTCCCTGAAAAGCTTCCTCCCACATATTCTGCCATACTCGTGACCTCCATTGAGAGAGAGCTTTGAGAGACTGATTGTTGATACCCCTCCTCTGCGGTATCTCGGCTTCTTTTATCTCACCTCCCAATCAATTGACCTGCATACACCACTCCAGGCTCGCGGTCATGTCGGCGGCTGTCAACCGAGGTCTCAGGACTGCCTCCCAATCGCTGCGTCTCCAATCGCGAAGCGTCCGTCTGGCTACTCCTCTCCGCGCCGGCCTCGCCTCCACTAAGTTTGCCGCCTCTTCCACGACTCGTCCCGCCCCTCAACACTCCCACAACTTTTCAACTGCATCCGCGAGACTGAGCGCTGCACCAGCCATGGCCGAGGCACGAGAGTATGATCCTGAGATCAAGGACATCGCAAACTACGTCCAGAACTACAACGTCGATTCCGACCTTGCTGTGAGTACCCGTCTCTTGTCCTCCCACTTTAATTCCCGACGGCCTTTGAGCGACCCGCCAACGCCAGCTTTACCCCGCGTCTCAACCAGATCTCCGCCGCTAACCGCCATTCTCGCGAGAACAGTTCGACACAGCACGATGGGTTTTCCTCGACACTCTCGGTTGCGGTCTTGAGGGACTGCGCTTCAAGGAGTGCGCCAAGCTGCTGGGACCTATCGTCCCCGGCACCGTCGTGCCCAATGGCCCCAAGGTCCCCGGTACCGACTTCCAGCTGGACCCCGTCAACGCTGCCTTCAACATCGGTGCCATGATCCGCTGGCTCGACTACAATGACTGCTGGCTCGCTGCTGAGTGGGGTCACCCTTCAGACAACCTTGGCGCCATTCTCGCCGTCGCCGACTGGATCACGCGTACCAACAAGGCCGGCGGTAACCTTGCTGGCGGCAAGCAGTTCACCATTCGCGATGTTCTCGAGGGCATGATCAAGGCCCACGAGATTCAGGGGTGTCTGGCTCTCCTGAACTCTTACAACAGGGTTGGTTTGGACCACGTCGTCCTTGTTAAGGTTGCCAGCACTGCGGTCGTATCCAAGATGCTCGGCCTCAACGAGAAGCAGATCGCCGATGCCGTTACCCAGGCCTGGGTTGACGGCCAGAGCTTGAGAACTTACCGCCACTCCCCCAACACCATGTCCCGCAAGTCCTGGGCTGCCGGAGATGCTTGCCAGCGTGCTGTCAACTTGGCTCTCAAGGTATTGAAGGGCGAGCAGGGTGTCCCCACTGTCCTCTCTGCACCTGTTTGGGGTTTCTACGACGTTCTCTTCAAGGGCAAGAAGTTTGAGTTCCAGCGCCCCTATGGCAGCTACGTTATGGAGAACGTTCTCTTCAAGGTCTCCTACCCTGGTAAGCTTCACCAACTCTGACCAGAGACGGGCACAACTGATTGTGAAAAAGCCGAGTTCCACTCCCAGACTGCCGTCGAGGCTTCGTCCAAGATTCACCAGCAGCTCAAGTCCATGGGCAAGTCTGCTGCTGACATCAAGGGCGTCACCTGCCGCACACACGAGGCCTGCATTCGCATTATCGACAAGCAGTTCAAGCCCATGGACAACTTCGCCGATCGTGACCACTGCATCCAGTACATGGCCTCCGTCATGCTCGTCTTCGGCCGTCTCGAGGCTACCGACTACGTCGACGGCAGCGAGGCTGCGACGTCTCCCCTCGTCGAGTCTCTGCGCCAGAAGATCAAGTGTGTGGAGGACCCGCAGTTCACCAAGGACTACCACGACCCCGCCCTCCGAACCATCTCCAACGCATTGACGGTCGAGTTGAACGACGGCACCGTGCTCGAGGAGGTCGTTGTCGAGGCGCCGCTGGGTCACCGCTTGAGAAGAGAGGAGGCCAAGCCTGAGATCCTGAAGAAGTACAAGAGACACTTGGAGCCCCACTTCGACGCCGGCAAGGTCAAGCAGCTCGTCGATCTCGGCTTGGACCAGAAGAAGTTGGAGTCTACTCCTGTTGATGAGTATGTTGATCTGTACGTCAACAAGAACAGCAAGTTCGTTTAGGTGTAAGGATCTGAAAAGCGATGTTTTGGATACTATAGATGTTACGTCTCTACAGGATTCAGATTGGAAATTAAAGAAAGAAAGAAATATTTAGCGCTCACAAACAGAATTTCACTAGCAAAGAATAGTGCTTGTTGTGTAACCTCCATCGGGCTTGTCGCTGGCTGCCTCAATGTAGGGTTGTGCGATACGAGAATAGGAGCGGATGATCGGTCAAGGCGGCACTCCGTGGCTCGTGGCTGACGATGGCTTGCAGTGACTTGCAGAGCTCTCTCCCGACTCGGACAAGTGTTACTCTCAATGTCGAGAACTCGCGGGTCTCTGCAACACCGTCTCCCGGGATTTCAACAGAGCATGATTGGTTGAATCGTATGACAAACGATCGCCAAGCCACGTTCCCTGAGCTGGACGGAGTGACGGGGCTGGGCGGGTTCGTCCAGTGGACTGTCAGTAGATGATCCTCTGGGTACGGGGGGAACGGCTAGCTCGGTTCGCGGGTTGTTTTGAGTTTCACAGGCCAGACACTTCCGATTTCCAGCACGCCGCAGGCTTATTCAGGCGATGTGACTGCGAACATCCCGTACCCGCATGTACCGTATCGCGTTACCTAAGCCGCACTGCCTCACCTTGGCCCTCCACCGAAGCGCCACTTTAGTCCGGCCTCTCCTCCTATCGGGCTTGAACTCCAATCCGACGTCTTTGTTCGTTCTGGAAACAACATCGCCTCCTATTTTTGTTGAAATCGGATTTTTTCTTCCCTGCGGACGACCATAGACTGGACTCCTCCATCCTGTAATACCGAAAAACCATCACCGTCCGACGACATCACCATCGCGCCACCTCGAAGTCGGCTTACTCCAGCGGAATACTCAGCAGTCATGGACAGACAAACAATCATTGAGACCAACCGGTCGCTGCGCACCATCAAGAATGTACGTCTCGACACACCCGATCGTCGGTATTGTGGAAAACAGTGGAATGGTCTGAGAAAACTGGTTCGCTCCGTATGAGCCATGTTTGACGCATATTCCGCGAAACCGATGGACCCGAATGGACAGACACATTTACTAACCTTTTAAAAAGGAACTCGAGAACCTCCTCGAGAAGGGCGTAATCACCGAAGACGCCTACGATAACATCCACGCCACCCTCCCCTCCGAGACTCCTCTTCACGGTGCCGCCGCCCGCGCAGCTCCCAACGCTTCCACTCCCGTCCAGAACTCCAACCCGACCTCTCCCCCGACCAACGCTATGGCCGCCCTCAACGTCCAGCCGAACCCGTCCCCGGCGCCGCCCTCATACAACCAGACCGGGCCGCCGTCCCTCCCCTCCCGCACGCCGGAGAAGCCCATCCTCGCCCACGCCCGCGCGCTGTACCGCTACGCCGGCGCCGACGCCCGCGACGTCGCTTTCGAGCGCGACGACCGCATCGCCATCCACGAGTACATGAACGCCGACTGGTGGATGGGCCGCAACCTCCGCACCGGCCAGGAGGGCATCTTCCCCAAGACGTACGTCCTCGTCGAGCAGGATTCGGCCAAGGGCGCCTTCGCCCCCCAGCAGCCCCAGTACGCGCCCCAGCCCGCACAGTGGGCTCCCCAGCCGCAGTACGCCCAGCAGCCCGTCTACGGACAGCCGCCGCAGGGCCCGCCGCCCCAGCAGAACCCCTACAACGCCGACGCGCCCCCTCAGGCCGTCGCGAACGAGCAGACAAACGCCGAGGGCAGCGGCGGAGGCAAGGGCGCCGAGATGGGCAAGAAGTTCGGAAAGAAGCTCGGAAACGCGGCCATCTTCGGTGCTGGTGCCACCATCGGTTCCAACATCGTCAACAGCATCTTCTAGATGCCTTCATCCTGCGTTTTGGCGGTTGTAGTAGGGTGTCGTTCATTATGTCTGTGGCTCGTCGAGTCAGCCACGGCTGCATACCTACCTTTTGATGTGGGGGTATGGTAGGAGGGATAGAGCGTTTTTGTCTTCATTTTCTCGGACATGTGCTTCCTCCGCTGGAGATGCGAACATGGACCGGGCACGGCCGCTACGTCTCTTTGGCTGGGAGATTTTGTCATCATCCGAGATGGAATTCGCGCTTGGCACGCTCATTCACATACCTGGGTTTCGTTTTAATGATCATGGGATAACGGCGTTTAGTGCATATCGGGTATTTCGTTATCAAAAATCCATCTACACACACTTTGGTCTCATTTAACCCATTTCCCGCCCGCGTGACGTTTGTTGCATGATTCTCTCCGTCGACCGCCTCGATTAGGCAACACACGGCAAGTTTCACGTTAATTAGCCCAGTGTTTGAGAGAACCGCTCCGAAGGGTGTGTTCTGATTGGTGTCGGCGTGAGCAAGGGACACCGTAGGATGGGAATTCACTGTCGACAACCATCCACATGGCACGGTGGTGGTTCGCGAACCCAGATAGCCTCGGAAACCGCCACACACATACGCTTGACACAGAACACCATCACCTCTCTCACAAAACAGCCTTACACTAAAACTCCACGGTAAGTTTTAGTTAGCACCAGCTGCGCATCCGAGACGGCCCCTCCTCCCATTCAACTCCCCGTTATGTTCTTCTTTTATTACTTGTCATCGGTAACGATCCGGTCGGAGGCTGTAGATCTTCCCCTCTAAAACAAACTCGTCCGTCTCCATCCCAACCTTGGCTGCGGGATTGTGCCCCGTGGGGGAAATCGATTTCCAGAAAACTCTGTTTAAGTTCTTGCAAATGACGAAATTGGGCTGGTTAGGCGGCAACTTACATCGCCGACAACGCACATACATCCACATCGCATTACGGGGACGAGATGAGAAGGGAAGCGTATAAACATGGCTGACCACCCATCCCATCAGCTTGGGCGTATTGCTTACAACTCACCATCTCAATGCGAATTTCCCACGCACGTACGCCACGCGGGGGGACGCAGCGCAGCTGTACAGAACTTCAATCAGTACAGGAGCAATGCAGAGTTTCTGGCGGGATCATGCCTTGTTTGACCTGAGGTAAGGCAGAGAACAAGATTCGGTTTTCTCGGGTAAGGGTAGTTGACATCGACCATTCATGTGTAAAACCCGAGCACCCACACCTATACCCTATGTTTTCTCCCCCGTCCATCCACCCCAAGAGTGTCATACACGTCGCGCGTGCCGGAGACATGGATCAGCCTTGCGCTGTCCCGCCGGAATGATTTGTGGACGAAGTTCTTGATGAGGGGTCCCCTGGTCGGTGGTGCAGATATCTTTTTTATAGTTTTGGTACCGAGGCCGCGGACGAACATGTGCTGCTTTGGGGCAAAGGCGGCTTACACAGCACACCCACCCACACACCCACACAGACCTGCCTGCCTGCCTGCCTCTGTTCTCTCTATGCTATTTCCTCTCAAGGGCGGGGAGTGTGTCCGATGGGGAGCGGATGAGGCGGTTAAATCTCAGGTTGGACGATTCCTGCGTGATGACGGATGATGAAGTGAGACGAAGATACAGGCAGGCTGAGATGGCAAAGTGAAAAACACCACGTTGTTTTCGTTCAAATAAGGGATATTAACATCGTCCGGAGGCATCTTGGACTAAGCGGCAAACATCCTGTGAGAAATTGTGACATATTGGCAAAAAAGGAATGGAGCCAGGGGGATTCGAACCCCCGTCTCTCTCTCGCCTGAGTATATCGGATTTTAGGATCTAGGGAAAGAGGGCGAGAGAGGCTTTACCACTAAGCTACAGCCCCTTTTGAGTTGTCTTGTTATAGTATGAGGGCACTAACTTTGCTATAATGCCTTGCTGTTGTCTCCTCGTGGTGGCGGATAAACCGTTGAGGTTGTTTGTGGCAACTCATCTATCACGGTGCCTCTCTTGAAGACACTCGCCCGGACGTCGTGGCAAAAAATGGCAAAAAGGAATTGGAGCCAGAGGGATTCGAACCCCCGTCTCTCTCTCGCCTGAGTATGTAGGATTTTAGGATCTAGGGATAAGAGGGCGAGAGAGGCTTTACCACTAAGCTACAGCCCCTTTGAGTTGTCTTGTTATGGCAAGAAGGCTCTAACTTTGCTATTAGGCATTGCTGTTGGTGGCGGTTGAGCCGTTGAGGTTGTGGAATCTAATCCATCACGGTGTCTCTGTGTAAGACAATCACCCGGATGTCGTGGTAATAGCAGCTAATAGCGCATTCTGGGGTGTGGGTTAAAGAGCTCACCCGTCAGTATCAGATTAATTTGTCAGTATAACGAACACGAACACGCATGGGCTGGTCCGTAGCACAAAGACGAGTCACGTCTGGAGTAACAGCGTAGACAAACGTGTTGACAAAAAGAAGGTTGATTCATGTACCCTTCGCCCGCCCCATCAAGACTTGACGCGCCTGCAGTAGTTTAGAGGACACGCCGTCTTGACGAAGCGGACAAGTGGGAGACTTGAGACAAGCGTCCCGGAAACCGTACAAACGCGCGTATGTAAATGATAGGCGTCGTAAACGATCCGAATCCCCCATTCCACCAGTACCATGAACCGGACGCGAGCGTGGACATGCCTCGAATCCACCGCTCACCAACTCGCGGTGCTTCCCTCTGAAGCTGGGAGGACTTCAGACCGGACCTGAATCCTCCCTCCCATATCTCATAATACACACTTTCCGGCCCAACAACTCCCTTCCCAAAATGCCCCATATGTGCCGCCTTTTTCACTCTCTAGAGCCATGAGATGTAAAAGCCTTTCCTTCTTTCCAACCCAACCCTGACAATCTGTGATCTGTCCGTCCTTGAACCAGTTCTTGACAATTTTGCGTACGGTGGAGGGAGCGCGCGCAACGTGGTATGCTAATTCCCTTACATCGGCCTGGCAACACCAATGGGAGTACCTGGAAAAGATATCTCATCAGCACTTTGCCCCTATACACATACATCCCCTCAGACGTTCAGAGTGCCCTACCCATCTTCTCGTCTTGCCACTGCGGCCGGTCCTGGTTCCAGTACTCGTCGTCTTCGAGCGTCTTCGCGGGGATCGTGGGCTGGAGACGGCCGGCAGTCCAGGCACGGATCGGCTTGCCGTACTTGTACATGACGGGGAGAAGCATGGAAACACCGGCGAGGGCGGCAGAATAAATGCCAAAGTTCTTAATGAAGCCGAGCTGTTCGATCCAAGTCGTAACATTGAATGACATGATGAAACCAATGATGAGACGGGAGGAGGAGACGTTGACCAAGACAGGACTGTGAATGATGTTAGTAAATATTCCATGAGTCGGGCACAAGGGAGTTTTTCGATTCATCCCGAAAGAGGACTACGCACCCAGCAAATTGAGGATAACTCTCAACCAAGTATACGGCAAAGATGGTGTTGGCAGTCAAGAGACCGAAACCAATCAAGAAGACGGAAATCAGTACGACAATCGAGGGAAGCGTGCGAATGTTCTCTGCCGCGTAACCGAACAAAATCGGACCGATGATGGACGCCAGAAGAGGGAAGACCAAGCTGACCAAGTGGCCCTCGGGCTCGCGACGACCGCCGTTGCGCTTTGCGATGAAGTTGGAGATCCAATCTGCCACATAACCACCAAAGAACCAAACGAACGGTGACGCAATGACGATGGGAATGACGACGAAACCGAGTGTCTCAAATTTCCAACCAGCGGCGATAAGGACGGAAGATGCGACTTGACTGATGGCACCTTGCATCGATACAAGAATCGAGTTGATGATGATGACCCAGATGATGTTGGGGAAAACGGTGGTCTTCAGCATGTCCCAGACTGACTGCTTGGCGGCCTTCCACTCATAACCGTAGTTCATGATGCCGAACTCATCCCAGTTGGAGCGAGGTCGGAAGGCAGACTCGTCGATGCGGGGACGGGTTTCTCCAGGGCGAAGAGGGTAGACCTCCTTTCCGGCTACTTGCTGTTAGATGGTTCAGGTATGAGAGGGCTGGGTTAATCTTACCAAGCTCATCTCCGCTGCGGATCCAGCGAGTCTCAGGGACGAGGAGGATGAGGCCGATCCAAGCCAACACGCCAACACCGGAGGTGATCCAGTAGATGAAGCGCCAGCTGAGGCGGGACACGATGATGGGACTCATAATACCCAAGCTGACAATCAGGAGACCCTGCGAAGCGCCAACAGAGGCAATGGCCTTGTTGCGCTGGTGAATGAACATCATATCCTGAATAATCAGAGGAATCAAAGCCTCAACAGCACCTGCACCGAATCCCTGGAAGCAGCGAGCCGCAAGATGGCTGCCCAGGCCCTGAGAGAAGCCGGCCCAGAGACCACCAGTCCACGCGAGGAAGCCGGAGAGCAGCAACACGGGGCGACGACCGATGGCGATCGACAGCGGCACGAGCAGGTAAGAGCTGAGACCGTTGACAAGCAGCGGCACGGATGCCAGCAGGGAGACTTGCCACAGCGGCGGGCCGCCGAGACCGGCAAGAATCTTGATGGGGTCCAGTGTGATCTCGCCAGGCTTGCTCAGCGCTCCAATGTCGATCTGACTGAGAATGTGGGGGTCGATGCCGGAGTACTCGAGCACGAAGACGGGCACAAGCGCACCGACGATGAACTCGGCGGCGAGAGCAAGAGAACCAACTGTGGAAATATTAGTTTTCTGCATGAAGACGACGAGCAAGTCAAGTCACTCACAGAAGCAGAGCGCTCCGATGGAAGTCCACTTTCTCCAGTTTGGCAAGTTGAGAGGATCTGTTAGTCCGTCAAGTCAGCGCTTCCGTCGTCCTGATCGACCTTCCCTGTCCCCAAGCCCCACCATCGTAGACTGACCCTTGGGATCCGGTGTTGGCATCGGCACATATCGAATCTGCCCTCCCTCGAACAACTGCGTTGTTCCTACCACCTGGGCATCGGGGGACTCGATCCTGCGTACGCCGAGGTTCTCCGTAGACTCGGTCCAGCCGCTCTTTGCCGCCATCTTGAAGGTCCTGTCGAAGGCACTCGAGATGGGGTTTGTTCGAATATCGTCGCGTGAAAGATTGAATCCCTTTCCCAGCAACCAATGTAATGATCGTTTTGTTTTTCTAAATCATTCGCTTCGAAACCAATCGTTCTCGTATTCCTCCCGGCGGAATGTTGTTTTCTGTCGGTCTACCCAGAACAGGAAATGGCAAGTGTGATCGGAGAAGAGCTGGGAGGGGGGTTTGGAATTATAATTGATGCATGGTCTACCGCCGTGCGTGACAGACAGTTGGCAGACACGAGGGGCGAGCGCTCTGTCATAGGCCGGCCGCGGTTAGACGAGCAGTCAAATCTGAGACGAAGGCCCGATGTGTGCAACCGCGCAACTGTTTGAGCGCACGGAGCACTTGTATGGGGGAACCAGCAGGATAGACTCGAAGCATTTCCAAATTGGTCAACTCATGCGGTGATTGGGGCGCGGCAAGAGGGAAAATCATGAGTGGGTGGGCAGGATACCATCGGATCGACTTGATCCTGGTATCACATCCACGGTCAATAAACCCCCTTTTGGTAATATGTAAACCTGGTTCTTAGTTAATAAGACTCGGATAACTCAACTCTGAGGGAATGCGACCTACCTTACGACCCACGCAAACAAGAGTATGGAGTCAGAGTCGATCATCCACCCCGCCAATGCTGGGCAAAACCAAACAATCCTCGTGGACACTGGTGGCGATGACGAGAGACTAGCTGGTCACAGTCAGCAACGTAAGTGCCCGAAAGAGAAAGCTAACTCCTCGCATCAACCAACAGGAGGCACGATGACACATCTTGGCTTCAGTTTAGAGCAAGAACTGCTACCCAAAACGGGAGAAAGATACCCCATCCTTTCCTCCTCGGCGAGAGGACTGGAGACTCTGTTGATCGGCTCAACACTACAAGAGGCCCGGCCTTGCGAGAAGAATGACAAGATGGGACGGTAGAGAATGACGGCAAAGTCGACCACTTGGCCGGTCCTGTACTATGCAGTACCGCCACAATCCCACTCTTGTAAAACTTTCAAGTACGGCGAGGGTTTTGAGTTGTTGCGATGGAGGGCTGCTGAGGCCTCGAATTGGTGCGAGCTGAAACACCAACAAGATAGTCTATGCAAGGTTAGCCCTGGCCCTCCCGCCTTGAGCCTCAACGTGTCCACCCCGGTAGGTGCGGCAAGTTACTGCAGACCAACGGCAGAGCAGCGCTCGGAGAATTCCAAGACCTAGAGTTAAATTTAACAAACCGGCCACATCATGATCCCTTCCACTCACCCCATATTCCATGACTGAGGTTGTGCACCAAAGCCCCACAAGACGGCGCCGGCGCTTGTCTTGGCCTAAACGCCATGTTATCTGCAAGAGAGTCATGCCTGTTGTCGTCAGTAATGTCACGCCAAGTCTTCTTCTCACCCGTCACTGATCTTCCAAACGTGCTTCGATCCATCATTCTTTCCAGCGGAGCGTGGGCCACATTGGTCACCCGCCGCCGCCACATTCGGCCCGCTATCACAAGCTGCCGTTCATGGGATGAGCCTCGGACCAGATCTTTCGGGTTCCCCAAGCCCTCCCAGAGGAGGTAGGTGGTTGGTGCGTAAATACCATCGGGGTTGACTCGCGGATGCCGCAGTCGTCTATGTCGAGTGTGGTAATTTGCATCAATCGCTCTTTAGAGGCAACGGAATATCAAATAAGTCGTCCATTCATCTCCGACCTTGTCGCGTTCGCTAACCGGCACTATATGATCCGCCCGTCTTGTGTCATGAGATGCTCCCATCCGTCCATAATCGTAAATAAGTGCCAGGGAAAGTCGACTGCTTTCCGACATGGCGGCTCAAAGAAGACCGGTACCAAAATGCCGCTAATGCCGACGAACAAACCAATGAGTATATCCATGCCTGGTATAGTCCAATACCGCCAAACTCCTGTAAACACCTTATCCCAAGGTATCTGTGTGCAAAAAGCAAAGTATGAACGCAAAGAAAGTTCGGTGCAAAGGATGCCGTGAGCATCCAATGCAGGTGTCAATCCGCGTCGGCGGGTAAACTTAATCTTCGCTCGCCGGGGAGTCGGGAAGCGATGCCAGAATTTCGTCTTGCGTCTCCGTGTCGTCCGGCCATGTCGGCAGCTCAAGCGACGCGTACTGATTCTTGGTCTGTTCCTCGAGCTCTTTCCGGAGAATCTCAATCGCCAGTAGCCAACGCCGTTGCAACCTCTGCTTGCGGTCATGGAAAATTCTGACCAGGGTATCTTCTTCTTGCGCAAAGTCCGTTGCCAGGTTCTCTATCTCCTGCTCTTTCTTATCAGTCAGTTTCTCGAGCTCCTGCTCCTGTCGCTCCAGGAGCTCCTCCATCCGCTTAGCCTGCCGGTCTCGCAGGACATTGATCTTTGCTTGGTGCAATCGCTCCATTCCATCGCGAAGGTTGTACTGTTGCCCCAGCAAACGCAGATCTCTCTCGGTGACGACTCTTGGTGGTAGGTCCGAGTTCTGAGTTCGGCCAAGCCCGTCGCAGTAAGCCTCCATGTGCTTCAGACGGATCTTGACGCTCTTCTCGCTCTGGTCCAGGGTTGACCTCAGATCCATCTCGGCCTCGATTTGACGTTCCTCCAGGTGAGCCGCCGTTTTGGCATGGCGTTCCTTCATCTTATCGATCAGGTCTGAGTACTTGTCGGCCAGGGCTTGCTTCTTCTCGGCTTGTCGCGTCCACATGAGCCATTTCGTCTTTCGCATGTAGGCGCGGAATCGATCGAGCTCTTCCGCCATCAGCTCGTCCATCTTGGCGAACTGTGGGCTGTCTCGGGTGCGTTTCTCGGCCTCAACTTTCTCTGCTGCTTCGGCGGCGGCGGCAGCTTCTTGGGCGGCCTTCTCCGCTTCCAACTCGGCGTTCCTTGCTTCTTCCTCAATCCTCCTCCTTTCCAATTCTTCGTCGCCGTTGCAAAAGTTGGGACAGCCAACCGAGGGATCCCAGATCGCGCCGCAGATGTAGCAAAACTGAGCCTTGCATCTGCAAGTCATATGAGTGCAACCCTGGCTTAGTTCCACCAAAGTCCGGCACTTGTAACATCGCCTCCATCCAGACTTTTCGCCCATCTTCAAAACGGCCTCCAGTTCCCAGTCGGACGGACAATCCTTGCCAATTGCATGGGCGTTGCGTTTGCACATGACGCAAACTCGGGTTCGACATTTCCGACAGACAACGGCAAATGGGTGCTTCGGGTCGATCCGGTTGCGTGGGGGGATGAATTCGCCGCATGCTGTATTCGGGCAGAAGATTCTAGCTTCCCAAGGGGTGCTAAACTGTTGCACCGCCTTCAAAAACGCATGCTGCTCCTCTCTAGTAAGTATTTTCTGTATGATAGACCCGGGTATAGGCTGTGTGCAACACCGAGGTGGCATCTTGGACTCGTCCGTAGTTGCTTGCTGTATCATGATGCTGAGACACTCGGCGCAGTACGTGTGGCCGCAAGGCAAGCTGTGCAAATCGTTCGACTTGTTGAACTCGTTGCGACAACATATGCAAGAACTGCGTTGACCATTAGCAAGTGACATGTGGGAAACGGTCCAGACAGTGACCTACATGGTCGATTCCATGAGTGCTGATCTTCTTCTCCATCGAATTTTTCTGATGCCATCCTTGATGCTGAAGTAGCTCCTCCTCGTGGTGACGCTGAACAAGCTGTGTCCTGAGACGTCGGAAGTAGCTGGTGGCGATGCCTTTTGAATCTTGGGTTGATGAATGTTGGGGTCGAGCTGCGACAGGTACTTGTCGTACTGAGAGAAGGTAAGGCTCTTGGATCGCTTCCTCGCCAGCGGCTGTACGGGGACGTCGGCCGCCGCGGCAGCTGGTGGAGTCGTGTTCAAAGAAGGATGCGAGGTGAGGGTAGTGCTCGCGGAATCGCGCGAAGCGTTGGAAAATGTTCGTACATGCTGGGTCGCAGCAGTGGAAGCCCGCGACTCGGGGCTTTCCTCGCAATTCTCGGGCCTGAGTCCCGAAGTTGATATCCCCAGTGTCGTTGCCCTCGCGATCAGCTCCTCCTCGATGGCTGATTCGGTTGTTTGTGTGGACAGGCGCAGTACTTGGTCGAGATATTCTGCCTCGTCGTCCTCGGGGGACGGCAGAACAGCCGGACAAGTGGGCATGTCGGGAGTCGAGCTCGTCTGGCCGGTGAGCGAGCCCATGGCGGGTAGAGGGGAAAGGGAGATTAAAAAAGGTCCAGTCAGGGCAGCGCAAACAGAGGCATCGTGGTTCGGGGCTCGGTGTAGTTCGCAGCTCTCCGGGCCACGCCGGCCGGTCAAGCAGGTGAAGAACGCACGACTAATTGTCGGTTAATGCGCAGTGGTTTTGAAACGGCAGTTGCAAGTATTGACTTGACATCGAACGGATCGAGGGGAGCCGGAGAAAGGATGAACCCACGAGACAGGGCAACCACAACCTTTGAGAGAGGCAGCGAGGGGACAGCGGCAATGATAGGACGAGAGGGCAGCCAAGGTTTCTGCGCGACGGCGGACAAAGACAGCTGGGCAAGGAAGGCCCAAGGGCGGGAAGCACCTGGGCTGTTGTGCTGATGGTGTGTTGGGTGCAGCGCGGGGAGCGTGACTGGTGAAAGTCGGTCTTTTTTGGGGGGGGAGTTGATTTGGGGTCGGAGGACTCAGGAGCGAAAGGGGATGCGGCCTGGACCGTGGGCGTGTCTGACGGATGGAATGATGCAAGGTTTCTGGCGAAGGAGGGAGGGGGAGCTGAGCGTGTTTGTGTGGTGAGATGGGTAGACAGAGAGTCGAGTCAAAGGGCGATTGACGGCAGGGCGAAAGCGCGGTTCTTGGGGACCCTTGAGGATGACGAGGGGGCGACAGGCTAGCGAGGCGGGGGGGTGTGAAGAAAGGCAGCGATTTGAGTAGCAGCCGGGTATATCTGACTGCCGGAAGATGAGTGGCAGCCAGAAAGAAACACGTTCAACGTCCAGACCAAACGGAACTGTTTTTGGAAGTGGAAGTTGAATCGGTTCGGGCGTGACGAACAAGTGGAAAGGTGGGAGTGAGTGGTGAAGGAAGCAAATGATCAACAAGCGCTGGAAGGGAGGAGGAAATAAGGCCAGGAACGGCCAGGATAGGGTACGGGTGCAGAGCAGCCGGGTGGGTATTGCGGTCGTCGGTCTCCTAGGTTGGTTTTTTTTTTTTCTTGCTTATTGTTTTGGGTGATTCTTTTTGGTCAAGTCCAAGGAAGCGCCGGGTGGAAGCGGGACGTGGTTGTGAATTTTGATGGAAATCCTTGGACGTTGGGTTGGGCCTAGAAGCTGGAGACTGAGGATTCGCAGGAACTCTGGCAGGAAAAAGCAAGTGCAAGGGTTTGGGTCTGGTTTGAAGTGATGGAACCAGTGAAAAGGTGACAACGAGGGTGACGAGACGAGAGCGTGATCTTCCAGGCTGTCAAACCAGCAGCAGCAGCAGTAGCTGTGGCAGTAGCAGCGACGGGAGTGACAAAGATGGCAAGTTAGGTAGGGCGGCTGAGGATGATGAACTGAGAGCCAGACACCAGGCTTCCACCACCAAGTGAGCCACAGGATTGGTCTGGTTTGGTCAAGATTGAAAAAGGTCCCTCCGATGGACTTTTGGGATTGGCGTTTGCTGCTGCTGGCGCCATATCTGATGACCTGATTTCCATTTCCTGCATAGCCGGCCAGACGGGCTCAGTGGCGGCACCAGCCAATGGGTCCTGGCGCAGCGCCGTAAGATACGCGATCTACCTAACTAGGTACCTCAAGTACTTGAGGAACCAGGTGGGGTTAAGATGTATCTTCTCACGGGGTGGACATGGGAAAGATACATCGTCGTATTCCACCAGGGAGACATCGGCGATAGCAGCTACGTCCGGTACGTACCGAGTCGTGAACTACCGTCCTCTTTCAATTAGCTGAGGGATACTCTGTACTGAGGTGAGATGAAATGCTCACAGATGCCAGCGCCTTCCTTGCTTCGTTCGAGTCGGCACGAAATGAAGTTGTTGCAAACATGCAAAAGGTAGGTAGATTTGCATCTTATGCTTGACTCCTTCTATCCGTCTATCTCGCCGATTCACTTTCCTGTCTCTACACCTCTCATGTCCAAAATAAAGTGTTAGTTACAAACGAACATCATCAATGTAACCTTCCTCGGACGTCGACCTGAATTTTAGCCGCCGACGGTGGGCCAATCTTTACTGCCCCTACACCAACTTTTCTGGGTATCGCGGGAAGCTGCCGATAACACGACGGCCTGTCCGATTCCAGTTGGTCTTTCCCGTCCACCATTCCCCATCAGATCCTTGGGGGCCATCACCACCTACCTTACCCTTATTATGGACAGTACAGAGTATCGTATCCCCTGCCACGGACACAGAGTCGCCCGGCGGTGAAGGAACACCATGTCCGTTGTCTCCAGCGCCAGACTCGACCTTCAAGCATCGTCAACCTGATTCGTTTGCATCCCGCGTCACCTGGTCTACCCTCTTTTCCCTGGTCCTTGCTATCCCCCCATCCTTTATCGTCATTGTTGTCTCGCCTGTTGCTTCCTGACAACACATCAAGACCTTGTCCCAGCCCCATGCAGCTCCTCCCGCACGGATTGAAGCGATCAGCCCAGGTAGGTAATTCCCGAATTCCTTCGGTTACTGACGTCCGGTCTACTATAGTACCCTCAAACAAAAGTTATCAGTAACAGTCTCCAAACCCAGCGAGAGTGCATCTCATCCTTCGATGCAACAGTCAAAGAGCATCCTGTCGAGGGCTCTGACTTGAACAATGACCAGACTACGTAAACATCAGCCCACTTCTCCAACATAACCCCATCCCGGTCCCGCGCGGCCGGGATCTAGCTATATGCCAGGCAGGTAGCTAAGCCTCATCTCTCATCTCTATTTTCTGTTTCCCATCGACGGATGTCCGCATACAAACCAAGCCAATATTCACGGCTGCTTAAATTGCAGCTTGCTTCCGACGATTAGCAATTGGCTTGTTTTCTTGACATTTGAGAGGAAATTCCCATCACTCATCAGCCTAGCAACGACACCGTTCAACGGCCAATCGACTCCTCGTATCCGGACGCTGGCGCATTGTCTTTGAGTCTTCAGCTCTCAAAAGATACATGAACGCTACCGGCTTTCGAAACTTACATCTTATCATCTACTCGCCACTTTAGCTTTGGCAACGTCCGTGAGACCTACCTATAGGATCGATAATAAGGTCAGCCGATGGCCTAAGCTCCTTCAATCTGTTGCGAACTGCGACATTCGATACACAGCTCCCATCTCCTTCTGAAAGAACGCCGTCTTGACTCAGGGGCTAGATCCGCAACCCCGCAAATCGCCCAATATGCGCAGAATTCCCCAACTTTTAGGTTCCCGCGAAGTCTGTGAATTCCAATCTTTCTCCAGGCTCCGCATGGTCGAATCGGGACCTGAACTTGCCTCTTCGAGTTCACTAGTGGGGCACGTCCCGCCCCCGGCCCCACGTTCGCCGATGTGTCCCCGCCTGTCACACTGCACCTCCGTACCGATTTGTGGAGCGCCGTTGGTTGTGGTCTAGATTCACCACAACTCCATACTATTGTCTTCCCGCCTGGCGAACTCCCGCCTGGGCATGAATGATTCGCATCCTTCGATTCGAAACTATCGAGATTTGCCCCGTGCGCTTATCTATGACCACCTACGACCACCCTTGGCAATGTTGCTAGCCAGGCGGACCGATGCTCTATCGAGAACGGTGAGGCTTCCTGCGACGGTCCAACTTCTAGTATTGCGATCCCAGTTGCCTCTCTGTCGACTTACGACTTCATTTCAAATTGCAGAACGTTGTCTGCAACTTATTCAAGAACTTAAACTCTGTACTTGGAAGGTCAGTAGCTGGTGCAGTCGGACAGGCCACGGCGCAACGAAGGCCGAATCAGAGGAGGTCTGCAATGGTCTTGGGGGCCATACGCATAATTCATGGAGCTCTGCTACCCACGGAGCAGTTATCCCAGCCTTGGGCAAAGCATGCGACATATGCAAAGAGGCAGAATATCGCCTTCAACTGCCCGAAACCGCCGGGCTTCGTCGAGATAAACATCAGAGGGGAAAAGGCAAAATAGCCGCGCGGGAAGAAAACGGATTACTATACCTCGTAATCCGTTTAGGTTTTCTTCACTGTACCAAAAGCAAAGATCCAATCCTATTCCCCACGAACCACCACATCGACTCGGCGCCTTCGCTCTCGCATCCAAACCGACATACGAACAGCCCATGACACTTTCTGAAGCGACGATTAGCCGATTTCACGCGGCATGGTGCCGTCCTGGACGGCCTGATCAAATTTGACTTTCGTCGTTATGCCCAGCACGAGCCCCCCTTGGCTGGCGAACCAGAGAGAACTACAGACGATGATGCCCGTCAAACAGGGTCATCGTAGGACTTGCATATGCAGCAGGACAGCGCCCACACCCCAAAAATATAACCAGTTCGACCAGGTAGAGCCAGGTCGCTGAGATGTCGTTCTTGTTTTCTGGACCGCGGCCCGCCTGGACGGAAGGATTACCTTCATGACCCATCCTCGTGACGACAGCAGGGCCATGTTTGTCATCGACGATTATCACCATGCGCCGATGAGTTCTCGATAAAGAATGGGAAGTTCAGTAATCGCATCTCGATCCAGCGTTCGGTGCTGGCTGCTGTTCCCACCCTGGGTTTCTGTTCTGTACAGGCCACACGGTTCTCGACACAACACATCTAGTATCACTATATACGGATGGCATAAACGGCTCGAGATGTTAACACACCGCCTCGCCAACGTCAATGTCACAAACCTCCGTTTCTTGGCCGCCGGCCGCGGCCAGTCAAGATCTTCATTTGACCGCCGGCGTGGCGAGTCAGTCGAGCGCGATGCACCACTCACAGCGGCCCCAGGATTGACGTCCTTTCTTTTCCTGCCTCAGCATGCGTGAGCTTAACCAGACCACTCGGCCGGCGAGGCGGCCTTGACGTGACTCCGAGAACACTCGTCCCCGTCCCGCGCCCTGGACTCGCCGATGCAAGCCAATATCTCAACGCATCACTTGGCACTTCCAACTCCAAAGGTCAGTCTAACCCAGCCTCGGTATGGCGCCTCGTCTGTTGTGGCCCATGTCTCACCCGAGCGCCGCCGCCGGTCTTGTCTTGCCTTGGGAAACATTTGAAATTAAAACACACAAGAAATAACGACATTCCGGGGAACCGGACAAACACCCGGGAAAACGGAACTCCGTCGGAAAAATGCTCCGTTGTTGGGAAACGCACAAAGAACCTTCAACGAAAAGAACCTTTAACGAGCGTAAGGCGTTTCTTCATCCTCTTCTTTTGTCTCTGTTTTCTTTCTTTCTTCAGACCAGGTACTAGCCAGCCATCTTTGCTGCTTAAATGGTCTAATCCGAGTCGGGATAACAGTCGACGTTTCCGGCCACCCTCGCATAATCGTCGTCAAAGGAAAACCAGCCAGTCGGCTTTGAGCCTGCTCGTCTGCTTAGTCGTAAAATCGCCACTCACTCATACGTGTTAGGGAGCTGTAGAGCGTGGTCACCGAGGCCGGTGGGAGAGATCAGGCGAACGACCGCCTTCTCGACTTGTCGAATAGACCCCCCCTCATCGATCCACTTTCCTCGAAAGACTTCCTTCCTCGTGTGCCAGAACCCGCGGGATACTGAATTTCGATTTCCCCAAGTACATCTGATCTTGGACATCCATTACCACACACACCCTCCTCCCTCGTCTTCCTCCGATCTTGGGACGATACCGAGCCAAGTTGGTAGGTCATCAGCCTTTCGAATTCCGTTTGATCTGCGCCACATAGCAAATCCGAGCAACGGGGCGGCGTCGAGTTAAAATCAGTTGACTACGAAGGCAAGAAGAATATCAGACGTCGGATCACGTTCGATAAAAAACAGCCTTTATCCGAGAATTTCTTCTTTCGTTCTATTTGAGGGGGTATACTTTGATAAGTTTAAGCAAGAAAATAGTCCGTGCTACCTTTCCAGGCTTTTTTTCGCACTGGAAAAAAAGAACTCCGTACAATGAGATGAGAAGATCGTCATGGGGTTTCAAAGTATGTGCAGTACAATACAGCGGTGATGTACAAAGATTTTACAGAAGCCGAGAGGCAAGGCGAGATATTCGGGGCGTAGGCGGGTGGACGGTGGGGAGAACGTATTGGGCGTCCCTTCGCCTCTTTGAACGCCTCCGTTTCCTTGGCCCATTAGTCGAGAAACTGTTTCGCCCCTCCTTCTTCCGGAACGCCGTGGCCCATTCCTGTCGAAAAGACTTGTCTGCGCCGCGATTCCGATTCCTTTGAGGCGAGAAAGAGAGCCCTTCTATTTTTTCTTTATGTGTCTGGTGTCGGCTCTGGTAAACGTCGGCTCGCGCTCACGCGCAGAATTTCTGACCACGGTAGTGTGTAAAATGGAAAATGAGAAAGAGAGAGCGAAGCGGGAAACTAGGTCCTCACGCCCCATTTCAGAACCACTTCTTGCCCGAAGACTTGGAGCTGGCGGCGGCCGCGGCGGCGGCCTTCTGGTTCGTGACGCGCCTGAACTTCTCGCGGTTCCGGGCCTCGAGCATGCCGGAGGCGCCGTCGTCCTGGAACCAGTGCTGGCTACCGCCGCGGTTGGCGATGCCGCCGGTCGTGTTGCGGGTGGTCAGGGGCCCGCGCTCGTCGAACATCATCTTGACGCGCTGGACCTTGCGCAGCTTGACGAGGCCGTACCAGCAGACGAGGAGGGAGAAGCCGACGGACATGGCGGTGACGCCGGCGAAGCCCCAGTGGGTCTCCTCGATGAAGTTCTCGAGGTTCATGCCGTAGAGGCCGGCGAGGAAGGTGCCCATGGCCAGGCCGAGGGTGCCGACGCTGAACTTGAGGTCGAGAAGCATGAGAGAGTTGCGGTTCGCGTCGAGGATGGCGCGGATGCTGTTGAGATGTTCAGAACCTGCCGTTAGGGGTGAAAGAGGGGAGGGGGGGTTCGACTTACATCTCCTCGGTGTTGCGGATGCTGGACACCAAGTTCTGGGCCTCCTGGACGATTTCGTCGCACAGCTTGTTGTACGACTCCAGCAGCAGCTCGACCTCGGTGTGGTCATCGACGCCGCGGTAGAGGTCATGCGCCTTCTCGGTGAGATACATGGCCGCGAGATCGTCGTCCGCCTCGAGCAGCTCTTCGATGGCATCCCGCACGAGCTTGGCCTTCTGCTCAAATGTGCTCACACGCTTGGACAGGATGAGGAGGATACGCAGCTTGTGCCTGTCGATGTCGTCCTCGAGCTCGCTCAGCACGCGGATGACGGGGTCCCTGACCGACTCGAAGTCGGCCTCGAGCTCGGACGTGACGGATGTCAGCACGGCTTCGAGGGCGCGGAACTCGTAGGGCAGGCCGCTGACGCCGCCCGGCACGTTCTTCTGCTTCAGCTTGCCCTGCAGGTCGTACATGAAGGCGGACTGCGGGTAGGACGTCTTGGAGCCGTAGACGTCGAAGAGCAGCACGCGGTCCTTCTTGATCAGGACTTTCAAGTGCAGCAGGTTGAGCAGAATCGCCGACTGTCGGACCAGGATGTGAGGGAGGTTGGAAGAGTCGATCTTTCGCAGATCACGGGGTAGCAGGCCGTACTATAGCACATGCTCGTCAGCATTCCGAGAAACCTCAGCCTTGTAGTAGTCGCGTTGCTGACCTTTGCGATGAGCTCCGTCTTCTTGAATTCTCCGTCCACCAGGATCACCTCTCCGTGCTCGTCCACCTCGGTACATCGCAGGCGCGGCTCCAGCGCGGCCTTGGCGGTGAGTATGCGCCGGCTGTTGAACATGGAACCAGCCTCGCCATCATCGTGCACAGGGAGGTCGTTGGGCTGCAGTGGCTTGGTCCCTCCCCTGACCCTCATCCCCCAAAGCCTTTCCTTCCATGATTTGCGCGGCGTAGACGAGTCGTCGTTGCAGGCATCTCGCTTAATGCACGTCGAGCTGAAGAGTGCGACGGCTGCGCCGCTGCGTCTGCGGCTGACCCGGGCGGTGGCGGGCTCGGAACTGAGGGGCGAGTTTCGCAGGAGGTCCGGTCTCTTGCAAGTCGTCGAGGTGGAAACGGTTCTCGTCCCAAGCCTCGCGGTCCTCCTCGCAAAGCACTGGTGATGCTGGGCAGCAGGCCGGGGTTGGCCGGACCGAAGGGCGCACCGGCCCGGGTTGAAGAACGACGGCGTCTCCGTTTGCGATCGCAGGAATCGTAGCAGGCTCGTCGAGGGCACGGGATTGGACAACGTCGGAGGCATCACGGTGACCGGCGGATCACGCACGCTTTCCTCGTTGGGAAATGTGAGGCCGCTTCGTGTGGTGGTTGATGTGTATCGCAATCCGCGATTCGTAGGGCGGCGTGAGCTCGGTGCTGCCAACAACTTTTTTTTGGCCCGTTTTACCGCGCAAATGTCGACGTCTCCTCGTCCTCGGGTCGAGGTGCACGGGCCAGGTGTCTACGCACCGTTTTTGACATCATCGCACACTGTTATCGCACTGTCCAAACCCACATATGGAAATCTCGACGGACCCTCATCAGTCACCAAAATCTTTCCGGCATCCCTCAGTGGATGGAGAGCGGGTTTTCAAAGCATACAATACAGCAAACATGGTGGATTTCTGATTTGTGAACGCGACACAATTTTCCGACCTTTATCCTTCGTTTTTCGATTGCCGATTTGGTTTGGGGTGTTGGTGGGCAGTATCGGCGCTTAAGGTTTCTCACTTACACCATTCTTACCTCAGCTTCGGCCGTCTCTTGAACCATTCTCAATGACCCCTCCCCTCGTTCGGCGTTGTAAGTTCGGCACTTCATCGAGCCTCCGGTTTCCCGTCATGCGACGCCAGAATTGACAGTGTCTCAGGACACTTCCTGTCGGAAAAAAGAAGAAAGAGAAGGAAGAGAGAAGAAGCGGCGGAATCGGCGCCCCCGTATGATGAAGTTGACTCCGATCAAAGTCAGAGGCAAACGAGGCAAGGCCGCGTCGTCCTCCTCAACACCGAAACCAGCAACCCAGAAAGGAAAGTCACGGCTCGCGACACGGCTCATCGCCAAACGCACATCCCTGGTCGAGAGCTCGTTCCCGATCGAAATCCTTGAACGCATATTCCTCTTCAGCGAGAACCTCAACTTTGCCCGTGCCAGTCCCGCCCTCGGGCGAGCCCTCTCGGGTCGATCGACTCTTATTAATCTCATAATTAATGCTTTTCATCCCACGTGGGACTGCTGGTTTGGCGTCGACAGACACACGATCAAGACGGTCTTGAAGCGCGGCGCGACCAGTCCGTCGACGTCTCTCAGGAGTTATGACAAGTTCCCCGAGCTCTTCCCTGGAGATCCCGAATTTCAAGTAAGTATTTTCAGCCCTTCCATGACCGAAGGTCATGTTCCTAACCATGCATCAGTCTTCTGTTTTGGCCAGCTCGTGGATCAGCGTAGACCTCATCTTCGAAGCCCGCAAGGTCTGGGCTTGGCGCTTCGCGCGCGACAGGTGGTACTCTCATTCACATGTAGGCCCCAAGGATGTGGACTCAGATCAGAGCACCGTCCTGAACACACCTCACGATCGAGGAGGTGGATTCGGCCATTTTGACTCGAGGGACTGTTTTGAGTATGACTGGCTTCTGTACGGCCTCGACGGCGCGAAACCGACCGTCGACTTTTACGTCGATGTCCACCCCAAAACTACCATCCCGGACGACCTTGTCACCGGGCCGTGGACAACTGAGCAGCAGAGATTACTTTTCTGGTTGAGGAGAGGCGGTGCGCGAATTCAACCCGAATCGCAAACGTGGGAGGTGAGTTGGCTTAATACACCGCCAAAGACTTACGTACTGACGTTTATGAACAGACTCTTCGGATGGGCTTGCAGAATGCCGTTACCCACCGAAATCCGGGAAACCTGGACGGCCGTCTCATCCAGATGCTCCTCCTCTTGGACGACTTCTTCCCCACGCACGCCCTCGACGAGAACCAGTCCCTGTGGCCTCTCGACGTCCTGGAAGAAGAGCACGACAAGGTGGAAAGGCTCGTCAGCGCCAGGGAGCGCAGCAAAGCCGGGCCGCTGTACGAGCTCACCGAGCTCGAAAGACGCATGTTCGACTACCACCGCCGCGAAGTCGACCTCCTGACGTCGCGGTTAAGTCGCTACGACCGCGTGGCACCTCACTCTATGGTGGCCGTGGGACTCGTCCCTCCGCCGAGAAATCATTAACTGGGAAGGAGGATGGGGGAAGATGCTAATGCTGCGTATGGCCGCGCGCGAGTGTAAAAAATAGCCGCACTGTAAATGTCTCCAGAATCTGTCTGTCATACAGACCTGGCCAGAGTAATGTAATTAGTGAAGGGGAGGCGGTCGGTACAAAAGTTCTGATATGGGCGCATCTGTTGCGCAACCGTGGGAGGCGATCGGTACGGAGACTGGAAGCTGTTGGACACGTTGGGGCGGCGGCGCTTTCATGGATGATACCACGCGAGTGCTTTGATTATGTTCATGAATGGAGTCGAATTCGTCGTGTCGCCTCCGTTATTCATGAATGTTACTGTCGAACCTTGGACTCCTGGCTCTGAGATTTTACTGCTTTTCAATATTTAACATTAAAGGCCTCACATGGCGACGAGCGTTTGAACCGCACCCTCCAGAGAATCCAGGCGGCATTATGGGAATCATCTCGAGGGAATGGCTTTTAGCTTCGCTTCAAGTGTGTTCACATTGAGATAATATGAAGACAATTCGAACGCTTGCTGGATATGTTGAACCAGCTCGCTCGATGGTAACCAGCTCAGATCTCAGTCCATCTATTCCGGCCCGGACCAAACGCAACGTGTGATAATCGAACATCTACTCAGACACCACCATTCCCCAACTCACAACTTCGACTTGGGCTCCTCCTTCTCAGCGTCCTCCTCCTGCTTCAACCGCACGACGCCCTATACCAAAACGTTAGCCGCAAACTCACCCAGAATCACGATGTGAACGTCACTTACCTCCTGCACACAAGTCGCCAAAAGCGTCCCGTCCCCGCCAAAGATCTTCTGAATCACAACACCCCTCCCCTCCCCGCTCCACGGGCTCTCCATCTCTGTGAACATCCACTCGTCCGCCCTCACCCTCCTCGGCTCGTGGAAGTAAATCGAGTGGTCCAGGCTGACCATCATCCCCAGGTGCGGCCTCGTCTTCCAGTACTCCACCCCGCCCTCCGTGTTGCCCTCGAACTCGTTCAGCCGCTCCACCTGCTCCTTCAGCTCCGGCGGCAAGTCATCGAACTCCTCGGGCTTGAACGGGAACCGCCACAACTTGTGGATCCGCCCGACCGTCCCGATGAAGTAGCTATCCGACATGTACGCCAGCGCGTTCAGGTGCGCCTGGTGTCCCCCGCTCACGCTGATCTTCCCCCGCGCGCGCACCCAGTTCCGGCTCTTCATCTCGTGCGGCTCCGCGTCCTTGCCGCCGACCAGCGAGATCCGGTACGTCTGGAACGGCGAGTGCGTCGACCATTCGGGCTCGCCCTTCCAGTCGCCCGGCGGCGGGCGCACGCCCTCGGGCAGCGGCGCCGCGTGGCGCACCTGCTTCTCGCCGCCGGACCCTTCCTTGACGAACGAGACGGTCGTCGTGAAGATGCACCGGCCGCGCTGGCGCGCCTGCACGGTGCGGGTGGCGAAGGAGCGGCCGTCGCGCACGCGCTCGACGTGGAACAGGATCGGGATCTCGGAGGAGCCGGCGAGCAGGAAGTAGCAGTGGCACGAGTGGACGAAGAAGTCGTTGGGCACAGTCTTCTGGGCCGAGGCGAGGCACTGCGCGATCACGGCGCCCCCGAAGATGCCGCGCGCGCCCGGCGGGTGCCAGGGTTGGCGGGTGTTTGTGAAGATGTCCTTATCAAAGGGGAGATGTCAGTTTTCGCGGTGTTTGCTTTCATCGTCTGCGATGTGAGATGAGTTTACTCACCGGCCCCAAGACGCCCAGCTCTGTCACCTCCAGCACGTTCTCAATCGGAGATTTGTTAGGGTCCTCCGGCGGAGGCCGCATAATAGTTGATCTCCCAGCAGCCATGATGTCGTGTGCTTCTCCTAGTTCTTCTAAGCCCGTTTGCTGTGCGGTGCCGTCGTCTATGTCTTGAATGAGAGAAGCCGGTCCAACGCCGCCAACCTGACCGAAAATAGAACCGTCTCTCTAAAGCCGCGTGGCGTTTCGCGTCTCAAATAACCTGTCTCTGTAAAAGCCAATGAACTTGGACCTAAATCGATTGATGAGTGAGAGATGGATGAGATGAATGAGATTCAAACAAATGTCAGAAACGCCAGATGAGAGATCCCGCGAATCTGGGTCACAGGGGACATTCGTGCAGGAGGTCCCCTAATTATGTAGCATCGATAGAGGGTAACCGTGACGTTTGGGGCGAACTGCCGAGGTCCAAAGTGGAGAAGGAAACTGTCACTGGCTGCCGGTCCCTCCTTTAAAGCAAGGTACCCGTACCCGTATTAAAGTGCTAGAGGCAAGCAAGCGCAGCCGGTCCGGGATTCGGTGAACGGTAATCATTTAATCTCGAGTGCACGCACCCTCACCGTCCCGAGTCCCGACGGCATCACAAGCTTCTTGGCAGCTGCGTGTGTGACCCTCTCTGCTGTATTGATAGGTAGGTGAGTGCGAAGAAGGACGACTCTGATTGTCACATAGCACTCGGCAGCATATGAGACGGCAGCGCAGATCACATAAATCCATCCGAACGATGTGGTAGAAGAAGAGCAGAGTTTGAGAACACGAATCTTCCAGAATTGTTGCCGAATGCGAGCGATTGCTTATTTCAATACCTTTGATACTATCCACGATACACTATCGAGCCAGGGCAGGTTACCACTTCGAAACATTCCACAGAATGCGACTCGCGCCTTCCGACAGCTGCAGGCTCGGAATCCTTTGTTTCTTAACCAACGACTTCGAAACACTCTCCTCTGCGATCTCCTAGTCCGCGTTCTCGAAGATGGGCTCCAATCCGTCCCATGCCTTGTTCGGGTCGCCCTCTGGTCCTGCCTGTTCTCTCTGCTTCCAGTACTTCCCGTTAAACTTCCAGTACGGCTCGCCTGTAATCTCGCAAGTCGCCTTCTCGAACCACGCCGGACGGAACTCGACGCCATTCTCCTCACGTCGTCTCCTGCGAGTACGCTGTGCCTCCTCCAGTCTGTTTTTCTCCTCAGCCGCGAAGTCGTACTCGCCGTCCTCCATGGCGCGCTGGTCTGGCCGCAGACGCGAGTCGGTAGGCGGGATCCATGGGCGGAGCTTGTCATCAATGTGGTTGAAGGTGAGGACGAATGGGGTGAGGTTGAAAGGAATGTTGGGTGGGCGAGGGTTGGCTTGCCAGATGAGGAACGCCCGGTTAGGGTCAGAAGAGATGCCCTTGTGAACGGACGCCGAGTCGCCGGGATCCTCGACCGTCGCCTCGTACCCAGGGGTCAGACGAGCATACAGCTTCGAATTCCATCTACCGCCCAAGCTGTACCGTACTCGGCCGTCGGCGTCGAGCACCTTGCCGGTAATCTTGTACGCGCTGGATGCCTTCCAACCGCGCGCCTGGAACTCCACCTGACACACCTCACCTGTCGTGTGGTTCTTGACCTCCATGGGACCGTAGTTGTCCACAGTAGGATTACCAGTAATAATGCCGATGACAGATGATGTGACCTTCTTCCATGTGTAAAAGTCCTCCTTGCCTCCGGCCGTAGGTCGCAGTTTCAAGAACCAAGTTCCAAGAGGGTTGATGTCAAAGGACTTTCCGTAAAACTTGGACTTGACAGCCGATTCACCGTAGTACGTCCACTTCGGAGACTCGGCCCACGCAGCACCAACAGGCGGGTGGTGGCTGACCTGCTCAATGAAGAAGCGGTAGTTCTTGTCGGGACGAACGTATTCAAACGTCTCTCCCAGTAGCGGGTTGAAGGGCTTGGCGACACGTCCGATGGTGGAGGCGTACTCACTGGCAGCAAAAGCCGCCACGTAGATGAGACGTTCAATGGAGTCCGATCGTTCAGCGGCTTGATCCAGCAGGTCGGCGTACTCCATATCCTCACCGGCACGGTACAGAAGTGAGGTCGGTTCGTTGAAGGATACTGGAAGAGTCATCTTCGTCATGTCCTTGCCAATCATTGACTTCAGAATACCCTGCAGTGTGTTAGCTTGGAATGTGTGGTAAATCTCCGAAGTAAACTCACCCAAAGCGAAATCTTTGGCCTGTCATCGGCGTCCATCTTGAGCCTCGTTCTGATACCGTTTTCGTAGCCCTTGAATGAACTGCTGATGTCCATGCCGCCGGAGACAACGAGCTGCTGCTGCTTTTCCTCCTCCTGGGGTGATCCGACAGCTTCAGATGGAGGCAGCTCACTGACTTCGACCTCGCCCGCATCCACGGCATCAAAGAACTCTTCTTCATCCTCCGATTCAGAGTCGGAAAGTTCAATCTGGCCAAGCGCCGTCTTCTTCTTGGACAAACCCCTGTCAGGGGATTTGGGCGGGATTTCAAGATCGTCGTCGGCTCCCACTGCTGCCTCAACAGTTGTCGTGCCGTCGACCTGGCCTTCTTTCTGATTCGCGCCGATAGGCGACTCGCTCATAACCTCGCGGAGAGCGCGCTTGGCAGCCTTGCGCTTCTGCTCAGCCTGGTCGACGCGCTCCTCAAGAATCTCTTGTTCCTTGGCAACCTTAGCCATGCTTTCCTCCCACATGCGACGCATATCGGTCTCACGTTCCAGCCGGTACTGCCAGTACGCATCGCGGTCCTTGGAAATTCGCATGAGATCTCCAACAAGTCCCGTCAAGCTTCTAACAGCGGCGTCGTAGGTTGCAAGGGCTTGAGCGACCTTCGGGTCAGAAACGGTGGTTGTAGGGTTCTTTGAGGCCTCGGAGAGCATTGCCGCATTGACGGCAGAAATAGTGTCAAGCTGGAGCTTGGCGGACTGAGCAGTGATATTGAACGCATCTTTGCTGACTGTAGGCTCCTCGCGGCTGCTGACATCCTCAAACTCATCGTCTTCATCGTCATCCGGATCGTGGTGACCATTTCCAGCAGCTCTTGACATGCCAGCATCCGTGGCAGCGTCGGCGAAGTCGTCGTCATTACTAGCAATAGTGCTAGCACCGGCGAAGTCGCTCTTCGGTACAGACATCTTAGTGTGCGATTGGGTTCTTGGAATCTGCACACTGCTACGCCTGGTGTCGGCCATGCTGGCGCTCTCACTGGGCGCGTCGTTGATCGAGTGCTCCGGCGACTTTCCAGCCTGTTCAGCCTTTGCTTGCCTCAAGAGCTCGGCACCGCGGGCGCGTTGGCGCTCCTCTTCCTTAGCTTGATCCTTAGTCCATTGGATAGAGTTGTTCAGGGCCCAGAACCAGCGCTTGGCCTCGACTTCATGGTTGGCCTTCAAGGTGTACTTCACGGATGACTTTCCGATAATCTCGAACTTTGTCTTTTCGTCGGCGCTCATGTGAAGTTTGGCGATACGGGTGTTGATGGCGCCACGGCAAGCTGAACCGGCGTCATCCTGGTGCTTGTAGTAGCTTAGGACACCATCCTCAAGAACGAACCAACGAAGCTGGTATCCCTTGCGGTAATTGGTCCACTTCTTCAGGTATCCCTTCATCTCACGGGCCTCGCGACCCGCGACCGGGTCTCCAGAGGCAACAGCTCCAGCGCCTTGCGATGCCGCCTGGCCGAGGACGGCCTTCTCTTGAATGCCTCTCTGGGCGGCGACGGCGGCGGGAGAGCGCTTGAGCATAGCCCTGGTAACGTCGTCTTTTGTCACATCCTGTGGCAGCTTTCCCTTGCGATCTCTGCGGAAGGGATCCGCGCCATGCAGCAGCAGTACCTGGATCAGCTGTGTATTCTTCTTGCGCGCAGCTTCGTGAAGCAGGGTTCCGCCAGCCTGGACTGTGGTTGGCTCGGTCGCAAACTCGGTGCTGTTGATGTCGAGGATCTGTTTGAGGCGGGGCTCCTCCAGGACTGTCTCCAACGCCTTGTAGTCGTTCTGGGCAATCAGACTCTGGATTTGCCTGACCTTGTTTTCGGCGAACAGCGAGCGCGAGAGCTGCAGTTGCTGGAAGATGTCGGGGTTTCGGGCGACGTCGATCGGAAGTTGGCCTTTATAGTTGGCGACGGCGTCGTTGATGTCCTTCTGCTCGAGCAGAAGCTTGACAACCTGAGTTCGGCCCTGGATGGCAGCGACGTGCAGCGGGGTATTGCCATCCTTATCTCTCGCGTTGACATCGAGGATGCCCGCGCCGTCGGACAGGACGTACTCGACGACCTGGAACTCGGCGCATTGAATCGCAAGATGCAGCACGGTGGTGTCGTCGAGGCCGCCGCCGCTCAGAGTGCTGATGGAGGAAATGCTCGTTCGCGGGCCACCTTCGGCGGTGTCCCGAATGGCCTTGGAGATGGATGCAGTATCGCCGCTTCGCAGGGCCTCGACAATGCGAAACTTGCGGACGGACTGCTCAAGGGAGACGCCCTTCTCGCTCCCGACGCTGCTCATCTTGGATGTCAAACCGGCGGGTGGGCTGTTGTGGGATGGGATTCGGCCCATTGAGGGGGAAGTTGTCGAAAGACGGGAGGCAGAAACGCCGCGGGGGGCGTTTTGGGCCATGGATATGTTTGTCTGGGATGTCGCTGCTGAAGTGGGCGACGTCAGCGGCGCACCGTCGTCTGGACTGGAAGGATCTTCGTCGCCGCGGGGGTGGTTTCTTCGGAGTAGGGAGAGAGCTGCAGCCGACTTTGACCGCTTGTGGGTGCTGGAAAGTCAGGAGAGGTCAGCAAGTCTGTCTGCCAAGGTGCCAGGTCGGGCCGGAACAGCGAAGGTTGTTGCGACACTGCAGGACGCGTGGAAAGCTTGCAGCAGCGGGAGATGGTGTCTCGAAGGGCGAGCCAGAGGCCCATCAGATGTATGCCAGCCGATGTAGAGTTAAGGGAGAGGTGGCCGCAAACTTACCTATCACCAGCTTCCGACATTTTGGAGAGGAGCAGCAGTAATAGCAGCGGCAGCTGAAGCAATGGAGAAGCCAAGCTTCACAGGACAACAGCGGGCGGCAGCAACAGCGGGCCAGAAAGGTGGGTTCCCCACTCTCCTCGTAAGATAGTGTGAGTTTATATGTATTCGTATGTATGTAAATGGATGGAGCACCTGGTGAACAAGGAATGTGCAGTTTATGCTCGGGGCATTTATTGGGTACTCGGACCTGCTGATAGGCCAGGGAGAGGAGAATGAAGATGGGGGAAAGGCGGGTAGGTAAGGTATTTGGGGGGAAAGGTGAGACGTGCTTCGGTCGGCGAAAAATGGACGTTAAAGGGGACGACGACGACGGGTCGGATGAAGGCGGCGATGGTGAGGGGAGGGAAGGACCGCGGATTAAGGGTGCTGATCTGGAACAAGTCAAGAATCCGAGGGTAAAAGAAAGAAAGAAGGCGGAATTGGATAATGGTGGTGGTGTTGGGTTGATGCTGCCAAGTTTTGCCAGTCGCACGAGAACGAAACCGAAATAGTAAGTGATGCTCAGAGAGAGAGGCAAGAAAAGAACCTTAGCCCCTATGTCACCCTGCGGTACATGAAGCTTGATGACTGAACATCCAAACAAATCACCCCAGAGAGCCAAAGAGCCCCGGAATATCTTCACGCTATTTCGACATAGCCCCAATTGAATCTGGACTTGACGACGCTTGGAACAGCGCCTATTGTCTTTAGCCTTGAGCGCCGCCCCTCTTCTCCCTCCTTCCTTGCAGCAATCCAGAAATGACGTTCGTGGGTGCGAGTGGGGTTACGGTGGGGTAACGGAGCTGCCAATCATAGGTCTTCATTTTATTCCATGCAAGCGGAGTTTAGACCATTGCCCGTTCCGTGCAGCTCTGCATCACCACAGGCGCATCGGGTGCCAAGTGCGTATCTGTACTCAGGTACGAACAATTGTCATGCTGAGGAATAGGGTGTGACCTTTTTGTGTGCAAAGTCGACATGATCGACCTCATTTAGGGTAGTAACGGGATATGGTACACTTCCGTTCCCGTGTCAGCATCCCACCTTACCTTAAAATGCCTTACCATGAGGTCAGACTTATCGGCGGTTCTCGGCTGATAAGCTGCGCCAGAAGCTTCCATCCGAACACATTGGGTAGCTGCACGAACGACAACTCGAGCTTCTTCTGAGACTTCGTCATGTGTTTATGGCTTTATCAGATATGCATTCGCAGAACGAACAGGCCGCATCGTGCGTAAGGTACCTTAGGTAACGTATGCAAGTAAGATTCTTATCTGCGAGCCTAGATATCCCGGAGACCAATGCCGCATCCGAGCGATCCCATAACCTGGAACCGAAGATCCTTTTTCTATTTCCAAAGTAAACATGAAGACCATTGGCCTTGAACTGACACCATCCAATGTCCAGTTCGTAAGTTCAAAACATCAAATCTCCTACGTTACAAAAGAAAAGCAGCAGCAACTGCGGCAAAGCCCGCCAAACCAACGGCACCGACCTTGCCCGCACCGGCCTGGACGGGCTGGCTCGGCACCGGAGTACCCGATGTGGGTTTGCTCGGGGAACCGGTGCCCGGAAGGGTGGCCGCAATAGTGGAGTTGGACTTGGCCACGGCGGTGACGGGGATCGTCAGAGTCGTTCTCAACGTCGTCGTCAAGTCCATTCCATTGTTGCCGCCGTTGTTTGAGCAGTTAGCGCCGGTGCACTTGCCACTAGTGCCGACAGGAGTTGTCGTCGGCATGGGGGAAGCCGCACCTCCCGAAGGCTGGCTGCCGCCCTGGCCACCGTTGGGACCGGTAGCCTGAGGAACATCACCGTTGACCTTGGGAGCACTACCAGATGGCTGAGCAACGACCTGGCCGCCAGTGGGACCGGTGGGCTTGGGAACATCACCGTTAGCCATGGGACTGCCGGACGGCTGACCGACGACCTTGTTGCCGCCCTGGCCGGGGTTGCTCTCGGGGCTGTTCCCGCCAGTGACCTTGGGGGGCTGAGAGACATCTCCCGGCGTGGAAACCTTCTTGGATGGCTCGCTAGGGCCAGGCGTCGCTTCAGCAACAGGGCAAACAGTTGTGTACCACGGAACAACCTTCGTGGTGACTTGGCCGACGGGGCAGTTGGTGACAGTAGGGGCGCAAGAGGTGACAGTGTAGACCGAGGTGGTAAAGACGGTGCTAACAGTCATTGCCTGGGAAGCAGCAGCAGTATTCTGGGCGGCATCCGTTGCGGGACCAGGGGAAACCGAGCCGGTGACGACGGGCTTAGCAGCTCCGGAGCCTGGGTTGCCGCTGTCAGGACCGACGGGGGTAGGCAGAGGCAAGTCAGTACCAGCCGCAGCACTTCCAGACGCAGAGCCGCCAGATCCAGATCCAGATCCAGTAGCACTAGCCTGGCCCGAGACAGATGCGCTGCCAGTAGCCTGGCCAGAAATGAACCCAGTGACGCTGAGCGGACCGGTGGCAACCGGCTTAGCAGTTCCAGAAGCGAAGTTGCTGTCGGAGCCACCTGGGCTGGGCACAGGCGCGTCAGTACCTTTCGCAGCATCAGATCCGGACGGAGCAGAAGCGACAACACTTCCAGATGCGGAAGCTCCAGAGCCCGAGCCAGTAACACTGGCACTGACTGAGCCAGTGAGGAACGGAGTGACAGTCAGAGTGCCAGTTCCGCTGACAGAAGCAGCGCCGTTGCTACCATTGGGAGAGGAGCCTGTCGCAGCGCCGGTGACGCTACCGGAGGCTGCAGAGGCAGTGGCAATCTTGGTCGGCGTCGCGGAGGGGAAACCATCGTCATCCTCCTCACAGACGTCTGTAGCAGATGCCGAGGCAGAGTTGACAACAGTGGCGTTGGAGAACCTGCCAGGGACGCTTACAGAAGCCGAAATAAAGCCTGAAGCAGAGGCAGAGGCAGAGGAGATGATGATGGTGGCAGAAGCACTGGGAGCGTTACCAGACAATGATGCGCTACCAGATCCTGAAAGGGAGGCTGAGGCGGCGACAGAGGCTGATCCAGAAACTGGCCCAGAAACAGACCCAGAAACAGACCCAGCAACTGACGCGCTGGCGCTGACGCTGGCCGCCGCGGAAGCAGAGACAGTTACCGCAGCTGAAGCAGAAGCTGACACAGAACCTGAGATCGAGGCGTTGATGGAAGGAATGGCATCGCATCCGTACTTCAGAGCATCAGCAATAGCCACGTGGAAAGCCTGACCGCCGATGAGGTTCAAGCCACCGCGGGTAGCATCCCAGACAGAAACACCACCAAAGTGCGCCTTGCTCTTGACCTTGCAGATCAAGTCCTTGACGGTCGACGGGGAAACGTAACCAGCCCAGCCAGCAGCAGGGCTTGCCAGGACACCGATGTACAGCTTGGCATCCTTGCTGAGAGAGGTCTGGGAGAGGACAACCTCCCAGTCATCGTAGTTGGGAGTATCCGAGATCTGGCAGCCAGGGTTGTTGAAGAACTGGATGAAGAGCGCGTCGAACTTGACGGCGTAAATGAGGGCCTTCATCTGGAACCACTGATCTGCGGTTGGGCACTGGGGAGCGGCAGAGATGTAGTAGTTGGCGCTGCTTCGGAGCTTCTCGACCATCTTGATGTAGGGGCTGAAGTTGGCTATTGCATGTTAGCACTGACGACCGAGGGGTGGGAAATTGGTTGACCTACTGTACTTGAATTCCAAGTCAATGTCGAAACCGTCCACAGCATTGTGCTCAGTAGCGCTGATATCGAAGGGACGAGCTCCAGTCCAGCTCGCATCGTAGGGACCAAACATCTTGTGCAGAAGCTCGCCAAATTCCTCGCCTTGTTGGTCGTTATCGACGTCGTAAGGGCAGCCATTGCCTCCGGTCAAGGAGGTATCGCATTGGCCTCCGACGCTGAGCAGGACCTTAATTCCCTTGTTCTGGCAGTACTTGATGTCCTGCTTGATGAAGTCGCAGTTCATGATAAGCTTGGTGGACAGGCCGGTCAGGGGGTTCTTGAAGAACACCTCGCCTCCACAGTGACCAGCGAAGTTGGTGCCGGGAACACCACCACCGAACTTGGGGCTGTAGGTGACGAAGGAAAGGGAAACGGAAGTCACTCCGGGCGCATCGCAGTAGGCGGAAAGCCTGTCGTCGGGAAGCCCATATTGGCCCCAGTAGAGGTTGAGTCCTCCCAGGTAAGTGGAAGCCGTGACACTGGTCGAGGTTTTGACGTCGTGGGCCAGAGCTGAGCCGACGGCAGCGGCCGCAGCCATGAACGAAGTCTTGAAGTACATCTCGCCGTTGGTGATATTAGGGTATTAAAGATAGTATATCCGTCAGTATGGATAACGATAGTAAAGCGACCGAGGTCGAGGAAAGAATGTGGTGATGATCTGAGATCAACGAAAGGACGCAAACGAGATGTCTGCTCGGCTGGGACACACGCCGTCGTCTCTGGTTTCTTGACAGGACAGAGATGGGGTGATGAGGCAAGAGAAGGAAACAAGAAAACGAGAGGATGGCTCTCATTCATATTCTCGAATGTCGGCCGCCAACGAGCAGCGGCATGACGATGAAGCTACTAACTCCGTTGAGAAGAACATTGCCTCTAGGCACTGGATTGTGTGTACGAAGCGTGGTCGGAGGCTTAGGACACAATCTCCCCCATAGTGAACTACTATAATAGGGGAGATATTCATGGGAAAGCGTGGAAGCCATCGACGCCCCAAAACGGCGCCAGTTTTAGTGTCGACGATGTGTGCGAGAAACGACTGAAGTGCCATTGCAAGTTGAAGAAGTCTGGTAATAGCCCAGCGGTTGTCGCCAAAAGGGGAAGCGCCTCCTCCGCCGGCGCGCCTCAGGCGGTTCAGCGCTGCTAGCGCGAATTACAACAGGAACAGCGCCGCTTAACCGCTCTCACTTGCCAGAAATAGGGGTCATCCCCTGAAATACCACACCAGACGGGTAGCCAACGACGAGAATGTCTCCGGGCAACCATTGACAACCTCACTGATGTTCCGGATGGTTCTTGGTTTCTTTTTTCCTCAGCCAGGTTGGCAATAACACCTAGAAGAGGGGAGACTCAACTAGCATAACGGGAGCCCTCCTGATGTAAGTGCAAGTGTCTTAAGATGGGCAAATGTGCAACCGCCTGCTTTCTTCTAAAACAACTTTTAATCAGTTGACGAAGTTTCAACACTGCCTGTTCATTTTCCCACTCGAAGCTATTTATTGCTTCCAGGTTTCTTAAGTGAACAAGTGAAGAAACAATCGAGGATGGACACTGCCTAACGTTCGAGAAAGTCTAGAAGCGATCAGCGGTTGCGAAACCACGTTTGGCGACGGCTTCCATGCCTCGTGTTGAATCCAACTTGGCCGCGCATGGTCCGAGTGACGGAGACTTCGGCAAGGCTTTTTTTACACATCGCGACCCGAAGAGTAGAATTACCCGTCTTGCCGATAAACTGATCTTTCCTTTCGCGATCTAGGACTCCCCATCGCGCGCGCAAATTGTGAGAGAAAGGAAATTGGTGGCTGGAAACTGGCGTTTGATGATCCGGCCGCTCGGTAACCGCTTCACCCATCAGAGTTCTTTTTCTAGGTGTCTGTCTCTATCTCTCTTACTCGCTCACTCGCACGTTCACTTTCATAGAATTTACCGCGTATTACGCCATCATTTCTATTCCCTTATCGCACTAGGTGCCAAGACCCCGGTTCGAACACTGCTATTTGCGTCATGAACCGGCAATTCCTGTTTCTCGCTCAACGCCGAGGATGAGGCACATCGCGACTATTGATTCTACTGAACCACCACCGCCTAAAAACAAGGCGTTCGCGGACTCAGGAGAAGTGAGGAGCAGGCTTGCAGTAACCATCCGGCCTTTGCTTCATCACTGATTGTCGGGCGGTCTGGACCGCAAAAGCACGCTGGTCCCTCATAAGCTTACAGTTGAAGACGAGGATTGGTGGTCTTCTGTGAGTAGACATCTCATCCAACTCAGGCAAGGTCTTTCACTCACTCGCTCATGAAAATTAGCAAGTGAGCCACTGATCCCACTTAAACTGGTTGAGGAGGATGTGACTCGAATCTCATGAAGCAATACTTTGAACATGTAAACGTCCTCCTACACAAAACGTCACGTAGAACTGTCCCAAAAAGGCAAGTGCCAAGCCTGGCTCGCTACCCTTGCTGAACCCCTCATCATGGCAGGCCCTGATGAGGACAGGACCTATTCCTTCTTCCTCATTCGACTTCATCAAAGCACATCTGGCTTACGTCTTTGTGGAAATAAGAACTTTTTCGATAAGCCAAAGCCGACATTATGTGAGCCACGTTCCTCTACGCCTCACTCAGGGTCTCACCCCTCAAGTCCACTCCTTCAGCCACATCAGATCATGGCTTCATCATGCTTCATCAAAAGCGACGACACTGGTCCAAGACAAGTCCTCATAACGTATAAATGGTGTGATTTTCTCGTGATATATCAAGCCCTAAGTCTTGTATTTCTTCTTCCCATACTGTAATTCCGAACACATCGATTTCCTCGATGTGTCCCCGTTCAGCCCTCAACGCCAATCACAAATGAACCCCTCAACACCACGCTAAACCCAAGAACCAAAAAGCTCACTCACAATCTCACACATATCACCATGCCCGGCGCTCAACCCCACGTCATCCCGTCGTCCTTATCCTCCTGGTGCTGGTCCGCCATCCTCTCCTCCTCGGCCCCGAGCATCCCGATATCCTTCCACCTCAGGGGGTTCTGCTCCCAGCCCCACTCGATCCTGAAGTCCACGCCGCGCGCGTCGAGGTACCACGCCACGAGGCACTCGATCGAGCACGGCGCCGGCCGCGGGCAGTCGCTCGCCAGCGGCCCGGACGGCATGTCCTCGCACCCCGAGAAGTCTCGCAGGGCGGGTCTGTCCGGGTTCGACGCCAGATCGACCATCTGCGCGAAGCGGTCGTGCATGTAGAGCCAGTGCTGCATGGATGCCGGGGTGCCGTAGGCGATCTGGTCGGTCGGGCCTAATTTCCAACCACGTTTAGCTCACGTCGTCATTTCCTCAAGAGAGGTAAGAGTAACTCACCGACGCCAACGCTCCCCCTCATCCGTGCACAATAAAAGTAATGCTCCCCCTTCGGATGCGGCAATATAAGCGCGTCGCCCATCTCCTCCAGGGTCTTGAACTCCGGCCTGCCCCAGAACGAGGTGTCCGGCCTGATCCTCAACACGGTGTCGTGCGTGAACCCGTTCGTCACAGTCCACGCCCACCACTTCTGCGCCGCCAGCGAGACCGTCCTGAGCTGGTTGTTCAGCCTCCTCAACCGGTCCCCGCACGGCGCAAACATGGCCTCTTTACCACCCGGATACTCCTCCTCCGCCTCGGCGACGGGCACGACATCAACGGACCTCAGATGTGTCCCGTAACACTCCCTCAGCTGTGCCTCGATCGATTCGGGCGTCCGGCCATGGACGTCAATGTCCGCTTGCTCGTAGAGCATGTAAGCGAAGACGTCGATTCGGGAAAAAGCTGGATGGTCGTTGATGAGCTGCTCCATGTGCGTTTTACATGTTACGTGGTTGGTGCGGTACAGGCCCGCTACGATGACGGCGAGGCTACGGTCCTTCTCGTGGTGACTCGGCGGGACGCGGAGGTCGCAGACGCCGGCGAGGGTGAGCTTCCCGTCATTGGAAAGCTCCAGGTGGCTCGACGTCTTCTCCAGCAGCGAAGCGTCGCGCGCCTGAACAATACCGCCGGGATTCTTGCACTTCGGCTCGAGGTCGCTGTGCCATACCGTCACCCAAGTGTTCTTCAGCATGGCGTTGACGACCAGACGCACGTGGCCCTTGTGCTTCTCGACGGCGACGGTCCGGCCTCCCGAGTGTCGGTCACCCGTTCCCGTCCACCATAGCGGGTGAGCGGTGCCGTCGATCTGGTAGTATGACAAGACGAGATCGCCGTCGGGCTGGAGGGCGAGTGTATATCGCCCGTTCGGCGACGTGAAGATCGGGTTGCCGACGGACAAGAGGATGCCGTCTTCATCGGGCGACAACACGGCCGCCTGTACGTCGACGTCCGCGTCAGTTGCCTCCGGCAGTGGTGTTTGCGGCACCGGCACGGGTTCGGCCACGGGTGTCGAGCTCTTTGTCGGGTGATGCAGCCCAGGTACGCGAAGCCCGGAAGTCGCGACGTGCCAGTCGGGTTGTAATACAAGCGCCGCGGAGGCGAGGAACATGATCAGGGCGGCGATGACGATTCTCGACCGGCGCGAGGCGCCGGCCGAGCGGAGACGAGCCCATCTGGTTTGATTCACTATCATGGCGTCGGTGTTAGTCGGTCCCATGGTCCCCCTTTTCTCAGTCTCCTTCTCTTTCCTGCCACCTCTACTTCTTCCTTGAAAGCGTCTCGAGGATGTCGAAAATGAAGGTGAGCCGAGGGACGAACAGAGAAAATGCTCTCAGATCCCGACGTGAAAGAAAAGAAAAGACGAGGGGACTGACTCTACGAGAACAGACTTGCGTTTGCTCCCCTTACACACAAAGAAGAACCGGGAACAGAGAAATCGAGGCGAACACCCCGCGTCTATATCAGATGACGCTCGAACAGCCGTTGAGCTCTGACCTCCTTTTTTTTCTGCTGAACGGCAGTGTAAACAATTCCACGGAAAGGGAGGGAGGGGGGATGAGAGCGAAAATAGACTTTGCGTTTTGTTGCGACGACTCGTAAGCTCCCTGACAACCCCCAGGAGGCCAACCATCCACGTCAGGGTTCGCAGGAGGAAGCTTGTGGGTAACGGTGTTGTATTTTCGGGCGTGTGGGAGGTAAGTTAAGGGCGGAGACTTTCTCTTGTCGTGATCGATCGGGGTCGGCGGGCGCCTCAAGTCGAACTCTGACGGGGCCAATCCTGGGAGGAATCGAGGGTAGAGTTGGGTAGAGCCGGAGTCAAAAGGGCTGGAGGAGCGCGAGTTGAGATGAAGACGGCCGAAGTCTGAGACGACGGCAGGGGAACCTCCTGTGCGTGGAAGGTCTTGGCGGCCGGACTGCCCGGCGTTTTCCTTCTCTCTCAGGTTGAAAAAGGTAAACCTTCTACGTAGTCAGAGAGAGGGAAATGATCTGTTGCTGCTGTTGCTCAAGCCGTCCCAGTGTAGGGATGACAAGCCTAGGCGGCAAATTAAACAAGAGATGACTGGGAAAGGTGTGTTGGATGAGCTCGTCTGGGCTGCTGCTAATCAAAGGCTGCCAACTCAACCATGCAGCAAATGAGAAGAGGAAGCGTTTGTTATAGGACCGTAGCAAACGAATCAAAAGATACCAAGAACCAATACTTCGGTTCACGATGCAAGACAGAAGCACTCTCGGGCAACACGACAGCCGGATCAAGACGCCCAGACGAGCCGTAAGCTCAAACTGTCGGGCCAATCGGGCGGGTACCAGCTGAGCCTCCGGATGCATGATGCTTCGGCACGTTCCATAGGTCTGGGTAGACCCATGGCCCCCAATCACGATGGTCCCTTGAGGAGGAGTTGTTCTCTCTCGCTGATGTGGCACCCCGTCATCTTTCGCCCGGCTTAGCGCTAAAATGACGGCCCTGCGGCACGGGTGAGGCTTGGTAGTAAGACGTTGACGCGCGCCGAGGCGGCGGCCCACCGTCCGGTCCGCACGATATCGAATACGAGGTTGATTCTATGAGAATGAAAAGCGTTTGTCACGATAAAGTGACGGCCTACGCAGTGAGACGGGGTCCGGTGAAAAGTCGAGAACGCCGGGGCCGGCGGGGTTTGAGTGAGAGTCTGCGATCCCCTGCAAAAATGCTTATCTATGTCGTACGGCGACGTCGTGCTCAGGCCTGGCCATGCCGTTGGATGAAAATGCTTTTTTTTATTGATTGCAACTGTTTTCGATTGCACAGCCTTCGTACCAGATATCTTGGCCGCAGGAAATGCTTACGCGACGTTGATAGGATCTGCTTGGCGTTCGGGAAGCCTGGGGAGGGAGAAAAGACGGACTGGATTGCGCCATGGATAAAACGCGCGGACGCCGTCCAAACCGTCCTCCAATGAATGACTCTTTCCCAGAATCTGGGCGAAACAGGGCTGGCCAGGCATGGGAGGAAACCGAATCGACACCGACCCTGCACTTGGGACAAGCAAATGAACAGTTCACTTGCCAGCCAATGCTGTGAGTCCAGACGGTCTCCGGCTTTGACGTCGTCGAATGGTCGTGCGGCTCACAGATGCGCCGATATTTCCCGTTGACTGGTAAGCTAAAATCAGTCGGTCAATAAGAAGCTAAGTGTCAGATCTCAAGATGGGGTGGTCGTGATAAAGCAAGAGGAAATCAATGGTCGATAAGGTATATTAATATTTCTTCTCTCGTAGAAACGAGCGTTCATGTCCAACTTGAACAGGGAAAGGGAAATTTTCCAAAAGCCTGTGCTCAAACGAAAGACATGACACTCGTCTTGGCGTTCAAACGTCGTCGAAAAACCCCTGCATTAAAACCGTAACTCATGTCGAAACGAGCGACTCCGTCCCCGAATCCAAAAAAGCCACGAGCGACCTCGCTCAGGCGTATTGCCCCTCGGAAGCAGCCATCTGTCGCTTACGCGCGTCGTTGATGGCCTTGAGCTTCGCGGTACCCAGACCAGCCACGCCTTCCTCCTGGTTGTCGCCCAACCAGGGCTTCTTCGAGTCGCCCAACATGCTGCCGGCGAGGAAGTAGGCGACCTGGCCGAGGATGATGAGGACGAAGGCGATGGGGTACATCCAGTGGATGGCGTAGCCGAAAACGTTGACGCCGATGATTATGCCCCAGAAGTTGCCGGTCAACAGCGAGATATTGTAGAAGGCGGCGCTGGCCATGCGGAGAAGGACCGGGACCAAGCTGTAGAACAGGCAGAGAGCCAAGGTGTAGCCGACGAGGTAGCCGGCGGCGGCGCCGTTCCACGTGGCTTCGCGGAAGGACTGGCGGTCGAAGATGGCGGCCTGCACTCCGTTGATGCACATTCCCCACATCCCCATGAAAGAGAGCACCTCGTAGACGGGACGCTTGCTGACGAACCACTCCTCAGTGACGTTGGTGATACCGTACAGAGTCGCACCCAGCAAAGCGAAGAGATCGCCCTTCAACAAGTCTACACCGGGGCCACCGTTGGAGCCGGTGATGTGGTCGGAAGCCAGCAGGACGCCGCAACCACCAATGGCAACGACAATGCCGAGGATCTGGAAGATCTTGTAACGAACCTTCAAGAGGGTGAAGGAGATGATCATGACAATCACGATGGCCCAAAAGTTGAGGAGCTGGGCAGAGAGAAGGTTGGTGTAGCGGTAGGCAAGAACGGTGAAGTAGTTGCCCTCGACGTCGAGGAAGGAGAGGATGAAGTACTTCCAGCCGTCCTTCAGCACGATCTTGGCCCACTTCTTGAACCCATAGTGCCAGATGGTGATGGGGAAGTAGATGAGGAAGAGGAGGATGTAGTTGAAGACGGTCTGGAAAGCCGGGATGGAGACGCCGTTTGTGGAGAGCAGTTGCGAAAAGGTGTTTGTTGAGGTAATGCACAGAGCGAGGACCTGGCCGATGAGGAGGACGATCCAGAAGTCGACGGTGGTGAAGTAGCTCCACCAGTGCACCTTTTGCGCCTCGATGTTCTGCAGTCCCTGGTTCACCAGCTCGGACTCGTCAGCGCCGCTGGTGATCTGGGTGGTGGTCACCGGGGGGTTGCTGAGGTTCTTGGGGGAGTCTTCGACAGCCATCGTGGGTAGTGGCTCGTAGGCGTGTGTTGCTCGGTGAGGATCGGCGGTTCTACTCGTGAAAGTCAATCGCGAGAGCGGTAGCGACAGTACGGAGTCGAGGCGTGAGGCAGCGCTTGGCATACAATCTGGAGACGCGGTCAGCCGCCGTCGCACGACATTATGAGAGGTTCAACGTTGATCTCACCTATGCAAGAGCTCGTTCAAACAGAGTCGTCGGCGCGAAGTATCTCAATCCTTGTTTGAGATGTTTTCGTCACGGTAAGTGGTGATATTCGTTAATAATACTGCTTTTTGGCCTTTCTCGTCCCCTGGCAGCAAGCGCAAAGACTCCAAGTCGCCTGCTGGTGATTCTATCTTGCGATAGAACGGCACATAGACCGATGCGCCGGGAAGTGGTAGTTGAAGAAGTCGGCCGAGATGGCGCAACACATATGACTGTCGTCTAGGAGCTTGGAGCAGGTGGTGTTGAGTACCCCGACAGAGAGACAGCGATTGCCTGTCTTCCTCTTTTCGCAGCGCGTGACGGAACTGATGGCGGTTGAGACCGGCGCAAAACTCTCAGTCGCGTGGGAGGGTGGGAGACGTGAGAAATATGAGGCTAAAATGGCGACGGTCAGATTTTATCGAGGTGACATCCCAGCAGAAAAACTTTCCAGATGCTAGGGGAGCTTCGCGCTATCGCTACCGTGTGGTAAGGATGTCGATAATGGTGCCAGGGACTCCAGGGAGAAGGTGGGGAGCTTCTGCAGTTGCCACGAGGTGTTGGATGGTCGTTTGGTCCTTCAGTGGTCTGCATGTGACGTTCCGCACGCCTGACTGGCCCGGGCTTCGTTACCGCAACCGGCCCTTGACGGCGGAACCGGCCGATTACAGTGTACCCCCCCAATTCCAATGGACGGTGCGCCGGCCAAGATGCCATTCAGAGACCAACATCCCCGTCGATCAGCGAGTCGGCCGGGTTCTGGCTCGCCTTGGGAGGGGCACCTGGTCCGTGTTAGCGTCCTTTTTGGCAGTTGGCAGGGTCCGATGGTGGGGGCCGGCGCCGGGCGGCAACCGCGGGCAGCGGGGGTCTCAAAATCCTTTCTGCTCATCCTCCCGACAATCCTCCCGACAGTGACACCATCAATTTTCCGACGGCGTGGGTTGGAGAAACATGGCGTTTCCAGCTGAAAATTCGATCCTCAACCGCTGTCTTGGGTCGGGTTTTATTGGTCAAGATGGACAGATATCCCGCGCAGGTGGTACAGGTTGGCTAATGTGGCGTCGATAACCACAGGACCTTGGTGACTTGGCCAAGCACGACTGACCTTCACAATGGGAGAGTTGAGATCGAAAGTGTTCCACTGCCAGGGCTTGTTTCATTCCAAGTGGAACATAGCGACATATGGTTTGTTTCTGACTTCTTCACTTGCTTGTCCTCGAGACTGAAGATAAAGGGTTTCCAGAATATAATGAGAACGAACTCATTTCTGCTTTTATAGAGGATCCAATTGTGAAACGTGTAAATGATTACAGTCCCCGGCACCATCAGCTTCAAGACCATTCCTACTCTTTCAAGATAAGCGAGAGCAACAGCGGCTTTTTCAACCTCCCGTGCTTTAACTCCTTGGATCTTCACTCCAGCCCGGATTCTAGCAAGGTAATGAGATTCGACTGCTTCCACCAGCCGCCTGCGAACTAAGCTATCTGGCGACGAGGAAAACCTTCCACATCGTCAGTCACCACCGCAATTTGCTCTGTGCCCTGAGTCTACAGTACAGCAATGTAGACTCCCTTCATCTGGCAGTACTTGCTCTCTCGCTCCCATGTTTTGATGCGACCCCGGACTCCATACTCATTCCAGTCATCCGCTTCCATGCTCAGGCGAATATTGCGGTCTGGGTGTACATCAATGTGCGAGAATGCTAAGAACATGTTTTGCGGTTTACGGCACATGACTTTGCTGAAGTCAAACCAGCCTTCGTCACGATCGGTCCAGTTATGGTGGAACGGGAATTCATAGACTCCCGAGCGAATGCTAGAGTCGTCTGCCTCGTGGGCTACCCATGTCGCCCCTATGTCATACACCACGGAGTCTGAGTGGCATCTCACAGTCAGTCACATGAAGCAAGAAAGAGAAAGGAGAAAACCTGCCGTGCCATGTGTTTAAGTGAATCTTGAAGCCCTCGTCGGTGACTTCGTCAGCGTAGACGCCGATACGAATGTATCTGCCCTTCATCGTATCGAAACGGCTGATGAAAGCCACAACTCGCGGGTTCCTCATCGGTCTCGCAAACTTGACCCATTTCGACACCGGGACGCCGGGGCTACGGTCATTCGGATCACTCCTGATGTCCGCATAGCTCTCGTAGCCCGTCTGCACCCGGCAGTCGTTGGCGTTGAAGCTGAGCACGTTGCTGCTCGCGTCGATGAGATCCGTGTCCTTCCACGTCTTGATGACAACGTCGTACCCACGACCTGATTGTATATTGTCAAGCTCTGTCGCGATGCGAAAGTTTCCGTTGATTCCCAGGTTCAGCATGGAGAGACCGGCGACGCACTTCGTCGTCTGCGACACCTGGCACCATTGCTTTGCGGGCTTGTCCTCGATGTTCCACCCACCCGACCACCCGCTCACTTCCTTTGCCGTGATCCGGGCGCTGTGGCAGTCCAAACCGCCGTAAAGCCGTTTGAGAAGTGCTATGGAATCGCGATCGAGCTTATTGCCGCCACGGAACTCGTCGACACCTGACGTGCTCAGGGAGGCTGGACGATCGAAGCCCATCACTGAGTGCGAGCTCGTCATGGAAAGGTTGCCTTGATCCTCCTTGACCATAGCAGCGATGGCAGTGCCACAGTATTTCTCAAGCTCGGCATTGTTCCATAACGAGGACCAGTTGGCTTTTGCATGAGGTCTTGAGTATAGTTCTCATTAGCAACGGCAGACAAAAGGTTGCGATAGGAAGGGGGAACTCTTACAACCCCAGTGCATGACCAAACAGATGCAAGGCAACCCGCTCGACATTCTTATGAGTGAAAACGGTCTTGTTCTCTTTCCAACCACCGAGACATATGTTCATCGTCGGCTCGTCCTGGCTGTACCGGGCGGCATAGGACCCCAGGGCACTCCAATCGGGCTCGTTGTTGTCAACCGACACGCGGATATCGGCTTCCCCAGACTCGACCCATGTCACCTTCAGTTCAGTGTCAATGGTTTTGAGCCACTGTTGCGAGGCATCTATGATGATCTTCTCGATCTTCTTAAACGTCTTGTGTCCTGGGAGAAACTTGACGAGGATCTCCTTGTCTCCCGGCCAGGCGAAGTTGTCAAAGGTTTCGATCTGGTCGTACTGCCAGTTCTTGTACCCGCAGAACGAGCCGTTCCGGGGCCCAGGGGCGCAGAAAAGGAGGGGGGCCTTGTTTGTCAAGGCTGAGGAAGAGCCAGCAGTCATCAGTGTTGTCGCCATGATGTAAAGTTTTCGAGAGTTGGAAGTTTCGTAGGAACAGGCCTGTTGCTACTACAAGACGTCTGCGTCTCGAATTTGGGTTATAACAGCACCGCATAATATCCCAACCTGCCCGTTTTTCATCTTGGCTGGTCGTTGAAAACACCGCCCGTTGCTGATCGCCTAACTAGTAGTCGAAACGTATTTACCGAGACACAACGTGAGAGCAAACCCGAACTTGAATGTGAGGCTGAGTCTAGTCCAGCCCCTAGACTTCAAGTCTAGATAACCCCGCATTATCTAGTATCCGTGATTGGCTTCAATGAAGGCTAGATCACATGGAAGAAGCCAGCCATGCATCCAAAGCTGATAGAAACGGCAGTGATGTGTTAGTCAGTGTTCCAGGGGCAGGAATGGGTCTCGCGCCACATCAATAGTCTCATAGCAAGTATGTGGAGAGTAAAGCTAGCTCATCTACTTTTTGACCACGCGGCTGAACATCCAAGCTTCACCTCTCTTTCAGCCTCGACGATCATGTTCACTTGGTCTACCAGGCGTGCCAGCCATGACGGATGCCAAGCCCATCTGGATTTGCTGCGGTGATAGTACTGTGCACCAGCCATTCAGCAGATTTAGCCGAAGGTCAGTCATCTCATTGCCTGAATTGTGTTTGACGAGAAGTATCTCAATCACTAGTGCGTGATGTCTGGATGTTGATGACACGTAAGGTTACAATTCAACAAGTAACACAAACCGGTGTTTGTGTTGATTCGATTCGTTTGATGACTGATATCCGTGAAAACATATCAGAAAAGAGTTTCATATGTCCTCAAAATGACAGAAAAGTCGAGCACAAATACACAAGTGCTCCAGACGTCACTGATCAACTGGGGCTGAGACCTGGGCCCGAATTGGTATGTGCCACTGCATGATATTTATGTGGAAGCTTAAGCATGGCGGGCTTGGCGAGGAACGCAGACCTGCCAAAACGTGCCTTCCTTTCACACAAACTTCTGCCATCTGATTTTATGACTTCATTCTCCGAAAGCTGGCAGGTTCATCTAAGCTAATGGCAAAGTCTATCAGATACTAGCTCTGGTCCGTTGCACTTCGCCTCCGCAGTTCTTTTGATCGTCAACCGTTGCCATGCGACATCATTTTCGAATTAGTTCACTTCCATGTGCTGGTGGAAAGTCGTGGTCGGAAGGTGAAAATAAGAACAGCTCACGCAGGCTGGAGATGATGTCTGGGCAGATCCATCCACATCCACATCTGATGCTTCTGAATTGTTGCATCATCACAATCATCACCTCCCTTACCGAAACCCAGCAAACATGACGCTTCATGACATTCTTTCTCCTAACCGGAAGATCTATGAGTCGCGTACAGCGAGCTCGTATCTTTCGAGCAGGTTGATCACCCACAATGGAGTCACCGTTGCCATCGCCCTCGGAAGAAGAGAGGACCGCTCTCTCTTTTTCGACTACTCAGTTCTCGACATGAACGCGGCGGACGCAGATCCCGCATCAAAGGCCAAAAACAAGGCCGATCTGTCAGACCAGCTCGATTCTCAGTGCTGGCTTGAACAGGCGAAGCCGCTATCGTTTCCTTCCGAGGTTCGCGTAGCCAGCGAAGAGGCTGTCCCGGTTTACGAGATTCCCGGGGTCGACCGCACCAACTCACGTGTGAGCGTCGACCAGCCGGAGAAGAGATGCCCGTGGAAGTCAACCACAGTGAACCTTATGGACAGAGACGTTACTCACTTTGAGGTCCTCTCCAACGGCAGGTACATATATCTCTTCCGTCAGGGGCAGGCGGCATCGTCCGCGTGGGCCAACAGCTTTATGACCGCTGACGGCGATGGCGTCCCTCCGGTTGATGGCAACCTTCTTTGCGATCGGTTCTCGCTCGTCGGCACCAATCTGAGCCCGGCTCTGGAGGCCCGTTACCGTCGCAGTCGTCAAAAACGTATTCCGCTAAACGACCAGGACACTCTGGGCATTCGGGACATCAATGACAAGACCTTCTACGAGCCCACGTACTCTCTAAAGTTCATACGAAATCTCGTTGGTGGACGCTTTTGCGTCTTGAGGGCACCGACCATGACGAACGACATCTATCGCTGGATGTTCTTCGCCTACTCCAGCTGCTCGCGTCAGATTGAATACACCTCAACTGATGTGACGAGCGATGGTCTATTCGACCTTCATGGCCAGGTCTACTACACATGCGATAAGACTCACCTTCCGACATTTACCAACGCACCGGGTTCGTGTGTTGCTCTGACGGAGGCCGGCACTGTTTGCGGCAAGCCCAAGATTCCTATCGTACCGAAGTGTCCCAAATCGACGCGGTCTTTGCAGACGGCGTCCGATGTCTCGCTCAGGCTTCAGCAACCGATCAACTTCTCCGACGCCAAGTTCGAGGCTGGCTTCACGCTGGAGGCCTGGATACGTCCCAAGGCTTTCTGGGATCCGAACGCTGGTCAGTCTTCCACCAAGAACGATTCCGCCAAGAAGGACGAGGTGAAGAAGGACGAAGGAAAAAAAGACGAGGGGAAGAAAGCCACAGAGCCTTCGATTTCACTGCCTCCTTCAGGATCCCTGTTCTGCATTTTCTCTCCATCTCAAGGAAGTGGGATGGCAGTATACCTCAATGACAAACTTAAGCTTGTCCTCAGCCAATCCGGCAGTTCAGAAGTGCTGGCGACATCTGACGCTGCGCTGAAAGCCAACGCCTGGAACCATGTTGCGATTACGTACAGAGGAACCGATTCTCGCAATTACACGCTTGTTGTAGACGGCGAGACAGCGGAGACTTCTGGAACACAAAAGCCATCCGACATGTACACTCTGCCTCAGTCCTCCCTTCCTGGGACTCTGGCTGGCCTCGACTCCGAGGAGGGCAAGCCTGGGAGTTCTTTCATTGGTGCCATTGACGAAGTCCGACTCTGGAGCCAACCCTTCCACCCCGGCACCATCAGATCGAGGATGCACACTCGTGCTACCGGAATAGAGCCGTTCCTAGAAGCCTGTTGGCACTTCGACGAGGGGGCCGGGGGTCTCGTTTTCGACTGTACCTCTAAGAACCACACGATCAACGTCACTCAAGCTGACGGGTCAGAACCGAGGCCGAACCTGTGGGAGGCTGCTGCTGCACCCCTGATAGAAGGTCGAGGCCTTACTCGCAGACAGTTTCGCCTCCCCACAGGTGTCACTGTCTGTGGCGGTATCGGAACCACCATCTATAACGAGCAAGTCACCATGTCTGAGGCCAAGCCTGAGGATCCGGAAACGAAGCCAAAGGCGGAGCCACCCAAGCAGATGAAACGCGGTGCTCGCGTGTTGCTGTGCTTCGTGGCCAAGACCTCTGAGCGCCAACAGAGGCTTGCAGTTCTCGATTTTGGATTGCTTTCCAACGGCCTTCTTTGTGATACTCCCGTATCACTGCCTCTTCCCGTTATAAGGCTCTCTCCAAGTGCGCGAGCTTCAACAGAACTCGTCTACGTCGACGCTCAGGGAGTGGAAGTGTTCGGCGGGCTTCTATTAGAAGACAAGGTGCGGTGTAGCTCTGAAGCACCCTGCGCTTTCGAGTCCGCCACAGGGACAGTTACTGTCTTCTTTCAGAGCGAGGACAAGCTTTTCTCAGCTCTCTATTACGATATCTCGCGCTCCGTCGTCGTGGCTTCCACCTCCGCCCTCGTGGGGCATGACGGTCTCCTGGCGAGGAGCAAGTTGCGTAAAGCGAAGACCCTTACGATTAAGACGGATATTAGCTCAAACGCACCCAAGAGCTTGGCTATAAACCTTATCTTGACAGCCAACATGGCTGATGGATCGAAGGTGGTTGAGACGTGGAAAAGTGAGTCAACTAATACTCTTGTCATACGCCGTGTTTACTAACCAGGCGACCCCATGGGAATAGATGTGCCATCTCAATTCAGCAAACTCCTTCCTTTGATCAACGGGACGAGACTTAAGGACAACAAGAACAAAACTTCTCTTGGGACGGCCGAGGCCAATTCACTGGTGAGATCCCGAGACTGAAGCTATCGTTTAGCTACGAGATGTGTGCAGACTGCTAATCGCACAGGCACAGGATACCAGAAGCACGTTTCTCGACATATCTTGCTGTATCATCAAGCTGGTTCAACCACTTGAGATATCCATTCCAGCTGGATCTCGAATCATGATAGAAGCTAGTCGCCGATATCTCGTTCTGCGAGACGGAAAGCTTGGGGATGTGACCCTTACTGCATCTCCGTATATGGCCCCTACTCTTGAAACGAAGCTGGAAAGTCTAGTCGTCTGCATATTGGAGTATGATTTCGATGTGTCCGTCAGCTGCCAAGGCAAAGCTGCCGGGGACTTCGCTTCGGGATCGACCTTGGTCGAGTTGATACCGGGTGCCGATACGAGCCAACTTGACGGGTGCTTCGAGGCCCCTGTCGAAAGTTCCATCACCGGAGATGGGAAGAGCCCCTACTTTTCCTCGTCGCCGGGATCTACTGCGTTGAAGCTCGGAGGCGACGACGTCTTGACGATGCTCAGCAACCCCTCCAAGACTGCCCCGTGTTCTGGAATGACCTTTGAGAGCTGGATCAAGGTAGAAGAAGCCGCTCGGAACTCCATCGCTATTGCGTATAAGTCCACGCATTTACCGCGGACCGAAGGAGGCCCCGAAGAACATCAAAAACTTGTCCTCGGTGTGCCTGCTGTTACCGACCAGCTCACCCTCGTGGGCAACATCAACGGCTGCAAATTCTCCCTCAGTCCACATGCCGAGCTAGAGTGGGACACATGGGCTCATATGGCATGCTCGGTGCGTCATACTTTTGCTCTGAAGCTCACAGGGACAGAGTACGTGGATTTGGGCGATGCTCAAGAATTCAATGTGTCGGATTTCACGCTTGCCTTCACGTTGAAGCTCGACAAGATTGGCCCAGAGGAGCAGATCCTCTTTTCCAAGGCGGACTCCGCAACCGACAAGAAGACACCTTTATGCCTTAAGGTCACTTCGGAAGGTCGGCTTCGATTGGAGTACCTGGCCGAGGATGAGAATGGGGGCACGTGGTCGGAGACTTCCTTCGAATCGCGTTCTGGGACTCTCCAGGCTGGAGTCGCCTATAAGATATTTGTCTCGCGAAAACTAGACTATGCGAACAAGCCGGACCCATCTTCAAAAAAGGTGACGAACACGCCGTCAGTAAGCAAGTCGAACGAATCAAAAGGAAAAGCGACGGATTCAAGCGAGTACAAAGCACTCAGACCGTGCCAACTTGTCACGATGCGTGTTTGGGACGCCGATGGAGGATTGCCTATCAAAGAGACACCACGAACAGTTGCGGAGATCACCAAGACAGTAAACGGTTGGGAGGGCAAGATCCCATTCTTGGATTTAAACCCCGAAATACATGGCCAAGCCCAGAGCAACGATTCGCCCCTGTATTTCGGCGGTGCTCCTTGGGCTGGAGGAAAGGGACTCTGCGGCTCGATCGGCTCGATATTGCTCTACTCCGCCGCCACTGCCGTAGCAGACGTTGCCACAAGCTTGTGCTCAACGTCGGCATCCGAAAGGTCACTTCTCGGATGGTGGTCATTCCGCAATGTCAGCGGCTCCTCCATCGTTGATGAGCTCGGCCGCAATCACGGCAAGCTCAAGGGACAAGCGGCATGGGTACCGTCGCCGTTTGAAGCAGACAACCAACTCCGCATTTTTGTGAACGGCGTACCGGTTGACGTAAATCGTTCAGGTCAAGTGCCAGACTTGCTGAAAGATGAACCAGTGGGCACTCATCAGCTGACACTGGGCAACATCATGCTCGGTGACGACACAACACGATACCTCGGCGAAGCCAACAACTTCCGCGGGAAGCTTGACGAGCTACGAATATGGTCGACACCACGGACCAGAGAGAACATCTGCGACTCGATGCACACGCGCTTGCCCAATGTTCCATCTGATATGGCGGTTTACTTATCGTTCGATAACCAGGACTCAGTCATTCGGCTTCCAGGTGTCTCGGAGAGCGGCGAGTCAGCAATCCTCATAGATGATTCCATCAACTGCTGGCATCTGACGGCACTCCACGGAGGTTCTCCCAAGAAGGTCCCTTCCAGTGCTCCCATCGGATATGACGCGCCATGCGTAACACACGTCTTGAGCTCTGCAGTCCAGGCTCACGGGGGCGAACCCCTATTGATTAAAAGCCGTCCTTCCGTTTCTGAGTATGGGGACATGCAGATTGGTGCCAGTGGATCTATGGAAGGCAGCTACAAACGAGCTTACACCTATATCAACGAAGGCGACTGGTCTCTTGTCACTGGCTTCCGCCTTGGCTCACTTCTCACGGAATGGGTCAGTCAAGTTCAAACAGCGCCCACGCTCATCGGCTATATCGAAGGTGCGCCGCCACTTCCTGCCGACAGCTTTACAGACCCAAACAAGAGCCCCTCCACCTCCGTTCGATTTTCTCAAGCCAAGCGCTGCACGTACTCCTACAGTTCGGGCTCCGATAGTGGCCAAGGTGTAGAAACAACCGCCACATATGGCGGGGGATTGGAATGGAAGGTCAGTGTTGGCGTGGGCGTCCAGACGAGCGCCGGCAAGGCCGAAACCGATGACAGTCTCAAGCGATCCATCAACATCTCCAACAGTAACGTCCGAAACGAGGTCTCGACATCCACAACCAACGCCAACATGGAAATGCGAGTTGAGCTCACCGGAGCCTGGGACACCGACCCAAAACAACCCAGCAGCAAGATATTCGCGGCCGCTAATACAGGCCTGGCTCTCGTTGAAAGCGAAGTAGCCGACGTCTTCGCGCTCCGTCTGCAAACTCGCGCGCCCATGGCACCCCTCGTTGCATACCAGATACGACCCAACCCGGACATCCCCAAAGACCGCAATCTTGTTTCCTTCGAGTTGAACAAAATGTACACCAAGCAAGGCTGCCTTGATGGGCGGCGCGGCCTCGGAAATGATGTCGACTACCCTTCCACGTCAACTAGCGCGCCTAAGGACGCTTCTTACTTCAAGCCCGCCGAAGCCTACGCTCTCAAAGACCGAATCCGGCGTGCGGAGGAGCAGCGTGACGGCGAGTACGAGCGCTACAATCTGGAATACACAGACCTCATCAAGCACAATCTATTCGGTCGATCGCTGCCCCGGCGAGTATCCCGGAGCATTTGCAATTCGTATGTGTGGACCGCCGATGGTGGAACGTACCAAGAAACCAACTCTACACTGGACATGGTGCGAAGCGAGGTAGGCGTCAGTCTTGACGCACTCAAGAGCGACGGCGTGGAACTATCTGAGAAGATAACGGCTGGCGTGGCTATGCAATACGGCGGCCTGGATGCCATGGCCAGTTTGCACTACAACTTCAACATGACGAAGGACAAAGAAGCGGAGGAGGGGTTCGAGCTGAAGGCGGACCTCCCGCCAGCCGTAGACCTTCGGGTTCGCGATGAAAACACCAAAATAGTCTCCAAGACTCCCGGCGCGGTGGACTGCTACCGCTGGATGAGTTTCTGGCTTGAGCCCAGCGTTGAGGCGACGGACGTTTTCTTCAAACAGGTCCTCAATCCTGTATGGCTCGAAGGGTCTCCTGAGCCTAACGCAGCGCTTCTCCGGTCTCTTCGCGAGAATCTTTCCACGAAGACCGGCGACACCCGCACCAAGGCCTGGCGGGTGCTGCACCGCTGCACGTACCTCAGTCGTGTTCCAGAGCCCATCAAGAGCCGGCCCGCCGAGACCGCGCCTGCGGAGGAAGCGCCGAAGAAGTCGTCTATGCTCGCGGATTTGTCGTGTAACTGGATGGTACTTCAAAGGCTTGAGCCGTGGGCGCGAGGGGTACAGACGCGGGCGGAACTCAAGTCGGAGGTACATCCGCATGTCGTCAAGATGTATCCTGCCCTGGTGGCGCGGCCGGGCTTTTATGCGCAGCTTTTGAATCTTTTGGCGGACTATGTAGGCATCTCTTGATGCTTCGTTGTATAGTCTTTTAGATGGTAGGGTGGTTTCTTGGTGTGTTTGTGAAGTAGTGTTTGAAAATTGAAACACAGCAGTGAGAAGGGTCGTATAAACGCAATAGTACAAGATCAATGGTAGCTTTTCAGACACCGCGAAAACCCTGTATCAGTTGCAGCCTAATTCGACCTGTCACTTGAGGCCTACCTGGCGACGTGTGCTTGGGCACGTGTTAATGTGAGAGGAGGAACGCTGTGTTGGCTACTCGGAACTCAGGCAACAAATTTCAGCGGAGAATTCGTCAGAGTGTCCGTCCAGAGAATTGTGTCTGGTGATATTAAGAATGTATCCTTGACGGCCAGTCATGTCGAGTAATTGCGCAAGGCAGGCCAGCAATATGAAAAACCCGATCTCTCGTGCGCATGTGGTTGATGAATAGTTCGTAGACCACAGAGATTAAAAGGGAAGACCGAGTATTCACGAGATTCTTGGACTTGGTTTCCAAAGAAGGCGCAGTTATCTGGGATACCATGCGATTGCGAGTGGCCCGTAGTGTGGTCTTGAACAAGAACACATCTTTCTGCCGTCTTTCGTATGCGCTGATATTAAGCAGCAGAAGACGCATTTTGACTGATCAAATGCTGCTATTACTACGATTCAAAATATGAACGGGAGTCAATGCCGTGTTTTATGGATTGAAGACAGGCTTACCTGCCGTCGAGGACCTCTTCTCGCTTGGCAAGGAGCCAAGAAAGGTTTTGGAGCACTTGGCATACTTGCATATTCGATAAAGATATTGTTCAAGGCACCTTCAGTCACTGAAATAGTGAAAATTTTACGGCTTTCTCGGCCATGACTGAATAAATGATTCGATAGTCTCGAGAAAACACTGGGCTAAACTTTGTATTCTAGGTTGATAAGGAAGGGCAGCACCATCTGCGGCTTCATACATATGCGGCATCTTCGAGGTTACACTGACTGCCAACCATACTGCATGAGCTTTGAAAGAGACATACAGGTCTCATGCAGTCATGCTGGGAATCACTTCCTGTTTAGCACAACTATGACGAGGATTGGGGTTGGCGCATATTCAATGTGCATTCTTTTTCATTGTGACCATTCCAATATTAAGTGTAACTCATCCTTACACGCACTCATCAGGTTTCCTCCACCCAACTTCACAGCCTGTTCTACTCCTTCATCTGAGATCTCAACACCATGTCTGTAAATTCTACAAGCTCGAAGATCGTGGCCGAGCACTTGAGCTCAATCCAAGGCAGAGCCGACATCAACCCGTCGTTGTTGCTTTCCGCGTTCATTGCGACAACGGCAACGTATCTTCTCTGGAACTTGTACTCGTACTATGCGTCCCCGCTTAGGAAGTTTCCAGGGCCTTTTCTCGCAGGTGGGTTTATAGAACCATCCCCATGTGCCTGTCTTGTCACGCAGCATGGGACCGACCGGGCCTCGTTTCTCCATTTGTCTCCTTTCAGCTTGAGTCTTGGTGGAAGAATTGATTTCTGACCTACCTGTAGGATGGACGAGACTGTGGTATCTGTATCAAGCCAGGTCAGGTACTTCACACCTCACGTTAGATCGACTCCATAAGAAGTATGGACCGATCGTCCGGATTTCTCCCAAGATTCTTGATATCAACTTCCCGGAATTAATCCCCACAATCTACGATCGAAAAGGAGACTGGCAGAAGGTATAAAGGCTTTCTTTCAGTTGAGACTCCACCGTTAGTTGGCTGACTCGATGTCGACAGACTGAGTTCTACCACAGCAGCAGCGCCTTCGTGAACGGGCAGATCGTCTACAATCTCTTCAGCCAGACGAATCGTGAGAAACACAAGAAACTGAGACAGCCGATTGAGAAGTATTACTCCCCATCTAGCGTCGTGTCTTTGGAACGGAACATCGACAATGTCATCGAAATGCTCTGTCGTCAGCTTGAGACAAGGTTCATGGAGGGTCCAAATTCTGAGGAAGCGGTCGTCGATCTGGGTAAATATGTGTTGTATTGTAGGCAGCCATCCTCGGCCCGCAACCCGGGCCCTTCATCTTGCTAACATTCTTTACAGACGCTTGGGATCTTATCGGCTCTGTCACCTTTTCGCAGCCCTTCGGATACCTTGACACGGGGTACGACTTTGACAATACACTCGCCAATGCCGAGAAGGCTTTGGATTACTTCGTCACGGTCGGCGCCGCACCGTTCCTAGACCGTCTTCTGGACAAAAACCCCCTTTTCCGCATCGGCCCGCCGGGTTTCAACAACATCACTGGTGTCACGGTCGGGCATTTCCACGAAAGACTGGAAGGGGCCCACGGCGATCTTTATGACCCCAACCACCCGGACTTCCTAGATAAGTTTCTTGAGGCCCAAAAGTCCGACCCGGAGGGCGTCGACGACGTCCAGATTATCTCCTGGCTCATGGTCAACATGGTCGCTGGCGCAGACACGACTGCGATCGCGATCCGGAGCTCGCTCTACTTCTCCCTGAAAGACCCCCGCGTGTGGCGGAGGTTGACGGACGAGGTTCTCCAGCGCAACTTCGATATCACACCACCAGCTTACAAGGACGCGATCGCTCTGCCATACCTCGATGCGGTTGTCCGCGAGGCTCTTCGTGTGTTGCCTGGTGTCAGCATGACGATGGAGCGTTACGTGCCGTCCGGCGGCATAACGCTTCCTTCGGGTGACTACGTCCCTGAGGGTTACGTCGTGGGGATGAATCCCTACATTACGAATCGCATTCCTGCCGTTTACGGTCAGGACGCTGATGAGTTTCGTCCTGAAAGGTGGCTGCGCGATGAGCAGGCTGGAGAGACCGAAGAGGAATATGGAGTGCGACTGAAGATTATGAAGGCCTACGATCTCACTTTCGGTGGCGGACGCCGTAGCTGTATCGGCAAGCACATGGCGTTGACTCAGGTGTACAAAGTTCTCCCTACGTTGATCTCTCGCTATGAGATTGAGTTGGTCGACAAAGATGCGAATTGGAAGGTCACGAACAGTTGGTTCCCTCGCCAGGAAGGCCTGAGGGTGAACATCAGGAGACGACTTTGAAGCATGATAAAAGCCGTGTTTATGTAACCAAATATTCGCGTTTCCTGTTTGTAACATAGTGATTTTCAGTTAATTTGACAAACATGTTGACTGTTGGTAGCGTGTAATGGGAAGCGATATCGCCAAGGATCTGAACCAAAGCCGCCTTCTCATTCCTTTGAAGATAGTCATCTAGGAGGTAGGGTGCATAAATTTTTCAAGTATATAAGAAATAAGGGGATTAGATTACTTGCACTCGTTCAGATAATCCGGGGTCTTCGTAAATAAGTTCCCCAACTTCTCAGTGGGCATGGAAGAGACGTATCTGCCAAATCGAGGCCGGATAAGTGAGGTCCTATTGATTTCGGAGTCATGAGATACTTGTTTCTTTTCTTCGGTTCTGAATGTTTGTCGTCGCCGGCGTCTTTCGGCTTCGTGGGTTTATCGGCTTGGCCAGGGGTTGATCTAAGTCGCGCCAAGTCGAACGTGAGCTATCGCTTCGATTCGGACTTTCTTTCAAATTATAACAGGAAGAGGTAGAACTCTAGGAGATAACGAACAAGACAGGGAAAATTGAGATGGAGGGAAAGCTGGGGATGGTTGAACGGGAGCTTTTTAAGGACTTGATGCGTGATATGAGCATCCATGCTCTGAAATGAAACATGATTATGTCGAAGGATTAGGAACGACGTAGCCATACGAAAGCTCTTGGCTCGTTAGTACTTGAAAATCGAACTGTCAGTACCAGGGAGACTCTTCCCAGCGTTTTAAAGGGGTTGCTTCTCATATACAAACCTTGAAATCGTGACTGGGACGCTGCTATCGCAGACATTGATCTTGGGAAGAGAAAAACGCAATCAAGCCAAGGAGGACCAAGAAATTCACTAAGAAAATGACGAACTCAATGGCGATGAACTCAATCGGATGCGGTCATGGATAGTTGACGACGGATTGGGCCCTGAACCTTGGTAATAAGCCAAGGACGGGGAAGACAGTGAGCAAAGACGATATACTTCCGCATCTTGATCGCAGTGCCACTCGGTGTCACTCAGTTTCGAAACCTCTAGACGGCCATGTTCATCGGTTTGATCAGACATATGGAATTAAGAAGTGTTTATTTGCAGCCGGCATTGCCTGTCAAGTCACCAGAATCGACTCAGCCCATAGAATCGACCCAGCCCAGTGAGGTTATATAAGCTTGTGATTCAGGTCATATTAAAGCATCAACGGACTTGGAAACGGGACCCCATTTTCAGAGACGCATCTGAGCAAGACACCTCCGTCAGGATGGCTCTGACCCTAACCATAAAAGACTCGAGGCTCTGGAGCCCTCCATAGCTTTGTCCACCGTAGTACCCCCAGAGTCCCACCCGCAATGAGCCGAGAACAAGTCACTGGCTACATCCGCGGCAACACGCCGGAGCTTGACATCGAAAAGCACGTCCGTCATCCCAGTGGAAGCCGCGAGAACGTCGTATTCAGAAAGATACACCAGGGGAAACAAGGAGCGAGGGCGGAGACAAGTTGGGAATGATGGCGTCATGGTCAAATTTTGAATTCATACTTATGTACACTTCCCAATTCCCTTCAGAACAAGCCTGTCTATGGCGATGAAACTTTAAAAGGGTACAGTCGCTAACAGACACCTGCCTGCTGTGCCTCATTCTCCAGCCAGAGAGAGCTTTTATGCCCAGATCCATCTCCGGCAACCCAGGTGTTGTAGAAGCACATACCAAGATCCCCTTAACCAAATCAAAAGCGTGCGCGTGGGCGGGGATGTCAAGGCGCCTCAGACGATGACGACGAAGGGCTTCTACCAAAGACAAAGAGATTCCGCCGTCGTCCTGAGCTATAAGAATCAGCCGTGATACAGATATCAGCTAACGCTTTCTCATGATCCTTCAACTCAATGATCATAGTCGACGTCTTATCTTCATGGTGGGTGTCCACGACACACCGTCACTGGGCTGTACAAGATAGGCTGCAAGCAGGGCACTTACCTCCTGTGACGGCCATGTCTTCGTCAGTTATATTGAATACCCGAGAGACGACGGAGGAAGAGGGCGCCGGTGATGCACAAGCGTTGAACTTGCGGAGACGCCGTGCTATAGCCACATGCAGAAACTCTGGAAGTCCACGCAGTAATCTTGCAGCCTCTTTGGTCCCCTAGCGAGCAGTGCTAAGTTCATGGAGAACACAATGCCTGGAGCCAGTTGTGAGAGTGAGGGCTCCTGTCTTTGATATCCGAACGACAAGACTATTGAATACGTCTCACTTGAGCTCCCGATCAGCCATTGCATTTCGTATAAATGAACTCTGTTGAACTTGTTGTCAGCTTCTTCTCACACCAGACAATTTCTCGAGGTGCTGGTGCGAGGTGCTGCTGTCTGCCCAGTTGTCTCAGCATGGTGAGCTCCAAAGATTCAGTCGATGTTTCCATTCAACCCATGTCGGCAACACACGTTCTTTCTCAGTCAATAACGGCTCACGATCCAAGACCAATACTCATCCTTCAACCTTCATCACCTCCGATCGTCCCGTGTATATTCACACAGCTAGTATACATCAACAAGCAGCCCCATAGTCTTCGTCCTTAGTCTTCCCCCTACAACTCCGTAGGACGAACTGATCCGAGGCAGGTCTCATCACGGGGAACTGTTGCACCACTTCAGTATGCCGATGCACCTCCTCAACATCTTGCTGGCTTCGCTTTGGAGAATGAAGCTAAAATGGCTTATATATCCGTGGGATGTATGAACTTTCAATGTGAAGTGCTTTGGGTATTGCGCTTATTTCGTCACCACAGAGAAAGATAAGACATATCCGACTGCCCGACTGGTCTCCTCCTCGTCACGCAAAGCGCCTCGTGATTCTTCAAGAAGGCACGTCTGTGGCTACAACCCTGACGATCCTCGATCCATGCATCTCAGGGGAAGACTGTCACCAAAGGCCTGTGAGCGTGGGGGTCCATTGACTGCAACTCTGTCACAAACTTCGCGACAACATCCAAGAGGCTGAACAACTCATTCTCTCCGTCTCTCCGTTCACAATCTCACTCACCATCCACACCGAGAACCAAAACCCATGGCTCCCCGTCCACAACCATGCTCGAGTGTGGGGGTTCCCCGTGGGCAATCAATCCCCCTTCTTAGTCAGCGACAGCTCATCTCCAAAAAAAAAAAGACAAACGGGTTGAACGGTTTCCACCGGCTCTCTTTGCCCCTCATTCACAAACCTCTCTGTGTCACCTGAAGCTCTCCTCTCTGTCTCTTTTTTTTTTCTTATTACCCCGCAGCGACCAGGGTAGCTTTCCTTCTGACCCTCACCTCTCAGTCTCACTGCTTGCTGATGCAGCTGCTGCGCAACCATACACCACAGCTCCCATCACAATGGATGGCCGATGGCGCTCGCGAACGTGGGGGGCCGTTGTCGCGGGATGAGGAGGATGATGACCGGGGGTTTGGGGCAATTCGGTGACCCGGACTTCTGATGTGAAGTGATAGCTTCCATCCATCCACGGGATAGTATTTGGTTGCGTAATGAATTTCAAGAAAAGGCGCTCCCTTGTCGCAGAAGACGGTCCCCGTGACCGGATTGCCTATTGCTTTTTTTCTTCTCACCTACCTCTCCTCCCACCGGCCTCCATTCCACTTATCTCGTGGTGACGGAATGCTTGGCCCGTCCGTTCTACCTTCCCATAAAGGAACGAGTCAAGACCGGATCCTTTCGAAGAATTGGTTGTCGCCAGAACACCATTGGCCGCGCGTTGACACCTTTTCGGTCGAGGGCCGAGTCAGAAGTCAGCCCTTTCAACATCGAGACCGGTTCTTTCTCAATGTCTCTCTCTGGCAGCTGTCTAAGCCCTTGCTCTGTTTCAGTCGACACACAACACACACACGCACGCACACTCGCATGCCAGCCACTTGCCCGAGAATGGCATCTCAAGAGCTATCGATCATAAGCACCAATATTTTCTCTTCATTTAGTATGGCTAACAGATTGCGCCCGTCCACGTTCGTTAATCCAGGGCCGCTGGACTCCGACCGGACGACGCCGACAGTGTTGAATTGGCGAACAGCTGAATCTTGGAATTCGCCCGCTCCGCTGTACATATAATCCACCTGTAATGAGAACGCCTCATGTGATGCGAATATGCTGATCTTGGCCCTTTTCGAGTTTTTTGACCCTCGTCGAGTTGCTGAAAGAAAAACGGCAGACCTTAAACGTGGGATGTCGTCCAGAAAGAAATGCAACTGCCGTCCACCTCTTTTTGAATGTAAAAAATATGCGGATGATTCCGATGATTTTGTGTCCCCCAAACTCCGTGACCCCTTTTGATGCAATTCGTACCTCTCAAATTAGTACATAGATTATAGGTTATAGGGGAAATTTGTAGCATGTCGACCAACAGAGTTAGAACCTCTGTCTTGGCCTGTCTCCGATTCGTTCTTTTTCGCGCTCCAGTAGAAGTGTCAGTTGACTTCTCGTCCTCGCCAGCGGAACCTCGGGGGTTGCGCTGGGCATGGTCGGCGTGAAGTGAGACGACGAAGAAATTCGTCTAGGAGTCCCTTTAGGCTCGGTTTCCTCGTCGAAAGTGCTCAAGGCTTCCAGTACTCGCTTATCGGGCTCGCCAGGTATCTCAACGTGGCCTACGGCGGCCACTGTTGAGGTTTTGGCTGTGGCAGCCGATATGAGTCCTCGGGCGGAAGGGCAACCAATGCTTGCTTCTCGCGGTCGGTAAGTGTCCGAGTTCGATGCAGTCCTCTCCATCCGCGGAGCTGAGAACACGGAACGTGAAGATGAGAAAGATCCAACCATTCTTGGTGACGAAAGCCCCGGCGATGAAACCGGGACGTGAGTGGGGGTCTTGGGGCCTTCGTGCCTCGTCGTGCTAGTCTCTTGCGTCGGCCGTTCCGTCACTGACTTGTCCAGCGGTGCGGGAGCCCGCGCACGACTCGCCGTTTGCAAAATGACTGGCTCTCTCCGCTCCTCGATGATGGGCGGAGATTTCAACGGGTTCGGCGAGTCGAAATTCGGGCGCTTCGCCGGCCGTTTGCCTAGGGCTTTGGCGCTCGGAGGAGGCTCGATCCCCTCAGAAACAGAAGAGTTCTGGACACCAGCTTCAGCATGAGGGTGAACAACGTTGTAACTTCCAACATGTTTGGTTCCATTTGCAGACCCAACGTCCTTAGCCATAACGTCAGAACCCGTGGAAGATTGCGAGCTCATTCTTCTGGGAAGAACGGGACGCCTTTTGTTAGCTGCCGATGCAACAAAGCGCTTTGTCGGAGTCGACGTCTTCTTCTTGTTCGACTTGACCGGCGAAGGCAATGCCGAGATACGCATTTCCAACCCGCTGTTAGCAGTACTATCGGAAGACGTTCCTTCGCTAGTTTTGAAGTCCTCATCAGCGGATTCGTGCGGCGAAACGAATCGAGCCGTCGGACGGGGTCCAGATTTCGAATCTCCCCTTGACTTCTTCAAGATCGGATGCGGCGGGGGCGGTCGGGACGAAGAAGCCGACAGCTCCTTAATGGCCGACTGTTCAGAGATCAGCCTAACATTCTGGCCTGATTGCTGTGCATTGTACAGTACGTCAGATTCATGCTGACTGTTGAAACGCGGTGTCTGTGGGAAATCAGCAAATGTCAAAGTGGTGTCAAGAGAGATGGACTCACGGCCGGACCCTCCCAACGGTTCGGCGAGCCCTTGAGAGGCACGAAGGTTGGGCCGTAGGAAATGTGTTCCCAGATTTTGGCGAGGGTATCAGCTCTCAGTTTACACCTGTCGCTGCCCATAACCTGCCACCAGAAGTTTTCCAGGCGGCGAGCGGTGGGGTCGACGAGCTTGAGATTTGTCGTGGTGTAAACTGGAGGGGTATATTAGCTCTGGAGAAGGGAGGCAAGGTTGTCTGTCGCTCAGGGCTAAGCTGGTAGTGAAGCTGACTTACGGCGCCACATCCTGATGATGAAATCGGATGGAAGGGGTTGTGAGAGCGATGCTACATCCCCGTAGATGCGCCTGTCATCTTTGACGAAGCCCTTTGGTAAATCCATCTTAAAAGAGAGTGGTTTCTACCGTGACCGGACGGCCGACGGTAGATGCGTCTGAAAACTAACAGAAAGGTGCAGGAGGGCAGATGGACTGCCAGGTGGCACAGGCACAGATAGCCCCGCCGTTGTGGGCAATCTTGAAAAGTGCGTTAAGAATTACCTGAACGGATCAAGGGTGTTCATGGTCGAACTCTCAAGCAAGGAAGGGTAAGTGGGAGTTGATGAGGTTGAAGGCGTGGTGCCGGGGTTGGAGGAGGCGTGAAAAGGGAGCAGCAGATGGCTGCAAGTGAGAGGTAAGCTGCAACCTGGGTTGGTCGGTTTGGCAGTGAGCGAGTGAGCGACTGCGGGCAGATGACAAGGCAGGTGGGTGATTTGTTGGGGGCGGTGATGCAATCGAAATCTAGGGACAGAACGAGAGGAAGTCGGCGGCAGAATTGGAGACGGGCGTGTCGTGGAGGCTCTGTCGACCGTTTTCATGGGATCCGAGATTGGTTGTCGGTATTGGGTGTTGCCGACATGTGGAGGGCGGCACAGGAATGGCGGAGGGATAATAAGGTAGCTTGGGCCGATTGTCGATGGCTGTACTGCGGTACGGCGTGAAGGCGTGGAATGTGCGGGTTGGACCAGTAGGAGGGATGCCGTGGGATGGATACCCGAAACCAAGACTGAGGTGACTGTCAAGGTTGAGATGAGATGGCCGGTGAAAGACGGAAAGTCTACCTCAGTATGGGATATGAGGTTCGGCAATGTCTGAGTGAGGGAGCGAGCGAGCGTGTGGTGAAGTAAGGTATCGAGGTGAGGTCCAAAGGCCGAGGGGAAGGGTAAGGTAGCTGCTGCAAGCTGTGTGTAGAAGACACACAGCTCAGTACCCAAGGTTCGGTTTGCCGAGAGGCTACTTCAGTACTCGTGTAGGTCTAGACTCGGGAGGAAGACCAGAGCAACGTCGACAGGCTCGTGTTGGAGGCGAAATCGGTGATAGGCTGGAAGGCGGCCAAGGGCAGCGTAAACAGCCAAGTGGATGAATCTTTGGTTGTTTTGAAAGGCGGAGGTAAAGTGGGAGGTGAGGTCGCGTGGATTAGGTGCGTGGATGAAGGACGCACGAGAAAAAATTGGAATGTTTAGAAATGGGACCTTGAGGGAGAGAAGAGGAGAGTGGAGGGCAGAAGCTCAGGTTAAGGTAAGAGGCCCAAGGTCAGATACCTTAACATGACTTGAATGCCGTGCCGTGCCGCACTCCGAATGCACTGAGAAGGGGAAGGGGAAGATGGAGAGAGAAAAAAGCTGATCTGGACAGAGACAGACAGACAGCAGGCACGGAGATGGCAACGGGTACAAAAGAAATGGGCCGGGGAAAAGGGACGGGGCCACTCATTTTTTTCGGTCCCTCAGGGCCCTGGACAGTAAGGTACCTCCAGCTACTACTAAGGAGTAAGGTAGGTGAGCGAAGAGAGGTGCCTGAAGGCCAGTGCAGACGCTGAGCCCGATGTCCAGGGCAGTTATTCATATGCTTTAGGTGTGAGCTGCTCTGTGGTAAGGTAAGGTCTTGAATGTAAGGTAGGAGGTACCTGACTTGTACCATATCTAGGAGCATGTGAGGCCATGTCCAGTCTGGCCTGCCCTGAGGCTGGATATCATCAAGACCCGAGATGCTTGCCAAAGTCCAAAGTCCAATCCATTTGAGCCCTTGTGTTCTTTTCCCCTTCCATTCTAATTAAGCCCTCGTGGAGACTCAGGGACCAAATAAGTCTAAGCTTTAGTGGACCGCATCAACATGTCCCGTCAACTCCAGTCCAGTCCATGTCACTGAGCAGGGAGACGGGCAGTTTGCCAGTGCGGAAGCGATACAAAGCCTGGAATGGCCCAAGAGATAGAGCTGAGATCAAGTACGGAGAGATGGTGGTTCGGTGAGTTACCTACCTTAAGGCAATGTAAGGACGGAAGGGCAAAGGGTACCTGCCTCTGTACCTCCATGTCCGCGTCTGCCCCGTGTCCCGTGTCCCGTGTCCCGATTTCCCAGGGCTGACCGACCTCATGTACGGAGTATCCTTGCTGGCTTCCAGGTCCCCTGTTGGGCCCTGAGATGATGTTCTGTCGGCTGCAATGGAAGGATGGAAGGTCCAAGGTCCCATGTTCCATGTCCTAGGTAGGTCCGACATGTCGGGCTTCTTCTTCGGGATTTCCGCCGCGCTCATCTTTTCATTTCACGATCCATATCAACATGGCAGAATGGAAGCCCAATGCAAGGTATCTGGAGAGAGGCTGGCTGTCCAGGTGTCGGGTCACCTTGGCTTATCATTATCAGCACATGCCATCGCGTCGTCTCCAATATCAATAAGCCAATGTGTTAGTCGCCAATGGTCTTCAATTTCTCTGGTGGGTTTGCCGCTCCTTCGCCCCTGCATTGTTCCAGTTTTCTCAACGGACACAGCCCGCCATCTGCACAAGCTCTTGTCCAGGTCCTCGTCGAACCCGAAGCAACTGCCAGGAGCAAACCGTGAACTTCAACACGTAAGGGAAGACAATCGGCAATGTACAAAGTACCACCGTCGTACCTTGCCTGCCTCAGTTGTGGATTGGGCTGTGCTGTCCGTCCTCACCACTTGCCCACACTCACACCGTCCCCGAGATGGAAGCTACCTGACGTTAGCCTCCCCGACATGTCTTAAGATAGGCATTTAGCCCGTGTAGTTTGCAGCTTACAGCTTATCTCATCACCCTCTATTCATCTGTTCTGCATGTGCTCTGCTTCTCCTCGTCTCTTCCCCTCATGCCACCCAACGCCCAAGAGTTTAAGTCGACACCATGGAGATCAGACCTCGGTCTACTGAGCTCTAGACCACCGCATCTGTTTCTCCTGCAGGCACGCAACTCCCATCATCCTCGGGTCTGCCATGTTTTTACCACTAGCACACCCGTTGTCATGAGACCTACTCCAGGTTTCTCAGAGACGAACCGGACCTGACATTCCCCTGCCGATACTATCAAGGGACCAGACAAACGGACATGACGGCACCCAGCAACATCGGAACAACACGCTGCTACGGTACTTCGCGAATGCAAACAGGCAGTGACGACCCCTTTTCATGACAAGGCACGCTCACAACGCGTTGTTCGCGATGCACAACATCGTCACAACGCCTTCAAAAGCAATACCGCCGCCGCTGCAGCCACCGCTACCACGCCAATGCCTGCTACTCGGGCTGCTGTACTATGGCAAGCAGTGGCGAGGGATATGAGGCTTGCAGGCGCAGACGTGCCACAACAGCTGCCTCTAACAGTGAGGGCGGCGCTGCAAATGGTAAACAGCGAAAAATAATCCCAGCAGGGATGCGGCCCCCACGTCCCCAGAGAATGGCGTTCTAGAACAAAACTGGTGTCTCTGGTAGCGTTTGTGGTGGTGTTCGCCCCTGGGACTTGGAACCGTCACCCATCCATCGGCCACACCCAAATCCTCCATCCTGGCTTATTTCGACCGCTGCCACGCTGTTTTACCGACTTTTTCGATTGATTGGACTAAGACCCGATCGACGCCTTGATAGGAACCGGCCGAATCTCTGTATTCGCGCGGATATCACATGAGCCTTACATGTCAACCAGGCACGGCTCTCCACGGCTCTGCTCTCCTGGTTCCCGTATCCGTACCTTGCCTCGAGAGACGCACAGCCTTCATTCAACTCAGCTTTTCGGCCACCCTTGCATCCCGAAGCAAATCCGGGACTGCTTGTTGGGACGATTGCCGGCGCCGTTTCAATATGGTGTGCGTTACGGATATCTACTTGAGAGCCATACCCATGCATCCCCGTCTGCCAGGGAGGCGCCTATGGATACAAGGGACGAATCTCTCCACCAGACGCTACTGCGCCGTTGTCACCCTCATCTCGGCCGCCCGTGGCCCGGTGCCTCTCCTACTGGTCAAATATCGCCATCTCCGTCGCTCAAAGCCAGCCGGGACAATGCGTGCCGGGTTATCATTGGTCAAACGAAACCTACGGTCATATCCTCACCGATCACAACAACCACCGCTCACCGCTTTACCGAGTTCGACTTGAATCAGCAGGCCGGACAGTCAACAAACAGCGGAAGCAGCTCCTAGCGTGAAAGAGGATTTCACAGAGAACGTGGAGAGTGGAGCGGCTATGGCTAGTCAAATCAAGGGGAATAAAACCCAGCAGCTCAGTCGCTATCACACCACTGGGATGCGGACACATCAGAGCCTTTCCACTTGCGATGCATTCAGAACGGCCCATTGCCCGACCTGAACCAAACACTCCGCATCACTCAATGCGCCTTGCTGCCTGGATGTGTAAGACAAATCCGGGGAACATTGTCGGCCTGGGCAATCGATGCTTGCTTTTCCCGACCTCGCGGCCCCGTCCCGTTCCCCTTGTCTCGAGGTCTTCTGATCTCGTTGAATGCGGGGGAAGCATCCGAGAACAAAGTCGTGTGACCAGGTGCCACGACCTTGCGGCACCACGAAACTTCTTCAGAACCGCCCTGCGCTGGACTCATTGGTTGACAGCTTGATGAAGCCCCGATCACAAACGCTCCTCGCTGCTACTTTCGGCCAAGTGTGGTTATTGCCGCGTCTCACACGGCAGGACAAGTTGAAAGGACGAAGGATGCCACTTTCCCAACCTCATCCTTGATTGACAAGCTCATCCCAAGTTTGTTGATTGCGCCCAGGAGTGCTCAGCCGAAAATAAGACTTACACCCTCAAGAGAGGTTATAATAAGTCAACACAACAGCCGAAGCTCTTCCGCGCCATAAGCAAATAGCGTCATCGCGCTACATGACGCTAGCTTGTCGAAGTGGAATCACTCACCCTCAACAGGCGCAACACCCACATCTCCGTCTTTTCCCGGCCGACGAACCATTTCAACGGCTACCCCAGACAGATGGACTTTCGGTGCAGTCAAACCTCCTTCCCCACGATATCGAGTGAACCTGGCCACCAGGTGAATCGTGGCTCCATTATGAAGGATCCATCCGGCTCACCGACTTCCCGGCAACTACACCGGCTAAAATCATGACTTTCAGTCTTGGCTCGCTCGGACGCTAAAGGAGGGTCCATCTGGCCTGATGTCCATTCAGTCGTTTGTGGCCGAGCTGTTTCGATGACAATGCGATTGTTACGTGGCCACGTTTTGGTTGCAATCGATACAGCCTGCTGGAAGTCCGCAGCAGAGTGACGCAAGTTTCAGCATGGGGCGGTTTGCACTGCCATACATGACAACTGTGGGACTATCAACGCAAGTCGATGAGGGCATTCGACAAGCCCCTTTTTGGGCAGAATTTTCGACGAGAAGTCACAAACAGATTCAGGCGTACGTGATCACGAGGACCGGAAGAAACTTACGCACTGGCGCGTGAACGATAGAGGCCCCATATCAGAAAAAGCATGAAGCTCCCGGAAGATGCGGATGTCTTCCTCAGAGCCTTGGCCTTCGTATCGTGTTCTTTTCTTCACGAGAAGAATGACGCAGTCAACTGAACCTAGACTTATCGGGGAGCATATTTACTTCCCATGACTACGGTTTGTGTCACTATCAACTTACCCTACCAACAGTGATATCCTTCCTGCCAACATTTGAGGTGATTGCGAGAAAGCTCCCAAAGGACCTGCTCAGCAACTACAGAAGACAAGCTTTGCATACTTTCCGCCCCATTCACGCCGTCCTCAACATCTGCAGCGTAGACCTCGTGAACCTACGGACGTGTGTTATGTGTATGCACCAGTCTTGACTCACCTCATAAACCCTTTAACCATGCGAACAGCAAATCCACATTGAGACATCACGAAGGTCCCTTCTTCAGGGTTGAATTACATACAGCACGCTACGAGTTCTGGGTCAACGATTACTGCGGGTTGGTAGAGCATATACCATTAAACGGAGAAAGGTGATGTCGCGAAGCATGGAAGACATCATGTAAATAACCACACTCACTTTCAGAAATGACAAGAAATTTCGATGATGGCGATCAAAGTTTGAAACTCGGGATGTCTTCCCATTCAATGTTTCTTCCGTGGTATCTTTCCTCCCCCCCAGTAAACGATGCATGTACTATACATATCTCCATTCCCCGCGGCCGACTCGTTAATCTCGTCGTGCCGTGCCGCTTCCAATATTGGTATTCGTCCTCCTATTGATGATATTTTCCATTCCGTCCTCCTAGGTGAGCACACCTATCCCGTACCCGTCATATTGACGAGGCACACATCCCTTGAAACATAAGAAATAAACGAGAGCTCGATGCTCTCGTGAGTGTGCGGGAACCTCCGCGTGTTTTTCTATCAGAGAGCCCCGAGAACGCCGGCTGTGATAGATGTGTCAGACGACGATATGAAAAAGAGCGTCGCGTGTAGCTCGTATTAGATAAAATTATATCCCGTCGACAACGAGGTCTTTTGGTGTAGTAATGTGTATGTTGAAAATGGAGATCCCGAGTTGGGCGGTCGTTGTCATCATAGACAAGTCATCGACGCCTAGTCATGCAGTTTGAACATGCGTCTGAGAGTGCCAAACTTCTTCTTCTTCTTGCCAGTGGCGTCGAGCTGGGTGCTATCCAGACTGCCATGGCGGCCCGAGGTGAGGACCTGGTTGGTACTGCGGCGCTGGACGAAGGAGGGACGCGACGCATCCATCCGGTTGCTACCGTCCGACGTGGTGGGCCGCTTTTCGTCGTCGATCGTCTCCTCAACGAGGGGCCAGTTTTCCATCTGCTGCTTGAGCCTCGGGGATATGGTGTTGCTGCGGAGAGCCGCGACCTCGTCCGGGCTGCGCTCAAGCTTGGTGTCCATTCTCGCTGCGCTTTCGGTCTGCGAGGGGCGGGAGATCTTGCCCATGTCGTTGTCCTTCTTCCGACGAAGGACAGAAAGAAAGCTGCCTCTGCGCTGTTGGGAGGGTCGCGACATGATTTGAGTTCCCATAGCGGGAGTCATAGAAGACTCCAGAACCGCGCCGCGACCAGAACCGGATCGTTGCAGTTCGTGGCAGTCGGATTGAGACTTGATAAGACGGCCGCCTGAAACTTTTCTCGGAGATGACGGCTTCTGCAGCACAGGTGGAGGCGGTCCTGCCTCATCATCACTGCTGTCCGGAAGGTCTGGCGATTCTTCACCCTTCTCATCGTAGCGTGGGGGCGGCATATTCATCGCTGCAGCAGCAGCGGAGCTCGAGGCTCGCCTAGTCTTAGGTGCGCTTTGAGTCGTAGGTTCGCGGACCGGCGCGTCTTCCTCGTCGCTAGAGTCAGCGAAGCGGCTACGGAAACCAGTCGGCTTGGCGTCTTCCTCGTCGCTGGAGTCTCCGAAACGACTCTTGTTGCCGGGTTTGCTGGTCTTTTTGGTAGAGGATTTCCCAAAAGAGGGCAGACGCATACGACGTGTGCTGCTATCACTAGAATCTCTGCGCATGGTTCGCATTGTCATTCTCGTGCCCATGGCGACAGGTGGCGACATGGGCGATCCCGGAGGCGAAGGAGATCGAAGGCTGAAGCGAGAATTCCGGCCGGCCGCGGATGGCTCGGGAGCGGCACCGGCTCTCATGGACTTTCTAAATCCAAATCCTTCGCGGCGAGGACGCGTGCGTCTGAAACTGGTTTCGCTTGAGTCCGAATTCCGTCGACTCAAATTTGCTTGCAAGGCCTTCGCCATCTCGGTGCTTGTCATCGAGGCATCAACCGAGTTGTGCTTGGAACGTCGTTCTTGCGCTTCACGGGTTGATGGTGGCCCTTGGAGCGAAAGAGGACGATTGCCCACAGGCGCGTTGACCCGTTGCTGAGGACCGCCGGCTTGAGAAGAACCATTCTGTCTCATAGACTTTCGCATTCCTCCCGAACCTCCAAGCTGAGGCTGTGACATGCTTTGGTTAGGTGCTGGAGTTTCAGACCGCAATGTCTTCCGCATACCAGATCCTCCGTTCGCCTGTGCCCCTCTCATCGTCTTCTGTAGCTTGCCAGAAGACTCCTGATTCAGGGGCTGTGGTCCGCGGAGAGTCTTTCTCATCGTCGACGGTGATTCATCTGGCTCGTCGGCAGCTTTGGTGCCTGGTTGAATTTGATAGACTCGGTCAGGCTCAGGAGTTGCCTGTGGCTGCTCAGTCGGCTCGTCGCGGCGCACTGACTTTTTCCTCTTGAGCTTTTTTGGTTGAACGGCTTCTTCCAAGTCTCCATCCGCGCCGGCCTCTTCCAACACCTCTTGCTCGAGCTGTTTGCGTTTGTCGCTGGTCAGTCCCCGCCAGTACAACTTGGCTTTCTCCCATTCGTCTTCCGGTAAGTGCGGATTCGGGATTGGCGGAGATGTCCGTCCAGACTGGTATTGGCTGGTAGCAGAATCCTTAGAAATCTCCTGAGGCGGCGCGAGAACCTTTTCGTATAGTTTCTGAGAGACCTGTTCGGGAATCGGGGCTGTGATGACAGCGTCCAGAGACATGAACCCATCCCCATCAGCTTCAGAGAGGTCCTCGTATGCGTCGCTATAGATGCTGTCGCCTTCTGATGATTCAGTCTCCTCCACAATGGGCTTGTACGTAGTCTTCTGCGTGGACGGTGCGAATGCGATTGATCGCTCGGTCTTCGGCGCAGGTGCCTGCTCATGTTGCACCTTCGTCACTTCAGACACCTCAGGCTCAACATGAGAGTGCGGCATGTTATCGTCGCTCTCATCTTCCGGAAAGCCTCCAGGGACATCAAAGTACCCAGCGTCGTAGTACTTTGACGACCCGCTTGCGCGTGTGTCCCTGGGTGTAGGAGTGGGCTGAGTGACGGAGATGGAAGGAACATCTTCGTCTACCTGTCTGCTTCCAGTCTCATCCTTGTGAATCGGTGCTGAGTCCGCGGCAGTAACAGACGACTCATCGTCGATCTCTGGGTGAGTAGCCAGTATTTCCTCTTTGACTTGCTCAGGGGGAAGAGTTGGCTCGGGCTCTTGAACGATTTCGTGCTCTTCCTCATCCTCGGAGCTTGAGCTGCTGAGAGAGTAGTAGCCACTGCCTTCCATAGAGGTAACCACAGGAGGCAACGGTTCTCGAAACCTCGAAATGTTTGCAGCATTCCTAGCTGTCTGATCTTGGTTGAGGATCGCGCCGACATTATGGTCGTTGGATTGACCGACTGGGACCCTTGACTCTTCGGTATCTGAGGATGCGAGATTCGTCGAGGTGTCGTGCACTGACGGGGAAGATGGAGGCTCGATAGGTCGAACCAAAGGTCGCTCCTCACTCTCCCTCGGCTTCTTGTCGCGTACGCTGCCGAACGAAGGCAATGCTGGACGAGGTTTCATGACCTCATCATCATCAAGCAGAATGTCCTTCTTGCGGTTGCGACCCAGGTGACTATACCAGTGTCGCTTCGTCTGTTGGGGACTGGGAGGAACAGGCGAGTCGAGATCCGGTTTGGCCGCAGACTGACCCACGACTTTTGAGTTCTCATCGTCGAAGCTTACGCGAACACTCTTCTTGCGTCCTACCGGCGCCTCTACAGCCGTGACCTCGCTCCCATACCGACTCGGACCAGACGCTTCGGAACTCTCTTCAGTAGGCGACGCTCCCCGTGAGGGACTGGTCGAGTGTTTCAACGCGGACTTTCGCGGCGAGACCGATCGTGGAGGTGGCTCGTGTCTGACAGCCAGTTGATCTGCCCCGAGTGCAAAGCGTGCTGATCTTGCAGGACTGCTCGAATGCGCACGGACGATTCTTACGGTCTCATGTTGTCTTTGCGCAGGTGGACTTGGTTGCCTTTGAGACGACGACACTTGAGACTCAATCACCGTGCTCTCCGTCGACAATGATGGTTGCTTTGTAGGAGCGGACGACCTGACAGGAATTGCGTCAAGCACGTTAGCAACATCTTGTTGCGCAGCTGGCTCTTGAGCGCCCTCGTCCTCCGAACTATCCAAGTCCTCGTCTGATTCCTCACGCACTGTCGATGGTTTCCTTGTGAGAACAGGGACACCTTTTCGAGCTTCAGAACTGGGCAAAGTAGCATCGTCGCTCTTTCGAGCTTCCTCCACAATTGGCGGTTCAGGCTCAGGACTACGGACCGGCCTATTCGATTCCGGACTGGTTCTCGCAGGTTGATACGTGCGCTGTTCAAGAGTCGAAACTGGTGCTGGAGGCTGCACTTGGGTTGTTGGTATTGACTCCTCTACAGGCGATGCCACCCGAGCTGGCTGTGGAGTCTTGGCAGGGGATTGTGTTCGAAGCGTCTTTTGCTCCGGAGCATTCGCGGGAGCTTGGCCTTGATGCTGTTGTTGGTGTTTTTGGGCAGAGTCATTCGTGTCAACAGCCGCACCTTGAACTCTACCCATCGTGCCTTTGGCCAAGTGCGAACCGCTCCTGGCTAGCCCTTGCTGTTGCTTCTTTTTCTTAGGCGACTTCTCTGAAGCATCGCGAACGCTTTGCTGTTTGATCGGGTCCACCTTAGGAACCATCCTCCTCGAATTAGGGTCATACACAAGCGTTTGTTCAGAGGTCGTCGACCGGGAATTGACCGATTCTGATCGGCGTGGCGAGGCAAGTCGCTGGCTAATTGTCATTGACATGTTCTTGACGGTCGGTGATGCAGGGGGTGAGGCGCCGTGCAAGCCTCTCGGATAGGAATAGTTGACAGAAGAAGTTGGGCTTACAGCTCCCGGACGAGACTCGGGCGAGGCGACGCGCATCGGGACATCTGATGTCCTCACGTTGGCCATGTTACCCTCGGTTGCGGCGCCAAACCACGAGCCGCCTTCTTTCGTTTTCTGACTGGCGACGCGGAACGGCTGCATTTGCAGGCTGGTTGCTCTTTTATGCGGTGTTGTTCCTCCATTTGACCGCATATTGTCCGGTATGGTCGGGACAGGAGGCGCATCCTCCGGGACCGCCGGTGCCCGGTGTGGCGACGGCGACGGGGAGCGGAAGGATCTCTCGGTCATAGACCCCTGACTAGGCGACCTGTGAAGACTCCTCTGCGTGTCCTGGCTCCTCTGCGACGACACGGATGCGCTGCGCTTCTGGGTCCGCTTCGTCTGAACTTCGGAGACGTTGATGGGAGTTGTGGGTCTCGCTCGGAGTGCGGCGGCGGCGGCTGCGGACGAGAGCGACGGGGAGGATGCGCGTCGCGCGAACGCTGAGGCTGCTGCGGTGGCGGCATTCGGATTCGCTGTCGCGGAAGTCAATGGCTAAGGGTCCCAATTGTTAGTTAGATCCATCGGGTTGGAGAAGTAGATGATGACCTCGTCTGCGACAAAGGTCGAACAACTTCAACAACAGCAGTGGTGACATACCTGACTGGCCTGCTGCCGGTGTCTCCTAGAACTGCCAAACATGTTTGCTCGTCTCTGGTTGTCGATCAACGGCGCAAAGCCCGTAGCAGTTCAGTCGCAGGTCGCATGGAATAAGATTTGAACGAAAAACAATGTGAAAAGAAGATGAAAGAAAGAAGATCAGAACGGATACGGCGGGTTGGAGAGAATTGGTCGAGTAACGCTAAGTGTGTGAGAGAAAACGAAGATCGCGGCGCGATGGAACCTGGTGATGTCGGGGAAAGAGAGGTAGGCCGGGGGGAAAGGTGGTGGATAATGATCCTCTGCAGAAAAGAATGGGATGGGAGGTGGATGGGATGGGATGATGACGGAAGAGGTGAGTCGGATTCAGCCACGATGGGGGGCCTGGCTCGTGCGAGTGGACTGCTTTCATTCCATTTTCACCCATGTTTTTTTAGTGATTGCAGCGGCCCAGCCAGCAGAAGCATCGGGACGCACCTGGCATCTGCAGGCCTGCCATGTCGCCCAAATGCACCTTACCGCTGTAGGTTGGGATTGGACCGCTGCGACACCTCACTTCTTTTCTTGGAGGCACCACCCTTGTTTCGCCTACACCCGCCTTTCTGCTTCGGGACGACGCCATGCTGGGTCTGGCCTGGGTCCAGCTTGGTTCGAGGATGCCCTGCTCGCTGGTCATGTCCGCTACTTCTGCGCGATTGTGACAGCTTCGATGACCTGGCACCCTCTGTTTCGCAAAGATTGGCCGCTTGAAGAGAGACTTCCGGCCTAAACTAGAGACAGTTTGGTCTTGGTCTTTAATGCAGCACGATGAGTCTTCCTCTTCTTTGGACTCGTCTTCGGAGAGCTACGGCGGCCGCAGGTGGCGGGAACGACAGATCGTCCTTCATCTACCGCCATCTCAGTCTGTGCTTCTGTGTCGTGTCGTCCGTGGACTGTGTATCACTCGGTATGTATCGCGGTTATTCAAGACAGATTGACTCCTACGAAGAGGCGATACTCCAATGAACTCTGAGTCAACTCGTCTTCGTCCTCACACAACACGCGCAAAACCGTCTCCAGATGCCGTTGATCAGAGTTCTGAGTGCCGAACTCGTGTGGAGAAGCTGATCGACGTCTCACAGAAACTTGGGGCCGCGGTGGACAGGACAGGGTTGTTTCAGGCCTGACTGACAGCGAAGCTTTCGTCCCTCCCACCACCACCCCTGGGCCACGCTACCTGCTATGCTATCTTTCCATCAAGAGACTTCTGTGGTGGTGGCAGCAACGCGCACCACACGGCACGCGCGGAACGGCACTGGCGGGGATCTGCTGTGCATGTAGTCTTGTTACCAAAAGCTTGAGTCGTCCTTCGTCGCGTCTCGTCCCGACTTTGGCAGAAGTGCTTTACTGACTCTGGATCGAGGTCCATCACGCGGGCACTCAAGAACTCTCCGCAATCCCGTCCGGATGGGACCCTCCGGAAAGGCAACCCGAGCAAGAACGTCACCGCAAAACACTCGTCTTCAAGGTCTATGCATGCTCCGCCAACCGCGCCGATCGACGGCGAGGAACTGCCAGCTGGTTATGCAGACCAGGTTCCCAGCTTCTCCGGAAGGCCGTCATTCCCGGCGAATAGCTTGGTTAGAGACTGTGGTAGCGTTGCCTCCGGTGCTGAATAGCGTCCCTCCGGTAGACCAAGCCATTTCATTTCGCCCTTCTCGAAAGAAGTGGGTTTGGAATTACCATCTCAAACGCATATTCGAGCGCCTACCTTTACTAGTCGATGCTAATCTTAGTTGAAGCATTTCAAAAGGCAAGCCACAGCACCAGATGCGCATGGCTGAGATCAAGAATGCGGACCTTCCGGACGGAGGAACCGATGGTAGTCAGTTTTTGGTTGAAGAAGGTCAAAGGAGCCCAGGCCAGCCGCATGTCAGTGCCCCTGTCTATTACGTCATACCTCTTCTATCCGCAGACACCACAACACCAACACGCGCCTCACAACATGTCAACCCATGCATTGCTGATGAGTGTGGTGTATTTTGCTATCTTGATGCTATGGCTTTCTTTGTATCCCCTTGATAAGTGCCTGGAGAAGCAGTTCGTCATACGCTCCAGCACAGAGCAATAGTTCGCCAGGGAACTGATATCATCCTCCCCTAAGCCATCTTGCGACTCTCGATCTGCTACCTTTCACGCGTCTAAGACTGCGTTCAAAAAAGTCTCTTCTCAGTACCAAAGCCTTCCTTTGTCAATTCATTATTTGTGCCGCGCCTTCCGATATTGAGCGCACAAATCTCTCTTTTTTGGTGATTTTCTCAGTCGAAGAGAGCTTCCTTGCTGGCAGCCTTTGGGACAACTTTAGTTTCGTTTCTTCGTCTCCGGTGGTGTTTCCTGACGGCGTGATCAGGCCAAAACGTCCTCTTCCAGAACCAATGGTCGTTTGCTGGAGACAATCCTCTGAATTGCTCGGTAATGAATGTCGCTGTTGTAAAATGCCAACGTGATAACAGGTGAGAGATAACCAGGGCTGGGCAATCTAGGTATCCAGAAGTCCACACAAGGGTTGTCCTGAGTCGCCGGGATCGTCGACCTCTTTTATTGGTCCACGACAGGTTTCGCAGTTCGGATTGATACATTCTGGCGAGTCTGGATCGTCGCTCAAGACCATCGGTGGATCATCTTGAGAGTGAGAGTACGCGTCGTCCAACTCTTCCTCTTCTTCGACTTCGTTGGAATAATCGTCATGGGGGTATTCGTCGTTAGGGTAGTCATCGTGAGTTGAATTGCTTGCCATGGGAGCCATTGGCACTTCGGGCTGGCTAGCTTGTTGTTGGTTCTGGGTCGACGTCGCCTTCCCGGGAGATTTGGCGGGCTTCTTGCCCTTGCGGCCCTTCGTCTTGGCCAACTCGAGCAGACGCTTTTGCTCCTTCTCCTTGTGGCGAGCCTTCTGGTCCTTGATTTCGTACTGCCGAATCAGGGCGTAGGGCGGCTCTCCAAAGATGCGCTCATATTCGCAGAACTCGCAAATCCACATGTCCTCCGGCTTGGGTGGGTCGGTTCTGTATCTGTACTGGGCTTCCTGACGCCGATGCTTGGCGGCCATCTTGAGCTCCTTCTCGGCGCGGCGACGGCTCTTCTTCTTCGTGCCAGGCTGGGCACCGCCCTTGCCTGGCGCTGCCGCGCTTGCACCGGCGTTTGTGCCCGCAGGCTCCGTAGATGTCTGCGTCGCCATCGAGTGCTTGGGCTTGTTGGCGTACCCGGGAATTAAGCCGTGTGCACCTGTTGGGTCGGTTCCTGGCCACTGAGGCTTCGGAACTGGTGAGTCGCAGGTGAAGGTGAATTGCGAAGCGGTCGGGCTGGATTTGACACTGGAAGAATGCTGCTGTAGAAGACTGACGTTTTCTTGACCGGGCGCGGATGGGAGCTTCTCCGCGTTTGCAATAGCGCTGGATATTATACCAGGGTTTTCGTCTTGGGGAGCAGTTGTTAGCAGTGAGTTCTTTGCTTGAGAGGTGTGAAGGAGAAACGAATTGCAGTGGGGGGAAAGTGGCAAGATACAAGCGACGTGCAAAAGGTGAGGTAAAAATGTGCCTTCTGTTTGTAGGAAAGAGCTCTTGTATCGGATCCGAAAGAAAGCGCAGCCTGGAGGCAGGCACGATACGATCATATCGCCTGCCCCTCAAAGGACGGCCACCCCGCAATGCAAGGCCCCACCAAAGCTTCAAAGCACCAGGGCAGGACACCAAAGCTTTCGCAATGAGGTAGCAACCGAATTTCAACGTGGCAAACAAGCATACACGACATGAAACTGGGTCAGAAATCGGAAAGAAAGACTTACTGGGAGTTGCCCATTGGGGCGGCCGGATTTTGGCGCCTCTCCCCACCCAGTTGTTGTTGGCATCAGACAGAGCTCTGAGAGGGCTTCTGCCGTTCCTTGAACGACCAAATCTGCCCCTTCCCGGCCCAGATATGCCTTGGTTGTTTGCTACGAAGCTTCCACCTCCATAATACGATGGCGATGCTGACCCCGCCAGGTCACCATGTTCAATCGAAGGAGAGGTTGCTGCTGAAACGCCCATTGAGCTCATATCTGCTAGCGAGTGCGCGCCAGAGAGCGCAGAGTCCCCCGCTGTTGGTATCTTCCGCTTCTTCTTGTTGTTGGTGTTCTCGAACGACTCGTACCCGTCCGCAGACGACGTTGTTGACGGTGGTGGTTGGGGGTTCGGGTGCTTGGACTGGTCTGATTTCGAAGGCAGACCTGTGGCGCGGTTCAGAATTTCTGGGTGCGAACGACGGACAACTTTGCTGCTGCTCAGAGCCAACTCCTCCTCGTCGCTCTCTCCGTTTCCCGCATTGCCTCTAGGGCTGTTCTCGTAGCCACCACCACCCCGCCTCGTTCCGTGTAAACCTCCCGACCTCGACGGAGTCTCATCTCGCACGATATTAGGATAGTAAAACAGGGGGCTAGAGTTGTGGTTCGCCGGAGGGTACTCGATTGAATCCGCGACCTCGGGAGACAGGCGTTCTCGGAGTCGGCGCTTCGGGAGGGGGCGAATCGGCCTCTGGGGGAAGAGGGAAGAGACGCTTTCGGGAGACATTGTTCGATTATGACCTATAACGAAAGATAAATGCCATCAGCATGTCTTCCATGTGAAGTGACGAGACCAAGTGTGGGCAAGCGACAGGCTCAAAACCAGCGAATGCGATGCCACAGCTTCAGCAGCCTGTACAAGGATGCCACTCTACGTCATGCCTGCCGGCAACCAAAAGACACAACGTTTCTTCTGAGCAGTATTTGGCAGCAGGATGTGGCAAGCATAGTGCGCAGATTCTGGGAGAGAAGTGCATACCCATAACACCTCATGCTACGATCCATCCAAGACAAAGCGCCGCAGAGGAGATGGTTTACGGAAGGGAGCTTCGAGTCGGGGAGAGCGCAGAAGAGCGTGGCCAAGTGAATTACAGCAAAGAGGCTCGTTGACGGCAATCGGTTTGGGGAGTTTCGGGGAGGATTCGTATATAAGGTGGGGGGAAGCTCGCAACCCTTGATTCCTGAGTTTACCCAACCATCAGCATACGTCCGCAACAGTGTTCGGGCCTCCAGCTTCAAAGCAACTCTCCCAGCGAATCCGACAGAAAAATATTCAAATAAGGGCGCGGTTTCTTGTGCAAGTCAAGGGGGTATTGGGCAAAGGGCCTCGGGTTGTGCAGGGCAAGGCACTGCGTATGGGCGGAGCTCGAGACTCGAGAGGGGAGCGGGCATACCAACTCGGTCCACCAGAATTCGGCTGGGGTTGCTCCGAAGACGCCTTTGGGCACGCAGGATGTTAGAGGGCAGACTTGACGGGCGAACAGATCAAGGCCAGGTGTAGATATGTAAAGGCGACAGCAAAGTGAAAGCTAGCAGTCGGAAAGATCCAAAAGAGCCAAGGTGTAGATTCCCAGGGTAGCCTTTGATTGATAATGACAGCATTTGGCAATGTCTAGTGTGTGGTTAGGAGACGTAGGTCAACCAGGGCCGCTCGAAACGCATTAGATAAGCAGGCCAGGGCTCCGCTGCGGACGGGGCGCCGGGGGCTGGGGCAAGCAAGCAGTGAACGGACTGGTCTGTGGAATGGGTGAGTGCTGAGACGGGACTGGACTGAGGTAATGAATGGAGTATGGAGGGGAATCATCCACAGTACGCACTGTGTGCCGTGCATTTGAAGACTCACAGCACTCGCCTAAATTGAAGCAATGCAGGCCAATGCAGTGGTGACAACATTAGACGAGCACCGTTGGAGCGGGAAAGAATGGACTGTACGTGTATAGATTACTGGCGGGGACGGACAGGCGGGAATTAGGTACGGATACCTGTGTAAGGTAGGCAAATCATGTTCCAGGTTGCTTGCTTTGGGGGCTCGGAAGAAAATCCCTGCCGAGTAACAGCAATGATTGCGTAGCTTTCAAGCATGGCATGTTCCCAGTACTTTAAAATAATCCGATATTCTGCCTTCAGATTCCTCATTTGTGGGCGGTGCACAGTGCTATCCAGAGTTCCCAGTACATGACCGAGGACCCTCACGTTATCAGCTGTGGACCCCGACAGCTGCATCAGGGTTTTTCCGAATGCACGTCTACACGAATTTGATGCCTATGCAGGTGTTATGCCTGGTTTATGCTGCACAATTGCATCCTCTAGGCCCAGCCCCGCAAAGACGTATTTTCCCTGGGGTGCTCATTGCTCACTCTCAAGAGGGCAGCTCCTGCAGGCCAGAGATGGGCGCACCCACGGCACCGCACATTGCAACCCCGAAGAAGCGTGCTGCTCCAGTCGCCTGCCCATCCAGTGTCTCCTTCACCCAGAGCCAGAGGTCTTCCAGGGCGCACTCTTCTCTCGCCTTCCCACTTTCCACTCCGGCCTTTCTTTACCCGACCTGTCACGACATGAAGTTACCTTGTCCTCGATTATTAGACATGCGAACTATTCAATCACCCAAAAAGTCTTGCTGGAGTACCCGAGTCCTCCCTTCTCAGTAGCCTGACGTGCGAGTCGCGACCATTTCTTCCCACTCTCGCTCGATCGACTGCCCGCTCTGCTCTCCCACCTTATTCACAACCCACCCGCTCTCTGCCCGGTCGCTTCTTTCTCTCTCCTCCTCTCTTCGACACCTCAATTCTTCCCTCCTCGATCCGTCCACGAAATTGCGACCACTGGTTCTCCTCTTCGTCGTCTCTCCGTTCCCGCCGACCTTCCTCTCCTCCTCCTCTCCCGAATTCCTCCCCCGTTCGTGTTTTCCTCTCTCCGCCCTCCTACCGCGCTGCCTCAATGGCACCCCCCTCGCCTCGACGATCTTCACGAGCCCGAGGCAATACCGTCTCTCAATCACAGCAATCCTCAACGACGTCGAGTCTCTCAAGCCGCGGCGAGAGAAACACAAGATCTCTAAACAAGACCTCATCCGCAAAGTCAACCCCAAGCGCTTCGCTCTCCTCAGAGCCGCCCGAGGACCTGGAAGACGCTCTTCCCTCGCGACGTCGGACCCGCGCCCAGGAAGAGGTTCGAGACAAGATTCGGGCCGATCCTTACGACATGGCTACTGGTAGCGACGACGTCCAGGAGGACGACGAGTCGGTACGCTGCGTCTGCGGCTTCGACGAATACCCGGGGCCTCCGCCCTTTGAAGAAGACACCAAGCACGGAAAGCATAACCCCGAGGCAGACTTTTTCGCTAGTATCGAGCTGTCAGACGAGGTTTCTGGCTTGTTCGTTCAGTGCGATGTGTGCAAAGTTTGGCAACACGGTGCCTGCGTCGGCATCTTCACCGAAGAGAGTTCGCCCGACGAGTACTTTTGCGAGAATTGTCGCAAAGATCTACACAAAATCCACGCCGCCAGCAATGGGTAAGTCTCTACAACCCTAAAAACCCGAGTAACGCCGCTGCCGTCGTCGCAAGTCAATGCCGGCCTGGCAGACGTGATTTTTTCAAGCTGGAAAGGCCCCCTTTCATCTTCGGCATGCTAACATACTCTTACGCAGGCAACGATACTCGAATTACCTCCCACTCAACCGTCCCTCGCGTGCAACATCCCGAGCTGCATCATTGGTGAAGGACGGCACACGATCCCCCAAGGAAACAAGCAAAAATGTCAGGGCTTCGTCAGCCACGCAGGCACAAAAGCGGCGTTCCACAATGAACAGCCGAGACGCAGCATACGACGAGGACGAGCAACTGCGACGAGCTATTGAAGCCAGCAAGGAAGAAGTAGTCACTGAACAGCCGGAGGGCAATCGGCGACCAAAAAGAGGCCGCAGTGGCAGTGAAGAGTAAGGGCTCTTCCGACGCATGACCCTAGCTACGCTAACACCTGCTCTAGGAACCTGATCAATCTTAAGAGGCAACGAACAAGTTCTCCTTCAATGTCCTCGCCGCCCCCCGAAAAGACCCAAGCGATCGAAGACGAATCGGATGACGACTCGGCCACTCGCAATGGCCAGCCGAAGAAGGCTCGCGGTGCTCGTCATCAGCGTGAAAGATCGGAACGTGAAGAGCGAGACCGACAACGTGCTGAAGCAGCGAAGAGTCGCAAGGGTCGTGCGGACCGCAGAAGGGCTGAGGGTAGTACAACCGCGAATCTTCTCAAGGAGTCTGAAGCTCACGTGGGCACAGATTCAGATCCGTCGGAAGAACTTCCTCTAGCATCTGCTCGACCTACTGTCAAGCCGACCGTCGAGCCGCCAGTTGCGCTTGAAGCTCCTCCATCATCCGCGCCGACCCCCGATACCCCACCAGCGAACCCTGCACCTACGGGCAGTACACACAAGAAGTCCAGTCGCAACCACCAGAAGCGAGGAAAGGGCCGTAACCAGTATACCAAGGACCGAGATGAGCACGAGGATACGCCCGCTCGCTCGATGTCTAGAGACATTGCTCGGAACCACGACGATCACACTGGCGCTGGAGTGACTAAGCACTCTGGAGCGGACCATACCAGGCATGGGGCGAAAAACAAGACAAACGCTGCGCACAGCAAGGTTTCCTTGCACGACATGAAGCGCAGGGTCACGGCATTTCTCGATTTTATTTCCAAGACACAAGTCGAGCTAGCAGGGGAAGCTCTGCCAGGGTCGAGAAGCAGCCAGGAAAGCTCCCAGCAACAAAGCCCTCGCGGAACCACTGTGCCAGAGGCGCCCAAAATCAGCGTGAACGGTACCTCGAGCACAGAGACAAAGGACTTGCCCGTAGAAAACGGAGCCGCAAGCGAAAACGGATCCGAGACGAAGGAGTTTAAGGCTCTCAACTGTGTGGAAATGATGGACGTTTTGACTCGGGATCTGCTGCGATGGCAAAACCAATATGCAGCATAAGTCTTTTACGGTGATCCCTGCGGCGGGCTCCTTTTTCACTATATATGCAAGCTGTCACTTTCGACAGTGGTTGCGGTTGACTTCGGCGTATGATACCAGAGAGCTTCTAACGGTGGCATCCGACGGGAATTATTATTTTAGTGGGTTAGTTTTTTTGGAGTTCAGGCTGTCCGGAACGGGCGATATTTATCGGAGCAATGGGTTACTAAAATGGCCATCATCGTCGGCCACAGACTTATGTGCGTATCGGTTGCAGTTTTGTTTTCAGTCGGCATCGTCAGGTTTGAAGGCGATTTATCGAATAGCCAGACATGTGCGACGGTTCAAAAAAAGGGTGTGGACAAGCTGTTGGGAGCGCATCCCAGTTGCGTTGGAGTTGTGTTGCCTGGCGACATTTCAGCATCATCTTGGCGCATCTAATGTACAATTACCCTCCTTTACTTTACTTTTTTTATGTATGATACAGAGTGCGGGGTATCTCTACAGCACTTCCTGCTAGGAATTTACTCTCCTTGGTTCTAAATCGCCTTGGTCTTGTTGAGTGCCTTCTCCCTTCTTGCTTCCTTCTCCCTCTTGCGCGCCTGGCTCATGCTCACAGCGCCTTGTCCCTCTCTTTCTAGATGTTTCTCTTGGAACGCCTCGTCAGTGATATCGTCGAGGATGAATTTGCCCAACTGGCCGACACGCCATTGCTTGACTATCCAGTCAGCGGCGCTCTCCGCGTTGGCCTCGCCGCCGGTCTTAAGCTTGCCGGTCTTGTTCGCGACTCCGTCGAGGAAATCATTGACCTCGTTCGTGGGTTCGCAGTATTTCGAATAGGAGGTGGGGTCGGACAGGTTCAGTCGGTACAGGAGGTAGTCGGCGAGAATCACCATCGGAATGCGATCATCCTTGACGGAACCCACCAGCGCAAGCTTGACCATGCTCTCCGCCTCGGACACGTACGGCATGAAGACTCCAGGGGTATCCAGCACGAAAACACCCTCCCCAAGTCCCGCGCCGCCATGAGCCTCGGAATCGAGAATGCGCACGGGCGACGACAGCTTGCGCGTCACACCAGGCTGCGCGCCTACCCTCGCGACCGACGGCTTCTTCTGCATCCCGATCTTCCGCAACCTGTTCAGCAAGGTGCTCTTCCCGACGTTCGGCATGCCCACGACCAGCGCGCGCACGCCCGTCAGGCTGTCGACGCCCTGCGCAACATTGCGTATCTCGGCCAGCAGGCTCCTGGTGCTCGCGCCGTCGTCTTTGCGCCAGAAGACGACGCGCTGGGGGGAGCCTCCGGCCGCGCTCTGCCCGCGGTGGAAGCGGCGCAGGGCCTGCTCGACGTCGCGCGGGCTGTCGGTGCCGAGGTCGCGGTGGGTGTAGACGACGATGCGCTGGCGGCCGGCGATGGCGCGGTCGAGGATCGGGTTCCAGGAGGTGATGGGGACGCGGTAGTCGCGGCACTCGAGGACGAGGCCGACCTCGGAGAGGCGGGAGGTGATGTCGCGGAGGGCGGCGTGGTGGTGGCCGAGGTAGTAGGAGCGGGGGATGGATTCGGAGACGGAGAAGGTGAGGCGGGGCGCGAAGGAGCGGCGGGCGAGGGTCGGGAGCATTTTTATCGTTTCGCTGCGGTGGGTGGGGGGAGGGGCGCCGGTAGGTACGGTCTTTTGGAAGGCCCGTTTGTTGGATGGGTTCTAGCTTGAGGGAGTGGTCATTGTTGGAACCGACCAATTGGATGATGTTGGCCGCCGTTGGTATCGTCGTCGCCGTCGTCCGCCTCGGTGTCGCTATTCAGTTGAATATGCGATTGCCAAGGGGAGAAAAAAAATTGGATCGGAATTTCTTTCAGCCTGACAGCTCCCCCCTCGCAGCCTCACTCAATGCGCGGTATTTGATTGGGCGCGTGTTTTGGAGAGTGTTGGAGGGGCAGCTCTGTGGCCCCTGCGTGGTGACGTCAGCGCCAACGTCAGGCAAGGTACGTACACTGGAAAAAGGTCCCCGGAGCCGAGATCGGTCGAACTCGTTCTTGTGTCTCCAGTGCCAAGGCTTGGCCAATGAGAAGTCGACATCCACGTGGGAAACTTCCAATCTTCGATTTGTCGGAGAAGTCGAGTTTGCGAAGGTGGTTTTTTAGCCGTTTTACCATTTCAGTTTAGTGAGGTTCAAGGAAGGGCCTTGGATTTTTCGAGAGTCTGCCAAACTCTGCCACGCAACCTCGAAGCGAAAAACATGCCGTGGTTGTCCAGGAGTGTTTGGGCTAAAGATAGATGATGCCGTTCGTTGACGCACGCAGCTGGGCTCGAAGTTACCTTACGCTACCTACTTACAATTACAATGATGGTGCTCTGAATTCCGTCCGTTTTTTCTTAAAAGTCATCTCTTTCTTGTCTTGCACAGCCCTCTCCGGGTCTTGAAAGTCCTGGAGCTTCGTCGCCATGACAGACCCATCACCAGCGGGGCCCGACGCCAGTAGTCGTCGAGAAGCGACTGCTGCTACAGCTGCTGCTGGAGACCACCAAGACGACGTTATTACACCGGTCGTCGCAGAGACGCGAACTAATGAGAATCGAGAAGCATCATCCAACAACCACGATACGGGACGACAAGACGTGCGCGAGCCTGGGCGATGGCGAGGATACTTTGCCAAGAGCGGGAAGCTCAGGCCCTTCAGGCTTCTGAAGGAGGACTTTCTGAACTTTAGACTGCGATATCTATCAGACTGGGCCGTGTTCAACCAGCTCGTCTTGGCCAGTGCGATATATGTCTTCTTCACGAATATCCTGCCGGGCATCACGTTCGCCAGCGACTTGTACGTCCTGACGGGGCAATCTTGGGGGACTATCGAGGTGGTGTTCAGTACGGGCCTTTGCGGCATCATCTTTGCCCTGTGAGTCGGGAGTATTTGATTCTCGTTTTCGATCTCGGGAGGCTGACATGTCCTTAGATTCTCGGCCCAGCCCTTGACCATTCTTGGTGTCACTGGCCCGTTCTCAGTCCTCGCGGAGAACATCTACTCACTATGCGAGAATTCCTTCAAGGTACGGATGACCCCTCCATCATCTTCGTCACCACCACTTGTTATTATTGCACGGCTCGGTTTCATCATGTCGCAAACTTACACCGCCAGATTCCCTTCCTGCCTTTCATGGCCTGGGCCTTGATCCACGCCGGTTGGATGCACTATCTCCTGGCGATATTCAACGCCCACGACTACACTATGCAGTACGTCACCGACTTCAGTGCCGACATCTTTTCCCTCCTCAACAGCGTAATCTACTTCCACAAAGCCGTCAGAGAGCTGCAGCGCACGAAGGCGGCGGTCTCCCTCGCGGCCTTCCTGTACTCCATCATCGGCGCCGCGGGGACCTGTCTCCTCGCCATCTTCCTGTCGACCGCGCCGTCCTGGAAACCGCTGTTCCACAGATACGTCCGCATGGGCCTGGCCGAATACGCCGCCGCCATCTCCATCGTCTTCTTCATCGGCATGCCCTACGTCGGCGACCTCGCCCACCTCGACCACAACAGGCTCGAGGTGTCCACGACCTTCAGGCCCTCCTCCCCCAGCCGGCAGTTCTTCTTCGTCGAGTTCTGGAAACTCCCCCTCGGCTGGATCTTCATCGCCATCATCCCCGGCATCATCATCACCGTCCTCTTCTACTTCGACCACGAGATCAGCAGCATAATCTGCACGGCGAAGCGCTACGGCGTCCAGAAACCCGGCGGCTACGCCTGGGACATCATGCTCCTCGGCACCACGACGATCATGTGCGGCATCCTCGGCATCCCCCCGGCCAACGGCCTCCTCCCGCAGGCCCCGCTGCACTCCGAGTCCCTGATGCACGTCGTCGTCGAGGACCCTCCCGCCCCCGACTCCGAGCCGGGCGAAGACCCCCCGGCCAAGCCCGTGACGCGGGTCTACGAGCAACGGTACTCGCACTTCATCCAGGCGGCGGGCATCTTCATCTTCATCACGCCGCCCTTCCAGCACGTCCTCGGCCTGACGCCGACGTCCGTCCTCGCGGGCCTGTTCATGTTCATGGGATACCAGTCGCTCTGCGTCAACCCCATCCTGACGAGGATCTGGCACCTGCTCACGCCCCCCTCGGAGCTGCCCGCGCTACCCCAGGGCGCGTCCTGGTTGGGCATTCACTTGTACACCTTCTCTCAACTTGTGCTTACTGGTATCGTTTTCGGTGTCACTTTGACGGTCGCCGCGCCCGGTTTCCCCATCATCATCATTATTCTTGTACCGGTGAGACTGTTCTTCATGAACAGGATATGGAGCCGGCAGACACTGCGGTATGTTGATGGATGGGCGACGAGAGAAGGAAAACCAGAAGATGATGAGAACGACCGTCGGCGCGAGGCGGTCATCGCCTCTCGTGATTCCGCGAGAGACGTCTCCGATGAGGAGAAAGGGATGAAAAATGCATGAAGAGTTCATCTATCTATCTACATCTAGAAAATAATGTTCACCATACATGATCTTAATCTTCAAGAGTATCGATATTCAGACGCTCACATACATATCAAAATGACGAGTCACATTTATGGCGTAATCGCCATGACATCTGCAAGATACTCCCGAACTGCGGGGTCCCGCTGTCAAAAAGCACACCCCCACCGGACACATTTACCCCTCCATCAACAACGACATCCGCGTTTTTCATAGATGTCTCGGATTCCAAGTCCGCTGCGCGCCGGGTGAAGATACCCGCGGCGGCCCCCGAGATCTTGGGCAACCCACTCAGCCATCCGACCTTTTGAGACACATGCCTACGCCATGGCGTATTTCAGGGCCAAGATGCCCGACGGGGCTCCGCGGCTTTGGATCCAATTCATCCAGATCCAGCCGTAGCTGAGAAGCGTCCGTGACAATGTCGCCGTTGTCCGTAGCTGGGAAATATGCCGTCATCACCGGCGCAGGCTCAGGTATCGTCTCACATGCTCACCCTCCTAACAAATCCCGACTAACATCGTCCCTCAGGTATCAACCTCGCCTTCGCCAAACTCCTCCTCGAGCGCGGCTGCTCCGTCCTAATAGGCGACCTCGCCCTCCGTCCCGAAGCAACCTCCCTCGTATCCCAATACACCACCACCGGCACCACCCCCCGCGGCTCCGGCAGTCCCACCGCCCACTTCCAGCCCACGAACGTCGCCTCCTGGCCGCACCTAACACGCCTCTGGTCCCGCGCCCTCGCGACCTTTCCCCGCGTCGACATCGTGGTTCCGGGCGCGGGCATCTTCGAGCCGGCGTGGAGCTCCTTCTGGCAGGCGCCCAAGACGACGACGAACCCGCGGACGGCGTCCCGCGACCGCGCGGACGCGGAGCCCGGGACGTACGCCGTCATCGACGTCAACCTCACCCACCCGATCCGGCTGAGCCAGCTGGCCGTCGGCCACTGGACGCGGGAGCGCAGGGCGGGGTGCCTCGTGCACGTGAGCAGCATCGCGGGCCACGCGGCCGGGATCGGGACGCCGCTGTACTTCGCGAGCAAGCACGGCCTGCACGGGTTCGTGAGGAGTTTGGGGGATATGAGGGACCGGGTCGGGATCCGGTGCGGTGCTGTCGCGCCTGGGGCCGTCATGGTATGCTTTCATCCCCCCCGTTTAGATCTCATTCCCCGGAGCATCTTGAAGTTCTGTCTTATGAAAGAGGGTCGCTGATAACAAAACCACAGACGCCGATGTGGCGCGAGGATCCCGGGAAGCGGCACATGGCCGAGGGTGAGGAGAGCGAGAAGCTATTCCTCAAACCCGAGGAGATCGCGAGGGGGATGCTCGAGCTCTGCGAGAACCCCGAGTACGGCAACGGGACGATCCTGGAGGTCTCGAAGGGCAAGTCGAGAGTCGTGCCGCTTTATCACGCCGAGCCTCCGGAGGGAGCCGGGGTCGTCGTGCCCAAGTTCGCGGAGGGGGCGGAGAAGATCTGGAGTCAGTTAGAGAACGGAGGGTTGAAGGTCTGAGGCTTCGAGCATAGCATTGCGTTTCTGTCTTGATATCAAATGGATTTTCGTGAGGGGTCAAAGTCGCCGTTACTTCATACTGAAGCTTAAATCGAGCTGCTTTTTGGGGTTGTGAAGAGAACAAAACGAAAACGGAAGCAGCGACGCAAAATAGTAACCACGACAAAAAGATAATCAATAGTCGCACGTATGCATATTCATCAGTGCTCGAAAGGCATCAGACGGGAAGGATGACACTAGCGTCTCAACGATCCGAGACTAATTCACACTAGGCGCCACTGCGAATCGAATACCTCCTCGGTGCTTTCTCCTAAAAAACCACTGTCGTCTTCAGCGTTCATCCCAGAAACCACGAATATCAATCCATCAAACTTCTCTTGGTGACAGAGCGCTTATGTTATTTTGCATTTCGCCGCGACGATGGCTGGACCTGCCGACAACAACGCTCTACCCACCCGCCCGCATCTCCAACTCTTCAACCCCGACCCAAGTAAGGCCTGCTTCCACTTCTTCCCTCAACTACCGGCGGAGCTCCGTCATCTCATATGGAACCACGCCCTACGACGGAGGCGTCTCATCCATGTGAGCCTCGAAGAAGTCGACGGCGATGGGGGCGACGATGATGACCGCCCGAGATACGCCATCTCCAACGCCCTGGGCCGCCCCATCACGGGAAACCACTACCGCGTCGTCGTAAAGACCCGTGGCCCGCTCCTCCCGGAGATTGTGAGGGTGAACCGCGAATCGAGGGCGGCGACGATGGCTTTCTATGCCGTCAAACTCCCCTGCTACCTCGACTCCACGGACAGCCAGAAAACGAACATCTCCTTGAACCTAGCATGGGACTACATCAGAATCCTGGCGGGGCCCCCATGGAAACTCTCCTTTATCGACTTCATCCACGACCTGCGCGCCTACGACCCCGAAGGCGTTGGGGTCCGACACCTCGTCATAGATGAGAGCGACGCCTTTGAAGATGAGGAGATGTTCCCTGGACGAGAAGACGACCCCGCCTCCTTCGACGCGGCCGAAATTGACGCCACCAGCCTAGACGCCTTCCGCGCCACCGTCAGTAACCTGGAGAGCATCTGGTTCATGCGCGTCCGACCCGGTGGGCGGGCGCTCAACGTGGTGACCCATACGCGCATCCAGGCCTTCAACTACGGGTTCCCCGTCCTTCCGGCCTTCACCTTCTTCGACGCTCCGGCGCGGGACCCGCGGGACGTTTCGCGGGACTTGAAGAAGGTGTGGGGCGGGGTGTATGACCCGCGCCTGGAGGTCGTCTTTTGGCGGCGGCTGCTGCGGAAGCTCGGGGTCGACCCGGCGAGTCTCGATGCATCTACAGACGTCCGGATCATGGTCGGTTCCGATCTGGGGGCCGTCGTCCGCAGCCGGGCCGACGCGAGCAGGCGTCTTCATGAGGAGGACTTTCAGTGGTTGAAGTCGCGGGGGCAGAATCTCGGCTGGGAGAGCGGAGGCAGGGAGAATAGGCCTGCGGGGTGCTTTCAGACGAAGACTAAACCGCGGTGGAAATTGCCTGGCTTCGACGGGCCGGAGGTGCTTGCTGCGGCACCAAGGCCGGCGTTGGGTTTCTGGCTGTTTCCGGTGGAGGCGTTTGGTGAGATGGGAAGCGATGAGACGCCGGATACGTGGCTCAAGTTTAAAGGCGTCTATGACATGAGCCGTCAGTGGCCTAATCTTGCACTGGCGCATGTAAGTTGACGTCTCCGCGGGAGTACGAGGTTTGGATCGAGGCCAACGAGAAGGGTAGATGACGGCTTGTCGTCTGGAGGGACTACTTTTGAACACTTTGATGTGAGCAAAACTTTACACTTGCCAAGCTGGCGAGTTCAGTCCAGATGATTACAATCAGGCTTGGACGATATTTAGGAAATTCATCCTAAATTACGAATGAGATTCTCCAAAATCCAAGACTTCGTCTAAAGAAAGCATCGTAAATGGCACCATCTCGAAAGCCAGCCCATCCTCTTTACGCTGGGGAGTGCGCACTACGGTGCAGGTCATGTAATCGGGGCCCAATGATCTGAGGCACACATTCACGTCGTCGACTCTGGCCCCCTTGAAAATGATCTCATGCTCCGTGACCGCGTCGCCATCGTCCTCAAACTTCTCCGCTGGGAGCGGCGGCCTGAATTTCTTGAACTGCAAGTCCGCCAGCCAGGGCGCGAGGAGGGCTTCTCCGGTCATCTTGACGTAAGCTTCTCTCAGACACCATAATGCATAAAAGCACCGTAGCTTGAAGTCTGCCCCATCCTCTGCCGAGGCGCCCGGCTTCAGGCCCGGAGGGATCGCTAAGAGGACCTGCCACTTAAGGAAGCTCGCCTCAGCTGGCGACAGCACGTCAGCATGGACGTCAACGAAGTGCGGCCACCCCTCGCTCCTAAGCATGCCGTGATCCCTCGCGCGGCGCTCCGAGGTACAAACGACATCGACACCAACGTCAACGGGCCCGTTGGAGGAGTCGTAACCGTGGACAGCAATAAGAGCAACGAGACCGGCTTGGTGGCTCACGTTGAAGCTCAGAGGTTCAGAGCCCTCGGCGGTGCGGAAGACGGGTTTAGTGTGGTCGTTGCGTACGGCAGTAGCCGATGGCCAGGGGACGCCGCAGAAACGGGAGATGGCATAACGTTTCAGGAGGTGTGAGCCCAAAGACAGCTTCGCGTCGCGAACATGGTAGTATTTCAGCACGGCTTTGCGCTCTTCGGCGCTGAGGAGAGCGAGCGCCCGAGATGCCTGAGATTCCTGGTTAGTTTTGGGGCGTTTTGGATGCTTGCTTTCTCTCTTTGGAAGGGTGAAGTGAGGCGGATGATGAAATACTGGGCCAAGGGATGCGAGAACTATTGGGGTAAAGATCTCGTTTGGGAGAGTTTGATTTGCAAGGAGAAGGACGAAACAGACATGGGTGTGCGTCTGTGTTGACGGGCGGTTCGGTTGGGTGAAGGGGGGATCAAGTTTCTCTTACTGCTTGCTCAAGGTGCTTCGTTTCAGTGGCCTCTGGATACAGGTGCCGAGTATCCAGGATCCACTGTACGATAGTCGGGGCCATCTCGATCGGTGTTGTTTTCGGGGGTTTGAACGACGTCCTTCGCACTCGCAAGCCTTTGGTTTTGCGATATGTTGTGTAGCTGTCCTTCTGAACTCAACTTGTCAAGTCTGGAGTATGGAATGACAGCTGCAGTTCCAGAAACCAAGCCGTCTTGGCAGAGATCAGGTACTCCAGGAGTCCAGCCAGCCGCCGTCACAAGAGGGACGTGGAGGGGACGAAAAGAAGTCTGCCAAGCAACCCAATTAAGGTTAAGGATTGCCTGATGGCCGTCGTTGACACCTTATTCGCCCCGCTTAGTGGTTGAGAAGAGACGTGAAAGAGACGAGAGGTCGATGCAACGGTGGCCGAGACGAGCGTAAAGCCGTCTGGGAGACTGAGAGAGACAAGCAACTGGACAATGGGTCTCGGAGGGGCTGAAGCGAGCAGGCGAGTAAGCGAGAAATGCTTGGCTCCGAAAGAAACAGTGATGGATCGATGATTTGCGATCTGAAGTTTCAGACATCAGGCCATCTGGACCTTGGGAGTTGCGAGTCGCTCCTGGTTTCGGGTTCTGAGGGATGGTTGTGTTGGAGTGGTTGGAGTTGGAGGTGGAGGTGGAGGAGGAGGAGGGCAGGTTGAGACGTTTCCACCCCTCCTCACCTCAGGTTCCCGGTCCTCCCCTCCACTTTCCCACCAACCTCTCCCACCCTCCTGCCGGAACAGGGCGGACCAACGCCCGCTAGCGCCCATTCTTACAGGTGGGGTGCCAGTGGTTCCAGTGGCTCACAGCCGCAGATCACAGCGAATGGCGGCTTGGCCGTGCCTTTCCCGCCCCAAACCATTTCTTGACTTCACTCCACCCTGGGCTGATGGAACATTGTCTGACGACGACTGATTAACATCTATAAAGCTTCATCACCCGTTGTTCGCTTCTTCTGTTCTTACTCACTCCTCTCCAGCGCAATTCTACTTCTCTCCTTCTAGAATTCGCCGCGCGGTCGAGTCTCCCACCCAACTCAACAGATTCCTGCGTTTCTCATCTCAATCGGCCTCCCCCGTTCCGTCGTCATACTCGCCGCGATCACCACCAACCAAGACAATCACCATGCGCGACGTCGAGCAGGCCAGGAGTGCCACCCTCTGTTCCGCCCGATGTTCCCTTCCACGGAAGCGTTGAGCTGAAGGTGTCGAGCAGAGACCCTTTTCATGTTGGATTCTTCTGTCTGGAGGCTGGGGCGCGCCGGCCGGAAGACAGTCGAGGATCACTTTTACAACAACTTTTTACAACCGCTGGAAGGATCCGCAGTTACCTGAGGTGTCGATGATCCGTCCGCAGCTGCCACGCGACGGGAACCACAACCTGGCGCGGTTCTGGCCACGGGCGACGAGAATCCACTGGTAGGGCTGCGTGAGCCTGGAAGCGATGGCGACTCTCCTTTTTGGTTCTCAGTCCTGCCCGTCTCGCCTGGATCGGACTCTTCGTGAGTTAGAGGAAGGTTCGAGAAGGCAGGGCTTTATCCTGACTCGCCTGCACCCGGATTCTTCGTGAGTTAGGGGGCACGGTTTGAGAGGGATGGGGATCGAGGGGATGAGGCGCTCTTCTTTTTACTTTTCTTCTTTTTTTCTTCAAATCAGCCCATCACAACGCCGAGAGTTGGGCAGCCTGATGAAGCGCAGGGGATGGGTTTGTGCACTTGCGCAGATCCGAAACTGCGTGGAGGGTCCCTTGCAGAGTCTGGACCTTTTCGTGGTGCGGGGGATTATGGTGCTGGGTAGCATCAACCAACCAGACTATTCGTTCTTGAGATTCGCATTGTAGGAAGGGAGGGAGGGTTTGTTAATGGGCGAGATCAGAGAAGCTGTTTGGCTATGAGGCGTAGCGAACGAAACTTCAATACATCACAAAATATAAAAGTTCTTCAATTTTCTCATATGAAGTTGTCATCTGTGACTGCATGTTCTCGAGTCAATGTTACATAAAACAGAGAAAATTGACGATCTTTCGTCATCCAAGCAAACTTGATGATAGTGTAGGATATACGTTGTTGAGTCGTTATGCCTAATGTTCTCGGTTGGTTGGTGTTTAATCTCCTACCATTTGAATGTCTATCACCAAAATGTATCAGGTGACTGCAATAGTACTCTCCAGACTGACGATCTCAAGTGATCCTCGGCTATGCATGCGCTCTCACGGAGCGCACCCTTCGGATGCATTGCACCGGATTCACAGGGCTCGGGCAGCTGTACCAGTACCATGCCAAAGATTGAGCCGCGTTGTTGTCGTACATATTCCAAAGACGTAACGGCCACAAGACCATTTCGTAAAACTCCAAAACGCCTTCCATGCCTCGCTCTTTTCAGATCATACACGTAATCTGTACAGTATATCGTTTCGTACGCCACTTCGAGAGCAGCTCTCTCACTTCTTCTCCGCCGCTGCCGCCGCCGCGGCCTGCTCGGCGCGGTATTTCTCGTTCTCGACCTCCCTCCAGTCCCTCGGCGCCTTCTCGTTACCGTCCGTCTCGCCCCTTCCGCCGGCAAACGCGGGGCGTCCGGCATACAGCTGGTAGCCCTTGCCGGCCTCGGCGTCGTTCATCGTCTTGTAGTTGACGGGCATGTTGCCGCGGAAGCGCTTGCGCATGTCGACCATGCCGCGCTTGCATTCGCCGAAGCCCTTCTTGAGTTGCTGGCACTTGGTGGGGAGGGTGTTGACGAGGGGTTCGCGGAGGCAGTCGGAGGCGGAGTTGCGATGTACCATGACGCAGTCGGATTCTTGGAGGCATTGCGCGAGTGCCTCGCCTGCGACGGAGTTAGTTTCTTGTTCTTCCAAGCGAGATCTGTTGTGAGGCTTACGCAGTTCTTTGCAAGAGCTAGGCATGGTGACGGGTCTGGGGCATTTGCCTTGGTGGGAGTGGTCCGACTTCTGAAGCTATCGCCGCAGAGACGTTGAGCTTCCAGTTTGCAAAGAGAAAAAAAACAAAGTCTCTTTGATTGGTCAGCATCAGCAAAACAACCCCACTTACATGCAGCGGTTTCTGCAAGGTGCGAGAGCGCAGAAGGGCCGCTAAGGTTGGTTTTAGTGCCATGTCCCTGCAGTCCTTCAGGTCCTTCAGGTCCTGTGGTCCCCGCTTTTCAAGGATCCCGGCTCGCTGACCAACCGCGTTGCTCGCGCGCGCGCCCCGTCTCTGCCCCTCCAATAAGGTACCCCGGGCTGCAATGGCGGCGTGCGCTGGCACATTGTCACTTTCAACTTCCGGGGGCTAAGGGAGTGACAGCGCAGCACCTGTGTGACCTTGCCATGACCCTCGACCTCCAATTCCCCATGGCACCTTGACCTTTTCGAGAGCTGTCCCTCAGATACATCTTCGCATGTGACATCACCAGGCGCCCGACCACTTCCAGATTCGTACGCTGACACACATCGTTTGAGCACATCTTTTTCTCTTTTCTCTCACCTTATCGATCGCCAACGAAAAGGTCACGGCCAGCCAACAAAACGCCGCCCAAAGCCCCGAGGCTCCCAGGCTCCTCTCCCTCTTAACTTAAGCTTTGCGCCCCTTCAGACACTAGAGTGATGATGCCTTGAGAGCTCTTTCTTTTTCGTTTGTTTCCCACCTCATCTTAGACATAATCGTTCCTGAGTTTGCGCCGGCAGCTTTTATTGCATTACATCGATTTCTCCCTTCCCACAAGATGCCTATCCCTTTCATCGGCCGACTAAACATGTAAGGGTTGCCAAGTTGTCCCATCCATCTCCCTCGCCTCGCCTCCCTCTTCTTTTCTCCCTTCAACTGCAACGCTCGGAACCTACGATGTTGCAGTCAATGCGATCCGGACTGATGCTGATGGAATCGCGCAGCGTCGAGTATGTGGCTCTGGTGGGGTCTTTTCTTCTGGTAGGACTCGAGGCTATCATCCGAGTCCTGACCTTGGCTCTGCGTACGCATAATGCGCTCCCTTGTCTTCCCCAGGTTGTGGCGTTCCGAGCTAGCTAACCCGAGGCTTCCATAGCTTCGCCGCTCATCGCCCTGTTCTACCGAGCTTCGCGTCGACTGTTTAATCGATTTTCGACGCCCGCGCACAAACGCGCCGAGGAGCGCAAGAAGTGTTGGTCCTCCGTCCCCGGCCACGACGCCCCTCTCCGTGACGCAATTGGACTGACTCGGGTGTCGCCCAGCTATCTCGACTAACGTGAGGGACGCCTCGGACTTCGTCGATCTTTGCCGCTTGTTCGGATATGAGGCTGAGGAGCACGTTACGCAAACCAAGGATGGCTTCCTCCTCGGTCTCCACCGCTTGGCTTGGAAGAAGGGCGAGGAGGGTCTGAAGATCAACAGCGGTCCGAACAGCGTGAAAAAGAAGGTCGTATACCTGCATCACGGCCTTCTCATGAACTCGGAGGTCTGGGTGTGCTTGACCGACGAGCAGAGATGTCTTCCTTTTGTGCTCGTCGAGAAGGGCTACGATGTCTGGGTAAGTATAGGCTTGGTCGCATCGACTGGGCGCGTTGCTAATATTATGGTACAGCTCGGCAACAACCGCGGCAACAAGTACTCGAAGAAGAAGGTTTCCCAGTCGCCTAAGTCGCTCGAGTTCTGGAACTTCTCCATCGACGAGTTCGCCTTCCATGACATCCCCGACAGCATCGCTTACATCCTCGAGGCTACCGACCAGGAAAGCTTGTCGTACATTGGTTTCTCCCAGGGAACTGCGCAAGCTTTCGCAACCCTCGCCATCCACCCCAAGCTGAACCAACAGGTGAACGTATTCATCGCTTTGGCCCCGGCCATGTCACCCGCCGGTCTATCCAACGGCATCGTAGACGCCCTAGTCAAGGCTTCCCCGCAAGTCTTGTTCCTCCTTTTCGGTCGCCGATCCATCTTAAGCTCTGCTACCATGTGGCAGTCCATTCTTTACCCGCCGATTTTCGTTAGAGTCATCGACCTTGGCCTTTCCTTCTTGTTTAACTGGCAGACGAAGAATATCTCTCTCAGCCAGAAGCTTGCTGCTTACCCCCATCTCTATTCCTTTACTAGCACCAAGAGTGTGGTCCACTGGTTCCAGATCATCCGCAACAAGTCCTTCCAGATGTACGACGACGACGTTCACCCGCCCATGTCCATCAGCTCTTCTAGCAAGTACACAAAGGTCGCAAAGTACCCCACGCGCAACATCAAGACTCCCATCGTGCTTGTCTATGGCGGCAGCGACTCATTGGTCGACATCAAGGTCATGCTCAAGGAACTGCCCAGCCAGACAGTGGCCACCGAGATCCCCCACTACGAGCATCTTGACTTTCTCTGGGGCCGCGACGTCGACGCCCAGGTCTTCCCCCACGTCTTCGACGCGCTTGACAGCTTCACCGACGCGCTACACTCGAAAGAAGAGTACGCACGATACCAACTAGCACGACAAGAGAGCCTTCTCGGCTCCGGCAACGCCTACCGCCACGCTCAGAAGGACAGCGACGTCTCAGCTAGCGAGGCCTCGACATCGGTGGATGACATCCAGCCCAGAAACGGTACGGACAGCCCGCTTTCATACAAGTCACGAGACCGACCATCCGGGATCCCCTCGCCCTTCGGTACCACGCGAACGAGGGCTCCGTATTCTCAGGTCGTTGCTAACGACGACGACGTTCCTTCTTCGCCAGACAGACCAGACAGCCGCGCGGCGAATCCCGACGACAAGGGCGTAGAAACCCGCGAATCCCCGACGGCAAAGCTTAAGGGCATTGGCGTGCGACGCGGAAGCGGAGGAAGTAGCCTAAGCCTGGATAGTATGCGGGAGGGTAAGGGTATTAGTTTGGGTACGAGTAAGGCCCTCGGGGGCGTCGTAACGAAGAGTGGGATAGATGCGAAGGGACTGGGTAATGCTGGGACGGACGAGGCAAAGACTGTGAAGAAGAAGAAGCGTGTCACCGTCGCTCCGTAGGCTTGATGTCTGCGGAGTTGTAGAAAAAACAAAAGTCAAGACAAAATTGGATTAGAAGTAACTATTAGAATGTTGCAGCATGTTGCACGGTGACCATGGAGTGCTGCCTGCAAAGGGTGAAGTGATCACATGAATACTCTGGGCCTTCCCAAACTTCTCAATGACGGAGCTTGGGCTAAGCAAGACCTAGTAAGCATTGCGAGGTCGAACGGATATATTTGCTGTGCGTTCGAAGACGACCTTGGGCAGAGTAGACAGTCTTCGGATTGCCAAGCAACGATGCCAAGTCCAGCACATCGAAAACCCGTCCCATGGGGTATCTTGTAGAATACATTCGCATTATCCATGCCTTCCAATCCACGCCTTTCATATCCGGTGTACCGAGAGACGAATCGGCAGCGTCTAAGGCGTGATCATAATCCGATGGGTGACGTTGCAGGCGGGCGTCACAACATGGGACACAAGGAATCCCAGGCTCGACTGTACATAGCAGCTGCAATATCACGGTCAATATACACTTTGTGGCCAATGGGATTCGAGAGATCGTTCATGTTGGTCTGATCTACTAAATAAAGTCACGAAATCCACCGTCGTGGTTCGTCTCTATGGAGAGCTCAAGGATGGTATCCATTCGAGTTAAACTCTATCAACACCCGACCCCCTTCGAACTCAGCAAACACACCAACAGTAGTTCTTCATTTATGTATGGCAGCATCGTATATCTAGCTAGAAACTGTAGACTGAATCTATCTGGTCTCTCACGATCATGACACGGCGGCGAAGTATGCGGAAGCCGTTTCCCGCCGAAACATGATCTTACACCCCTTTTCGGGGCAACGCCAGGCGTATGATATGCTCAGCTGGGGTTTACACGTGGTCTCAGTTGTTTTACAAAAGGTAGATGATGCCATGGTATTGGCGTCTTCGCCAGCCTCGGGGTGGGTGGCTCACGATGTTTCCAGGTAGGCTAGACTTTGACGCCGCTCGTTGCATCCGTAAGGGTACCGTACTTCCATGACTTCAACCTCGACGTGTCGTCTTCGGGCCCGCTCAGCAGACAAGCTGGTAACTCCGTACCCGTTCTCAGTCTGAATATCTTCCACCCTGGCTTCTGTTCCAGGGAGCTGCTTGAGGAGAGCGGCAGGAGCAATAAGGATGGTTGCCTCTTGGAGGGCCGAGTCTCCAGCGGCAGCGAGGACAAGATCAAGGACTGATAGATTTCGTGGGAGGGGTACGAGAAACAGCCTCACCCATGGCGTAGTACGAGAAATGTCAGGGGTTTGTTGGGAAGTAAGTAGACACAGGCGGATCTTGGTGGTTGTTCTCTCTCTTCATCAGATCGTTTGCATGACGAATATGATGACCAGGAAATCGGCGAGTTCCCCTTGTTAACGAGAGCGAGCAAAGACACAAATTGACCGTGTCGATACTTCTTCTCAACCAACCGGGCATTCGGTTCACCTTGCTAAAACACCACCAGTGACACAACGCATAGTATGGTAGAACATGGGGAAGACATGATTTCAATTGTCTACAGACGACCTTAAGGGCCAACAGCTCTTTCGAGACGGCGCAAGCATCCACGCTCTTGCCTCTCATTATCTCAACATACGGAGAGTTTCCGACTCTTGCGATATTATTTTTCTTCTTGCCTACTTGCCGTTTCCCATTGTACCTACGCCTCATGCTTGATAGTCTCAAGCCGAATCACTTATAAAAGTAACGCAAAGAGGGGGTATCGTGCGAAAGCCGCTCAAAGCCCTTCGCAGCCGGCCACAAAGCCTCTGTGAAGGGTTATGCGGGGTATGTAAAAGATGAAGAAAGGAAACAAATAGTCTGATGCTAAAGAAGGGGAAAAGAAGCAGCTACTCATAGAAGCGCTGTGGGGGGATTACAGGGAGAAGAGACTCCCAAAGGGCTCCATTCGTCTTCGTCAACTATATCGAGATATTGCCCAATGGCAAGATCTTCGATGGATCACCGGTAAACCGGTTGTGGTAGTCGACGATGCCCTGTGCAATGCTAGGAAAGTCCTTGATGTTTTGTGATCTCATCTCCTGGAGGAGTTTACGCAGCCCATCGTTGTACTGCGCCTTCTGAGGTCCATCAATTTGGCTGCCGCCAAGCTGGAGGAGTATTTGGTCGTCTAGAGCGAAAAAGGCGACCGTCAGCGTTCAACATGCTTCGAAACATGTGAAGTGGTCAGTTATCCTTGCGGGGCGAAGGCGACCTACCCGGCAGCTGCATGGTCTCGAAGTGCTGGTAGATACAGTCAGCACCTCTGGGGCAGTCCCGATTTGCCAGCTGGTCGGGGCAAATAGGAAGCTTTGGGTCGATCTTATTGCTAAAGGTGAGGGATCGTAATCCTCCGGCGACGGTTTCAGCAAACTTGGGATGGTATCGATAAGCACGGAAATACTGCAGCGGACTTTCGTAGGGGGTGTATTGGATGTTGGTTGCCGTCTCATCAGTGTTTTCCGCGGGTTGAGGAACCTGTTGAACATGTTAGAAACCACAGCGACATTGTGATGTGAAACGAAATGTACTTCTCTCACAGCATCAACTCCCTGTTCGGGTGTTGACTCGTTTACTCCCAGTGAAATCTGTTCAGGAATCGGTGAGGCTCTTGAATTCAACTCCTGCGGGTCAGCATCACTATTAGCCAGCGAGACAGTACTGCCTGCGGGCACCGGACTGATGGATGGAGACTTGGCAGGATCTGAGGGGGCAAAGGCTTCAGGCGGCTCGTAGGCGTCTGAGGACTCTGACTCCTCTACTTGATACGGCTCTTCTTGGGCTTCTTGGGATTGCTCTTCGTCCTGGGAATTCGAACTCTCAGATCCGCCCATAACAACATCAGAGGGACTATCACTCGAACTGGTAGCAGGCCGCGAATCCTCAACTTCATTCACGCTGGCCACTAGGCCCGCAGAAGCATTGGGAAGCGCGGCTACTGCCTCATCTGCAGCATCGGGAATTCCAGCAGGATCTGTTGTGACCAGGCCAACAGCTGCGTTGTCGGCGTCTCCGAATCCGATGGCAGGGGCTCCGTCGCGCTGAGCGACGGGAGGTTGAGGCATCGGGATAGCCGTGATAGAGGAGTTTGAAGCCGCGGTTTCATTGTAGGAAGTTGAAGGGGGCATTGTGGTCTCAGCAGCAGGCTGCGAAGTCTGGACTTCAGAATGGGCTCTGGTCGGCACTTCGGTGACAACAGGGTCCACTAGATCTTGATTAATGATGCATTCGGCATGCTTTCGACGTCTTGAGATGTCCACTAACCGGAGTTGCTTTTCAGCTGACTTTGGGGCTCTGTTGCCTCATCGGAATCTTGTTCCATCTGTTCCATCTCTCGGGCCAACTTCTCTCTCTCCGCGTCATCCTCCTCTATCTCCTTTTGCAAGCGCGTCATCTGGGATTGCAGCAGACGCAATTTGCTCTTCTTCGCCTGCAGCCTGCTTTCGACGAGAGGCAGGCTGGTACTAACTGCGCGGCGCTTTTCAGCCCTGATGGAAGCATTCTGGATTTTGTTCTCCGACGGTTTGGGCAGGCGCATCGAGCTGCTCGCTTCGGCGACCACTGGCGAAGAATCGCCGCTGGGCTGATCAGATGCACCGGACGCGCCCATGGACTGGACCCGTCTCATGTTTGGTTTGCCCACATCCGACTCGGCAGCAGCCTCTGGCGTTTGCCCATTAGACTTGGGACCAGACGCCTGCCCGTTCATAGAAGCCTTCAGCCTCCTTTTGGCTTCGGCCAGTGCAATCTTCCGCTTCATCGCCTCAATCTGTTTGTCCATAACTTCGAGATGTCCTTGCTTTGGCGGGGCAGCAATGATTCCTGACTGAGGAGTAGCGACGTTGCTAGGGCCTGGGCTAAGTTGGGGGCGACCGTCCGTCAGAGGAGGGAATTCGCGGAATGATGCCGTGTTGTTCGACGGGGTGGCCTGCTGAATGCCTGTAGATTCGTCCGTGGGAGATCCTATCTCCATCTCGACATCCTCGTCATCCGATGCGTCACTGACATCGATGACAAATGGCATTTCTTGGCGGTGGTAACCGAAAGGACGCTTATGTGATTGTGTATCCGTGATGAAGTTAGCAGCTACGGGTCGCTTTCGTTGGTTTCGGGCTGCGGGTTGAGCTGCGGACATGAATAGACCTGGAATAGCTGACGTTGATGCGGATGCTGGCTCGGGCTGTTGGGGTAAGTTTGTCGGAAGTGCCTCAGCAGCAGGTGCAACTTTGGCAGCAGGAGGTCGTGTGGTAGATGGCGATGTCCCTTCGGAAGGAGCCTGCAATGAATCTTTGCGAACAGCCGCCTTATGAGCACGTGCATCGCGAGATTTCTGCAAGGCTTCCATCTTTTGCTGCTGAAGGACTTCCTTGTCGCTTTTCGTCTTTGGATCAACTTGAGGACCATCAGCCGACGTGTGAGTAGGGGCAGCCTTTGCGTTTTTCGCAGCCAATAGACGAGCTATCCGGTCCTTTCTCTCTTCGCCGGCTGACTTGGCGGCGGATACTGGTTGATTTGATGCCGCAGGGGTTTGGGTACCGGAAGGCTTCAAGGCTGCTTGCGCTGGAGAGTGTGACCCTCCCGACGCCTGAGGAACAGACGTGCCTGGAATAGCTGGTAGGGGCGGACTGCTGATATCCAGACCAAGCTCCGTGAAGAGGTTCTTGAGAACCGTCTCATCGATGCCTGCGTCCACAAATTGTTGGAAGCGGACGCCCAATGGAAAGAGGTGAAGGATAGCAGCATGGGCCTTCTTCCTAGCATCTTCAACGGCGGTGTGACTTGTCGCGGCCATACTAGGCGCAGCGGACTGTCTTGACAGGCCGTTGGTATTGGGTTGGCGATTGTCGACAACAGCGGGGGCCATTTCGTGAGGTGACAGGTGGGGAGAGTAGGAGCCCGATCGTTCCCGCCCTACTTTGAGGTCAGCTTCAAGTCCATCACATACCCTGAATTTATGATGCTCACCAGTTGCGTCCAGAGCTTCAGGGCTTGCCGCCCGCCTATGCTCACTCGGACCACTGTGCCAGACCGATGCGGCGGCGTTACGACCGTGGTTGACTGTCGCATTCGAGGGAGCTTTGCCAATTGTGTGGGAAGGAGCGGTGCCCATGATGGTCTCTGCTGGTTCGTACAAATCGTCAAATTCACCCTCGCTGAGCTCGCCCTCCTCGGCGTCCTCTGTGCCCTTCGCTATTTTCTTAGCCGCGGGCGGACGGACCCCACCAGATGGTGCGGAAGTTCGAGACATAGATGCCTTCAGAGAAGTGTCTGCGGGCTGATAGTATTGAGAAGCGGGGATCAGCTTGGGCTCTTCTCGAGAAGGCAAATGCTGCTGAGGCAATGGTGCTGGTGCGGGTACGGGTGCGGGCGCGATCGCGGACGTCTGATGTGCCTGCGATGGGTGCGGTACTTGTGGCGTCTGCATGGGTTGCTGCCAGCCGAATGCCTGAGCCGGAGGAGCAAAGCCTAGGCCAGGAATTATGTTCTGGCTGGCTTCGTACGGATCGTGAGGTTGAGGGTAGGCATCAAACCCGTGGTTCGCGGGCGGAGGATAAGTCTGCGTGGGAAACGGCGGTGCGGTCGGGAAGCCGTAGGGTTGATTGGGAGGCTGCCCTGGGTACGGTGAGTACCCGTATGGGTAGTAGTTGTTCATGTGAGAGACGGGAGGCGCGACGCGGCTGCCTGCAAATGTGTGTCGGGAGTCAAAAAGAATGAGGCCTCAGGACGAGGAGGCGTGGCCAGCAGCCAATCTTTGGGTTGGTGTTGCCCTCGCCGAACACCTCGACAACCTGGAAGCCTGTGTGGTCGGCGCCCGTGAGTGACCAGCTGTATGCTATGATGATAATAGCAAGTACGTTGAGTCTGAATATGTCTTTTCTGTACTCGGGAGCAGAAGGAGCATGGCAGATTGCAGGGAGAGAGGGGCCAGGAGCGGTCAGTTGGTCGTTGGTCGATTGCCAAGATGGCAAGAAGATTTCACGGCGCCAAAGCTCGAAAAAACACAACCGTCATACAGCTTGGGATGAGAGACCGGGACTATCCGAATAAGGACAGATCCAGAAGCTTCAGACCAAAGGAAGCGATGCGATGCGATGTCGTCGCGTTTGTTCAGTCCCGCTGCAGAGGAGTGGGAAAAAATCGAGCGGCTGTGGAACGAAATGTCTTCGATGACCGCAATGCGACAAAACGAGGTTGGGCGGTGCGGATTCGATGAAATGGAATCCAGCCCAGCCCGGACCCGGGGGAAATAAAATTCAAGGCCGTGCAGGGAAAGAGGCCCATCTGAAAGCGCTATACCGTTTGAAGTTAGACTGACTTGCGACCGTCTCGCGTCACACTCAGTCTACTCACAGTCTGGCGCCTGTCACGTGGGGCCCCTCCATTGTTTACTTCGAAAGGGTACCCCAAGCAACCGTCCTCCTGAATCCCTGCTCAAGTGATCTAAAGTCAACAATATCCATCCTTACGTCGTTGCTCTTCCTCCACCTCCCAGCCTCCCCAAGCTTGCCTTGATTTCGCGTTTTTACCAAAGGCAAATACGGCCCCCGAGGTTGCGACTCGGCGACTTCTTTCGTCTTGTTTTCTTTCAGAGTTTCGTCGCTTTGTTGCACTTCGTCCTCTTTGCTTCTGTCTTAGTGTTTACTCAATGAGCGACATCACATACGAGCGACGTTTTGCGACCAACGACACGGAAACGACACAACCCGCGGACCTGAGGGCTGCCCTCACTCTACAGACCATTCCTCCTCGGTGTTGCAAATATGGCGCAACCACGCAATAATCCTTTCTCTAGGACCTCACCGGGTCCTAGCAGCGGCCGGCCGAAATCCGCTGTCTTCTCCTCGCCATCCCCGCTATCCGCCGTCTCGACTCCCACGGCGCACGCCAGAACCCAGTCCCATGCTTCGATAGCACCCGCAGCACCCTCAGCACCTGCCGCTGCGTCGGCGATACCCCCCGCGGCTGGCCATTTCCGCCATAACCGTTCCGACTCAAGGAACAGCGGCTCTGGCACTTTTGCGCCCTCCTTCATCAAGACGGAGGAGATGCGACGCGGTTCCGATACGGTCAGAGGCATTGAAGGCGAGAACGACTTCTCTGGAAAGCGATATGTGTGGCTTAAGGATCCCCAAGTCGCCTTTGTCAAAGGTTGGGTCGTTGAGGATTTGGCGAACAACAGGATACTCGTCCAGTGCGACGATGGCACTGTAAGTCGCCTGATCTGGCACGCCCGAGACGAAGCTAATCACCCGGCCACAGCAACGAGAAGTTGACGCTGAGAGCGTTGACAAAGTCAATCCTGCCAAGTTCGACAAGGCAAACGATATGGCCGAGTTGACCCATCTGAACGAGGCGTCTGTGGTCCATAACCTCCACATGAGATATCAATCCGACTTGATCTACACCTATTCCGGTCTTTTCTTGGTCACAGTCAACCCGTACTGCCCGCTGCCTATCTACACGAATGAGTACATCAATATGTACAAGGGAAGGAGTAGGGAGGATACGAAACCCCACATCTACGCAATGGCAGACCACGCCTTCCGCAATCTGGTGGACGAAGGTGAAAACCAGAGCATCCTAGTCACCGGTGAGTCTGGTGCAGGTAAAACCGAAAACACCAAGAAGGTCATCCAGTACCTTGCGGCAGTTGCGCACTCCGAATCGCCCGTCAAGAACAAGTCGCAACAGTCAAACCTCTCTCAGCAGATCCTCCGCGCCAACCCGATTCTTGAAGCTTTTGGAAACGCCCAAACGGTGCGAAACAACAACTCCTCGCGATTCGGAAAGTTCATTCGCATCGAGTTCAACCGTGCAGGCGCTATTGCCGGCGCATTCATTGACTGGTATCTGCTTGAGAAGTCACGCGTCGTGAGAATCAACGGACATGAGAGAAATTACCACGTTTTTTACCAGTTGCTCAAGGGTGCTGATAGGAAGATGAAGTCCGAGTTTCTTCTTGATGGACTCGACGTGGAGGACTTTGCATACACCCGCCCCGGCCACGACACCATCGTCGGAGTGTCTGACCGCGACGAGTGGGACTCCCTGATGGAGGCCTTCTGCGTCATGGGCTTCTCGGACAAAGAGCAGAGCTCCATTCTCCGCACGATCGCGGCTGTCCTTCACCTCGGAAATGTTTCTGTTGTCAAGGAGAGCCGTGCTGCAGACCAAGCCCGCTTAGCACCCGATGCCAAGGATCAGGCGGCCAAGGTATGCAAGCTTCTAGGAGTTCCTCTCGAGCCCTTTTTGCAGGGCCTGCTGCACCCCAGGGTCAAAGCCGGTCGCGAATGGGTTGAGAAGGTCCAGACTCCTGAGCAAGTCAGGTTGGGTTTGGACGCCCTGTCCAAAGGTATCTACGAAAGGGGGTTCGGCGACCTTGTTACCCGTATCAATCGTCAGCTAGACCGAACAGGCATGGGCTTGGACGATTCGCGCTTTATTGGTGTGCTGGATATCGCCGGTTTCGAAATCTTCGAGGAGAACAGCTTCGAGCAGCTTTGCATAAACTACACCAACGAAAAGCTCCAACAGTTCTTCAATCACCATATGTTCGTCCTTGAGCAAGAAGAGTACGCAAGGGAACAGATCGAATGGCAGTTCATCGACTTTGGACGCGACCTGCAGCCCACAATCGACCTCATCGAGCTTTCCAACCCTATCGGTATCTTCTCTTGCCTAGACGAAGACTGTGTGATGCCCAAGGCGACAGACAAGTCTTTTACGGAGAAGCTCAACTCGCTCTGGGACAAGAAGTCCAACAAATACAGACCCTCGAGACTGGGACAAGGCTTCATCCTGACACATTACGCGGCAGAGGTCGAGTATTCCACCGATGGCTGGTTAGAGAAGAACAAGGACCCGTTGAACGATAATATCACTCGCCTACTTGCCTCCTCCACAGACAAACACATTGCCGATCTTTTCGCCGACTGCGCTGACATGGACGATGACATTGGCGCCAGCCGGAATCGGGTCAAGAAGGGCTTGTTCCGCACCGTTGCCCAGCGCCACAAGGAGCAGCTGCACAGTCTGATGGCTCAGCTGCACTCTACCCACCCTCACTTCGTCCGATGCATTCTGCCGAACCACAAGAAGAAGCCAAAGCAGTTCAACAAACTGCTTGTCCTCGATCAACTCCGATGCAATGGTGTTCTCGAGGGAATCCGCATTGCTCGAACTGGTTTCCCCAACCGTTTGCCGTTTGCGGAATTCCGCCAGCGTTACGAGGTCCTCTGCAGAGACATGCCGAAGGGATACCAAGAAGGTCAAGCCGTTGCAGCCATGATGCTTGACAAGCTCGGCCTTGACAGGGCCTTGTACCGCGTAGGTCTTACGAAGGTCTTCTTCAGGGCCGGTGTCTTGGCCGAGCTGGAAGAGCAACGCGATGCGTTGATCACGGAAATCATGTCCCGCTTCCAGTCCGTCGCAAGGGGTTACATTCAGCGACGGATTGCATACAAGAGACTGTTCCGAACAGAAGCCACTCGCATCATCCAGAAGAACTTCAACGTCTACCTGGGTCTTATGGAAAACCCGTGGTGGCAACTCATGGTGAAGATGAAGCCCCTGTTGGGTGCAACCAGGAGTGCCACCGAGGTCAAGAAGAGGGATGCCATGATCCGCCAGCTCCAGGACAAGATGAACCAAGAAGCCGACGACCGTCACAGATTGGAGGAGGAAAGGCGGAACGTTCACAACGAAATGGTCCGTATCCAGCAGACACTAGAGAGCGAGCGTGCGCTCGCCCTGGACAAGGAGGAAATTTTCAAGCGCTTGCAGCTTCGCGAAACCGAGCTCGAGGAGAAACTCTCTGGTGCCATCGATGATCAAGAGAGATTGGAGGACCAGCTCGATGATTTGCTTGAGGCAAAACAGCGCGCCGAACAGGATGTTGAGAAGTACCGCGCTCAATTGGAGCAAGCTGCGCTGCTTATCGCCAGACTCGAGCAAGAAAAGTCGGACCTTTCGGCGAGAATGGAGGAGCTGGAGCACTCCATTGAGGAGATCTCAAAGAAGCAGTCCGAGCGCAGTGAGCAGGAGAAACGACTGGAGGACGAGATTAAGATGCTTCAAAGCCAACTGAATCTCAAGGATCGCAAAGCACGAGATTTGGAGGCCAAGCTTCTGAAGGTTGACCAGGATGCCGAAGTCAAGTTACGTACGGCGCAAAAGGACCTGCAGTCATCCAAGTCCAGAGAATCTCAGCTAGCCCTGGAGAACCGCCAAGTTCAACAACAGCTTTCCGAGCTTTCCAAAACCTCAACAGATTATGAGGATCTCATTCGGAAGAAAGAAAGCGAGCTTTCGGTTCTGCGAGGCGACAACAAGAAATACGAGATGGAGCGACGCAGTTTTGAAGACCAGAAAAAGGCTCTTGCTTCCGAAAAGGAAACTGCAGCTGACAAGCTTCGCGATGTGCAAGCAGAGCTGACAGCCATCAAGTCTCAGCAGTCCCAACTGGAGAGAGAGGCAGAGGATGCCAAGAAGCTCCTTGAAGCTCGGTTGTCTGAAGACGCGCAAGCAGACGAGAATCGCCAGGTTTTGGAGGCGCAGATCAAGGATCTCAAGGACGAACTCTACAACATCCAAAAGGAGCTCAGCCGAGAGCGCCAATCCCGCGATGATGTCCTCTTACTGAGCGAGCACAAGTTCAACGCTCTCCAGGAAGAATACGACCACCTCAATGAGTCTAAGATCATCATCGAAAAGGAGCTCTACGTGCAGCAAGATCACTTACGCCGAACCAAGGAGGCCCGCGACACGGCTGAGAAGGAACGCGATGAAGCTCGACAGGAGATCAGGCGCCTTCGTATCGCCAAGACTGAGGCCGAAGAAGCCCGTGTGCAAGCCGAAGTTGAGGGAGAGCGTGCTGCTACTCGAGCCGCTCGTGAGAGAGAGGAAAGTCTTCGCAAGGACCTCGATGCTGCCCACGAACGATTGAAGTGGTTTGAAGATGAATGCGCCAACCTGAACCGACAAGTCGAGGACCTGAACAAATTGATCCTCGAATCTGGAGAGTTCGGGCTCAAGAACGACCAGGAGAAGGAGAGACTCGAGCGCGAAATAGTCACAGTCAAGGGCCGCCTCAAAGCATCCGAGAACGACAACCGCGCTCTTCTTAACAAACTTCAGCAGAAGGGCTTGGAGATTGCGCGCTCAAGTTCGAGAGCCAGTGAGGCTTCCAGAGGCCAGGTTTTGGGTCTTCAGAAGGAGAAGACCCGCCTCGAGGAGCAGAATGCCGTACTGCACAAACAGTTTGGCGACTCGCAGCTCACTATCGCCGGTCTCGAGAAGAAGGTTGAGAAGTTGCAACTCAATTTGGAAGACCTCAACCACGAAGTGGCCCGTGAAGCTAAGACCTCGAGGAACGCCGAAAAGATGACATCAACATTCACAGCTCAACTGGCTGAAGCCAACAGGACGATTGAGTCCGAACGTCAACAGCGTACTCAGGCGCAAGCAACTGTTCGCACTCTGCAGACAACCATGGAGGCTAGGGAAAAGGAGCTGCAGGAGTTGAGAGCACAGATGCTCAGCGTCCTCAAGACGGTCGATCCCGAAGTTGTTCTTCCGCCCCAAGCAGACGGCGCAAACGAGGGCATGCTCAGCAAGAACTTCGACCTGGTTAGGAAAGTTGAGGATCTTAAGCAAAACCTTCGCGTTCAAACTGCTGCTCGCACAAACGCTGAAGCACAGCTAGCTGAGATGCGATCCAACCGAGGAGTCGACTCGCCCATGAGACCAAAGCTGGAGGAAATCAGTCCAAACGAGGCCCCGTTCAATGGCTCCCCCACCTTCAGACGGTCGAAAATGCAGACTCGCCAGTACTCCAACACTTCAACTCCGACTCGACGATTCGAGCCAGAACCTCTCGACTCAGCTCGCTCCGATAAGACCGAGGACATTCTCAGCTTCAACAACCGAATGGATCTCAAGGCTGAAGTCGAGGAGTTGCAAAACCAGCTTCAGCTTGCTCAGATGCAGAACCGTCATCTCCAGAGCCAGATTGACCGTAGCTCCTCGCCATCGGACGAATTCGACGAGAACCCATCGTTACTCCGCATGCAGAAGCTTGAGAAGGTCAACAGTCGTCTGCACGATATGCTGGACGACTCCTCTAAGAAGGTCTCGGCGTTGGAGCGAAGTGTGAGAACCGGGGAGCTTTCTCTGCGTGACATTCAGACTCGATCCCACGAGGAGATTCTTGACGCCCTGAATAGCCAGGAGGAGGCACGCCGGTCACTTCTGCACAGCCATAGGGATGCCATCTCGGAGCTTTCCGACGTCAAGAACCACTTCGAGAAGATGCGCCATGACCGAGCCTCCATTGAAGTGGAACTTCGCGACACGAAGTCTGACCTCGAGGAGATGACAATGGCTCGCGAACAGGAGGCGGACAGCCGCAACCAGTTGCTGCAGGAGTTTTCTGATTTGCAGATCCGACTCGACAATGAGACGTCCAAACTTGCCGACGTGGGGGCCAGCTTGAACCTGTACAAGAGTCGTGCCGATGAGTACTTCAGTAAATTGGAGCAGGCGGAGATCGCGGTGCTGAAGGCGAGCCGGGCGGAGCAGTTTGCGAAGGCTCAGGCTAAGGAGGCCGAGGATACGTACGCCGAAATCTTTTCTGAGAGGGAGAAGATGGACGCTGCCATCGAAGACCTACAACGCCAAAACCAGAGGTTGGAAGAGAAGCTCGAGGATATGTCCACAGATCTTGAGACCACGACTCAAGCGAAGAAGCGCCTCCAGCACGAGCTCGAGGACTACAGAAACCAGAGAGCAAACGATATTGAAGATAAGGAGCTGAGCATGGAGCAGACTCGCAAGAAGTACCAAGCTGAGTTCGCCACCTTGACCAAGGAACTGGATCTCGCTCGGGAGGAGAAGCTGTTCAAGCAAGCTGAAATCGCTCGCCTGCGCGAGGAACTTGACGAGCTCCGCTCTAAGTGGGACGATGAAGTTCTCAACAGTTCGACCTGGTCCAAGGAGAAGGCACGTCTCGAGTCGACCCTCGCCGACGTTGTGTCTTCCCGCGATGAGGCCGTCAACGCTCATAGTGAAGCACAAGGCAAGGTTGTTACCCTGCTCTCGCAAGTACGATCCCTCCGCGCGTCAGTCGACGATGTTACGTCCGAGAGAGACCTTCTCATCCGAGAGAAGCGCAACATTGAGGCACGTTTGGAAGAAGCAAAGGCTGGCCTTGAGGACCTCACGAACGGCGACAGCCCATCTCTGCGTGACGCCGCCAACATTGACAAGGAAATGCTGGAGCTGAAGTCGAATCTGGCTCAGCAAGAAGACATCGCTGCCGCTGCAGTGGAGAAGATGAGACGTGCTGAGGCTTTGGCATCAGAGATGCAGAAGGAGGCTATGGTCGAACGCGAGGCCAGCTCTCAGCTTCAGAAGGACAAGGCCACTCTCGAGAAGTCGTTGAACGAGATCCAGATTAAGCTGGTCGACCTCGAAACAAAGGGCTACTCCAGCGCGAGCCACGACATCAAGTTCCTCCACAAGCGCATCCAGGAGGTGAGAAACTTCACACAAAATCTTGCTTAACATGTATAAGTTGCTAACTAAAGATAACAGCTCGAATCCCACCTTGAGGAGCATGAGACTGAACGGACCAAGTCCCAGCGATCCGTCCGAAACGTGGACCGAATCGTCAAGGATCTCCAGGGCCAGATCGATCGCAAGGACAAGCAAAACACGCAACTGCAAGACGATGTCTCCCGCATGCGTGACAAGGTCGAGAAGCTCCTGCAAACAATCGAGGAGCTTCAGTCCTCCGAGTCGGAGATTCAGCTATCGACGCGTCGTGCGGAGCGCGAGCTTCGTGAGGAGAAGGAGAAGTCACTCCGTCTGGAGCGCGAGATTGAGAACATCAAGGCTCTGAGAATGGAGAAGGGCGCCGCATCCCAGATGGGAAGTGTCCGCGGCGCGTGGCGCACGGGATTCAGTATTGACGACGAGACCGCCTCGATGATCTCGGTGCCCAAGCGCAAGAGCAGCCTTAGCCGGGCTCCTAGTATGACGAAGGGCTTCTTGTAAATGGGATGAGACAGAGGTGTGTTGTGTGAAAAGCATGCGAGACGTTTAATGTGTAAATGGAAGCCGGCGTGGGTCGATTTTGGCGTTGAGCCATGCATGGCCCACGAGGGCCTCGGGGAACTGGGTTGTGTTGGGCGCGCATGGTGTTATTGTTGTATACGTATGATTGGGGGTCTAGCATCGGTTTGCATTGGTTTCTGTTGCCGAATTACATATTTCCAGTTAAGAACGGACAGATAAAACAACGAGACGGTATCCATTGTTCCATGTCGTACTTCTCACCGCCGCACCTCGAGTGAAGACGTTCTGCCTGTTTGTCCGTAACACCTGAGTTACCTCGGACGGTTACTCTACTGCGGCCACCCGCATTTGTTGAGGGGAAAAGACAAAGGTCGAGGCGAGTATAAATCAGACGCTTTCCACTGTCTCACCCCTTTTCCTTGGTTAAGTTGTTTTGTGCGTTGTCTCCTTCTCTTCCTTCACTCCCCGATTCAAATTCCACATATCGTACTCTCACCAAATCCTTCCCGCCCGCGCCTGCGGGACATGGGAGCAGCAAACAGCCGAGAAATCCGACACTTCGTAGACGAAGCCCTCGTTGCCCTCCGAACGGAACAGAGACGCCGCGGAGCCGTCATGGACTCGGACGGCTTCATCGTCGAGGAGGGGGACATCGGCGGCGGGTATTATCTCGACGACGGGAATTGCTGTTCCTCGTCGTCGTCGTCGTGCGATTCCTCGGACTCGGACTCGGATTTCGATTCCGGGGGGTATTGTTGTGATGGCTGGGAGGATGAGTGTTGTTTTGAGATGGTGGAGTGTTGCGGCGGTGTTGGTGGTGGTGGTGGGATGGGAGGGTGTGTGTTGGGACCGCTGTACGGAGGGGGTCGGAGGTGTGGGGGGTTTGGGAAGGATGGGGTTAGGAAGAGGGAGAAGGGGAAGGGAGAGAAGAAGAAGAAGAAGGAGAAGAAGGGGAAGAAGGGAGGGAGTTTGTGGCAGAGGTGTTATCCCGTTCGGAAGAGAGGGGATTGGGGCGGTGATGTTGTCGGTGTTTCGAGGTGTCCTGGCGAGGTATGACCCCCTCTTCTCTTCTCTTCATCCCCAGGTGCTCGCTCAAAACCTTTCACACCGATGGATACATAGATTCTGACAATGAGTACCGACAAACAGCAAGATCCCAAGAAATGGGGCTTCAAGATCGATCACCACCCACAACCTCACCACACACCCCGCGTCGTCGCCAGACACATCTGCGCACCGGAGTCATGCTACCACGACGACAAAGTCCTCCCCCCGCGCCCCAGGAGCCGAGAGCGCGTGGTGTACGCGCGCCGGAGACCACGAACACGGGGACCGCACCACGACATGCCGATTCTCCGCGGCGGGGACGAGTGCACCACGCACCCGAAACGGGGCCGGCGGCGGACGTTGCTGTTCGACGAGTACGAGGCGTATCCGAGGGGCGGCCACGAGTACTTCGGCACCGCCACGACGCCTAGGGAGGAGACGCCGCCTGCGAGGATGGTCAGGGAGAGGAGGAGTTTCACGCCGACGAGGATCGTGAGGGAGAGCGGGAGCCGGAGGAGGAGCCGGAGGAGGAGAAGGGGAGGTGATGGGGATGATGATGGGAGGGACGACGAGATGGTCGTGATGCACGGTGCTCTGGTGGAAGATGGGGATAGGAGGGGAGGGGGGTACGGTGGTAGGCGGAGGGAGAGGAGTTGGGAGAGGAGGTCGGACCCGGATGATCGGATTGGGGAGATTGATGACCGGACTGAGCATTCGTATGTGATGGGGGAGAGGAGGGAGGATCCGGGGCGGAGGATGGTGAGGTTTCAGAGGTCTTGAACGCAGCGTCGTCACAAAAGTTTTCTTATTCATAGTTGATATTCTCATTCAGATGACCCTCCCATACAACATGACTTCATTACATCTTCAACCATCTCTTCGTATAACAGAGCCCTCGGGCCTATTTTCTTTTCATCGTCTCTCATAGCTCTTCACATCGTTGGGCATGCGGTAGATGCACAGTTCCCTACAGAACAGCCCCCACTCGCCGCTCGTGGCCTCCCTGACGGAGTCCTGCATGTCGCGTCCGTAGCGCTCGCGGTAGGCCCGCTTGACGGCCTCCATGTGGTGGCGGTCCCAGTGGAAGCGGACGAGTCGGGAGATGAGCAGCTCGCGGCGCAGGTCGTCTTTGCGGCTCGCCGTCAGGGCGTGGTGGACCAGCAAAGCGTCCCGGACGGGCTTGTTGATGACGCCGTTGAGGATATGAGCCAGCAGTTCGCCCTACAGAGGATGAGTCAGTCACGGCACTGTGCTTTGCCATATTTAGGCCACGGGGGGGTGAGGGGAGGGTGCTTACCACCAGGTTGCCGCTCTTCTTGAGCGCGTCGCGCGCAAAGTTTGAGCGGTACGTCCTCTCGTACAACTTGAGTACCTCGCGCAGGTGCGAGTCGCTGCGTTGTACGACGATGCTGATCATGAGGGTCTCACCGCCCTTCTCCGCCTTGACTGCCTTGCGCAGGTCCGCCACGTCGTCCTCGACCTGGTGGTAGTCGATGGCGAGGCGGCGGCCGTAGGGGTCGTACTCCTCCATCCTGCGCTCTTCCAGGACCATCAGGACGGCCTTTTTGAACTTGTCCTCCTTGAGCTCCATCTTCATGCACTTGGTCAGGCTGTTGTCGTACTTCTTGTCGTTGAAGCCGTCCTTGATCATTCTCATCTCCTGGTTGGTGCGGCCCATGAGGGACTCGATGAGCAGCTCGCGCCGCGTCTTGTCGCCCTGGTACCAGAAGTTGGCCCAGTAGGCCTCGCTCTCCCACTGACCCAGCGCCGTCGCGTAGCAGGCCTTCATGAGGTTGGGGTCGGCGTCCTTGAGGCGGGAGCGGATGTGCTTGGCCACGTTGACGCCCTTGCGCTCCGGACCGGTCTTGACGAGGGCCTTGTACTCCTTGCGCAGCTCCATCACCTGGTCGTGGGTCAGGCCGGGCAGAATCTCGATCAGGGGTTCGGGGTCGGGGTTTTTGCGGTCGCTCCTCAACGCCTTTGCGATCCTGGCTGCGTCGTCCTCCATGTCGTGGAACCGCGCCCTCCGACGCCGTCTACCCTCGTCGTCGGAGCCGATTGGAGAGACGGGCTCCATCACTTGCAGGTCATGGGGCTGAGAGGCGAGCAGCATGGGTGACGGCATAGGCGACATGTCCTGATACGTGCCGTGGTACGACTCCAGCAGCGGCGAGCCTGGCGCGTTGGCCAGCGAGAGGTTCATGTTCAGGGAGTGGTGGCCCGTGTTCACGGACAGGTTTGACATGCGGTGGGTGGGCGGCTGAGGCGACTTATCCCGCCTGCGGCTGCCTGGCTCAACTGTCAAGACGTTGGACGAGGAGGTCTTGGGACTGCTTCCGTAGTACGCCGCAGCGCCAGCCGAGATTTGGGGGCCTGGACTCGGGGCACGGCCGGAGTAGCGAGGCTCGGGGGCCAAGGTAGTAGGCTTTGCGGCATACTGGTCATACCCGTACGTCAGGTTCTCCTCTAAGGCCTTCTTCTTCTCTTCCTTCTTTTTGGCCTTCTCGACCTTTGGGTCTGTGCTGGCATACTCGTAGGGCTGGGGCTGGGCGTAAGCATAGCCGCCGGGAGACACGGGGCGCGGGGGTTTCGGCGGAGGGTAGAGCTCGCCGGACATGGGGCGAGGAGGTTGAGCAGGCGGGTATTCTGCCTCGTTGCCGTAGGGTCTGCTATTGCTACGACTGCGAGTGCGGGTGTGGCTACTGTACTTGGCCGGGAGGTACTTGAGCTTGTCGTCTTCGCGCGGAGATGCCTGGCGGACCTGGGGTTCGTCGAATCTGTCACGAGAGCTGCGGTATGAGCTTTCTCGCGGGGAGGCAGGAGGGCGGTACGAAGCGGTCCCGCGGTGGTCGTCGTAGTCGTAGAGCGAGCGGGTGCCGGGAAACATTGCGTCGCTGCCGTCCTCAGGATAGGGTATCGCACCCGACATGGTGCCGGGAGGAGCAGGGGCGCCGGGCTCGGCGGTCACAACGCGGGCGGCAGCGGCGCCTCTGTCGCGGACATACCTGTCGTCGAAGTCATCCTCGGGGTAGGCGTAGCTAGGCTCGCGCGAGGGTTCGACAGGGTGGACGGCGGGACTGCGACTGCGCTCGCGACGGCCCGGAGACTTGGATCGAGTGCGACGGCTGCGGTCGTCGACCTGAAGAGACATGGTAATTGCTTGAAGGTCGTGGCACTCGAACCGGGTTTGTCGCTGTAGAGATGAGGTGAAAGCTTGACGTTGCTTGGAGCAGAGGCGGGACAAGGTGGGGTTCAGAGCTCGAGTTGAAACAAAACGTGAGGTCAGTGGTGCGGGCGGGAAAGTGAGGGGCTCTGAATTTAAGGTGGGACACAGGGCGTAGCGCGACCCGAGGACACTGAAGCTCTTATCTGATAAACGAGGGAGGGATGAACGTCGGATGTCGCGTGCTCAATTGATTGATGTTGTTTTCGATTCCTTCAAAGGAGGGTATAGAGAAAGAGTTGTAGGAAATAAAAAGAGAAGAACGGCGAGAAGGCTAAGGATAAAGTAGGAAAAGGGGAAATTGGGTCAGCATGAGCTATCAGCAAGCCAGACAAGTCAGACGGCGCAAGCGACAAGCGAGTTGGGCTGAGAATGAAACCCACCGAATTGCATCAACAAAGCGAGGCCCGGTTACCGTACCATGCAGCAAACTACTGAGGCTCGTGGCTCGGCCGCATCAAGTGTTCCCTGTCAACCGTGATCAATTCAAGGTACGAATACCCGCATAAGGATCCGACGAGTAAGGCTTCGTGCCAATACATGCAAACAGCCCAGTACGGTGAGGGAAGGTGTGTCTCTTGGATCTGCTGATCGATATTCTCCGTCTTCCTGGATCAATCAGGCGCTAAGCAGCCGAGTGGTTGTTCCCAGAGCCAATGACGGCGAATTTGGGGGCCTCAACAGAGTCGACACTGCCCCTACGGCCTGCCAAGTGGCCTGCACGGTCCGAAGACTTCCCCGGTCAATCCCCCTCACATGGCCGGTGGGCGGGTTGGAGTCACGGTGGAGCCCAGGATTGCTGTGAGGCTGTGGACGCCGGTGTGTCCGGTGCTAAGAAGAAAAGCTAAGACGTTCAGCATCCCGCACCCGTACCCGTCCCCGTCCCGAGTCCCGCGTCCAGAATTTATTGATGGGTGATGACATGCTGCAGCGGAGCGGGGCCGTAGTCCCCGTCTTGACGTGTTCTTCGTCCTATCATTAAGCTCCCGCTGCGCAGCGGCGACCATGTGAGGACATGTGAGGAGGGCCTTTGGAGGTGGCTGAAGCTGTGGATGCCAAGAGGAGGCTTCGCACGTACAGTAGCAGTGTTTCTGCCACATGTTCTCTCGTGTTGACGGAAGACGAAACTCGATGCTGCCAAAGGCCCGACTTCATCACCGGTTTGTGGGTTGTTCGCGGGTCGGCATTTCTGCTTATCGCGAACACGAAGCAGCGCTGTTTGAGATGGTGCTCACGATAACTCACTCCAATGTCTCTTGAACATTCACCCGGTACCTTATGTAATCTCGCTTATCTAATACAGCTTCCGGGGAACCGGAGGCTGGTCGGGTCGTTTCTGCGGCGCTCTTCGCTCGGGATATCGGGATAAGCCGGAGAGCACAGACCATCTGGGGCTCCACACTGTCAGAGCTCCCCAACGGAGCCAATTCGGAGGTCTCAACTTTCTGTTGCGCTGGAGAAAAAAAAAACGAGTCCTTTTTCTTCCTTTTTTATGTTCTTCTAGATTTCAAAAGTCACAGCATTTGCTTCAGCGCGTCGCTCTTGTCTTACATAGAGGCTGCAAAAGTTCAATTGACTCGGTTCAGACTTCAAGTCCCGAGTTGCACCGCCGTTTTATTCAAACAAACCACCACACGCGCCAGCCACCAAGAAACCGTCATGCTTCGCTCCGCACCAGCTCGTCGCGCCGCTTCCGGCCTGGCCAGCTCACGGCTTACCGTTAGGCCGAGGACATGCGCAAAGAGCCTCTCCACATGCTCGACCCGATCCTCCTCCCCCGCAGTTATCTACCCCGCGACGACCTCGACCTCCAGATCGACACAGTTCGCCAGCCCTTTCTCTCTCCAGAGAAGTCTGCACACCACCGCTCCCAGAATGGCCGGCACCCGTATCGAGAGCGACGCCTTTGGCGAGGTCCATGTCGCCAACGACAAGTACTGGGGCGCCCAGACCGAGCGTTCCCTTGAGAACTTCAAGATCAACCAGCCCCAGGACCGCATGCCCCCTCCCATCGTCAAGGCCTTCGGTATCCTCAAGGGCGCCGCCGCCACCGTCAACATGCGCTTCGGCCTCGACGAGAAGATCGGCCAGGCCATCCAGCAGGCCGCCAAGGAGGTCGCCGACGGCAAGCTCCTCGACCACTTCCCCCTCGTCGTCTGGCAGACCGGCTCCGGCACCCAGTCCAACATGAACGCCAACGAGGTCATCTCCAACCGCGCCATCGAGATCCTCGGCGGCACCATGGGCTCCAAGAAGCCCGTCCACCCCAACGACCACGTCAACCGATCCGCCTCCTCCAACGACACCTTCCCCACCGTCATGCACATCGCCGCCGTCCTCGAGATCGAGCAGGAGCTCATCCCCTCCCTCAAGAGCCTGCGCGACGCCCTGCAGAAGAAGGTCGACGACTTCGAGGCCAAGAACATCATCAAGATCGGCCGCACCCACCTGCAGGACGCCACCCCCCTGACCCTCGCCCAGGAGTTCTCCGGCTACGTCGCCCAGCTCGACGCCGGCGTCAAGCGCGTCGAGTCCTCCCTCCCCGACCTGCGCCTGCTCGCCCAGGGCGGAACCGCCGTCGGCACCGGCATCAACACCTTCGAGGGCTTCGCCGAGGCCATCGCCGAGGAGGTCTCCAAGATGACCGGCACCGAGTTCAAGACCGCCCCCAACAAGTTCGAGGCCCTCGCCGCCCACGACGCCATCGTCCAGGCCCACGGCTCCCTCAACACCCTCGCCGGCTCCCTCTCCAAGATCGCCCAGGACATCCGCTACCTCGGCAGCGGCCCCCGCTGCGGCCTCGGCGAGCTCATCCTCCCCGAGAACGAGCCCGGCTCCTCCATCATGCCCGGCAAGGTCAACCCCACCCAGTGCGAGGCCCTCACCATGGTCTGCGCCCAGGTCATGGGCAACCACGTCGCCACCACCATCGGCGGCATGAACGGCCAGTTCGAGCTCAACGTCTACAAGCCCCTCGTCATCCGCAACCTCCTCCACAGCGTCCGCATCCTCTCCGACGGCATGCGCTCCTTCGAGAAGAACCTCGTCGTCGGCCTCCAGGCCAACGAGGAGAAGATCGCCAGCATCATGAAGGAATCGTAAGTCTTGGTCTAAGTGCTCTTCCCACAACTCATTACTAACACGCGGTAGCCTCATGCTGGTCACCACCCTCAACCCCAAGATCGGCTACGACATGGCCTCCAAGGTCGCCAAGAACGCTCACAAGAAGGGTCTCACCCTCAAGCAGAGCGCACTCGAGCTCGAGGCCCTCAGCGAGGAGGACTTTGACAAGCTCGTCCGCCCCGAGCTCATGATCGGCCCCAAGCCCTACAAGTCCTAAATTACTTCGTCTCTGAAGGCCCCCTCCAAAAAAATGTGTTTAGATGCGGAAAGCTGAAAAGCCTCCCCAACCAATCCAACCCCCACCGTGTAAACTACGTAACGATATCCTGTTACTTATGAAGAGGACAATGCGGTCTTGAGCGATCCGTTTTGTAGAACTTGAACGTAAAAAAGATAAATAACACCAAAAAAACATACATGAAGATATGGCTGAGCCCGCAAGCCTGCAAACTTCCCCCGCCCCCGCGTTTTCACATGTACTCTCATTACGTAGCTGCATGTGAGAAGCACCCCGCATCGTCGGAGCTCAGCCCGCATCCTGCCATCCCATGTGAGCGACCAAATGCCGTCCTAGCGACGAGCGGCGTAGCACTTCGGGTGTTTTTTAAAGATGACATCGTTCATGGGACGGATGAGAGACGCTTCACTAGCCTTCGACGGTGCTTGATCGACAAATTCCAAGACCGAAGCGCGGACGAGTATGAACATGTCGAGGACCTGCTGTCCAAGCAGCCGTGGCTAATTATACACGTCTGTCACCCTGCATTATCACAGGCGCCGGGCGCATCGCCCTTGAGAGATCTTGGCGGCAAATCAGCCGATGAACGCCAAGACCAATTATCAAAGGAATTCAGAACTTGCTAGCTTTCCGTCATGTTCATTCGAGCTGGCAGAGTACCAGGCAATAGGGCGGGAAATATCGTGACGGCACTCACTCACGATACCATCGTCTCTCTCCTGTCGGTATTGTAAATAGTACCACCAGTCAAACAGAGCGGTGTCGACAACAATCGGCAGGACACGACAAAAAGCTCAGAGACGCAACTTCTCAGCTCGTCTGCCTTCTCGTCTGTTCCATCTACTGAGGGTGGGGGGGGGGGGGGGGGTTTCATGATTGATGTTTATTTTTCTCGGTGTACGCGGAGCAAATTAAGCTACGTGGCATTGCATGTTTTGATATCAGCGAGAACTTCCCACGGCCTGGCTCGTGTAATCTTGTGAGAGTCACCGATGTCGGATTGCCGTATGACTTTTCGAGCTTGGAAGGTAAGGAGAGCGCGATATCAATAACACGGCCATGTCATAGATCTTGGCTCCTAGCATACCTACTGATACACAACATTGGAATGCGGCTTCGGCTTTTCGATGACGTGAATGAGAAGCCGTACAGCAACACGCTCGACTGCTGATGTGATTATCCGGCATTACCATACTCGAGAGACTGCTTTGAAGCATGATAGCAGGGTCGGTAATATAAAACAAAGACGTCGTGCTGAGATTCTTTAGGGCTGCGAGCGAGGATCAACATCGTCACATTGTGTTTGTCGTCCTCGGCGCGGAAGCTCCTCAAGGAAGGCGAAGAGACCACACAGGCTGCCATATTGAAGCAGCTCTTTGCCATGAAACATGGAAGGAACAGTGATTTCTTCTCTATATGGGCAATCACCAAGCCGGTTCTCGCATAAATGAAGCCTTCTGCTCCCCAACTCGTGTGCGCTGTCGAGAACATCCCGCTCTCAACATCTTCATCACCCCCACCCAACGACGACTGCCGTCATAGCCGCAACGGAAACAAAAGTCCCCGTCCAACATGATCTTCTTGCAGCACTCAAAATTAAGGTTCAGTGATTTCAAGGCCTTCTCATATTGACAGGAAGTAGATCTTGCTATATTTAGGACATTGCCCCTCATCGGGTAGACCGGGTATGGCACGCCGCGGGAACTCGGCAAGTGTCGACCTCACGTGGTGCTGGAAGCGGGATGACGCCGGGTTTGAATACCAACTCATCCAGGGTCTCTCCACAAAGCAGGAGGATTCTGTGTCAGTTGGGTCATCTTTGAATGGTAAATGATGTTATAGAAATGAGAGGATCGGTCACTATGAGGGTAGACCGCCATTACTGGCGAACATACAGAGAGATGTGAAGTACCCCTTTTGACTTCGTATTGTTTTGGAATACACCGGGATCGATAGAGATACCTGGGGATAATGTGAATATCTCCGCTGGGAAACCTCGCATTTCTCGGATGGACTGGCGATGATCCAATGAACCTTGACCCGGACATTGACGGAGGTCACGAGATGCGCAAGCTATGGGGTCACGCTGCTTTGGTCTTCTCGTTGACATGTTGGAAGGGACTTTATAGACGACTGCAAGCTATGCATTTGCCCGTGGAATTCTCACGCATCGACCGGCTGAGGCTCGCACGACTTCTCACGCTTCAGCTCAGATCAAGGGCATCTTTCCAGCTTGACGCCTCTCTTAGACGCCGTTTTCCCAAGCCTGATTCTTCTCCTTCCGAGTGATTTGTCTTGAGAGATCTGCAGCTATAGAATGCCCCTACTTGTGTTGTTGAACGATCATCGGCAGACAATGTTTCGTCTGGTTATATCTTGCTCCCAGTCTTCTGACGACGTGTGCCGTCACCTTGGGGGCAAAGGAGCATAACTTCCAAGTCTGCAGACAGACGCCAAATCTACTCCAGATTGTCAATGGATACACTTCAAGTTGTTGAATCACTCACGAATACACTAAAGTCAACAGAGACACCCGGAGACGAGAGAAAAGCTGCTTGGGTGGACTTGAACCGACGTAATACACAACTATGGCTGAGAACATGTCCACAGGTTATGGCTTGAGATAATTCTGAGAGCTTAGTGCTGCGCCATTGTTGCAGGCAAAGCCGAAGTTTGTCTCGTGGTCTGCGTAACGAAAGAGTGTAAGTGACGTTTTATATAGGTGACAGCTGTTCCTGTGCATCAATAGCTTCCATCATCATCGCTGTACGTTGGCTAGCCCATCTTCAAAATGTAGAAGGAACACGCCGTCGATCTCACATCTGCTCCACCGTTCACACGGGAAACACAGCTCCAAGAAACGGTATACTATCCGAGTGAGTGCTAGATGAGTCGGGCATCGACGGCGAGTTAAGGTTGAATTATCTGAGTCCCAAAGAGGAACTACGTGACCGCGTCCGGCCCAACCCGTGTCCTATAAAAACCTCAATTCATTCCCATGACGATTCCTATTCTTCAACCAGCATAAGAGCTGGTACCTGAGTCGGACCTGACTCGCCTGGGTTGAGACGGAACAAAAGGCGTCTGCAATCGAGACCATGGGTGATGTGAATAGACGATGATCGCGGCTGCAAATGCATCTTGGGCCGATATCTCGTGATACTCATAGTAGAATACACCAAGACCAAAGACCACAGACGATGAAATCGAAGATTGTCGACTTGTGGGATGATCGGAGTGATTGTGCAGGACCACCACACCACGAAGGTGTTCGCCGTCGCCTGCACGATCTTGCCAGCTATCATCAACTGGGTGTACACGGCGCCGATGATCGGAAAGTGGAATGTGTTCGCCATGCTTCAGTTGCAGTAGCACCACTGACGATTATATATCTACTCCGGTCCGTGGCTCGCCTCCCCCGGATGGCATAGACGGCCCTCCTCACACTCTGAATGCCACGGAGTCTCGAACCAAGAGTGTCATACTCTAGGCCTTATATTCCTTAGGTTCCCGGCCTTCTCACTGACCATACCGTGACCCAAGACGAAGAATATCGCTACCGAACGTGGAGCGAGGAGTCGCGGAATCTATAAAGATATGTGTGGTCTCAAAAGAGCCTTGGGAATCCGCTCCTCTTCGCGCTTATTGAGCAACAACACTCTTTGCTTCAACGATATGAAATGACTAGTTTCAAGGAAGCGTCTGCATAAAGAATACCTCCCGTCTGAAACGTCACTACGTTTGTGATCAACTATCTCGTGGTAGCCTAAGTCGACTGCAACTCCGACCTTTCCTCATCGGTAGTCCTGTGTCCCGAGTATTCGAATCGTAGCTTCGAGCAGATACGAAAACCTGCTTGGAAGACGGCACCTCAAACCGTAAACTGGTTAGTCGAGAACGTGAAAGGCCTGGATGGGTACACATTGCCTAGAGCTGAGAGAGACGAAGACAGACGCTGCACTCGGCCTGTTGGCTTGTCGCGTGCACATACTGAATGGCGATTCCACGGCGGCTTATATCTACTTCTGCTTGTGAGGCGTGCTTATAACACATAATTACACCACACATCGAAAGACGCTGCACAGTGATGTGATATACTGTTGCTTGTTTGTAGGGGTGTTGACCTCTACTCTGACTCTACCTTATCTGGGGTGCAGGCACTCGACTGCCAGCCCTCTGCGCAGGGAACCGGATCTCGTATGAGCATGCTGTCATCGTCTTATGCCGTTCGTCATTCTCATCGTCGCCTTGATCTTATAGCGTGGCGGAATACGTCTAGCATAGTAGTACGCCAGACAGTCTTTCTTCAGTATCCCACTCAAGGTGCGCATTGCCCGTGGCTCGACATGTTTTGCCGTGAGCTTACCACCCCGATCTAGAAGATCCACGACCGTCTAGACCAGGACCACAATCCACTCACTTGATGTCTGCCCGTCTACTTCCAAAGACCGTTCTTCCCCAAGAGACTGTTTTAGTAAAGGTTCGGGCAGCGGTGGACTGCTGTCAGACGAACTTCGGTCAATGTGGTACGTGTTACGAAAATCTTCCTGGATGGTTTTGTCGTGTCGTTTGCTTTGTGTCTTGACTTCGAGGCGGAGGCTCTTGTTTACCGTCCGCTTGTGTCGCATCGATGTGACGTCTTCTTCGGGCTACTCTTTCTCATGAACGGTCCTCCACTTCCTGTCCAGTGTCAAGTCGTTATTACTCTTTATTCCGGTCATCAAAGCACCAAAGTCCACAAGTCCCCCAAGCTTGAATAAATATTCGTGATAAATTCCACAGCCAGCGCCGCGCTCAAAATAGTAAAATGGTATCGCAAATGTCTAGAATCACATTAATAGTCCGTTATACCCAACCGAACCTCCCCGGATTTTCCATTTCCGTTTTTCCTTTTTTTTTCGTCCCTGGTCATCATCCCCATCATGCCTGTCTCTCGACGTCCTCATCGTTGTAAGGCGCCATGTCAGAGCGGAATGAGGGAGCCTTGCAGGGCTTCTCGTCTCCTTCCAGACGAATCTCTCCTTGAGGGATTGTGTAGTGGCTGCGGACCCTGCTTTCGTTGTTAGTGAACAGACTCTTCGAAATCTCGTCACACAGGAGATCCTTACCCTTGAAATGTGTTGCCCACGGTCTCCAGTACCAGAAGAATAAGTACCAGAGCGATAACGGCGCCCAGGACGATCAGATCGGGATGCTGCTCAAAGATGGCCATCGTGGGCTGCGGGACCTGGACGTGCTTCCAGCAGGGCATGCGTTCCCTCGAGGGCATCAGCTCCGCCAGCCCGTCCTTCAACGTCATCGGCCTGATGGTCTCCGGGGTGCCGTCTCCCACGACGTCGACCACCCTGTCCTTCTCCGGCTGCTGCTGCTGCTGGGGGTGCTTCGCGAGGGACTGGAGGTAGTCCGTCTTGAGCGGCCTGGGCGCCGCGAGGACGACTGACGGGGGGAGCACCCTCGAGGGGGAGACCGGGTGGTTGTCGAACTCGAAGAGCTCGATCCTGGAGGCCTGTTCCGCGTCCTGGACGACGGCCACGGGGCGTGCGCGGTGCATCGAGACACGGGTGATGCGGGTGAGGCGACGGGCCTCGCCCTTGACGTGGGAGACCATATCTGAGATGGTCATCGGGACGGGCATTGCCAGGCCCAGCTCGGCGAGGCCGAGGGCGTAGAGGAATGTTGAGGGCTTCATTTTTGGTGGTGGTTGTGCGGGTGTCGTCGGTTTCTGTGTTGATGTTTTTCGAATCCCAGATTCCAAGCCAAGCAAAAAAGGAGCTCTGTAAAGCTACTGATATGTATGTCGTGTGATGTTGAGCGTGTGACTGATTCCGAGATCTTGGTATAAGATGCTAGTTCCACCAATACGTCCAAGCCAAGGCGCGTAGACGGCAAGCTGTATATATTAAGACCGTCGTTGGAGAAGTGTTACACTTTCCAGTAGGTTGTGTGGTGTCGAAGGTAGGTGTGTGAGTGTGTGTGGTGTTGATGCGGGGGATGAACAACCGCAGGTGGGATGTCAGGTCTGGGCACCCGATTTATTAGAGGAAAACCGAAGCAGGGTAGCCCGAGAGTTGCAGAGTCAGGCACAAGGGGGCGTGGGCGTGTTGTATCCGAGCGCAGCAGACCGAATAACGACGGAGACTAGCAGAGAGGTGTGAACCCGGGCTGAGGATGATGGAGGGCGGGAAACCTTTCGCAAAGAAAGGCGAGTGAAACAAAACAAGTAACGGGTCCTCTGTTGCTCCTCTCCTCTTGGTGTGTGCTTGCCTGCTTGCTTGCCTTCGTCGCCGATGCGAGAAAGAGGAATGAAGAAGATGGGACGGGGCGACTAATGGGAAGGGATGGAGGGGGGTGTGCGCTTGTTGATAATAGTGTTCGCCCGGATGCGGGTTAAGTTGAGAGGAGGTGTTCGTGAGAGGCCGGTGTCTGTGTTGACGTGCCAAGGCGAAGTGGCCGAGTCTCGTAGTAATATAGACAAAAGAGAGAGGCAGAGAGAGAGAGATAAGAATTGGACGAAGGAGAGATTAGTCTGGAATGGGCGTCTGTCCGTAATCAGCGGCCTGGAAGAGGAGCGGGCTTTGTGCAGGAAGAGATGGCTGCGGGCGGTATTATGTCAAGAAGGATAAGGTGAACGGAAGTCTGGGCGTGGGCGGGATGTGTTGAACTATGTATATCCGTGGTATGTGAGCTTTACAAGTACTTCAGTACGCATTGGGACTGACATGGCATGGCTTGCAAGACGGACTCACTCTCTCTCTCTCGAATCCACACTCATCGGTCTATTTTCTGCTGGACTCTATTTTCCTTGCTGTGGCTCCGTCCTGGATGGATGCTGCTTTCACAGCTTCTTCCTCTCCTCTCTCTCTCTGTCCCCCTTCACTCCTGGTGCTCCTTAGCGGGGCGTCCTGGCTGGGGGAGCGGCAGCACAGGTTCAGGGCCAGGGGATCTAGGCTCGGCCAGGGATGCAGGGATGGGCTGGACCCTGTGGACCTGCGGTGCGCCCTGTCGACAGTGGATGATTCGAACATGGTCTTCCCACATGCTGCCCTGGGTTCAGTGTTTCCGCTTGGCGTCCTCTCCTCCCAGGTCCAGGTCCAGGTTCCACAGGTTTACCCTGTGTCTTTTTTACGAGTACATATCCGTACACAGCAGCAGCTGGGCAAGCCTCAAGCCACCCTTCCCTTCGCCTTTAAACTTTCAAGACAGCCCAGCGAAATTCAAATTCAGGCTAGCGCTGGTGGACGGCATTCCGACAGGCCGCGGCGCAGCGGCAGCCAGCCAATTGATGACTGACTCCGGCCTCTGTGCCTGTGCCTGTGCCTGTAACGAGAACGAGAGTAGAGAAGGCTTCTTCCTCTGTGTAGCCTGCCGTGTAGCCGATCTCGTTCACCACGGTCTCGGCGATCCCTGGTCTTTGCTTCTGTGTTATGCCGGAGCGTTTTTCTCACCACAACCCGCTCGCTCTCTGCGTGCTGTCTGTCGGGGACTCGGTTTTCTCGGCACCCATGTTGGGAGAACGGTCGGTTTGTTTGGGGGCCAGTCACTGTGTCCCCTGGGAAGTGTTTCCAAATCTCGTGTGTGTGTATCCCGATTTAGGACCAAACCGAGTCGGAGAGGTTGGTCTCGTTGGAAACTTGGCGATGGGTTTTGCGGCGCGGGGTGAGCTGGGTGGAGTATGGATAGGCAGACCAGACCGCACTAACACACATCGCCCAAGACCAAAAGGCCTGCTGGTCGTGCTACAGTCTACCGGGGGCATTGTTAGTGAGGTCCCCCAAAGTCCCCTTGTTCAGGCATATTGAAGAGGAGGAGGAGGAGGGACTGTGACTGTCGAGAGAGGGTCAGGCACTAGCAGCCCGCAGTGCAGGGCACACCAATCGACCAGGGGTAAAAAAAGGGCCGCGGGTTTCTAGGGACGCGAGAGAGACACTGCAGACTGCCTGCGAGAATCTTAAAGGGAAAGCGGCGCATCCTGGTCGTCAGATCCCCATGTGTCACGACCGAAGGCCGGACGAGGGGTCCCATGCGTTGCTTGAGTCCGGTGGGTTTTTCCATTGGGTTGGCCGAGGAAAAAAAAGAAGAGACGAAATGCCACTGCAACTGTCGACGGGTCCTTCATTCCAGTTGATGACACTCGACGTTTGCCGTCACAGCCTGATGTCCGACGAGATGTGCTTCTGGGGTCGGTTCAAGGGGGGGAGAAAGTCAAGCTTTTGCTCCGCCATCTCACCTAATCATTCGGTTAGAATCGAGAAGAGAGTGCTGTATAATACAGCTTGTCTAGCTCTTTTGCGGTAACGGAAACGAAGGAAAGCTGGAAAAGCAACGACATCTGTTGGTGAGAAAAGCGAGAGCTTGCTTCTGCTAGTGCTACCAGGGCCCTGCAGATGCAGAGCTGAATGACCCCATTCGGACAGCACATTGTCTCATTCGCCTTTGTGATTCGTGGAGATGCCCACCCACCCTCAGATTTCCCACGGGTGACAGATCAAAAAACTGCAAGGCCGAGCTGTCGGTTCTGGGAGGCCGGAAAACCCTTGAAATCAGTGCCTTCGTGCTTCGAGGATGTGATGATGTGCCGGAGGCGATCATCGTGAAGGCCGCGCCTGGTGACAGCAAGAAGCTGGAATGTTAGTGTTCGCCAAGCGGACGCAATAATGATGGCGACAATTATGTCCTGTACAACTCAAAAGAGTCCACAAACTCTCGGTTTCCGCGCCCTGCTGCTGCTGTGCAACCTTGGAATCTCGTCGCAGCATCACAGCAAGCCACCCAAAACGCCGCAGCTCCCCTTTCCCACAGGATCCAGCAAAATCAAGCTTTCCAAGTGTTCCCTCGCCGCCGCCGCCCCATCTCTCATTTCCCCCATTCTGCCCGTCCGCATGTGCGAGCGGGAGCACGTGGGGAGCTGCCCTGTGTGAGAGGTTCCTTTTTGGGCCCCTTCCTTTGGGCAAGCATCTGCCAGCCGGTCGTATTGCCTTCAACAACAAGCGAATCTCCAAAACCCATCAGCCCATGTGCCCAGTTGGCAACTGCAGCATATCACCGCCGCTTCCAGGCCGCTGGGCGAAGCGACCGAGCGGACATCTGTCCTCGGAGAAAAAAAATATCGAGCAATATTCCAGCCAGCCCACTGCCCTGTAAATCGTTAATTATGACAGCCTGAACAGCATCCACTCAGAAGAGACTGACGGACGCATGGACGGGCACTACCCCTCAGCCACGATAATGGACGGTTGGTTGTTACCGTGCCTGTCCATGTCCCATGTGGACGTCGTAGAATTGCGCACGGCACGAGGCCACCTGCCTCTCTCTACGCCATAATAAGGCGTATTGGCGTGTGTACTAGGTCGCCAAGGCTCCCTGCCATTGCTGGGTATCTGTAATACTTTGCTGTCCGTGTTAGCGTTCCATTGATATTTCCCCTGGTTCTTCTCGTTTGTCCGTGTATTATCGGTTGGCCCCGTTTGATATTGTCCCTGGAGGACCAAACGGCCCTTACCCGCCGTCCGGGATGCTTAGTCAGGAACCCCTTCCCGCTGCGGCCAGAATGCGAAGCCCAGCCAGTCCCAGCTTCTGCGCCCATCACGATGCTTGGCGCCGTCGTCCCGCGACCTCGTACAGAGGGAAATTGCACTCAGCTGCGCCCGACTCAATGCACAGCGCATACCGCCGCTCGTTGCTGCTTCGATCAATGGACGGGCCAAGACACTGCCACGAGGGCCAATCGAAGGAAATGACTGCATCTCTGTCTGCTCAGCTCCCGTCAGCAATGATCGCCTCTCGACATGCAACTTGACGGCGTCCTAGGGCCCCGCGTCAAACAAAAGGTCTCCGTAGGTTCTGATATACCCAGCCATTGAATCATGACACCAGACGCTGCTCTGCTGCTTTGTCTAGCGCGAGCCGGCGCCAAAGACAAACCTGCTGCATCCAAGCAATGGATCGACACCAAGGATCCACTGATCAGTGACGGGATTTCGACGGTGTCTTGGACGACTGCTCCAGTTTCTGCGTTCGCTGCGCGCTCGAGACACGGCGAATGCCGCCTAATTCCAGCACCCAAACCGTCCCAAAACCCGCGGCCATTTTCGAGGATGCATCAGGGTGACGCTCCAGGTCCGCTGGCTTCAGAAATGAGCCCATGATTCATCAAAGTGTCCATTCCACCGACATTGAGCATGCTGCGAGGCTGCGAGCGAGCATCAACCGCATTGACAACAGGCAGGCATTCCCGACCATGGCCGTCCATGGCAACTGGAGCCCCGTCTCCCCCGTCTCCTGTGACAGTTTCGTTCCATCGCAACCGAGGCCCCCACACCGGCAGGAGCAGCAAAACCCGCTTCTTCTTGCCCCGAGGTGAGGTTGTCTGAGCGTCAAAACGGTTTCAACAGCATTTCCACCCATACGCTTCCCTGGCCGGCCCATCGAGAATGGGACGGGACGCTGTGGAATGAAACTTCAATGGACCTGAGTCCGCATGCTTTGCCAAGCATGTCCGGCAATTCCTGCTTCAGGTCGAGGTCGAGGGGGGAGGTCGAGCCGGATTGTCGCAGATCACTCGCTTTCGTTGATGTCATGTCGCCCTGTGCCTTGGGAGCATTCGGAAATAAAAGAAGGAAAACAGGGGATCGACGATGCTCCCCCATTAGAGCTGAGAAGGTGAGGCTATTCGCACTAGCAACCGCCGAAACGTCAGAAACTCGGGCCCCTTTCCCGTTCGGCCAGATCTGCGAAAGTCCGGGAGGCAGAGGCCACTGGTCGCTCAATGGCCGTGGAAAGACCTTCCGGTTGGCCCGCGAAGGTTCCAAAATAAGGAGTCTCATCCAAGCGAACTTCGCCCGGCCTGTCAAGACTGCAGCCTGGCGTTCTTCTGGCTTAGTCCCTGTAGGGCGCCGTGAGGGTCTGGACCGGCCGACCTTGGCTTGAACGACCCCAAAGGCCCAGAGGCCCAGAGGAGCGGTAGTCCTCAGGCCAGCTGGGAAGGGCACATAAGCACGCGACCACCACCCAGCAGGCAGCCAGCGCGGGATCCCGCCAGTCATTTGCTGGTGGCGCCATCCTGTGCTGTGGGAACCGCAAGTCCAGCTGCGCGTGAGATGCTAGATCCAGTGTGATGCCCTGTGAGGGGGAATCCATCAAGCAACAAACAAGCTTTGAGCTACTGCGGGTCTCCATCTTTTGCGTATGCGAAGATTTTAGAAGGAGAGGCCGCGGCCGAGATGCAGAGCTTCTGGAACCATTGATTATTCGTATTCCGCGGGCCCTTGGGGCGCTGGCGGGAACGGTGATGCCGGTCCCCCAATTTGGGCAGGTGGAACTCCGTCGGAGGGTCCAAAATTCACTCGGTAGCCGGGCGAGACGGCGGTGCTAGTGGACCAAGACGATGGTTCGGTATTATGCGGGCGGCGCAGCCCATCTGGCATGTCGATGTGATGGACGAATGAAGAAATCCGGGGATGGGAGGCCGCGGGTCGCGATGGCAGACGTGTTCGTGGGGTGAGTTTGTAGATTGAATGTAGGTATTTGGTTGACCTTCGTCCCGCATCGCGCCGGAAAGTCAGGATGACGGATCGGACGACGACGACTTTTGACGTTGACGACGCGCAAGCTTTTTGGGTTTCGGGAGGGTTCAAAGTCACGGCGTTGGATTCCGCGGACGTGGTTGGTGTCGTCTACCAACTGCGCGTCATCGGTCGAGATTGACTTCTTGAAAGTTTGCGAAGACGATGCCCAACTCTGAATGTGTTGCGTGGTGTTGTGTCTTCCTTTGCAGGCATCAACGATTCCCTAAGGTAGGTTCGGTGCATACCCGATTCCCGAGTCGGGCAAAAAAAGTTAAGCTTGCTTGGAGATGAGCGGACGGGATAATTCCCTGCCTCACTTGCGTAAAGTGCCATCCATCTCATTCTCATGCTTCACAATGCCGTCCGTCGTCCGGGAACACAGAGGTATGGATCTGTACCTAGGTAAGGTATGGTGTCTTAGGTAAGTGGTGTGTTTTCTTTACGACGGATGCCGCTCCCTTCGGCCACCGAAAAGGCAGCCAAAAAGATTCCCAAATCGAGAAGATGGTCCGGGTGGGGGGACCTTGTACGAATATCGGACCCCACCAATCTCCTTTCCCCGTCTGTGCACGCTCCCTTTTTTTTTCCTTCTCTCCCAGGGCGGCCTTTCAGGGTGAGTGGGCTGGTGTGGCCAGCCTTACGCGCCTCCATCCAACTTCAGTCCATTCGCGACCGCGAGGCTGAGAGCGTCTCACGCCTCAACGCCAACAGCCCATCACCAAAGTCATTTGCCAAGCCATTGAGTCTTGTCATCGCACTCCAGTTAGTACAAGCCGCGCCTGGCGGTCACGGCCCGATGTCCCCGACAACACCGACGGACTACGACGCCTTCCCGCCCCTAACCCGCTCCTCCACCCTCCCGGCCGGCCTCAACGGCGCCTCCTCCGCGCTCAGCGGCAACACGTATCTCCAAACACAAAATCGATCACACCTCGCGCCCGAAGATGCGTTCCTAGCAACCTCTCCTCCCCGTCGGCCGGTCCCCTTCTTTCCCGACGGCAGCGTCGGCGCCGACCACCGCGCCGCCCGCGCCCGTCTCCGTCACAATGCCGGCGGCATCGACCCGCTCTCCGACAACGGTCAGCACCGTTCGCGGTCTCGTCGCAGCCGCAAGCGCACCTGGAAGAAGCTCATGTGGGTGAAGCAGAGCTACCCGGACAACTACACCGACCAGGCCACCTTCCTCGAGAGCCTGCAGCGCAACCCCCGCCTGCAGCCGTACGATTTCTGGCCCTTGGTCGCAGACTCTACCGTCATCGTGCAGCACGTGTGCTCGGTGATCGTCTTCATCGTCTGCTTCGTGCTCATCTTTCAAGAGCGCGTGTCGCCCGTGTCGATCGTTTCCTGGGGGAGCCTGGCGACGGGGTTGGGGTGGCTGTTGTGGGAGCGCTGGGAGGCCGATGAGGAGCAGATGGCGGTCGAGCAGGGCGGGACCGGTGTCGTTGGAGCGGGTGGCGCGGCCGTGGGGAGGCGGGAGACGGTTAGCCGGAGGACGGGAAGCATGCCGAGGCGCCCGCCGTCGCACGTCGATGAGTCCTCCACGGCTACGACGGCCACGAGCTCGACCAGCAACTTGTCCGCCAGCGCCGAGCGGCTAGCGCGGCACTCCCACTCCGCGTCGGCGAGCTCGCTCATCTCGACGACCTCGGCCACCTCGCAGACCCCCTACCGCCGACACAGCCAGGAAGTCGTGACGACGAGCAACAACCCGCTCCCGCGCCGGGCGTCCTTCCCGCTCCCCGGCGACGACGCGAGCCGCCTGCACCAGCGCGTCGGGACCGTCAAGAGCGCGATCCTCATCTATTCCACCCTCCTCGGCCTGTCGCCCATCCTGAAGTCCCTGACGCGCTCGACCTCGAGCGACAGCATCTGGGCCATGTCCTTCTGGCTGCTGGCCATCAACATCTTCTTCTTCGACTACTCGGGCGGCGTGCGCGTCAACATCCCCGCCTCGCTCTCCACCAACGCCGCGCTGATGGCCTCGACCGTGCTGGCGAGCCGGCTGCCCTCCACGGGCCAGGTGTTCAGCCTGACGCTGTTCAGCATCGAGGTGTTTGGCCTGTTTCCCGTGTTCAGGAGGTACGCGCGCCATCGGAGCTGGGGGTACCATTATGCCATGACGGTCTTTCTCGTCCTCGGAGCCGGCGCTGGTGTGGGAATCATCCTCGGCGATAACGGCGGCGGCTGTTGCTGGCCTTGGAAGAGTGCTGTCATCGGCATGGTCGTCAGCGTGCTCATCGCCGCCATCGCCATGGGAGGGTGCAGTTGGTGGCTTATTGGACTGCAAAAGTACAAGAACGAGATCTACGGGCCGTGGGACCCGGCTCGGCCCATCATCATGAGTCGACAGTTATGGGACGACGGTTGAAGAGGGGAAAATGTGATGAATTGATAGAGATAAATAAAGCTTATTCTATAACAGTACACGTTGGTGATTTATGATGACGCCGCTTTCCAATTCCACATCTGGCAGTGGTGCTCGGTTCTTGTGCCAGACGGGCAGCAGGATCTCAACAATTGTTTTCCCATGGCTCGTCTTTCTTCTCCTGCTCCTTTTGCTTGAGGTGGTGAAGGCCTAAAAGCTTTTGCACTAAGACAAAGCCGAGAAGAAATCCTATGGTTACGCTGCAACACCGACGGAAGTCGATGTGACCGGCTTTCCTGTTCGCTTCCGTCTGCTTTTGCAAGGCCGGACGGGACTCGCCCAATGGTTTCTCATCCAGACTCGTCTGGAGCTCGTGCAGACTTCTGAGATTGTCCTTTGACAGCCTGAGAATCTCTCTTGCCAGCTGGGTGTTCTCTTTCGCGGTCTTGACGATTCTCTTCAACATCTCGGATATATTCCTCACTTGCTCTGGGTTTATGCAGTACTCGGCTTCAACCTTCCTGTGGAACCTTGGTCTCGGCCAGTTGGAGACCCGTTGTCGGGAGGAGTATCTTGAGACCTGGACTGCAAGGCGAGGAGGTGGCGTGCCGCGATATAGTGTGGCCATCGCTGGACGGGTGGTGTAGGGGATGGAGGATAGAGGTGTTTGCTTGGTGAATGTGTTGCTCAAGGCCTTGCGGGCGCCGAGAAGCGACATTGTGTTGCGGGCGGGCTTTGTAGTCGAGAAATCAGTTTGTGGTCGAGTGTCGCTTGGTTTGCTTTGCTGTTGTTTTCGATGTTTGCTCGTCGTTAACACAGTTGGTGGAATGCTTAACTTCACAAGTCGTTCTCCATCTCTAAAGCCACGAGCGAAGAGAATTTATAGGAGTCACTGAGATTTTTGAATGGGCAAAGTAGGCACCGACGGGAATCAGCCGGAGATGCTGTGCAGGAGAGGATTTTAGCTTTCCACGGCTGGATCCAACAAGCTCCTTTCACAAGGTCAGCAGAATTTTCAATATCACTGGAAGTCTGACATCCGATCTCGTTGATTATGTTTAGTATGAAGGGAGCATAACTTCATGAGAGCAATAGGAACATGGATGAAACGATCAATACTCCCATACAACCGTACTCGATCTTGACCTAGGTAGTTACGTTTCATGTTTATACGTGTAGTGGATTATGAAATCGGAGGCAGCAGAGACCCAGAATTCTAACCTTCCTTGGTTCCATATTACCGGAACGGTCATTCCCAATTCAGGCCGATGTAAGAATGGAGGGGGAGAACCTGAAAGGGGTATGCGCCAGAGACTCCAGTTATGTGTGAATCCAGATTATGCTAGTACGAGTGGTGTGTTTTACAAGTCAAATTGAACCATTCAAGGTGTGGTGAACAGCTGCTGTCATTGATTTCTTCTCTGACCGAGAACACTTTACACTCCAGCAGCCCATTTGACAATTCCAAACCATCAATCTACAATCCATCATGATTTCATGGAGCGGAGGACATGAAGAGCGCAGCAATCATCTCCCCCTCCTCCCTCTCCCATACAAGCATCAGAGTTGACGTGCCCCCTAGAGTAAGCGTTGGATATGCCGCTTCCCCGTTCATCTTCCTTTCCCTTACTCTTCTCCAGGGTTTCTTTCTGCTTCTGGACCGAGGGGAACTGCCAAAAGTACACGGCGCTGCAGATGCCAAACCCCCCAAAGAGGAGCGCCCAGAAGGAGATCCGATTGGCCGTCCGCTCCCTGGCCGCCAGTTCCTCGATCAGGAGTATCGACTCGCCCATCAAGAGGTTCGACTTTTCCATCAAGAGATTCGAGTCGTCCAGCATCAGCACCGACTTGTCGTTCAACAGCTTCAGCTCCTCGTTGCACTGTCGCAGCTCCGTGTTTTCTTGGGTCAGGCCGTGAACGAGGGGCGCGGCGCGGCCCAGGCCCCAGTGCTCGGCGTACGATCTTGAGAAAGGCTTGTTGGCGCGGATTTGGGATGGTCCGAAACGGTTGCCGGATTTGTTGATGTTGACGTTGAGCTGAGGCCGGTAGGTGGCGAGGGTGTGGAGGGTGTTGTTGCGAGGCGTGGTGGTTTGAGCGGTGCCGGCTGGGCGAGGCATGGCCAGCCTGGAGGCAACAGCTCTTCGAAAGGTAGTAGGCAGCATCGTGCCGGGTTTTGTAATATATGGTTCAAGTTTTGGTTTTGTTGAGATCTTATTATTCTTTCGAAGTTTTCTGCTTTGGGCTTGTGAGATTGTTGGCGCTGCGTTCCAAGAATCTAGAGCTGAAGAATGGGAAACTCCTTCATGATATATATACTACAACAGACTTATCGGAGATGATTGCTGCTCGCGGGATCACCAGGGCTGGCCATGAGTACCTCGATGGTTGACATACCGGTAGATTCATGCTTCCTCAGCGTTATGGCGCCGATTTGGTACATTTATTTTTATTCGCTAGCCAACCTTGGCCGTCTTTAGATTCGGTTCCATCCATCGATGACTCCAAAAGCCTCCGGAAATAATAGAGAGGCCCCTGGGTTCCTTCAATGAAAATTTGTTGATTGCCAGAAATACATGGCACTGTGTGATATGGATGTTGACGTAGGTATGCTTCGAAGGAGCTCCGGCAGTTTACCCAAGTTCATTCTCGGTATTTTCACATAGGAATCAGAGAATTTCACTCTGACCTAATTCTCAAGGGAATAAACTCATAGAATTAACATCAGAACTGTTGCCGACCGCGCGCGGACACGAACCCTGTTAAGATACATTTCACTTTGGGCGGGCGGCATCATCACAATTCTATGTGTAATGTGAGGGGCCTCTGGCGCGTCAACTTTGCCTTTGGTACATCTGTGGTTTTTCTGATTTTCCAACAGTATGACTGAACTCACTTGAAATGCAGACGGAGATGGGTTTTCAGGCAACCACCCAAATCACTCGGCGCGCACAGTCCGCACCAGTAAGGTATATAAGAGGCATACATCCCACTTATTCCTTCCTTATAGACAAGCAACAGGCACAAGCACCAGCAACAGAAACAGAAACAGAAACATTGGCAACAGACACAGGATTTGCAAGGATGGCGACCAATCTTCACGGACTCCGCGATGTTCCTCGTCGTACCTTCAGAACCAGAACGCCCCCCGACGTCCACCAGGACGCGATCATCCTTGCCGCAGCATCACCGGATATCGAGTCAGGCTCTCCCTCCAGAGAAGGATGGATCCTTTCTGACTTATATGCCTTCAACTACATGCTCAAAGGCCTCGGCTCCGAACAGGTCTGGCTTACCACAGCGTCCCCGACCGATGTCATCGCCCGACACGGTGACTGTGTACACGGAAACAAGGTCGATGACAACCAGAAGATCGTCCTGAGCAAGCCATTGCTCGAGAATGACCAGCTGTCGCCCGTCACAGTTGTCGACCCGGAGGAGATGATCGAGTCCTACCTGTATCACGTCGAAAAGATGTCAGCAAAGGCAGCAAGACAAGACCAACCCCTGCTTCTCATGCTGTTCGGCATCGGTTTCAGCGAGACCGGATTCCTCATGAACACTCGGGACCGCGACACAAGACTCGACTTTGAGAGGCTGGAGACAAGACTCGACTTTGAGAGGCTGGAGAACGCGATTGCTGATGGTTGTCGCGCCACCCTCGTCTCGCCGAACTGCTTCTCTGGTGGATGGGACATTACCGATCTCTCGAAAGGCGACCCTGCACGAATGGACACCCCCATACTGGTCACACCTCATGACGAGATCATATCTCACGCGGCTCGGATGTGCGGGTCTATCTTTGCAGGACCAATCATCAAAACTCTGTCATCTTCTTCGAGCCCTCTCCTTGACATCCCGACCGATGGCGACACGGAACCGGAGAGCCTTCAGCCGAAAGAACCAACGGAAGAGCAAGAGGCGGCGTACAATGCTTTTTGCGCGTCGGTAGTAGATGCTTGTACGGGTGACGAGACTTGGGATCGACATGGCTTTTTCTTCAGAGCCGAGGATGACCATTGGAGCAAGTCCTGGACGCGTTCGGGGAAGACCCTGGAATACTTTGAGAATCGATGGAATGCACTGGAAACGCCCAAGAACGACGACACTGGCAGCGACGACAGAGACTCTCAAGCAAATGACGAGCGGATCTCCGCCATGGCCACGCTGTTCATGGAGAGTTGCCCGGGAGATTGGAGTGGCGGCTATAACATTAACGTGCGTACTCTTCTGAGGGAAACGGTCAAAAACCCCGGCAATCCTGAACCCTTGCCCTACCGAGAAGAAATCGATCCTGTGAGCCTTATTCGCTACCGGTGGGAGCTCGGCCATCTCGCGGACCTGCTGGTGCGGCACTACAACCTCCCCGTGCCCAACGACGAGATTTTCATCTCATGGAGGCGCATGGGTCAGCAGACACAAAACACCAGAGAAATTCACCACTTCAGTGAGCACTCCGGCCGGGCTTATGGCATTTTCTCCTACCGTGGTCTTGGGCCAGGTCCAGCTCGCGCTCAGGGATACCATTTCAACCGGTACTTCCTGTATACGTCGAAAGCGGTTGCGTTGACGGGAGGATCCGAGGCCGAGATTGTCAAGCTCGCGGAAGATATGGTTTTGTTTGTTAAGAAGCTGCAGCAGTTCGTCACGGGTCCTGTTCTTGAGAACCAAGACGTCATTGACAAGAGGAAGAGGTGACTAGAGACCGTCGGTGAGAATGTATGATACTTCACGATATTGATAGACCAATCAAGCTATGTTTATTCTCAGAAGAAGTCGCGAACGGTTGTGGTTGACACAACCCCGGAGTGTGAGCGGGCTTCTGTCCGGGGAACGTTGGAGAAGAGACTGGAGAGAGCCAGCGACGGCGGCCACATACCGACGAGGGAATTGTGGGGGCCGTCGGGACGGGACTGATGACTGAAATTTCAGCGAGGACGGAGACGGAGAAAGGATGGAAATCCATGGATATGGATGCCGGGGTGCCGGGGGTGGTGCTGTTTGCGGGGGGAGCCGCAGTCCAGGCACAGCGCCGCCGACCCAGCGACGGCGCCATCGAGGATTAACAGAGCTCGTGTTGGGTGGAGAATGCGCCCAGCGGATCGGCAGGGCAGAGCAGATGCAGGAACGTTTCTCCCGCGTCGTGTTCGGTCGACTTCGTGTGGTGTTATTCTTAGCATCCGGGTTTCTCCCTTGTCTTGGAATCAGAAGAGACGATCGAGAGGGAGGAAACAACGCGGTTCCATTGCTAAGAACTGCCCAGACATGTGCGGATACGGTTGAGACGCAGCCAAGTGAGAAGTGGGTTGCCGATACTCGAGACCGAGAACAAGAAGAAGAAACAAAATTACCACGACTGATAAGGCGGCTCCGAAGGTTCAATCTTTATTTCTTCAAACCTTCTTTTTTTGCCCTATCCCGTGTTATGATTAAAGTCTCCATCCAGTCGCGCCGGGTTGTCCGGACATGTGGTGCAGCGAGAAAAAAGATTCTCGTTGCCAGGAAGACCATTGTCGTCTTGTAAACTCTGTTTAAATTGGTGCAATCAGATGTTTATCGAGGGCCCGTTTTCTTCTCTTCTGGGAAACAGAGCTCGGCGCGCTTGGAGCCTCTCTCACCACATTTTCCCCATACAAGAACCCCCGGTCCCTGGTCCCTGTCTCCGACGTACGTACATGTCACGTCCACTCGGCCGGCAGTCAGAGTATCTCTCGAATAAGTCGACCGCATGGTACCGTGACGGCGTGCCGTCTTCTAATCCGATTCAGACCTGAAATCGAATCAGTGCAACACCACTTTCGTGACAAAACGTAATAATTGCCCATTGGCGAAGATGGCTAGCCCGGCTAGCTGGGTGAGGCGTTCAATCCGATGTCTTGGTCTCAGCACAGCCAGCACGCCACCAAGCCTCTTCAACGCGTACTATGATATCCCAAGCTGCTGGCACGTTCCCCGAGCACCTGTCATCCAATCAGACCGCACGGCCATCTGCATTTAGCCCGTTGCTTCTTGTTCCTTGGAGATGTCTTGGGAGTTGAGGGCGGTTAGTCAAGACATACGAGAGAAAATTCCAGTTCACCTCACCCAAGACGGAGAAAAACAAACGCTCTTCTGCGGCGTCCCTCGAGCCAAGAACCAGAGGAGTCAATTGGATGTCACCCTACAGAGTAATGTAGTGCCACCTGTGGGAAGTCCTTTTTTCCCCAATCGCAAAAAGATGGTTGCATGTTCCTGGCCAGAACCCTTGTCCAAGTCGAGGTCCAGCTCAGTCCCAGACTCACCCCAGCTCTGGGTTGCCGTCCCCTTGCAATAATCCAAAGCTAAAGGGCCTGGCTAAACCAAATAAGCTGTCGCCCCCCTCACGCTCTCCAATCGCGCCGCCGGCTTTTGGTGCGGATACCTTGGATAAGCTTTGCGAGGTGGAAGAATTGGGAAGAGAGAGAAAGGCCTTTGTAAATGGACATTGTTATGGTCTCGGCAGGGGTTCTCCGTACGTGGCTGGCGCGAGGAGGGCGAACTCCCGCATATTTATCACCCCGTCCCTTCCACCCTGACTTCTTAGAAGATCTCTCCCTCCTCACGTAACGAATTCTAAACCCAACGTCGTCCGTCCGTCTGTACAACGTCCTCTTGAACCAACCAACCTCGTCGTACATCGTCAACCACCAAACACAAGCCAAAATGAAGTTCACCCTCGCCCTCCTCGCCGCCGGCCTCGTCGCCGCCCAGGACTTCTCCGGCCAGCCCGAGTGCGCCGTACGTCAATCCTCGCTCACTACACTCCAATTCTTCTCCCAAACACTAACACGTCCCGTCGCGTAGATCCCCTGCCTCCGCGACGCCATCCCCAAGGTCGGCTGCGCCCTGACCGACACCGCCTGCCAGTGCGCCGCCGACAAGCAGGAGCAGCTCGTCCCCTTCGCCGCCCCCTGCCTGCTCTCCGCCTGCAACTCGGCCGACCTCGGCAAGGCCCAGGCCGCCGCCGCCGACGCCTGCAAGAAGTTCCTGGCCACCGCCAGCGCCGGCTCCGCGAGGCCCACCGCCACCGGCTCCGCTGCCGCCTCCGCCGCGTCCTCCGCGTCTGCTGCCGTCTCTTCGGCCGCTGCCTCCGTCAGCGCCTCCGCTTCCCGCGCCGCCTCGGTCGCGTCCTCTGCCGCGTCCGCTGTTGCGTCCGCCTCCCGCAACGCGACCTCTTCTGCTTCCACCACCCTGTCTGGCACCCGTACTCCCTCGGCTACCCCTACCGGTACCGGAGCTAGCGCCAGCGCTTCTGCTACTGGTGCTGCTTCTCAGGGCAACGCTGCCATGGGCGGTGTTGCTGTTGCCGCTCTGTTCGGTATCGTCGCTGCCCTCTAAGCGAGTCGTCCGTGTCCAGGGGAGATCTATGTGGATGGGGAAATGTTCATATTCAGGATGTGTTGGATGATTTGTGTTGAACGTCTAGACTTAATGCGGGTGGGCGGTTTAAAAAGTTTCACGATCATGGCCTGTGGTACTGTTGCCGTGGCAGCAATGTCTTCTTAAGACACAGGGTTATATATTTAATTTACATCAATATCATCTTACCGTGTACATGTCTGACAGTGTGCACTTGGATACACTTGGCGTTGTTCTTCGAGGATCGTTGAGGCCTCCACCTCAATCCTCGGAGAAAGCAAATTGACTCGGGGCGTGAGGGGAAAAGTCGTCAAGTCTTACGCACGCAGAATGTGCCGGTGCCAAGACGGCGGTCGAATCTCGCTGTTGACGACATCGTCCGGTTTACGTTTGCCCCAAAACTCTCTCTTATCGAACGTTTCGCCGCAATTGGTCTCAACGCCAGCTCTGCGACTGGGATCCCTGGGTCTCGAGGCGAGCTTATCCTTCCTCTGGCCATAGACTTTTGACGACTCCTCAACGTCCACAACGGAACTGTAGACACCAGTCCAGGAAATGAATCAACATGGGCGTCTGTGTCAAACAACAGAATGCTATGTAGTTGCCACTACAGGTCGAAATATTCTCATTTTTCTACCTCGCAGGATCGAAGCCATATGATTGCGAAGGCCAATTGAGCATGAAGAGCTCCGGACTAAACTGACAGGCTCGCTACATCTACACACTGTTAGGCCTGTATAACACCTCAAGCGTCGGGAACTTGCCATCTCTAGCCACACCAAGCCACACGATACCGTTCAACTGACAATTCTGCTGGTGAGACATAAAACGCACAGGAGTCTGACTGTTGGGCAACAAGTATGACTATGAGGCCCCAGAAGGTCGCGCAATACTCGCATATACAGCCTCACACGTGGGAGGCCTCGTACTACGTATACAACCTACAATGGAACCCTTGAGATTTCATATGGCCGTTGGGTGTGAGTGACTTGTAGCTGCCCTGCCTGATCAGCCAAAGGCACCGCATAACGAGTCTTCAAAAGAAAAGGACTATGTAGCATCTCTGATGCTTTTCCCAAGTGACGGAAGCTTCATAGACTATATTTACTAACATCGACTAAGCGTCAAATGCGCGCCCAGCGGAAGGCTGAGGTTGTTGACTCAGATGTGGCCTCGGCGGTATGTTGCACAGCATGAGTACTCTGTACAGCTACACCAGCTTCGCAACTTTTGCAGCCGGTCGTTATGTCTGACATGATTGAGGAACAACATGACCCAAGGTGACGTGTCCATAAAACCTTCATTCTTCCCAACTTAACGAACTCCTCTGTCGTGAGTTGAAAACCACCTTCAAACCTGCGCGTTTAATGCAGTCAATTCCGATACGCTATTGTTAGCTTCGAGCCAAAGTCATGTCCAGTCCCTGTCGAACGGATATAAGCTGCACCGAGGTATACTGGAGACGTTCCCCAGAGCCCAACAGTGATATTGCAGGGATAGGAGTAAGTTGTGTCTGGCAGAGTATTTCGATACGCCGTCGCTGATCCCAACAGGTGATAATCGGGTTCGCAGGCACAGCCTACATTGCTTTTTTGCTTCTTTTAATATATTATTTCGCGGCATATGACCCCGAAATGCCTCCCCCGCCCCCGAAAACCACCTTCACACAACGACGCATCGACTCGGACCAGCCGTCAAATTGGCCTCCGCTTTATCAGCTGAACACGTACGGCTGGACGCCTAATCCGATTGACGTGAAGTTGTTGGCTTGGGTTAGACGGAACGTGTTGCGAATACTGGCGCTCTGTTGTATCCCGCCTCTCATCATGGTCAACGCCCGCTCAAAGAGAGTCCAACAATGCTACATTAAGGTAATGAGCTCCTGAAATTGGTCGAAATGCCTTGGCTCAATTATTTCTCAGAGCGTTGGCAATATGTGCGACATCCAAGTCCTGACTGGGATCAGCATTCTCGTCGGCGGTTTCATCTGTCTGAAAGAACCACTATCAGCTCACCACTGGCAACTCATTGTGAACCTTGCCTGGTTTTCAAACAACACCCATCTGTCAGGACTTACAGTCCTTCGAAGACACCTACAAGCTCACCGTTGGGAAAAATACATGCGCCTTATTTCCATGTCCGTGCTCGTCGTCTTGCTGGTTACAGCCACGATACCAACTGCATTCTTCAATTGGAACGGATCAACATCAGACAAAGGGACAGACAAGGCAACTGCGGCTTATCACCGGACGCCTGCGGCTTGCTTTTTTTCCATAAGTTGTGGCATGTCACTTTATCATGATCAAGGGAGCTTACTGCCTTTTGAACGCTCATCTGCGTTTCAGGAGATGGTCATTTCTCTTGTTTTGCTTCTGTCCGGATTCTTCGCCAGAGCTCTCAAGCTGTCGGTTAATTTATCATTCACCTTACGAAAACAAGTTGGCTTTCGCCTGAACAGAATTCTGGAAGTCTTAGCCGCGAAAATCGACAGCGTCCCTTTGCTTGTGGTTGGAGACTCTCCTTATATTGAACGGATTCAGACGTTTTGGTCTGGGCTTATCACAAGAACTGTGACAACTGCAATTATTGTGGCTCGGACGCAATTTACCTTGCAGAACTCAGTGCTTGGAGAGGTAAATGTGCCCGTTTCCCCTTCTTCTGCACCTTTTATAAGGGAAAATTCAACTAATACACTGAAATGGCAGCTCTTCTGGCTGCTTGTTCTTTTGCTGTGGGGAACTTCTAGATTGAACGAGTCTTTAATCGAAGAGAGATTTTTCGAACAGAATCGCTCCCGGGGATTGGAGACAGGAAATTCGCCTTGGCAGTTCGGTCAAGTACTTCCCATCTTGCTTCTCGGTGCACCTCTGAGTACTTTGTTCAGCACCTTGGTCTCGGGCACGAGCTCTGGGAAGATCCAAGACCTCAGGTATGACCCAAGAACATGCGAAATTTGTCGACATAGAACCTCCGAGCCCTATGAAATCCACAACACTGAGGCTTCTAACGGGGGAACGGAGGTGGTAGAGATCGCACCACTACCTTCGTCACAACAACAGCAGGAATCTAATCAGGAGCACGCCAATCCCGAGAATGAAACAGCAAACGCAATGAGTCGGCCGTTCTCACGCTACGAGAATATATTCTCTGAGACTCAGTGGATGCTTTCTTACTTGGCTACTGGCTTTTTTGTTCTTTGCGTGCATTTAGCCTGTCTCTTCTGGTTTACGGCGTCTTTGGCCCCGAGAGAGTATGACACGGATATCCTGTATTGGACACCAGCGGATTATCTGCTCAAAGTTCAAGGCACTTTCTATTTGGTCCTTCTCAGCTATCCCTCTGCAGCACACACGATAGTTCTGTACGGTCTTGCGGCAGACGACTGGTTCAAAGCGACCAACACGACAACAAAATACGTCCGACAAGGCCTTTTTTGGCTGTTTGCGATATTCGCCCACTCACTCTACCTACTGGTCATCTATGCGCCGCTTGATTGGAGTTCAGTCACGAGGATTTGGATGATTTGCTCTATCGCGGGTGGCTTTTACGTCTTGTATGCCATCACATGCATTGTAAGACAACTCATGGGAACAAGAGGAGGGTAAGAGTCAGGCCAGAAGAGGATGATGTCACTGACGAAGTATTCAGCTCATGATGTGGAGCCCGCATGTCTCTACAACTGAAGGCCCGAAGAAGATGGGCAGGGAGGGTGGAGGGTTTCGTGGAAGAAATGGCATGTTCGGAAGGCGACGGGTTTCGTTTGCTCTGTCAGATTGAAGGCTAGTCTACTGGGAAGGGCGGAAGCTTTTCTTGTTTCTCATAGTCGATCCAGGGGGGTTTATTGAGCTGTACACGGCGCTTGAGCTATTGCTTCTTCACCTTCCGAACTTCCGAGTAGTGAATGAACCCGACCGATGGTAAATGTCTCAAGGAGAGGAGTACTCAATCATTTAGGACAACACCGTCTAAAATCGGTACCAGAGACATAACTTCAGATCGAAGTGGCGACTTTCGGAGTCGATGAACTCACAGACTCCGCCTCTCTCTTTATATTATCATTTTCCTCATCCTGTTCCCTGTCACCATTGTCGTCTTAGTTCTCTTCGTAGTCCTATCGGCATGTACTTCAAACTGATCGATGGTCGTTAAGGCAGCTTCATGAGCTCAGCTTCGCGCATGCGATATCTTAACTTGCTTTGCAGAGAAACCATCTAAGTTCTTTAATGGCTGTGCGACTGTAGAAATTCTGCATCTTTCAGTGTGCGATGCACTGGAACATATACCGCGAGCAAAAGGCCGACGTTCTAGGACTCGAGGAGAGGCGATATGGGTGCAGTACCAAATAAGGTATGCTCAGTACTGAATAGGCGGGAGCTTGTGATTCGAGATGTCAATCTCAAATGACGATGGCGTACTCGTATCGAAGAGCATTGCCCATGAATGTCCTCAAGGGTAATTCCTTAATGTGATCGATCATCTTGGTATGGACGGCGAAACCAATTCTTGCTCAACTTCGATTGACGGTTTATAATACCGGGACCAAGCTTCGTCTTGAACTTCGAGGCACAGAGTGTATGTTTCATGTACAGTTCCATCAATTGTGTATAATACCTACATAGCAGCAGAACCACCGACTCCTGAGCAATGCGTCTCAAAGAAATACATATACAGTGTAACAAGATCTCAACCCAGCAACCCCCACATAATGCCTACAATCCCATCTCTTTTTTCACACAACTCTTTCCTTTTACGCAGTCTTCTTCTCAGCAGCAACCTTCTTCTTCAACGATCCCGGCGGCGTCTTGAGACCCGCAAACACGGTCGCCACAACCACAGCCATACCCGCGGCACCCATGCTGTAGGCGACCTCACGGCCAGCCCACCAGTAAACACTGGTGAACAGAATCGGGCCAAGACCACGGCCGAGCTGGCCCCAACTGCGGAGGATACCAAGCTTGCCGCCACGCTCGCCCTCAGCAGCCTCGAAACTGCTCAACGTGTTCAGGCCGGTCACCACCGTCGATGACGTCACTGCCAGGCACGTAGCCGCGAGGTACAGACCACCGATCGACGAGATGCGGCCGAGAAGAATGAAGGCACCGAGACAGGCAATGGTGCCCATGCGGACGGAGAGAAGAGGCGGCAGACGGCGCGTGACGCCGCCCTGGAGAATCGATGCGACGAGTCCGACGTATCCGAGGAGGCGGCCGTTCTTGGAGGAGCCGAAGGCGAAGAGTTCGTAGGTCATGAAGGAGAGCGAAGACTCCATGCCGGAGAAGAATAGTAGGAAGACGAAGTGGACGGCGTTCAGGAGGAAGTGGGAGTTGGTGCGCACCACGGGCGCAGGAGGGGCCGCCTTCTTCTCTTCCTTCTTGGCACCCTTGCCGGTCAAGGATGGCAGCGTCTCGGGGAGGCAGAAGTAGAGGTACAGCGTCTCGGTGAGAATGAGAAACAAGCTGAACCCAGCGGCCGTCGCGAAGGGGTTCTCCTTGACCGTGCTGATGCTGCTCAACCACGCGCCCAGACCCGGTCCGAAGGTGAAGGCGATGGAGAAGCATGCGCCGATGAGCGCCATCGTGGAGCCGCGGCTCTGCTCGTCGGAAATGTCGGTTGCCATAGCAGTCGCAAGTTGGACGTTGCCCTCAGACAAACCACCGACGACGCGCGACGCGACAAAGGTGCGGAAGTCGACGGCGACGACCCAGAGAAGGACAGACAGAATGTTGCCGCACATGGAGGCCAGCAGAGCGGTGCGGCGGCCATGGCGATCGGAGAGGTGGCCGATGAGCGGGGAGGCAATGGCCTGTAGTAAGCTGAAGAGAGAGCCGAGGGCGCCGCCGAGGAGGACGATGTCGTAGCGCGAGTCGATGGGGCGAGCGAAGGCGGCCTTGTAGCGGTTGAGGCCGGAGAGGACACTTTGGAGGAGGGTCGCGGGCTCGGTTGCGTTTGCGGTGGCGGGGCCGGCTTCGCGGTCGCGGTAGAACTCGAGGAGCTTCGGGAAGAGGGGGAGGATGAATGTGAAGGAGATCTGGCGCGGGGTCGCAATTAGCATTCATCGTCGATAAGGAGGTAAGGTGCTTGCTTACAAGGTCAAGGAGGAGAGAGATGGCAATGACTCTCAGTACGCGCTTGCGAGCCTTCGGTTCGAACCCTCCTGAAGAGGGAGCTGCTGTTGCTGCTGCCATGGTTGCGGGCCTGCCCTGACTATGGGATTCGCACGGTAGATCGGAATCGTGGGAAGGTCGTCGAGATCGAGAAAAGGGGACACCGGTATTCGTTGGTTGTTTGGACAGGTAGGTTATATGGAACGAGAGGAAGAAAGGAGAGGAAGAGAGGTCGAATTACAAAGGAAACGACCAATACAATATTAGAAGTAGACAAGTAGCTACGGATGGCGAAAGCGAAAACGAAGAGGAGGATATGAAGTAGATGAAGTGAAGGAGGAAAAAAAAAAAAAGGACAGCCTTCAATTGCGTGTGACAAGGCGGGACGACAGGTGACGGGATTGGGGGGGTGAACGTGGAACGTCCAAGCTCCCACCTGCACTTTGCAGAATGCCAGAAACATGCTCTCTGGGCCGCAGTTCCGCGTACGAATACCGCTGGCATTGGACCTCCCCTTGTTCGTTCCCCCCTCCACAGTGATGTGGTCGGCCCAGTCCGATGTTTCAGGGTCAGGGGCACTTGAGGGTCCATTCTGAACTTCTGAAGCCACTGAGGCCGCGCTAACATCGGACGGGCCCCAGACGCGGGACCGGACTGTCGGGGGCTGCGCCGAGCCCGGGCGGAGACCTGTGGTAGGGATGCTGTAAGCTGCATTTCGGCGATATTTCATTGGGTGCACATCTGCTCTTGCAGCTGAGCCATGCGGAGGAAATTATTTTCTGTTTATATCAATCCGATCTTTTTTTCCCCTTCGCGTACATTCCAATCAGCTGCATCTCTGTCGTCTCACCACATTAGACGCTCCAAAGAAAGGCCGTGCGTGTCCTTCTTGCACCAAGCAGTCTCTCGTAATCCACGACTCGAACCTGGCGACAAATGTCCGTATCCGGCCAAGACCTGCCTTTGTCGACCTTGTCCTCGATCGACGCCAATACCGCACTATTGCAACTCTAGGGCGTCTAATAAAGGCTAACCAGTTCATTTTGCTAAGCCACGAATGAGAAGCAACTCAATTGAGGCGTTGCCAGACACAATGCGACTTCTCTTACAGATCTGCTTTACCCGCGGAAGCATTTTACACCCAGCTTCTACGGTCTCAGGAAGAACAACAGATCGATTGACTTGTCTGTTCTTTGAGGCTGCAGGACAACTAATCTGTGACATAGCTTCATGTCAATCGTCGCCTGGCGCTTATAGCTGCCGTCCACCGAATAGACAAGCTCTCGGGCTTGATTGCACAGGTTTATCATCCCGAGGGTCTTCGCACTGATGATGACATGCGTAACAGGTTTGCCGGTTGTAGATGCCGAGCTCATTCCAGATGAACCGCATCTCATCCGCTCAGACGCGCGCTAATCGAGACTTCGCGCCGGTGAAGCTCAGTCAAGCAGTCTCTGAGAATGTGACGCATCTTTCTGACTGTCTGTGCATACCATAGCTCCGTACTGGCGAAAAAGCTCATAAATCTTCACGACAGGGAAATAGATCGGTTTTAACACACCATGCAGACGTTCTACGAGGTTCCAATGTAGGTGCTTTCCTGAATGACGTGTGCGCTTTCGCAAGGCACGATGTAGGTCAAGATGTCGCAGTCTACTTGGAACGACGGTGAGAGTAACGACAAACCACCGCAACGGGCCAAGTGACGAGAGACTAAGTATATTGTCTGGCAACTGTGTCGAAACTCCATTTCATACAATCAACATCAGCCTAGCACCCTGGAATATGAGTTCAGAAACTTGAAGCCAAGAGAGGACATCAATCACAATTGGTCTGCCTTGGAAGCATTCATCGCTCATCGCCAATGCCGAGGTGAGATGAGGTCAAAATTGACTACCAAAACACAAACCCAATTCCAATCTTCCCCGCCATCTCATCATGCCGCATCAAAGTCTACACATCTCAAGAACCCCGTCTGCATGGAAATGACGGCGGTGGCTAGCAAACACCATCTCACGTCGGGCGGGACCGACGTCAAGGGAAATGCAGGGTCCTTCCTCTCCATCAGGGTGCAAGACGTTTGGCCGTGTCTCGAGCAAAATCTAGGAGAACGGTGCATGGAAGACACGGGAGAAGGGGTGAAAGGGTCCGGATCCAAGACACGAATGACGGCATTTGGAGAGCTGTGCCGCAGGGGATGGTCGCGATCTGCCCCTCCTTGTAGTCCCCGGAGGCGAGGACGGAAGCCGAATCATGTCTCGCCGATTGCTCTGGTTTTCTCGGTGATCAACGGACGACTTGGGTGAATCTCACGTAGTCTCACAGAGCAGAGAGAATATCGGTGCCTAGAAGTGGAAACTGAATTCAATGGTTTCTTCCTAGTAAGACGGGTCTCATCCCCGGAGCCAAGCGACAGAACGGGGCCGCAATTGGAATTTCCATGTCTTCAGTTTGGGGAAACAAGCTTCGAGAGCGTCTACTACCTAGATGTAAAAAGTCCCCTGAAAAGATAAGATCATGCTGGCCTCACAGCCCTCTGGCTACCTCAACCAGGGCTGATTGAACGAGATCAACGGCTTTCAGGTTCACTCAGAGAGAAGAAAGAGACCCTGTAACAAACACTGCCTGCAGTACAAGCCCTGAACATTGGTTCTTCAACTTCCCTTTCCAAGCCAAGTGTAAGCCCGTCTTCCTTGGCACCACCAAAAGCCCGCCATATGGCCACGATCTATCGACGATGAGCAGCAATCAGCGCAAATGGGCGAATGACGGCTGCCGCCAAGACCGCTATCTCGCCCCCGGACATATTCAGCTCAGCCTACGTCCAATACCACCACACTCCAAATACCCTCTTCACCTCCACTCTCGTCAGCCTGTTCACGTTGAGCTTGTTTTTCTAGCGTCATCCGGCGACATGCTCCTTCTGTTGTGATTGTCCAGTTCGAGCTGACGGGCGATGGATCACCAAGTTGGAATGCGTGATGAGGTATTCCTTAGCCTCCTCGGGGAGGGGTCCGCCAAGATACAGGGCTGATCAAAGTCCGTCAGACTGCATTGCCGTTTCAACCAACGGAACGGGAAATATTGGGATTCCCCTCGTGCCTCCAGACCACCTTACCGCACATGTAAGATTGAAAGCGCCCTCTCTTATTTAAGACCTTGGCGCCCTCGTCCCCCGAGCACGAGAGAAGGCTGTCGTATTTCTCTACATCCCCTCATCCAGCCGTGTTTGTGTGACGATTACCACCGCAATTTGCTCCAACCCCAAAAGCCACACCCAACACATAACCGCACGCACAACATTCTTCTCACCGCAAACGCGACATTCATGGCCTTCATCCTCGACCCCCGCACGCCCAAAGGCGGCGGCAGCAGCGGAGGCCGAGGCAGCTCCGGCGGCAAGTCCTCCTCGTCGAAGGGCTCAAAGGGCTCAAAAGGCAGCAAGAACAAGTACAAGGGCACGGGAGGCTACGTCGGCGGAGGCGGGGGAGGAGGAGGAGGGAACAACGGGTTTTCACACCTGCCCGTCTGGGCGCGCGTCCTCATCATCCTCGCCATCATCTGGTTCATCATCTTCCTGATCGCGCTGGGGTACTACGTGACAAAAGGTAAACCCCATTCTGTCTTATTTCTATGCCGCCCGGAGTTCGACCGAACTGACAACAATACACACACACACAGAACTCAAGCGCAAGAAGGACGGTAAATCCTTCCGCCTAGGCCACGTCGTGGGCCACGCCCTTCTCGTATCCACAGGCCTCTGGCTGCCCGTTTGGATCTACAAGAAGTTCGTCGGGGGCAAGAAGAGCGAGAGCGGTTCCTACGCCAAGATCGAGGAGGGCCACGGAAAAGAGGGCGGCGGCGGGAATAACCACGACTCGTGGTACGGCGGCGCAGGCGGCGAAAACAAATACGACGCCGGCAGCCACCCGCCCGCGCACCGTCCGCAAAGCCCGAACCCGGCCCCGCCCCCGACACAGACCGGCGCGGCGGCGGATTACTACAACAACATGCCTGCGCCGCCTTCGCATACGGCTCCCACCCAGCACCCGCCCCAGTACGGTTAAGTCGGTTTGGGTTCCAGGATGATTGATCTGTTAGATAGATGACTGGCGCTTCTTGTTCTTGTGCTTTTCCTTGTCTTTATTAGTGCGATACCCAATTTTCTCGAGTCAGCGTGTTTGCGATTACTACTAGTACATATCAAGATGAAAAGTTCGGTGAGCGCATATAGATCAAACGGAGTTGTTTATTAGCTAGATGATGAAGTCGGTTCTATCAACATCGCTCTGGCCCCCGTCCTCTCTGGATTTGACTACCTCATCACCCAACGACTCTGCCAGACACCGATTCCCAAGGCCGTTTTCGCCACAACTCGTGTGCGGTTTCTCTGGCCTACTGAGAAGCGCCAAGTCCTTTCGAAAAACCTGGGTCTGCAATGCTGGCGTGGATCTAAAGGTGAAGAAGGCAAGCTGCCCAAACTGACCGCTGAGCGCAGAGTGATAGACGCGGCACGAGTCGCCTCTTTGAACCTGCATTCTGGGCTTTCTCGATCAAACTGGTGAATGGTCAGTACTACGAAGAGCCCGCAATCACAGAATACTCAGTCTCCCCTCCCCCAACTTAACGATTTCCAGCAAGCTGCTGCGTCAAGTAGCCGAACAACTCGTCTTCTAAATCACCGGCACGACACCCCTCTTCGCACGAGCCACAGCAGCAAGAGAATTATCTCACCTTCACACGGCGCCATACAGTCCCGCCTCTGAACCTCTGTTTTGTTCATTTCTTCGGCGGGTTGGAGCTCTCCTGTCCACCGCTATCAGCCCCGCCCTCGGTCCCATCCTGCGTGTCGGTCTTTATCCCGGTGGTGTCGTATGAGCCTCTTCCCATTTTGAGTGGTGGAATGTCGAGCGATGCGAGCCGCGCTTGTTTGTGCTTTTGTGTGCGTGTGACTTGAGATGGATGCCAGGCGTCACGACGTGGGATGGTGTTGGATATTGGTCAGTTTGATAATTGTGAAGAAAAGAAGCTGTCGTCAACTCTGTGGTGGCAGAGGAAAGAACGCCGATGTGGTGCGATGCCGTGTGGTCTTAAATGCTCTGGTCCCGCCGCTTTCTCTTGCAAATGACATGGTATGGTTTTATGAGTTGAACACAGTGAACAAAAAATAGAGTCCTCGCTGTACGCGTCCCGGGACAGTGATGAAGACATGAGAAAGGAAAATCGTGACTTGGTAAAGTTTCTTCCCGCAAAATGTTCAAAGAGGATCAAGCTGAACAGACGAGCCCTTGCGAACGCTGCGTTGCTTGTCTCTTCTTTAAACCAGAGTCTGCCAGACTTTTTGCTATGTGTCAGGACAGTCGTTTTGTTGACAGTGGCGCGCAAAGGGGTCCAACGTTGCGGAAGTTGCTTTCTGTTTGTCTTCCCTCTATGGTGGGTTTCCCCGGGTTTGTCTTTGTCTGATTTACCGTTGTTCCAGAAGGGAATCTTTGTGTGTTGGTAAACAATCCCTCCTACTCTGGGGTTTTCAGGAATAGGAAAGTGACCTTTGAGGGGTGGTTCTTCTTCACCAACTCCTGCCAGAATTTGCTTTTCTGTCTAGGTTGTTTAACCTGAGAACTGAGATGATAGTCTCAGAGTAGCCATTCCCCAGGGTGAGACACCAACGATCGTTCTTGTTGGGCCAGGAATTATTCCTAGTCATTCCAGATCGTTGATTTTCGCCCATTGTCTTCCTAAAATGCCATTCTTTCCAGACAATGGGCTTCTCAGACCCGGAAACATCGAAATCTGCCCCCGAGACTGCAGATGAGCTGGACCGTATTGCCTCGCAGGCTTGGGACAAGCCACCAAGTTCCCCTGGATCGCGATCTTTGGATAACATATAAGGGCCCAGCACTCCTTCCTCGGTGGAAATATGCCTTGACCCTCGGCCGATGATTGTAATTCCTGGATCAGAGGGCGTTGGATTCCGACTTGCCCCCTTCCGTGACGGATCAAGACATACGAATCCCACGACCCATCTGGCTTGACGAGCCCGAGAGCCTCGTACGAGAATGAGCCTCATTCATCCGAAAAGATCTTCGGCTCATCTTACCACATCTTCGGAGGTAAACAAATTGTTGCTTACCGGCTTCACGGAAACAGGCCCAGGGGGAAGAAACAAGTCGTATTAGGTAGGTAAGAATACTCGCAAAAGTTCTACTGGTCCTCTGGGCCCTGCCAAGGTGCCAGATCACTGTCAGTCCCGTGTTCCATGTCCACACTTTGAACCCACTCCTCCGTCCTGCGTCTCTTTCCGTCCATGTTCTTGTCTTCATTTTCCTCGTCCGGAATCTTCTTCACCTTGCTCACCTTCTTCTCCTTGGTCTCCTTCTTCGGAGTATCCATGTTCTCAGTATTTCCTCCGAGTACTTTGGCAATGAATCTTCGAAAACGTCCCTTCGAAGTCCGTTCCTTTCTCTTCGGTCGCCTCGGCTTGTGCTCCCTCTTCTTCCGTTTCGGCTTGGGCTCCTTCCTCCTCCGTCTCGGCATCTTCTTCGGTGGCAGCTCGCTGCTGGTCTCGGCTTCCTTTTTGTCAAGATGCTGTTTGTAGAGATCGCCGTACATTTTGTAGCGTGACTCGGCCGCATCCATGGTGCTCTTCCGAACGTCTTCCAAGGACATCTCCGTCTCGTCATTAGCCACGGTTGTGTATTCGCCCGGAAAGAAGGTCCCGCCAGAGAACTCGCGCCGACCATCGTGTGGTGTGAATCTCTCGTGTCGTATCGAGTTGTTGCCTAAAGAACTGGCCCGCGTATGGCCCATGGAGCTATCCCTCGTATGCACCATGTTCTGATATGGTTGCAAGTCTGCTTAAGCACAACGGCGTGGACGTATATGAGCAGTCGCTGTCTAGTAAGGATCTGATGTGATGGTATGCCGAGCAAAAGGAGAGTGTATCCAATAGCGTTTGACTTGAGGAAGATCGTGCTTAATCGACATTTAGCTGTCGTTACCGTTGAAAAGTGTTTGGAAGTTTGCGATGCCGACGAGATGGTTATAGGGAATGGACTACAAAAGTCCCGATGAACAGTCGTGATGCTGAGATGGGTCTTTAGATGCTGAAGGTTGTGGGCTGGCGAAGAGAGGGGAGAGGTATACCTAAGTAAGGAGATGCTGGAGATCAAGAGATGACAGAAGAGAGTCGAGGATATCATTAGGATGGTGGTGCGAAGACCAAGAACCTGGAAGGAGCCGCAGCTCGTCTCATTTCATTGAAGGGCAGGCGCTTTGGCTTCCAGGTTCCGTCGCTCCAAGGCAAGAGCACTCAACAAGTTGTTGCCGGAGGGAAAGAGTGTCAACTCAAATGGTCATGTGTATGGCACTCGCCATTTCAGTTCGCCCTCGCCAGTCCCCGAGAATAACAGTCTTGATAATTCGTTGATTCATACTTAGATTTAGAAACATGCAAGCAACTTCGCAGCGAGGTATCATCAGCCGTACAGACAACCCTCGTTTTTGAGCCAAGCATCCAAAAGACTCCATCCTCCCAAAAGGCCATTAGACCGTGAAACGTACAATGAAAACCACCAACTCCTAGATCCTGGGCAAACCAAACATCATTATTATAGATCTCTGTTGTCGACACGCTCCCGGCCATTTACGGCCACGTGCTGGGCCCAATCGTCGTGCCCGGCGGGACATGCGTCTTGATGGCTGTGCCCTTCCAATCCATTGTCTCAAACACATCTACGTTGCCCCACCACTGCGGCGGTTTGGCCGATGTGAGGTACAACGTGAAGAAAATGATGAGCGTGGCCACGATAAGGCCGCAGTCGAGCGCCGCGGAGGTGATGTAGTTGTACTGCAGCCACCAGCCCGTGTAACGTCGCTTGACGAAGAAGTTGAAAAAGGTGCCAACGAGAGCCCAGCAGAGGTAGATGTAGACACTGGCGGGCGGCAGCCAGCCTGAGCCGCCATACAGCAGAGGCGTGTTGACGTAGCGCCAGATACTCTTAGGCCACTTTCGGGCGAGGAACCAGGTGATGATGGGAGTGATAGCACCAACGAGCCAGAACCACTGAAGAGAGGAGTAGAGAGCGTTTCCGGAGAACATGCGAGCGGGTCCGATGGCACCCCAGATGATGGATGCAGTGAAGAAGACGCGACCTCCAGGACAGGTGTAGTTGCTTGGTTGGTCCGGCTGGCAAACATCCGGAATGGCACCGAGAGCCCAGTTCATGACAGCAATCTGCACGATTGCAGACCACAGCGAGGCGACAAGCTGAGAGGCGAACATTGTACGAGGAGGAACCTTCATGTAGTGGCCGAGCTTCAGATCCTGCGCGAAGTAGAGCGCCTGCGACATGCAGATGTAACCGTAGTTCTTGAACATCATCATGGCAAGCGGTCGGCCGGGCACCATGTAACCGATGATGAATTCGGTGAGGACATTGAGACCGAGCTGGATGTTGGTGATAGCCTGCACGATACCAATAGGGATGAGCCACACGACGGGAATCATGATACAGACGACATAGGCCCAAGCAGGGAAGCCTGTGGGCCAGCCTGCCACGACGCCAAATGAAATGCTGATCATGACGACGAAAAGGGCTGGAAAGCATGTTAGCAAGAGCGAGCTGAGTTGTGAATACGATAGTCACATACCGAGATACCACCAGTCCTCAGCGTCGCGGTATTTCTTCATCAGGCGCATGTGGACATCATCTTCCTGGTGTCGAGCCAGCTTGAACTGGCCCCAGATCTCGGTTCCGTGGTAGAGAACGACGTGAACAACGACGGCAGCGACGGCAGCAAAAGACAGGGCGTATGCGAGGGCGAACTGAGTAGGCAAAAACAGCGGCGAGTAGGCGTTGTAGGCGGTCTCGTTGAACTGGAAGTTGGCGTCGAGAATACGAGAAACGTTGTAAACTGCACCGGTGTTGTCGAACGACTCCGAGCTCTGGACGGGGAAGTAGTTGGAGTACCAAGTACCGGAGAAGTGGATGCCCGAGGAAACAACAACGAAGAAGATGAGGATACCGGCAATGACGTTCGCAATGGCGTGAAAAGGCGGAATCATGGGCGAGGTCAAGTATCCCGAGATGACGGTCCAATCGAACGAAATGGGCATGAGACCGTAGCCCGATAGACCGCCGAACACCTTATTCACAACTTCGTTCTGAGGTGCCACCCAGCAAATCCAGGTGAAGTATGACAGGCCCTGGAAGATCCAGCCGGGGAACCAGTACCAGACAAAGGCGCCGCTGCCGACGATGAGGAACCAGCGGTAGCGACCAATTTTCCAGCCGTTCGTCTTAGAAGGGTCCGAGCCCGAGTGGTCGTGGAGGGTGTAAAACAGAGCGCAGTTAACCAAATTTGACGGCCAAATCATTGCGGATGGCCAGACGAGAAAGCGCCTTGCCAGGCCAGCAAGACCGTAGCCAGTGCAAAGAGTTGTGATGCCGAAGAGCAATTGGAAAGCCCAGCCAAAGTGCTGCTTGTAGAAGAGCTGTTGCGCAAGCAACACATCCGTCGCGTACAGAACACCACCTCCATATGCAGCCTGTTGATGTTAGCCCTATTCTCCTCTGGGTCTGCTTGGCGCTAAGAGATCTCGAATCTTGGCTATCGCACCCCCATGAAGTGGAATATTCGAGACCCAGCCGGCTCACATCCTGAGGTACTTACATTAGACATGGCAACAATAATGACGTGCTCCTTGAAGTTGAAACGACCGGGCTTGAGGTTGAACTTGATGCCAAAGACATTCTGCTCCTTATCAGGCATGATCAAATCCCAACCTCGGCCCATTGGATATGCGATAAGCTGGACGACGTATGTGGTGATTGTTACGCTGGGATTGCGCAAAGAAAACAGCATGTTGACACCAGAGCCGAGAGTGCAGAGCAGCATGCCAATAACCCACGCGCGAATCGTGTTGGCGGGCAAATCAACATCGTAATTCCGTACCACGGCGCGGACCTTTACACAATACGTTAGCGACTTGAACCATCTCCTTACTCTGCTTGCCCGCTCTTCCCCCTGGTCCTGTCCACCCTCTTGCGCCAGAAAGCGTTGCTTCGCACGTACCTCTGGATAAGGCGAGTTGTCCTCCATAAGGGCCTGCTCGATCTCCAGACCCTTCTCGGCATTCCCCGTAGCGAGCGCTGCGTCGACATCGTTGAGCTCGTCGATTGGCATGTTCGGATCGAGCTTGTGCGCCTTCTCGAACTGAGCCAGAGCCTTCAGCGGCTCGATGCCGGTGGCCTCGGCTTCATCGTCGAGGGCGGGGTACGGCGTGATCTCCTCAGGCTCGCCGCGCTTGCGAAAAAAAGACGGCATCGTGATCGGTGGGCGATGGCGTCGTCGCTCCCTCTCGCCTTCGCTCTACTGTCGACAGAGTAGATTGAAAGGTGAGAGAATACGGCGCCGATTGCGGATGGGCTGAAGGGCGACCGACGAGATAAGCAAGAGGACGAAAAGAAGGCCCCAAGGCCGCAACAGGACTGGGGACAGCGGGCGCCAAGGGCTTTTTTTCCCAATCAAATCAACCGAGAAGATGGCGGCGACAGTGGTGCCGGTCGGCAGTCTGTCTGCAGGCTAAGAACTCGACGTGACAAGGACCAAGGTAGATGATAGATTCAGCCAGCCAACAAGCCAGTGAAAAAACCACACCCTCCGCTGATCACCGCGAAGACGCAGTTCTTCGGCTTCTGGGGCAGATTGTCGGTCTGGTTCCTGGAGGGTCTGCTCTGCCGCAAAAGAGCGCCGAGTACGCGAGGAGCCGTGGAGGCAATGGTTCGGTGTAACCAACGGGATGAGGTGACTCTTTTTTTCCCTTCCAACCTCTCTCTATCTATCTCCCCATATCAGCGTGGGTGTGGGCTCCTCTTTGGGCCTCTCGGGCGACGCGTTGGAGGGGGTGCCCGGTCAAGGGGACCAGAGAGATTTCGGCGCTCTAGCGTGCTATCACGACACAAAAAGCAGCGGCGACAGCCCGCAGCTCCAGCGGCCGTTTGTCGACCTTCCTAAATCGGGGTAGTGACATCCGAAGTGGCTGTGGATGAGGCGAGGGGGAAGAAGAATGGTTCGCCGGGGTGTGTGTGATGGTGACATTGGCGGACGACCTAATGGCTGAATGGAATTGCAGACAGCTGGCCCGCCCTTCTAGCACGTCTTTAGGGTCCCCCGGGACCGCCTGAATTCTGACTCTCTCAGTTGACGCCTCCGTGGCTCGGTTCTCGATTTCGCGGGCTAGGAGAGGGCCTTTTGGGGTCTTTTGGTACCCTTTGTCGAGGAAACATGGAGATCAGCAGATCACAAAGCCGCCGGCTTTGCCCCTGTCACCAATCCGGGAGTTCTCAGAGACTGATCGTCCGAAGTATCGATGTTTAACTTGAGAGAAACCAGATTGGCGAATCAGCTGCAAACAGCGTAGTGTCGTCCGAAGTCTACTGCTTTTGCTGTCAGCGTCTCGAGCCGGGCCAGCCCGACTGACGACGCATGCTAAACTCTCCTTACGAATACACACAATCTTCCAGTGTGCATGGATATTGGACATTGCGAATGGATGTTGTTTCTCCTGCTGTTGCAGTGTTGCTGGTACTTTGGTAGTGCCATTGCTACCCGTCCATCGGCCTAGCCATTGCGCGAGACTTGGCGAGTCACCGCAATTGGACATTCTGTGTGATTGCTCCGTATCAACGAATCACCAGCCTTTCTTTCAGACAGGAAGAGCTGGGCACGCCTGGGTGTCCTGGCTTATCTTCGAAATCGAATGAGAGGGCCTGAATGGCAGCTGGGCGATCCTGGTTCTCGTTAACAATCTTATTTCCGATGAAGCGGACTTCCCCGCAGCCAACCCCCTGCCAAATCGACTGCACTGGGGCCTCAGCTTCAGCGAGCGGAATATCTCGGCCCGCGCAGCCCAGCTCGGGCCCCGCCCCCGCCGCTCCCGAAAACTGCTATTCCATTGCACCTCACTTGTTTTGGATCTTTGCTGACATAATGTCCACTGATGAGAACTCATCTTCACTGGCCTTTGGTAGACTAATCTCAGAGTTAGGTGGGCAAATCATTCAAAATGCTGCAGGTGAGATACTTGTTGAGATTTTAAGTGCATCAAATGACTGAAATTTTGGTAGCTATGAGAATAATTACGGTAAAGAAGGGACTACCTTTACTGCTGTACCCTGACTCTGCAAGAGAGCACAGTGACTGAGAGATGAGCCCGCCTGAAGTAGGCATTGGCATCCGGCAAGCCACTACCCGGCGACACCGCCAACGATTTACAAATTCGCAGGGATTTCTCATACGATGAAATCGCCGATGAGATCCAGCCTCGTCTTCTCGACGACGAGTACCAGGACCCTCGCGTTCTCATCGCCACGTCCAGGCCCCCGTTGAGCAGACTCCAGGCCTTCTCTAAGGAGATTCGTCTTCTTCTCCCAACGGCCAAAAGCGTGAACCGCGATGGCATGACGCTGAAGGATCTCGTCCGCGTAGCAAATGCTACCGGACGGGTATTTGAGCATCGCGGGACACCGTGCTCTCACCGTGTCACATCTCCCACGGCCCATAGTCTTCACAACGTGAACACCCGCTACGATCTTAACTCGCTCCGTGGAAACATCTCCGAGAGCTGCCCCCGTATGTGGATTTTGAGATCAGAGATGGCAGGGTGGAGTCTAAGGAAAGCGATGTTGAATGGCAGATGAAGCGGTACACACGAACGTCGGGGAAGATAACGGTATTATGATATAGTTGTGTGCGAAGGAGTCTAGATAATACAGGCTGTCACCGGCGTAAAAGAATTGTTTTTGATACCCTGGATGAGAGGTCGGTCTTCGAGAGCTGATGTTCAAACGGGGAAGTACAGAATCGCAAACGAGAATGAGGATTTTTCGTGAACAATTTAATATTGCCTTGAACTCTAGAACGCACCAGCAATATTTATGAGAACTCCGCTGAGGCATAACATAGCAACACGATGTGTTATTGTCGACGGAGATAGGTATCTGTCGTCTACCGGTGCTACTGCGCACTTGCAGTGCCAAGACGGGACGGGATCCACCCGTCAGTGGAGGGGTCAAGCGGCCAGATTCCCCGGAGACGCTGACATGCAGGCCCCGAATCCAGGCCGCAGCTTTCCCAGATGCCAATGCCGTCACTCGGCTGTCCCTAGCAAAACCATCCGAGCATCGGCAAGTTTTCATCCCACGGGCATCATTTCAGCTTTCAGCTCTTCAGGTGGAAGTCATAGCTTCAGAGAGCCGTCCAGTCATCACAGCCAAACTTCAAGCCGCTTTCCGACGCAACACGCAATCATACAGCAGCACCAGTGCGCCTCAAAAACACTCCCGCCCCCACCGGCAAAACCGGCACTGCTAAAGCTCCACGCGGCAGCAGAGCTTCCATCATAGCTGTCTCTGGCCTTGGCAGAGACCCCAGGAACGGTCCTCGCACTACCTATCGGACGGTGCGATCCTTCACCCACCTTGACGTATCGCGATCTCTTCGGCCCGTGGACGGCGAGTCGGGCTAGGTCTCTGTGGGCTGAAAGATTGTCTTTCGTCTTCAATGCATTAGCAAATTTGCGACGATTTCGAGCCACAGCGAAAGCTCCGCGCTCCGCTCGGTCTATGGTATGTCGTCATTCATTCCTCATCATCGTCCCTGGTAACCGCCCAGTCTGTTTCCACATAGCTATAGCTAGCTGTATGATGATGAGCTACTGGTTGGTATTTAATACTCAAGGCGATGATCCCCCGACCTTGGCAGACTTTGTTTAGACATCAATACATCTCATCTTGAATCCTGGACGAGACTTTGAATTCGAACTGTGATACCCCATAATTAGCATACTATTATACGAAACAGCTTTCACAATGCCTCTTGCAAGCCACGTTAGTCACTCATCACAAGCTCTCAAATCATCTTCAGCTGACAATTATAACAGGTCAACCCCGAGGAGATCGTTCAACGACTCCAGGCATCTCACATCACGCCCCCCGGACACACCAACCTGCAAAGCCATGCCACCTCCGCGCACATCCATCCCTTCGACTCCCGCTATACCTCTCAGATGAACATTCCCAAATACAAGATCCCAGAAGAAGGAGCACCCGGAGACACCGTCTTCCAGATGATCAGGGATGAGTTGGACCTCGATGGAAAGCCCAACCTCAACCTGGCCAGGTCAGCCACTGTCCTCAATTGTCGTGGATTATCTTTGAACTAACAGCATCAAGCTTCGTCGGCACTTTCATGGAGCCCAACGCAACCCAGCTCATGCAAGAGAACCTGGCAAAGAACCTCTCCGACGCAGACGAGTACCCCGCCATGATGGAGATGCACCAGCGCTGCATCTCCATCATCTCCCACCTCTGGGGCGTCCAGCCCGGCGAAAAGGCCATCGGCTCCGCCACCACGGGGTCTTCCGAGGCAATCCACCTCGGCGGTCTCGCCATGAAGAGGAGATGGCAACAACGCCGCAAGGAGCAGGGCAAAGACACCTCCAAGCCCAACATCATCATGGGCTCCAACGCCCAGGTCGCCCTCGAGAAGTTCGCCCGCTATTTCGACGTCGAAGCGCGCATCCTCCCCGTCACCAAGAAGAGCCACTACCGCCTCGACCCGGCCCTGATCAGAGAAAATATCGACGAGAACACCATCGGCATTTTCGTCATCCTCGGAAGCACGTACACCGGCCACTACGAGCCCGTTGAGGAGATCTCAAAGATCCTCGACAAGTACCAGGAGGAGTCCGGCAACGACATTCCCATCCACGTCGATGCCGCCTCTGGAGGCTTCATCGCTCCTTTCACGCATGCTGGCGTCGGCGACGGCGCGAAGTGGAACTTCGAGCTGCCCCGCGTCAAGTCCATCAACACCTCCGGGCACAAGTATGGTCTGGTGTACGCGGGTCTTGGCTGGATCATCTGGCGCGACGAGTCCTACCTCCCCGAAGACCTCATTTTCGAGCTGCATTACCTCGGTGGTACCGAGAAGTCTTTCACTCTTAACTTCTCACGCCCCGGCGCGCAGGTGATTGTCCAGTACTACAACCTCATCCACCTCGGCTTCGAAGGCTACCGCTGCATCATGGAGAACTGCATGTCCAACGCGCGTTTGCTCGCCCAGAGTCTCGAGGCCACGGAGTGGTACACCGTCGTCTCCGACATCCACCGTCCGGCGCCGAACAAGGCTGCCAAGGGCGCCGTGAAGTCTGCGGTCAACCAGGCGGCTTCTGCCGTTGGCGGCGGTGATGCGGTCGTCGGGGAGACTTCGGCCGATTACGTCGCCGGACTCCCCGTCGTGTCTTTCCGTCTGACGGATGATTTCAAGAAGACGTACCCGCACATCAAGCAGGAGACAATCTCCCTGATGCTGCGCGCCCGCGGGTGGATTATTCCCAACTACCCCCTGCCTCCCAACGAGGAGAAGATTGAGATCCTGCGCGTGGTTGTGCGCGAGAGCATGACGTTTGACCTGCTCGAGAGGTTGCTGACCGACATATCGACTGTGACGGAGACGTTGATGGAGAATGATGAGATTGATCTGCAAGTTTTGAAGCACCACCACCGCCGCAACAAGGTACGCGTTAAGGGCGACGTGGAGAAGGAGGAGAAGCACAAGAAGCAGAAGGGCGGCGCCGCGAAGGAGCTTGGTAAGGAAGTGAGGAAGATGGAGGATGGCATCCACCGTGCTGTATGCTAAGCATGCTATATGACTGGGAAAGTGGGCAAAAGGGGAGTAGATTGATGTTTTGGATAACGGGCACAAAAGCGATTTTGATATTAATGACACTTGGTACTTGCGAAGCAAATTCATTGCGTCTTGGCGTATATTGTGGCTGTCTCCAGTATCAGACAGCTGAGTGCTTTTACTGGCATAAGAATCTTGAAAAAAAAAGTAGGGTACACTGCGAAAGCTCCGTTGAACGTGTAACACCGACCCATATACATGTTTCTCGGATGTTGATTGAAGTCCTTTCGGTAGTCAAGTCTCATCAGCTGGCTGAATGATCGTGCCCATACAAATGAGGCGGCTACTAAATGGCCACTCGCTAGCCTCGAACTGTCTCTGATGGCCGTGAGACTGAGCAGTGGTAACCGCCGTAAGGCTGCAAATACGCCCTCATTCGCGATTCTCTAGCAGGAAGCCTGCACATTCTTGTTAGGGGATGCTTCTTCCGTGTGCTCCGGGGAATTATACCTTACTCAAACTTGATCTGCCAATCGAAACGGCGCATCCTCTGATATGCTCTTACTGAGGCCTTTACTGAGGCTTTCTCAAGGGCTCCTACTACCCTCAAGGCTCGGCGGTGCGGCAGTGACTCTAGGCCAAAGACCTGGCAATAGGTGAAGCCAACATACTCGATGACCACCTCATTCACCACCAATTGCCTGTTGAGGTGCCGTGTCTGCCGGCTGCGTCATTTCGACATCTTTTCCCACATCCTTAGCCTCACGGAATGGCCGTCTCTTCTGACGGGCGGCATTCACTGGGAAGCGCTTGACATTGCCGCACGCTTTGCACTTGGTGACCATGACGTCCGCCCACGGCTTCTTGCCGCCCTTGCTCAGGTTCTCAACCGTCGTAGAGCAAGTCTTTCCCTCCACAAGCAAACTGTCGCAATACTTGCACATCATCTGCTTGACTGCCGGGCTGGGGCGAATCTGAGCCTTGAGAGAGACGGCTCGAATGTCGGAAACGAGGCGGCGGGCGACCGTTTCGCTTGCTGAGTGCTTGCCCCGGTCAGCCTGAGCATTATCGTGGGGCTCCTCCTGCGATGTTGGGTTTGAGTTGGGGGTTGTCGGCTGCACCGTCGACAAGTAACAGGCGGCTTGGTGCAGGTAAGATACCCTGGTATACATGTGCCGGTTGGGCAAGCTTTCGGTTTTTGCCTTTGCCATTTTCGTGACCCTGCGGTTTGTCGAGCGTTTCAAAGGGCGAAAAGCATTACGTTGCGAGCAGAGTCAGGCTCTTTAAACATTGAAGAGCAGAAAAAAATGACTGCAGGGGTTTCTCCATCAGATGGGTGTCCGGTGTTCCAGGCTCTGGGTGCAGGCTCCAGACCCCAGAAGGCCCAGAAGGCCCAGAAGGAAAGTTAAGCTTACTGTGTAGAGTGACCGCTGACACTGTCTTGGATAAGCGGGTCCGAGTCACATGATGTTGCTGAACTCAGCCTCTCACTGGCGAAAGCTTTTGACCTTCCGCGCCCGCCTCACCTTTCGCCTTTCGCTTCCACGTCTTCCTGGATCTTCCACCTCAACCACAAGGCAACCCATCCCGCCTTCCAACCTTGCGCAACCCCCCCAATTACCATCTGCATTTAATCCTCTTGCCTGCCGCGCAGCTTTTTGACTCGGCATCGCGTTCCTCCTTTTTTTTCTACGGTCCATCCTATACCTTTTCGACTTGTCCTTTCCAACACGCGAGCAGTAGCTACCGCGTCGTTTCCAACCGACTTCTCGTCATCAGCCCCAAAGCTCGCATCGCCAGCCTTGGGTTCTTGGTTGCGACATAGCCTTCTCGGCCAGTTTTTTTTCGATAATCTCTAGCCACGTCACCACCAGTAATCGACAACATGTCTGCTGAGGAGGATCTCATCGACTACTCCGACGAGGAGCTTCAGACCAACGAGACTGCGGCCGCCTCCAACGGAAAGAAGGCCGATGCTGCCGCCGCCGGTAACAACGTCGACAAGAAGGGCAGCTACGTCGGTATTCACTCGACTGGTTTCCGCGACTTCCTCTTGAAGCCCGAGCTTCTGCGCGCTATTGGCGATTGCGGTTTCGAGCATCCTTCGGAGGGTCAGTCCTGAGTCTATATACCCTAACCCATCATCATCCCCTCCCCTGTCAGCAAGCGTCCGTCCATCTCGCAAGCCCAAAAGCCATCGAATCGCCATCGAGGAAGTACCGAGAAAGAAATAAGAAGAGATACATACGGGAGCCAGCTGGATGTCCATCTTTGTACGGGCGATGCTCGACAATCCACCGGTGAAAGGTGGATTATATTGCGGCCGTTGAGGGGAAAGCGTGACAGCACCCCTCTTACCGCACGAACACTGCGGTGTTTTCGAGTACTCTTTTCAGTCGCAATGGTGCCGCCGGAGCTCTGTCTCTCGACCACCCGGCGACTTCCGTGCCACGTTCGCGAGTCGCAACGGCCGCATTTGCGTTGCCAGCGCCGCAACTGTGCTCTGCCCGGCCATCGTCATTATTGATCGATTGGCGTCTTTTGTCACGAGGGATGGGGGGTTATTCGACTACACATGGCTTCTTTGCGCAGATGGACGGGCATTTTGCACGCCCTCTACGTCACTTCTGCTCTTGGAACAAATATCTAACATCGGCGCGATCCAACAGTCCAGCAAACCTGTATCCCCCAGGCTCTCCTCGGTGGAGATATCATCTGCCAGGCCAAGTCCGGTCTCGGAAAGACGGCTGTCTTCGTCCTCACCACCCTGCAACAAGTCGAACCGGTCCAGGGCGAGGTCTCCGTGTTGGTTATGTGCCACACTCGTGAGCTCGCTTTCCAAATCCGCAACGAGTACAACCGATTCAGCAAGTACATGCCCGACATCAAGACCGGTGTCTTCTACGGCGGTACCCCCATCCAGAAGGATGTCGAGACTATCAAGAACAAGGAGACCTGCCCTCACGTCATTGTCGGCACTCCCGGTCGGCTTAACGCGTTGGTCCGCGACAAGGTCCTCCGCCTCGGCAGCGTCCGCATCTTCGTTCTTGACGAGTGCGACAAGATGCTTGACCAGATTGGTGAGTTCCAACTCACTCGCACCGGCGAACTTTTCAATAACACGTACCAGACATGCGCCGTGACGTCCAGGAGATCTTCCGCGCCACTCCCACCCAGAAGCAGGTTATGATGTTCTCGGCCACCCTGTCCGACGACATCAAGCCCATCTGCCGGAAGTTCATGCAGAACCCCACCGAGCACTACGTCGACGAGGACACCAAGCTCACTCTGCACGGTCTCCAGCAGTACTACATCAAGCTCGAGGAGCGCGAGAAGAACCGCAAGCTCAACGAGCTCTTGGACGACCTTCAGTTCAACCAGGTCATCATCTTCGTCAAGAGCACCCTGCGTGCGACCGAGTTGGACAAGTTGCTGAGAGAGTGCAACTTCCCCTCTATTGCCGTTCACTCCGGTGTCAGCCAGGAGGAGCGTATCCGTCGCTACAAGGAGTTCAAGGAGTTTAACAAGCGTATCTGCGTCGCCACGGATGTCTTCGGCAGAGGTATCGACATTGAGCGTATCAACCTGGCCATTAACTACGATTTGCCCGCCGACGCCGACTCCTACCTGCACAGAGTTGGTCGTGCTGGTCGTTTCGGTACCAAGGGTTTGGCCATCTCTTTTGTGAGCACCGACCAGGACCAGGAGGTTCTGAAGGCTATTGAGAAGCGTTTCGAGGTCGCTCTTCCGTAAGTTATCACATGTGTTCCCATCACACAGCTCAGACTAACAAGCTTGACAGTGAGTTCCCCAAGGAGGGCATCGACGCCAGCACCTACATGGCTTCCTAAGCGAGCCGCGCGGCCGTTTGGCAGTTCAAAGCTCGTCGGTGTTTTTCTTCAAGGGTTCTGGTTTCGGGAAATTGCAAAATTTTGGTCGCTGGTAACGCACATGAACAGTGGCCATGAGGAAGAGATAAGGCTGCTTGCGCCGTGCAGATGAGAAAAGTCTATTGGCCTGTATTGGCTTTCAATTTGTACAGAGTAGTTACAAGGGGAATCAAGACTGGATCACCGCGCTCAAATCGTACGCCGATATGAATGAAGTACTGTGATGCGCTGTTTGACCTTCTCTAATCGTGTGCCAAGTTGCCTCTCAGCAAGTGAGAGGTCCGTCCTGATCGATAAAGTGATGTCAGAAAAGGAATGGTCTACGCATGAAGAAAGGGTTACTGATCTTAACTGACTGTCCCCTCAGTCACAACGCTATGCGCCTTTTAGTGACGCTGGAATCTCGGCGGTGGAGGAACGGCGAGATGACATTGATCATGTCGTGTATCGGGAAACCAGCAGGTTCGCTGAAGCCGTTGCGTTGGTTGGATCCTCGGCAAGCGGCCTGCCCCCGCGACCCGGGACGCCCAGTGTGATGATACACCAAGGCCCGTGAGAGCTTTGGCGAGTAATTCAGAAGTATGATCTGCGTTCTTATCTCTCAGTAAGATGTCAGATGCGTTCAAGTTGCTTCTGGGCAGGATGCCGCAGGCCAGTTTGTTAGCGAACGGCCCAGGTTGCGTGTCGCTCGGGCTAGGCAAAGGGTTTCGAGGATGCTCGCTATGAGGGTGAAATTGAAAAACGATGCTGAGGCCTTCAATCAGTGTACTAAAAAGGCCGCGGCCTTCCCCCTACGTCCTCAGGGCACCTCTATCGGCGTTCAAGTTCTCTCGGGTCCTTCCCAGACGCAGGGCGAGAGCGATCACTGTTCCAAGGCTGGAAGTGGCTGGCGGGCGGAATGTATCCGGGGGCATCAGATCCCACGAACGTTCCCTCAAGACAATTCCAATCCGAGTCTTGTTCACGAATGGGGACCGAGGAGAGCCCTCGGGCTCGTCAACACTGCGGTTCTGGTCATCTGAATCTGGGGAAAGCTGGCGGAGTGGACGCAGAAACGCTTTCCACGATACCAGACCAGAGCAGGGCACCAAGGAGGGAGGATCTCGAGCGCCGAGAGGCTTCGACTTTTCAACGGCTTGGAGGGTGTGGTTGTCGCTTTTCGTGTTTTCAGGATCGTTTCCCATCACATTCGTGAGTTCTTGGAGCTTTTCTGGCGGGGCGACATTGCTCGTAGAGAAATCATGGGTTCGGGGTTGTTGTGACTCCTTAATAACGATTTCGGGCGTCATATATCTGGTCTCGAGTCAAAGCTGAATCCAGCGCCATACCAGGTAAGTCTTCTGCGCCCGGGGTCCCAGGTAATTACTGCTGCAACGACGATAACCGTCTGCAGTGCTGGAGAGTTGCTGTAGCAGTTGGCTCGTCGCAATGGCTAATGCCACCAGGCCAACAACGAGTGCCACGAGGGCGATATCTGCCTCGTTGTCAGCCATTCTGCCAGTTGAAACTATGTGGGAAGTCTTGATTCTATACTCGATCAGCCCGGCAAATTCCGAAGTCATCGATACTTGATCAGGGAGCGATGCTCACGATCAGACAAAAGTCGTACTTCTTACGATGCCTTGATGCCAATGTGACAGGAACAGTTGTAGTGGATCAAGGGAATATGGGAGTTATTGAGAGAGGCACCTGGATTCTTTATTCTTGCTAAAATGACATTGCTACTGAACGGTTGCACTGCTTACTCGCGAACCTACCGTGGCTGGCCAGCCTAACTTGCTAAACTGGATACTACTACTGGGCGCAGGTGAGCGTCAGGCCATGACTACTTCAACGGGTTTATGAATGAAGAATGATGGAGAGCTGAATGCGTGGTATTTGTCGTGAACAGCGGTTGCACGACAGCGATGCGCGGTCTGAACCAGCCTCTCAACCATGTCGTGAGCTGGGTGGTGGCATGCAAAGTCGTTGCGAGACCAAACTGAAGTGGCTACGATTCGCCGGCCTTCGCGCCCGAATGATGACCTATGCCCTGGCGTTCGATTCTATTGGCGGCGGGATTTTCTACGTCAGCCTGATCTTGAGTTCTCATCTTTAGAATACGCGCTGACCGGGCAAGTGTTTGGCGACATTGAAGAGCGGTAGCCACATGGGGTATTGCAGCTATCGTCCCGGGGTGAACTGGATCGAGGAGTCGCAGTGGTTATGATAACATTCACTCTTTGCGTTTTGTCTGCAATCTCTCATAGTAACGTGAGATGCAGTTTTCGAAATCAGACGTAGGTTTAGCATGTCTTCAAATCGTTGAAAGGTTGTACAGT